AATAACGATCATTGCCTAAACAAGAAACGATACATCAAATAACAGAACAGGTCAAAAATATACAATATTTGTAAGACAAACATACTGAATACAAGATATGGTACCTGCAAACACAGGATGTAGAAACTCCACATTCTATCGAAACTTCTAAATATATGCCAGAAGGAGCGTATCTCAACAAAGTTGACTTTGCCCATCCACCGATCTCCACTAGTTGATTTTATCTGCAGCATTGTGAACATAAGTGATGAAACTATAGACTACAAGTTTATGATCCATAAGTCTATGACTCATACCTCAGGTTTCTCAACTCGAAGTTCTTCAGCTGTCTGACAAAAGAAATCAGCATCAGCTCGCATAGGCCACCCTAGGCGAAAACATCGAATTGACCTGCAAAGTTACAAGGACAAGGGATTTAGACCACCGTGAATTCATCAGGAGAGCGTGACATTCCAAAAATATTATAAGATGATCATCTGCATTTACCAAAAATATTCATTCAAGTCATCATAGTTTCTCCACACAGAATGCTTTGACTTTCCTTCTCTACTTCTCTTTGCTTCCTGTAATACACAAAGATCTAGATGAAAAAAGAGAACATAGATTGAAAGAAAGCTCAAGAAGAAAATATAGCCACGGCTATAATAACTGAACTAACCTTTGCTATTGTCTTGTATATAGGAGTCACTACTTTCTGTAGGAAAGCTTCATCGTCACCACCATAAGCTGGCTTTACATGCTCCCCTGTCATTGGACTAACACTACCGGCCAACATACCATACAACTCGAAAGCCATCTGAACAGATACGAAAAAAAAAATCATAATTAAACTTAAAACGGCTATGAAAATGTTATTCTACAAATAAAATCAGAAATCCAACTGACTTAAACTGGATCCATACATGATGATATATATAACAGAGGCACTCTGGCATGAATCTCAGGTTTGCAGCTTCTCCCCATATCAAAAGATAAAGCCCCATGTAGAGCAATTTACGCTGCTGTATCTCTTGTTGAATAGTCGGCAACCTTCAAATGCCAACAAGAGGATACTTAGACACAAAGTATGAGTCATATGATATGCAGCATAAGTATTCTCTTTTGAGGCATTAGAATGAGGAACACTCACCAAAGGCTGCTTTTCCGACCCAAGTACTTGCACCATTTTTTGTAGTTTCTGAAAAGTTTCTTCATCACTATGGTCAAGGCTCGATCATCCAACTAGAGCAAATATTGTAACACAATCCTTTTAGCGCAAGTATAACTGAAAACAAGAAATCATCACATCCAAGTCCAACAAAAGGCATACCTTTGGTTCTTGTTCAGGTCTTGGAAATTGTCGGATGTGGACATTAGCAAGTAACAAGATCAAGTGCTCTCTTTGATTCGCAACATTATCGTTCTGCAATTTCAAATGTTGAATAGCAATCAGCACAGACATAATTTTAAGTCAAATGATTAAAACATGATACTCGCTAACATCACCTGAAAACCAAACATAGACTGAAGCCAATCTAGAATGTCTTCGTCGAGTTTCTTCTTGTGGCCTGCACTCCATGGTAAGCCCCTTGTGTTTCTTAGAGCAGTCACAGCAGCTTGGATCTGCAGAACAGTATCCAAACAGATTGAGTAGAGTAAAAGAAAATACAACAGAAAAAACAAAGATAAGCTGAGTAGCTGTATAACCTCAGGCAATCTCATTATGGCCTGATTCTGACTATCAGGGTCCAGGGGAAGTATATTGTAAGGCTTGTAAATCTGTGTTTTCTCCTCCACGTTGTTGTGCGTATTCAAAATCTACAGCAGATCACGAGAGTATTAAGATGTTGGCACAAGAACGGAAGTAGAAGATCAATGCTACATTGCCTAATATCTACTATGAGCTTCACCTCTATAGGCACATCCACATCTTCAGTCTGATTAACAGCCTTCAAAACTTCAAAGAGAACAGCAGCAGTTTGATACGCCTTTGTAAGTTGAGCACTAAAGTTAAAATATGAATGTAAACACACAGTGAGAGGTTACATTGTAAGGAAAACCAAAAATTTGAAAGAAATTTCTTGTTCGTAAAACACAAACCGGTCAGCTTTATCAGCAGCATTTAGCAAAGCTTGAATGTATTTCTTGTAGTAGTGTTGATAGAAACTCTGCATTTCACGTGCATCACTCTTTTGCCTTCCTGCCAAAGTTGTTTCATTCTCCTGTTGAAGTAATCAATAAAAACATGAGTTCAACATTAACTAACCCAACAATGCTAGTGAATCAAGTGTTGACATTTATGTGTGTACCCTTTCTAATCGTTGAAGAAGTGCGGTCTTAAACTGACGAACACCACGTCCACTTGATGTTGGATCAAGCCTATGCGCCTTCTCAAACGCGTAAAACCGACCTAGTAACAACACCATCATCATCCACAATTTTAACATTCAAGAAGAGCAATGAACTTCTATCAAATCACAATATGTTTCAACTCACATAGGTAAGCAACACGTGGATTACTAGCTTCGACTTCATTGGCCACACGAAGAATCGGAGCAATCTCAACTAAAGAAGAAGGCACCACTTCACTATCAAGCATAGCCTCTCCGAGACTACCGACGGTCTGAGTCCGCAGAATCTGCCTCCGCGGCGGAGGCGGGTTGGTTTCCCTTCTTTGAGACATCTTCTAAATCTTCCGACAATCGAAAAATCCGAGCTACCAAACCAAAGCACTTGTCAAACACCCGAACATGAGTTACAGAAAGAGAAAAAAAAAGGCAAGTACAGTAGTAGGATCCAACTAAATATCCTAAATAGTAAAATTTACTTTTATTTGAGAAGCGAATCTCCGATTCATCTTCACGAAAGCTTTTATCACTATAAACGCGAAAGTTGTTTCCTTTTGTAAAGAAACCAAAAAAATAAAGATCCAACTTAGCCCCATAAATCGAAAAAAGCTGCAGGCGATATAAAGCACAAACCTTTATCACGAAATTGAGCTACCCAATTCGACTACCATAGCTAAATACAAGATATTTCTGGTTCTAGAAACAGAAATGTTTAAGCTTTTCGAAGCCTAGAAGAATCTCCGGTGGTAAATCGAAAAAACTAACCGGTTTACGAAAGCTCTAATAAAAGACCTAGAAGACGGAGCATCTAGTCTCACTTAAAAGTCAATTGGATAAGTAAAACGCACAATCAGATAAAGAAACCCAATTTCTAGGAGTTGAAAATGAAACCCAGAATCTGCCAAAAACCAAAAACAGTGAAAAAGACCCAGATTTTAAGAATCACCTGAGTAGAGACAGAGGAAGAGAGAAGGAACAGAGGACCAAATCCTCAAAACAGCTTCAGATGCGAGCGAGGAACAGTAGTCAAAGCTAACATCTTACTTCGCCGCTTAAATGGGTCTCCGGCGACTACAGTCAACTAGAGAGACAGGGGAGAGGGAGAGAGAACGCCGGCGAGGAAAGCAACGGCTACAAGACAGGCGCCAAGTTTCTGTAGGTAGACCTTTCCTTTTTTGCAGCCTTTCGTTTCAACCAATAAAAAATGGCCCCGTCATCCTTTGCGTATTAAAGTTATATATAACGTCATAATAGTTTTGGGAGCTGCTGGGTCGTTCTCAGTAGTCAGTACATTAATATAGGCTACGTAGCAAAATTAAATGAATTTATAACACAAGAATTTTTGGATTCTCTTTGATAAAACAAAGAATAAACAAGCAACTCAGAACTTCACTCAGCTGACTCATAGATTGTATTCCAATCACTAATTTAGTCATGTGCTGAGTAATTATTTATTAGGAGAAATAATGTTCTTGTGACTTTTGGACCATCAATTTTGCGCAAGTGTGTTTGTTAGTCTTAAGATACTCCAACGTATTTGTTCTTTAATTTCCCACTACATGTATTTATATGTTAAGTATCGGATAAGTAGAAAAAAATAAAAACAAAAGTAGTCAGTTCACTATTGTTTATTGATGTATGTTTTACTTAATTATTAATCAAGAGTTATGATGTTTTTTTGTCGTTTTAGGATCATCGATTAGACGTGCACCGTTGAATTCGAGTTCGAGATCATCAAATATAGACGTTCAAGGTTGAAATTTTTTACCTTACTTCATCATTATTATTTTGTTTGTTTGTTATCTTTCCTGATATCTCTCATCTTCGATTAAAGGGAAAATTGTAATTTTAACTTCTTATGCAAGTACTAATATGCTTAACAAAACTATCTTTCGTATAAGTAAAAAACGGTTCCAAAAGATATGCATAAATATATGGTGTGACAGAGCTCAACTAACATGCTGACGTTTTGTATATCTTGTTTAACAAGGTCTCATGTCATTTTCATGCTTTTCTTTCCTCACACTTGAATGAAAACACTAATAACTATTTTAGTCTCCATGAGAAGATAGACACAAAACATTATCCCATGGCCATGTAGAGCTCGCCTTATTTTGCCAAAGAAATATTTGTCCACCATATAAAGTTACTTAACATCAAATAATTTCTGAGGCCAAATATATATTACAAGTTATGTTCCCTTTTTTTTGGATCAATCCAAGTTCTGTTCTTTTCTTTCCGAACCGAATCTTCGTTCGTTGGAGTCTTTACAACTTCACCGCCTGGTTGGGCTTTTTCAAGAGCCTCAGCCCAATTGGTTAAAGTTTCGAACTGTTTCATGTTTTCTTCTAAAGCTATCATTAGTTAGTTGCACAAAACAAAAGTTAGTTGCTTCACTTGATTTAGAAACGTGTGAAGTAAAACAATATCCTCTGTTTTGAAGATAGCAGAAAAGCCTTTAAATTTGTACGAAGAGATACTATTATGAACAGAGAGGATTAATAAAAGATATAACCAGTAGTACACATATAAATTCATTAATCAATTTTGCGATTATATTACAAATAAAATTTTATTCAGAAAGGAATTTGAGCATTTTTCTAACAAGCAAGAACTGTCTTCTCCCTGGACGTTCACCAAAAACTTAATGAATCATGCGATTCGTATTTAGCTTTAAGATGAAGGAGAAGCAAGAGAAGAAAATCCCATGGAAGAAGGTGACATCTCCCCGCCTGCAGGCATGTCTTGAAGAACCGCCAGAATTCGGCTGATGCTGATTGATCTCGCTGACCGGAAACTGTAAGCTCTCTTCATCGTCTTTGACTTAGAGAAAACGCTCGAAGATTTAGAGAGAATGAGATAAACAAGAGCTTGAACCAGAGCAAAAATGCTCACTTTCATTAGCATACCTTCCAAGCTTCCTTCCATTGATGTTTTTAAAAACTTAGACAAGAATTGTTGCTAGCTCCGTTGACTTTTGTTGTTGTTGTTGTTGTTTTGAGATGATGAGATAAAGTTTGAAGTTTAAACCAGGCAAAGTCGATTGTTTAAATAGAGATGGACACAAGAGAGAGCCTTATTTGACCAGAGGCAGAAACGTCGAACCAACGTAATAATTGTAGTTTAATCTCATGGAAGCTTTGAGGGCAATATCCATTTAAAACTGTGAAAGATATTTGGTCAAAGTAGACGTGAGTTTTTTTTGGTTAGAAATTTGGACAAAATGATATATATGGACTAGAAACAAAATGAAAATTCAAGAATTTTTCTTGGGAAACAAAACGACAAAGATCATGTTGCGCTGATTAGTACTGATGCACATAATGGCATGAAAATGCGTACGTGCGTACGTATGAGTACACACGCATATAAAAAAAAAACCTGTGGTATTTTATGGTATTTTCGGAAAAATTAAAATTTGTGGTATTTTTGGAAAACTAAACTAGTGATGATAATTTTGGAACATAAACTTAATTTTGTTGCATCTTATAGAGTTGTCAAAAAGATGTTTTATATAAGAAACCATTATCGAAGGCCTAATTAGAGAACAACAAAGAAACAGAAAATATGTATAGCTGAATTGGTGTCTTCATGTTAGGTCATTACATTTCGTGGAAGTTTAAACAAGTTAGCTAGCTAATAACTTGTCCAATTACTTTTTCAAATCCACTTTCTGACCCAAAACCAAGCTCATGGTATTCAAACAATCTCTGTGATTCATCAAACAGAAATTCAAAGAACTAACATAAAAATTATCCGTCGCCAATTCACAACTATAAGCACCATCATCACTCTTTGAGAGTAGTCCTCACTACACGTTGAAGTCGGAATGGATTTCCCGGCATGTTTCTACACCTTTGTTGCCTTGGTTTAACGGTATTATTCCCCGTAACTGAATCATTCTTCGTAGATGAATTCTTCATCCCTCGACACAATTTCATGTGTGAATGCATCTTCTCCGGTTTGAATGACTTCCCACATTGCCTATAAATATAATATTACGAATTGTGTCATTCATTTCATATCCAACCATCACAAGATAATGAAGCGATAAAAAGAGAGTGAGGCTTACGAGCATAATGGAGCCATAGAGGGCTTGCTTGGTTTACAAAATTCAATCGTCTCTTTCATCTTTATGCCACTCCATGCTCCTTCAAAGCTTTTTCTATATCTCACAAAATAAATTGAAAATATCATGTTACCACATTGATCCAGATGATTTATTATATGATTTAGCTTGAGAGCACCAATGATATGAGAAACCGGCAGCTAAAAAGTAATCATTTTATAGCTAATCACTAAAAGTATAATACACTAAAGATTAGTACGTAGTCTCAATCATATGTGGCATTGATGGCTAGAATAGTTAACGAATTTTTATAGTTTAATAATATAAAGTTTATCTTTTATCGAGTAATGAGTACTTTGGAGCGTACCGAGCATTGTGCTGTTGGTGGTATTGGTATCTGCGTTCATCTTCCCAAGCCGCACCAAAAGCCCCAGACCTAGACTTGCTCAAAGGCACCAAAACGGCATCGTTTGTGTCCAAACCACCACACTTCATCAAGTTCCGCAACACGTTCGAGGCACGCGCGCTCGAATAGCTCTTACCCTTAATATCACTCGAAGACGACGTCGTCGAAGACACACTGGGTCGACCCGACTCCTCGTCATTACCCGACCCGTTCCTTTCGCCGGATACTTTTTTCGGATCTGTTTTCTTAAGAACGATCGTTTCTTCCTCGTTCGCGATGGATTCGTCGGTGACAGTCGACGTTGTCGCCGTCGATCTCTGAGAGAAGAAGACAGGAGATTCTTTGCGGACCATCATCTCCGAGGTTAATTTAGACTTAAGGAGTTTTTCCTTCGTGTCTATTCCACCGTTTCTTGTTCCCCAAGCTTTCTTCTCCACATGAAGAGAATCCTCTGTTTTCAATAACCCTAGTCAAAAACCCTATTAAACCTCAATTATGGATGAATAGTGATAATTACGTTACACACCTTTTGGATTGCTTAGAAGGATTTCGGATCCTTTGAGGACATATTCGTTATCGGAGATGGGAGTAATAAGATCGTCATCCGCTAAATCTTGCCATACATATCCATTCTTATACCTCCTGCAATACATATATGAACCGATAAATAATACCGTAATTAACAATCAACAATGTGTAAAAATCAATATTTTGGATTTTTTTTGTGTGTCACCTTTTACACGACCAACAAAATGCGTCCGGCATTGCATCGCCTCGTACATCCGCTAACCATCGCTTCACATCTGCGTTTATCAGCACAATTTTGAATGAGACTAATTGATCGAAACAAAAGAGAATTAGAAGAAGAATTAACAAATTAAGAAGAGAGAGAGAGATAAACCTCGAAGAAAGACTCCAGTACGAGAGATATGATGAACACTCAAGAGATGAGGATGGTCAACGTGACCCGAACGGCTAATGAAATAAACTAATTTCACTCTTCTTACTTCTCCTCTTCCACCATTAGTTTCCATCTCTCTTTTCTCTTTTATGTCGTCTTCGATTTTATTCTCTGTGTGATTTTTCAAAAGAACTTATATAAGCCAAAGCTGATTAGGAACTTTAAACAATAAGAGTTTCACTTCTCTGCTTTTCAGACAAGAAAGAGACAAAATATCGGACTAATTAACACAAGGGCTTTTTCTTATTTTATTAACTTGTATATCCTTTTGAATTGATCTTTTCTTCTCAAAAGCTATTAGAAGGAGAGATAATTTTTAGTTTATTCCCTATAATTAATTGAATTTTTGATTATTTTTTTTTAAGCAATAGACAAAAAGAAACAATGAGACATGTTTGTGGAGACAAAACCGCATAGGTAGAGATGAAAAAGTCTTTGCGGATTAACAGAAACTGCACATTTCTCGTAGGACTCCAAAGAACAAACATAGGGTTTCGAGATCACTCACCTTTGTTTTTGATTTTTGATAAAAATATATTTTTTGGAACTTCTTTCTCTTTTTTCCCTTTTTATGTTACGTTAAGGCATAAAAATCTGAAAAGAAAATACTGAAATATCTTTAAGAGTAAAGGAAGAACTAAGAAGAAATCTTTTAGGAGAGATTTATGGATATTAGTTATAAATTGGTCCTTAGTCTAATGTAAAACCAAGAATAGAAAGAAGAGAAAGTCTTCTCTGCAGATTTATCGTGATTTAGCAACTTAACAAATGTCTCTTGAAAAAAAAAGGAAATGTAAGCAGAAAATTTATACTTAACATATGAGAGTTTTTGAATATCTAATTTGTAGCTCTTACCATAAAGACAACGTTCGGATGACATAAAAACATCAAAACGAATCCCCAAATTTTGTTGTTTGTAATCTAATAAGGGAATGTTGAATAGTTTAGGGATACGTGAAGGAAATTGATAAAAAATAACATAACTTTTTTTTGAAGAAAGACTATTTTATTCGCAATATTTGAATTATCTCCTACCATCAATATGCATATACCCCTTTCCTATTTAAAAACTTTGAACAGGACTAGCAGTTATGTAAACTTTTCTCCTTCTAATAATATGAAACTTCTTTGGTATTCCCTGTGAAACACGTAAGATGTAACAAGGGGAAAAATGATCTAATGATTTAAACTCGAATATATTTAATTATGTGTAATATTCTATTATGTGTTGTTGAGGTATAATTAGCATGTGGTGATCATATCGTTGATGCACAATTAAGAATATAAGATAAGAGAATCAAAAAGTAATATGGTTTTGAGGCAGAGAGGAAAATTACAATGAGAAAATTGGAAATTCTCCATACTGAAAACCATTTACATGTCTCAAGATCATTCACATTATCGTCGCTAATTAAGAAAAAGAAAAAAGAAAACAGAGAAATTCAAAGAGCATATATAAAACTCATTACCTGTGAAGTCCAAAGTGTTGTTCCTCTTCTTCTTCTTCATCATCATCATCCCCATCTTCTTCTTGGTACATAGACTTCATAAATGGCTCATCATCATGAGTCGTCTTAGCCCCACTTCCAACGGTTTCTTGATTGTTACCGGCTGCACCAGCGACCGCTCCAACAGCGACTGTTGCGGCTGCTGCTGCGGCTGCGGCTTGTCTGTTAACGGCAGAGTACTGTTGAATGACTAAAACCGAAGCATGCATCGTGAAGTTCGACGAAGCTAATGTGTCCCCTATCGTGCCTAGCTCAGGACTACTGCTCCAATCGTTTAAACCGACGGTCACCGGAGAATCTGAGTTATATCCTCTCCCGACAACGTAAAGATCATACGAGTTACTGTCTTCCATTTCTCTGATCGTAGAGATCGTGTCTTGACCATCATTGACCACTTTCTCAATGTACTTAACGGAAGAATCATTCATAGTCTTGAAGTTGAATTCGTAGATGCACTCATCGTCGACTTGTTTCTCCCTCTCGTACTCAGCCGCGACTTTCCCGGCTGTGACTAGAGCTTCACGTCCCGGGACGAATCTAACCACGGTGAGTTTAATCACGTGTTGTCCAACCATCCTCCAAGCGTATGATAACGCCTCACGATCGTCTGGACCGCCAACGAAGAGCATCGCAACTTCTCTCTTCACGGCTTCTCCTCCACGGAATGACTCAGATGATCGGACCATGGCCATGCCACGGTCCACTAAAATCCCGACCGAGCAAGGCGCGTGGCTCAAAACGTTTTGGTTAATGTCGGCGTGAGACGAGTTTCCTTCTCCCATCCGGCCGTCCGGTGTCAAGTGCTTGTGGTAAGGCAATATGATGAAACAAACTCGCTTGTCCTCGGCCAACGCGCAGATGTCTTCGTGCATGGTCGTGTAAGGAGAAACCGCGGTGATGGTCTGGACCGTCATGGCGTCGTTGTTGACTTCCATAGCTTCGAAGGTCTCAGCGATTTGGTCGGAGTCTGCTCTGACTCTGTCCGAGAAGTTAGCTTTAGGTTTGCATTCGTCGTTCATGATTAGCAGCGAGGCCGTGGTTCGACCGGTGAGCTCCACGAGGTGAATGGCGAATACGTTGAGAGGTGATTGTTTGGTTGGATTTGAGACTTGTAAGAGATTGGTTATCCCAGAGACATTGGGAAGAACATGGACGCAAGCTAAGACTCGAAACTCTGTTTCTCCTTTGATCTTTTGGACCGTACGGTTCTTGTAGTGGACCAGTATTTTCTTGGGCTTGTATGCAACTGCGAGAAGTGGCTCGACCACTAGTGACATCACTAGAAGCGCGATCGTCATATGAGTGTACATTGGACTATCCAACGCCTACAAATGGGAAAACAAAAACTACATTTTAAATAAAATGTAACAACATGTTTCACTCATTCATAATCTTATTAATTTTTATTTTTTTCCTATACCTAAAAAGTGGCAAATGGCCACAATTAACGTGTAACAAAAGAAAGTTGATGGTTGACTAATATTGTACCTTGGTATCACGACCGGCATTAAGGACGACAAGTGATAAAGTTCCTTTGGTATTCATAAGAGCTCCGATAGCGAGAGCGTCACGCGTAGGCATTTGCATGAATAAAGAGACGATCACAGTGGTGACGATCTTTACCAAGAAGGAGGAGCAAATGACTAAAACCATCATGAACTTGTCAGTGAACTTGAGCATGAAGCCAATATCAGCTCGTAACCCACAAATGATGTAGAAGAGCGGCATGAGGATTCCGGAGAGGAAGTCATGGAGCTTCTCTTCGATCATGTTACGTATGATGTGGTCGTGTGGGATGGAGAGACCGAACAAGAAGGCACCGGTTATGGAGTGGACCCCGCATGCGTCCGTGATCAGGCCGCATAGGACCACACCTCCTAAAATGAACCAGACGTGTGTGTCTCCCACGTGACCTGACTTCACGGTTTTGGCGAAGATCCAAGTGATTCCCGGACGGATCACATAGATGCAGAGGAGGACGAACACTACAGTGCTTAGTATCACCCACGGCATCATTTTGTTCCATGTCCCTTTTTATAACAAAAAAAAAAAGATGTTGTCACAATTTTTGCATTAATATATGCATACTTTTAGTTTCTATATTACTTATTTGAAACGTTACCTGCTTTGTTAAAAGAAGCGAAGCCAAAGACGAGGAGGATCCAAGTGCACAAATCAGTGACAATGGCTGCACACATTGCCGTACGTCCCATGTCAGACCGCAAGAGCTTGAGATCAGCAAGGATCCTAGCGAGGTCAGGGAAGTTGGTACAGGCTAGCGCTAAGGACCAGAAGACACAACCGGAGATGATCTTGTCCGGGTGGCCATTTCCGGGAAGATAGTAGAGGAAGACACCAACCGGTAAGGCAACGAGAAGTCCCGTCAAGGCGATGATGACCGGTTTGAGCTCTGTGATCCTTACCATCCTCAAGTCCATCCCTAGGCCTAGGAGGAAGATGTTGTAGACAAGAGCTAAGTTTGCAAATGTCTCAAGAACCATCGTGAATCTGTATGGGAATACATGTTCGATTATGAACTCTGTGTTCCCAAGCACACTTGGGCTAAACAACAACCCACACTGCAAAAATACAAAACACAAATTCAGATTATTTCATTGCTATAACACCAAAAAAAAGTTACGTAGCAAATTTTTCATTATACTCACGAGAATCTGAGCTACGAAAGGAGGAAGATAAAGGGGTCGGGTAATGTAGTAGATGACACGGTAGCTAAGGTTGGCGACGAAGAGTTGCGTAATGAAGAACGGAAGGGAAGATGCGAGGGTGCTTCCGCTCTCCCATCCCTTTTGTTCTCTCTTCTCAAAGAGAAGCGATTGATCGTAGCACACAATTTTGCCATAGCGTGATTCGTCAATCTCGTAGATAGGGTTTGTCGTATTACCAGGGACTCCAGAAGACATCTCCTCCTATGATGGCTGGTCGGAACCCCGGGGAAAACGACGGTACTATCTGGCTGAACCCAACGTTTTCGTTGGGTTCATATAAATGTGTTAACTGCAATAACAGCTAATTTGCAAACCTTTTTGACTTTTATTTCAAACGAAGGGGATTGGCTAATTATAGGTGGAGTATTAGTTGTTATTGGGGAGATAATTGACCACTCGTTTTAAAATGGATTGTTCTTTTAAATTGGACTAATCAGGTTTGTGTTTTTTTTTTCCTTGTTAGTGGCTGGATCAGAATGAGGACTTGATTCAACACATTTTAATTTGTCCGAGTTCTAATTGTGTAACAGTTCCATAATTTGGTCTTATTTGGTAACGCATCATCCTAATTTAGTTGAATGTATTATGTATGGGTACTAGAACCCACGACCAGAAAATCGTTAAAAAAATGAACTTGTTGTCTTGTAGACGCATGAGGAGGCATAGTAAAAATAGCGAAACGATATAATTAAAACAGAGAGAATATATGAACGTTATGAGATTTTTTTGTTTTGTTTTTAAGATATAACAAAATAAAATATTTATAAACTCTTTCTATTAAATAAATGAATGAATGAACTCTTTCCACGAATAATAGAGAAAATTTGTAGATATTAGCTAATTAAATTTAGTCATACTAATCATTTCAGGTTAAATAGATGTTCTTAGATGTACTAATTAGATTAGTCCGTTTAAAAAAAATATTAGTCAAATAGATGTTCTGTTCTGAACATTACTGTATTTGGTGTTGAGTGTTGACTATGAAAAAGTTAAAAGAAGATTCCTTTTGTGGACAATTAACGAGAAAATTATTATAATGCAAAGCAGACCTATCCAGATCTTCTTTTCCGGAAGCGAAGAAGTCCACAAGACTTTTTGGAGTAAAAGACAAACAGAAGAAGATTGTCACTTTTGCAATTTAAAATTCTCAAGTCAATTCTCCAGAAATTTTCTCTGAAGACTAATAGCGTTCGTCGTCTTTCGCCTCCATTGCTAAATTTAAAGGTAATCCCACTGCTACAGCTTCTCACTTCTTCCATTCACTTCACTTTATTTCAAGTTTTCGCCTTTTTTGCTATTCCAATTATCGAGCTTTGAATAAACAATCAGATTCGCTGAGGAATCCCATTTATCATCTATGGTTTGCTTCATAATGCTTTAAAGTCTTTAAATTTCAACACTTTGATCTTCAAGTTGCTGTAACTTTTCACTCACTTACTTGTCTTTGTTCTTGACATATCACAAATTTGTCTTTTTTTTGCAGTTTTTGTTGTTAAGATTGATCCCATTAGCATTACAAGATTGATCCTATACTGAATAGAAAGAATCATGCTTTCTCTTTCCAAGTTCCATATGATACTCTTCTTCATGTCACTTGTTTCGCCAAATCTCTCCAATGCCATACCTATCAACATTTGGCCAAAGCCGAGATTACTCTCATGGCCTCAACACAAAGCCATTGCCCTCTCTCCATATTTCACCATCCTTTCCCCTCAACACCAATACTTTTCAGCCTCTGTATCACGTTATCACAACCTCATCCGCTCAGAGAATCACTCCCCTCTCATCACCCATCCTGTCAAACTTACCAAAGGTTACACCTTGAGCAGCCTTGTGATCAATGTTACCGATCTTTCTCTTCCGCTTCACCACGGTGTTAACGAATCTTACACCCTCTCCATCCCCATTGGAAGCATCTCCGCACACTTGTCAGCTCATTCTGTTTGGGGAGCTATGCGTGGTCTTGAGACATTCTCTCAGATGGTTTGGGGAAGATCTCCTCATTTGTGTTTACCTGTTGGAATTCATATCCAAGACTCTCCTCTGTTTGGCCATAGAGGCGTTTTGCTGGATACATCGAGGAACTACTATGGAGTAGATGATATAATGAGGACGATCAAGGCCATGAGTGCAAACAAACTCAATGTGTTCCACTGGCACATCACTGATTCTCATTCCTTCCCGTTGGTGCTTCCTTCTGAGCCTTCACTCGCTGCAAAGGGAGCTTATGGACCAGACATGGTTTACACTCCAGAGGATGTCTCAAAGATTGTTCAGTTTGGTTTTGAGCATGGTGTTAGAGTTCTTCCTGAAATAGACACTCCTGGTTAGTGAATCAATGCTTGATTGTTCCTCTTTGCACAAGAAACTTAGCTTTGGTTACTAATGGATTATGTTCAAAATCCTTCACAGGCCATACAGGATCATGGGGAGAAGCTTATCCGGATATTGTGACATGTGGCAACATGTTCTGGTTGCCTGCTGGTAAAAGTTGGAGCGAGCGGTTAGCTAGTGAACCAGGAACCGGTCAGCTTAACCCGTTGACTCCAAAGACATATGAAGTTGTGAGAAACGTCATAAGAGATGTTGTCAAGCAGTTCCCTGAACCTTTCTTCCATGGAGGTGCAGATGAAGTCGTCCCTGGCTGCTGGAAAACCGATCCTGCAATCAGTTCCTTCTTGTCCTCTGGTGGAACACTAAGTCAGCTTCTTGAAAAGTACATAAACTCGACGTTACCTTACATCGTGTCACAGAACAGGACAGTTGTTTACTGGGAAGATGTTCTGCTGGATGCACAAATCAAGGCGGATCCGTCGGTTCTTCCTAAAGAGCACACAATCTTGCAGACTTGGAACAACGGTCCTGAGAACACAAAGAGAATAGTAGCTGCTGGTTACAGAGTGATTGTGTCTTCATCAGAGTTCTACTACTTAGACTGTGGTCACGGCGGGTTTCTAGGGAACGATAGTCAATATGATCAGCAAGGAAGAGGAGGTGGTGGGTCTTGGTGTGCACCGTTTAAGACGTGGCAGAGCATATACAACTATGATATAACTGATGGTTTGGTCGATGAGGAAGAGAGGAAGCTGGTGCTAGGAGGGGAAGTTGCGTTGTGGTCAGAGCAAGCTGACTCTACGGTTTTAGACTCACGGCTTTGGCCACGTGCCTCTGCGCTTGCAGAGAGCTTGTGGTCAGGGAATAGAGACGAGAGAGGTGTTAAGAGATATGGTGAAGCTGTGGACCGGTTAAACCTGTGGAGGTACAGGATGGTGAAGAGAGGGATTGGAGCTGAACCTATCCAGCCATTGTGGTGTCTGAGGAATCCAGGCATGTGTAATGCAGCTCAAGATGCTTTAGAAGATCAATAGATAAAATAAATTTACTTAGAGAAGTTATGACACATTCATGGAGAAAATTATATCTAGAGAGACTTTTTGAGTTTGCTCTTACACAAAGAGTGACTTCGTGATTGTGGTGGACTTTGGACACATGAATTGACATAGCTATCCTCCTTCTATTTCTTTTACCTTCATATTTTACCATTTTCACTTTTCATCTTCTTCTCCACTTTCACGACATTTGCGTATCGCCGACTTAGCAAACTCTAACTCCGCCGTCGTCACCGATTCACTCTCTCAGATTTGGCCGATTCGAAGTCGTAAGTTTCTCCATCTACTGACTTCACTCTTTTCCTCTCTCATACAATTTGTGTCGTTTTCTTTTTCCCTCAATCTGACCCTTAACTCTTCTCCCTCTCACATATCATCCACCGAAAATCTGAGTCAAAAATTATATTCTCCGACTTCCTCTCGCGATATGGAAAGTACCAAATTCGAATTCCCATGTAAATCTTATAACTTTTTTGGTTCATGCTCACGACCTGATTAAAGTATGTATATCCAATTGGTTAGACAATACAGTCGTGAATCAGTTCATATTTATCCAATTCTTCTATGTTAAATGTTCACCACTAACTCATCTTGCATAGTTGCATTACTTATTTTCTGGGTTGATTTAATTCAAAATCCAGCAAACAATATACATTGATTTCTTTATATCATGGATAGATCCATGTGTCTCCAAATCAGCAAACAACCCTCATCTTCTCTTCGTGGATAGTTTCTGGTGGACACTTAGACATGGATAATTTCTAGTGGATATTTTAATTTGGATGCTTTGAGACCATGGACAAGTTTATGTGGATGAATTGCTTTAATGTTCTTTAATGTTGCTTCGACTCATGTGAGCTTTTGATATTCGGTTTATAAGTCTTTGCCCATGTTTTCTACTCCATGATACTTTTAAAACGATTTCTTGTTTCACTGTGATTATTGATTCATCTATTTATTCTCAACTAATTTTTTTTCTTATGATTTTCAGGGCTTATCAAAAGAAGAAAGGACAATATATAAGAAATTAAGTCATGGAGTAAGAGTTGAAATCATGTTTATATATTTAGGCAGATTGATTACCAAAGTGAGACTCAGTTCTTACGTAGTGTCGAACCAGAGAATCTTAGAACTACATTGAATTCACATTCGTACAAAAAACATTTCATCCAAGAAGAGCTACACTTTTCTCGTTACATGTTCTCGTTGAAATTGAGTTCATGGACATGTTTAGTTTGGATGATTTGAGTTCATCATAGAACTGTCCAATGTCGAGATCGTGAATAATAAATTAATTGTACATAAAAAAGCGTCCATTGTTCAATTGTCCAAAAAGCTAAGTCGATCTCCTTGAGGTAGAAGCAGCTGGCCCCCATCAGTAAAGCCTCCTTCAAAATTCTGGGTTTATGAGTAGCATTTTAATCTCTGCAATCGTTGCTGTTGTTTTATTTATTCTCGCTCCTCTGTTTTTGAGCTTTTGTGGTTTTTTCTTTGTTGGGTGCCTTTTGGTATCAGACTACGAACTTGTCTTTGTTCTTTGCTCAATCAATGAAAGTGTTAAGAAAAAAGCTATAGATATTGTAAACGCAAGTCTTCCAATCGAACAACAAGAGGTCCGCCAAAAAAATGTATGGATTTTTTCCGGCAATCTGCCATCGCCGGAATTATATTAAACGCACAAAAGTGATTTACTTTATCAATTTCCAGTATTTTCACCTTCTTCCTCATTAAGGGTAAAACAGAAGTTTCCACTCACTACCAGCCAAAGAAAAGTCCACCTCTGTCAAAATGTCTTGTGTAAAGAGAAGTCTAAAAGTCACCCAAATGTAATTCACTCCACATTCATGGTTTGTAATGTCACATTGTGAAGCTTAAGGGTTTTTGTATGAATAGTCAAAAGTAATGGGGTTAAAGTGAAAACCTTCATTAATTTATCGCCCAAAAAAAAAATGTCATTACTTTGTCTCTTCCAAATTCAAGTCTCTGCATCTCCGTTGTTCTCAGGGTTCTCACTGAGACTGAACTTCAACGAAATCCCTGAAATCGCGATACAGAAATCTCGAGGTACACTTTCACTCTATTTGCCGATTCCTAAAATCTCAAGTTTTGACCTTTATAGTATCTGTTCATTGATCCTTCCATGGTCGCTCTTTCTATGGCAAATTCATTGGGTAGAAGAAGACCGTTTGTAATTCGAATTGGTTGGTCCTGGAATTTGTTGTCTAGGGTTTTCAGAAATTTCCTAATTTTGTTCTTCAACTGTTCAGTTGTCTTGAGTCATTTTGCCAAAAAAAATGCCATTTTTAATCTGAAAAGATGATTTGCAGGAAATCTGATTCCTGAAGAGATTTCTGATTGGAGGAATTTATCATGAGTGTTGTGAGATGGCCAAGAGTTTTAACGCCAACTCTTCTTTCTCAAATCCTGAAGAAGCAAAAGAACCCAGTCACAGCACTGAAACTCTTCGACGAGGCAAAAGAGAGGTTTCCAAGTTACGGTCACAACGGCTCCGTGTATGCCACCATGATTGACATACTTGGTAAATCCAATCGTGTGTTGGAAATGAAATATGTCATTGAGAGAATGAAGGAAGATTCTTGCGAATGTAAAGATACGGTTTTTGCGTCAGCCATCCGTACATTCTCTAAAGCTGGAAAGCTAGACGATGCCATCTCACTCTTCAAGAGCCTTCATGAGTTTAACTGTGTGAATTGGACTCTATCGTTTGATACTCTTTTACAGGAGATGGTTAAAGAATCAGAGCTTGAAGCTGCTTGTCATATATTCCGAAAGTATTGTTATGGATGGGAAGTGAGTTCTCGGATAACGGCTCTGAATCTGCTGATGAAGGTTCTTTGCCAAGTGAAACGCTCTGACTTGGCTTCCCATGTCTTTCAAGAGATGAATTACCAGGGCTGTTATCCTGACAGAGACAGCTACAGGATTCTGATGAAAGGGTTTTGTGTAGAGGGGAAGCTTCATGAAGCTACGCATTTGTTGTATTCCATGTTCTGGAGGATCTCTCAGAAAGGTTCTGGTGAGGACATTGTGGTTTACAGAATTCTGTTGGATGCGTTGTGTGATGCTGGGGAGGTTGATGAAGCTGTTGAAGTTCTTGGTAAGATCTTGAGGAAAGGACTGAAAGCTCCGAGACGATGTTACCATCATGTTGAAGCTGGTCATTGGGAAGGTACTAGTGAAGGTAGAGAAAGGGTGAAACGTTTGTTAACTGAGACTTTGATCCGAGGTGCGATTCCGAGTTTGGATAGCTATAGCGCCATGGCTATTGATCTTTTTGAGGAAGGTAAACTTGTTGAAGGTGAAGAAGTGCTTCTTGCAATGAGGAAAAAACGCTTTGAGCCAACACCATTGATCTACGGTGCAAAAGTTAGGGCACTGTGTAAAGCTGGGAAGCTGGAAGAAGCGGTTTCTGTTATCAATAAGGAGATGAGAGAAGGTCGTTGCCTTCCAACAGTTGGAGTGTATAACATTCTTATGAAAGGTTTATGCGATGAAGGTAGATCAATCGAGGCTGTTGGATATCTCAAGAAGATGTCTAAGCAAGTCTCTTGTGTAGCTAACGAAGAAACATATCAAACTCTAGTGGATGGTTTGTGTGGCGATGGTGAGTTTCTTGAAGCGAGTCAGGTCATGGAGGAGATGCTGATAAAATCGTTCCTTCCTGGTATTGAAACTTACAGTGTGGTGATAAAAGGTCTTTGTGGTATGAACCGGCGATACGAGGCTGTGATGTGGTTGGAAGAAATGGTTAGTCAGGATATGGTGCCGGATTCTTCTGTGTGGAATGCTTTGGCTGAGTCTGTATGCATTGGTGCTGATGATGTTGTTGAGATACTTGAGCATCTAATCAGTAGCAAACGTGAATCATATAACTAACTCCTGCTTGAGCTGTTAACTTTTTAGTAAGTTTGATGATTTGATGATGAACAGTTTTGAGTTTATCATTTTATAAAGAATGAATTTTGAAAAGCAGAAGAAAATAATCAGATGAATGAATTAAAGGCCCAAATTTGACTCTATATTTATAGTGAAATCAGAAAGCATTTAAAGCAAATTCAAGTATAGAATCGTTCATGTTTAAAGAAAATCTAGTGAAAATTAAAGCTTCATGTTTTCAGGTTTTCTACAGCTATTTTTTGGCATGAATATGTTTCTTGCTTTTTTAGCTCAACTATTATTCATCACATCACTACCCTAATAATATAGTCAACTATAACTCATGCAGATTTTAGTTACTCAGTAGAAGGACCCAAGCCTAACACCATATCAGACCATTCATAGGCCGTTCCCACAGCCACATAATTCTTCAAGTCGGCACTTGTGGACGAAGTAATGTGTGCTAAAATTATGTTGAAACCTCTAGGACCCAATTTGCTGAGCAGATCCAAGTAGTCTGCATCGGAAGAAATAAGAACCACATTGGCAGGTGCCAAACACCTGCTCCATTACTGCACATATTATTTGTCTGTCTGCTCTGTCTTTGGATTCCACTAGATCAAGGCTAACACTAGGTGGGACATCTTCTAGTTTGATATGAGATGATGGAAGAGAAAATTGCAATGATTTTGACAATGATGATTTATCGCCAAAACCTGTAAAAGAAGTGATGTTACCCCAATAACCTCTGATTTTCAAAGCTAGGGAAACATTATTGAAGTTGCAAGATCTTGAGTTCCCGAAACATTAGTAAGTTTGATGATGCCATGTGAGTGTTAGCAACAATTTTGAGGTTTTCATTTTATATAGAGTTTATTTTACAATGAAAAATAATGAATTTTGCAAATGAGGAGAAAATGATCAGATGATGGAGTCGTTTGGGATCACTGCGTTTCGAAGTATGACAATGATTCCCTCTCTTATACAGTATCCTTCAGCTTCTCTGTTTCCTTCTTCAACATTGTCTCTGTTGATAATCTGTTCGTAATTATTTTTAACGATTTTAAAACTTTGGAAACTGATTTGTAGTTTTCTATTCATTTATTTTGCTAAGTTCAAATCATATCCAAAAGGAGAGGTTAAATTTGAATACCATAACGTTTTTACCAATCCTGGCATTCTTATCGACAATGGCCCTTCTTATTCGACTCTTTTCACCGATTCCTATTCGAATCTCTATCTTCTTCTCCTTCCCTTTTCTTCTCATCACATCTTCTTCCATCTAAAAACACAGCTTCTAGTGTAAGTCAGTGTGTTTGAGTGATTTCCGATCCAAGAAATCAGGTTTACCTCATAGATATCAGAACCAACGATGATCGAATCTTCTACAATCACTTCATCTGAGATTCTCGTTCTCATTCCCACCACCGATCCTCTGATGACACATCTCTGTTCAAAACAATCAAAAAGAAGACGAAACTCTTATATGAATGAGCTTTTGAACAACATTGGCTTCTAGCTAGGGTTTAAAGTATTTGAAAGATAGTTTACATCGAGAATGCAACCGTCTCCGATAATGCTGTTGGTTATTAAAGCTTCACTCATTGAGCTTGGAGGCAAACACCGAGGCATTGTGTACAGAGGACATTGTCTGTCGTAGAATCTGCAACTACACAAAACAAAAGTTGACTTGAGTCACAAGTCATATCAGTGTGTATCAATTAGGTCTTACAAGGGTTATACATTACTTGAACCCCCCAATCTACACCTCTTAATACTCTCCATGTTAGCTCTATAGTAAGCTCCAACGCTCTTCACATCTTCCCAATATCCATCAAACATATGAGCTTTCACCTGAAAAAAATACAGAGTTTTCAGTCAAATCTTGCCCTATGGATTGCTTCTTGTCTCTGTCACATAATCTTTACCTTCATTCCTTGAGAGATCGCACCGGGAATGATTTCACTGGCCATGTCTTTAGCTTTTACCAAACATTCTCTCAGAAGCTTCACCATCTGTTCTCGACCGATCACGTAAATCCCTGTGCTTGGGACATAGCAAGAAGAAGTTCCATCATTTCCTCTGCTTTTTCCACTCTCCACCTGCACTACAACATTAGTCGCCAGATGATTCTGAATCATACAGAACATTTTAGAGATATCTAACTCACGGAGATCAAATCTTGTTGTCCCTTTTCAGGACTGATAGTGAATCGAGTGACGAGATTTGTGGAATCAACTTCCATTAGACCGAAACCAGAGTCATGGTATGTAGCAGAGCTTAGTCCAACAATGGTTATATCCGCTCTGCTTCTTCTATGATCTTCGATTATCGTCTTGTAATCCATTCTGTAGAGATGATGTCCAGGAAGAACCAAGAACTCAGTCACTGGAAACTCTTCAAACACCCACAAACACCTTCTTATCGCATCAGCAGATCCCTTTTTTGTAACAAACAGAGAAGACAAAGGATTGCTTTAGGAACACGCACCATATTTAAAAACAGAGGAACAAGAGACTTGGTTTTACTACTAAACCTGAAACCATCCTTGATCTTCCAAGCTCTGATAAGCGGCGATGACTTCAACGAATCTGTCTTTTCCGAGTCCGAATCCACTGTAAGCTCTAGAGAGATGTGAATTGAGAGAAGTGGAATTAAACTGAGTGATTGCGTAGATCTTGGTGATGTCACTGTTGATGCAATTGCTGATGACTGCATCGATAAGTCTGTAGTTAGCTGCAATGGGAATTGCTCCTTTGGATCTTGTTTTGGTCAGTGGATAAAGCTCAGAGTCTGATCCTCCTCCAAACACTATCGCCGCAACACTTTGGTTCAAAGGAAGCTGTTGAGAGTTTGAAACAGAGAGGTTTGGACATGAGCTTGGAACAAAAAGCTGCTTTAGGTTATAGTTATGTCTCCATGGATGAGGATGACTACTCGATCTTATCACATGGAGATTGGTCAATTTTGTAGAAGAAGGAGAAGAATAAATCTGCATTCTCGATTATGAACGGAGATGATTCAAGAAACGAAAAGAAAGGTATGAGATTTGAGAATATAAGGTGTTGGTTTTTGATTTGGAGATTGAAACGTGTGATGATGAAAACCGTCCGACATTTTCTGTTGCAGACATATTTTTTTAGCTTTGCCTTTGCTTGTGAAACTATGTCATCTTAAAACCTCTTTAACTTGTCCTATCCCTTTAGATTTGATTCCTAGCTTCTTCTTTTTTCGTTAAATAAAGAGGACTATTATAGTACAATATAAGAAGGACATGAAAAAGGAGATCTATGAGAAGCTTGGAAAAGAAACATCAGAGGTTTTGAGATGCAGTGCATATGTTATATACCACATGAATCATGGGGAAACAAATTGACAAAAGAAATAAAACAATTCAGCAAAACACTAAACAGTTTTACCAACCAGATTTAAGGGTAGTATGGTAATAATCTCAATGGATGGCGTGGATCCGAAGGTAAGCATGCTATCTATGCCCTTGACAAATCTTTCGTATCTTTTTGTTTGGGGTCAGATTAGGCATTAATTTTCGGGGCTTTCAAGCTCAAAGCCTCAAATAGATACCCTCTTTAAGTTAACGAGCAGATCAAATAATGTTTAGGAAAATAGCTTTCTAATTTTTCTTTTGACAAAATTTCACTTGACTTGCCCAAAATTTGGCGAGGAGCTAAATTATGTAGTATAACATCAGTTTCAAAGTTTATACCTGAAAACCTAAGATATGAACCTTAAAAGTTAAAACATGGCAAAAGTCGTAAACAAGGGATCTATATTGACTAAACTTAAAAAAGGTTGCAAAATCATATTGAACCGATGTTTGCGAATTATCGATATTAACTTTGCTAAAAGACCAAAGCAGTTGTAACTACAAAAAAATCACTAAATTAGATATTTAGACCTTGAGTCTTGACTAAAAGTATCACCTTATTTTCTCGGCTTTTGAGTCTTTAGTCTTGGCAATAATCTCCGACTCCACGACGACAGAAGGGGAAGACGAAGAAGCAGTAGTAGTCGAGCTTTTTATGAAATAGAGCAGATATTTTCCACTCCTCAGCCTTCTTTTTACATAATTGAATGTTCTTGTACTCTTGTGGCTTTGGCTTTGAGCTATTCAAACTCATTAATAGCTTTGCACCCTCCACAATGTCTTCATGTATCTCTTCTTTGGTCATCATTGTTTCCATATCTCTGTTTTTTTCTTTGATAGAAAGGCAACAGTATTATTTATATAAGAGGTAGATTCATGGTCATCTCCTCTCTTCACCTAGTTCTATCAGGATTTGAGCGTTTGAGTTTTCTTAAACTACGACTGATTGGGATTTCGATGTCACTTCATATTTGCCTGCCTTATTTATGTTTCCTAAACGAAATAGAGATAGGGAATTTACAGATTGTTTTTTTTTTCCTCTTATTTATATGAGTATTTTTCAGTTGTAATATTTTTGTTTACGAAAATAAAGTCAAATCAGCCACAACATAAAACACTTGTCACGGCCAACTTGTTTGCTTCACCAATCACCACCGGCGTTTTACGTACGTCAACGTCTCTTACGTCGCTATGACTGCTGCTCCGCCAGAGCTCTCCTCGGTGAGTTCTCTTTCCCAATTTCGATCTATAATTACCGATAGACGGAAGCTTGCTTATTTTTTCTTTGTGTGGAGAAATTGTTGGGTCTAGATTTGCGGAAAAACGGAGTTGAACGTTTGTATTTTGTGTTGAGTAAGGGTTTCATTGTTTTGAGTAGATGTATACAATTATTTCATAAGCAACACACACATAAAATAAAAGAGTGCGGATGAAGCAGGCTAAAGATTATTAGGGCTCAAAAGTAGGCGTAGGGGAGAGTGGATTTGCTTTCAATCTAACAATTAGACTAGAACTAATGGATATATCTATGTTGTATGTACAGTTAATGGAAGATACACTCAGGAAAAGACAAGGCTTCTGGTATCGCATACTTGAATTCATCCTCAAGTGAGTGTCTCATCTCCTGAACTCATCATTAATTGTAGAAGCAAGCTTTGGTAATTTGAATACATCATACTGAATTATTACTCTTAATATTTTTGTGTGTAATTGACAGGATGACCTCGGGAGTTGTCTACTCGATAGTGATGCATTGTCTGCTAATGACTGCATTCGTGTTGCTCTTGTTCCAGATTTTCTATACAAACGAGTTTGATAATCTCGACCAGGTTATGAAGAATCTTAATCTCTTCAACAATTACCTTGTTTGGACCGTAGGGGAAGTTGTAGTGAGACGGTTATCTGACGATCCGCTGTTTCTCACTAAATCGGGACATTTCGCGCATATGGTCGGATCATTCTTTCTCATCGGCTACCTGGAGTTTCCATTAAATCCTATCGAGACTCTTCTCTTTGCTTTAGTTGGAACATCACTTGTGTGTTGGACCATGTTCGTTTTTTTTGCCTCTTTATTCCTGCTTTTATTGTTTTCCAAAGAGATGGCTCCTTCTTTAATCGAGCCACTGGTTTAAGGTTTTGTATCTACTTAAAGTGTAATCCCATTTCAGGATTCTTTTGTCTCTTCTTTTTCTTTATTTAACATATAAAATTGACCGAGAGACATACATCTTTGTATGTATAGTTTGCGGTGACTTGAAGCTTAAATGTTAAACCCATTGTTAGAAAACTGCAACTGGTGTGGATGGCATCAAATTGTGTTGGTTACGTACACTGGATTATTCAGACGGTTGACTCTAAACATGATCACCTATGTCGACGCCTTAAGAGAAACAAAATATTTTACTAAAACCTCAAAGTGGTTGTAAAAGGAGATTTAGGCCATACAATGATCACTAAACACACAGAGTCTTTAAGCGAAACACATAATTAATCATAACTTATTTCCTTCTTATACTAATCAAGATAAGTTCTATGTCGTCTTCTCTTCTTTCCCTTCATCACGAAATCTGTTCTTTGTCTTGCTTCTCTTATCAAGGGTTTTCAACATCTCTCGCAACAACCCTTTCACGTGGGAATTGGTACCAAAGGAGTAGCACAATTACTATAAGGCATACAACGGATCCAGCAACACAAAAAATCCAGTTGATGTACCATATCACTGTAAATAGAGTAACAAATCCAGCAATAATACTCAAGATATCTATCTTTAGGACCCAAGTTACGGGGAAAGCAGCCGAAGAGGAAGAATAGATCAAAGCATACAGTAATCCCGCAACTAGAAATGGGATGACGAGTTGCATCTCAAGGTTACGAAGCAGGCTCACAATTATTCGAATGTAATCAATCTTACCAGCCTTATCCGCACTTTTCACCACTTTTCTGATAACAGAGCCCACCGGAGCAAAAATCAAAGCAAATCCAATTAACAAGGCAATTACTTCGTGAAACCTTTTCACTAGCTTAGTCCATCGCTTCATCTCGCTGTTAAAAAACAAACAAACAACAAAATGAATCGGTGAATCAAATGGTGGAAAACCAAATCAATGGGAAAAAAAGAAAAAAAAAAAGATAACATAAAATGCTCTTACTCTGCGTTGCGAGTAGGTCTATTCTCCGGCGGCTGAATGTGTTCTTCAGAGGTTCCAGTCCGACGACGATGCCCCAGGATGACTGCACTCTCCGAAAGTGTTCTCCGGAGGTTCCCCTCGGACAACGCCGGAAGCCGAGTCTGGTCTCCGTCCATGTTTTCTCCGGAGGTTACCGTACGACCATGCCGGAGATTGAGTGCGACCTCCGGTTGTACGGCCATGCCCGAGATATTCGCATCTGAAAACGCCGGAAGCCGAGTCTCGTCTCGGTTGACTGCGTCCTCCGCTGGTGCTATAGAGAGGTTCCCATCTGAAGCCGTCGTAAGCTCAATCTCGTCCTCGTTTGTGTTATGCGGAAGCTGATGGACTTCTCCGGTTCCCGTCCAAGGATGCCCGAGGCTGAGTGATTGTGTTCTCCGGAGGTCCCTTCAGAAAACGCCGGAAGCAGAGACTTCTCCGATTGTATTCTCCGGAGCGTCGCCATATTGGTTTTCTCTCTAGTCAAAAGCTTTTAGTACGAAATTTTAGTATTTTTAATCATCCTGTACGATCATAATAAATAATCATGCTGCGGACGCTTTTGCGTGGAGGGTGGAGTTGCAAATCTTTGTCGTTTACAAGCGAAATTTTGTTCTCTTTCCACAAATCTCCATGGCAAAAGGAAAACTGTATTTTCTGTTAGTGACTGTACTAGAAGACAAAGAGGACAAAGCACACAAAAAAAGCAAAAGGACACGCGTCCATTTGTCACAGATTTGCATTTCTTTTTTATTTATTTTTTGTTTAAAATCGATTTGTAAAATTTTGTTTTGTTGACAAAAAAAAATAACAAACCCAAAAAAGGGGTGAATTAGCTCGATATCAACATTGGATATCGTAATTAAAGATGTAGCCATATGGTAATGACCATTCTGCCCTCTGTTTTCGTTGGCGGGAATGAAGCTAAGCGTCGCCAACATGAGTGTTGCTGCTGCCTCCGGAGCTGCCGGGTTTTGAAAGATTGAGCACGGCAAGTCATGGGACCGGAAATCATGGGCTATTGACATGTTCATGGATCCATCGCCATCGTCATGGTGGTGCTCTTTTTCGATTATTGCTATATTCTCGTGAAAACAATGGAGGAGAATCCAAATTTCTTTTATTATCAGTTACTTTACTTTTTTTCAAGCAGTTTCGCATATTCAATTGGCTCATACGAATATTTTGGCTTCCAAGTCCCATCTATCTCTCTTATTTTAAAGGTAAATCCGACAATAATACATATTACCTCTCATGTATTAAATTTATACCCTATCATTTCCTATGGTTACTTTGTTAATATCCCCCTTTTTTTTTATTGCTAATGACGCCAATTTCTCATATGAATGGCATCCTTTTTATTAACACATACAACAAATGAGATGACGTAAAATTGGGGAAAAAGCATTATTAAAGTATTGATGAGAAATTAGCAGCAAGCCCAAAAAAAATCTATAATATACCAAATAAACAACATTTATGTTATGTAAACATGATACATTAGGTTTTCACCAAAAAAAAACATGATACATTAGGTTGCTAAGTTTGGTCAACTATAGTTACATGATCTTTAGCCAAAAATATAAATCTAAATACAGTAGTTACAGGATACGTACTGAAATGGCCTAAATTAGATTAAAAATATATAATTGGAAATATCAATAAAATGAACATTCTTAAATCACTGCAGTTATATATCATTTTCGATCACATATATGTTAGTATGTTACAATGTAACCTTTTTAGTTTTCTCGTAACACCAGTTACCTTATTATGAATTGTTTTCATTTTATTCTGAACACATTACCATTTTACCATCTAATTAGAGTATTTGACCTTATAATTACCATCTACAGGCTATACATGCACAAAGTACAATGCTTGTATAAATTAATAAACTTTATAATGTTTGAGCCTTTGAGGTATGGTGGGCCTTATTGGTCCAACATTCGTCTTCGTAAAATTCTTATCAACACACGATTCACACTTAACCCTCTTCAGGAAACGTAACTAGGAAAAGGAACTTATGAGTGAACGACTCATGTAACTCCAAATCAAAGTAACGAACTTATTTATTGCGTATGTTAATTCTATCATAATTTGTAATCAAACTTATGTCTCCTACTTTCATAGGAACTAGGATTTGTTATTAAACTTCTGTCTTTGTAATTTGTCAAAAAAAAACTATATTTATTAGGATTTTGTTATCAAACTTCCATTCTTTTGTCTTTTCCTTTTTTCATGGGGTTAGAGAAGCGATTTTGTGAGTTATTATCCACGTTTTCATGGATAAACAAATTATAGTGTTTGCAAAAACAGAGCCGGTATTGTTTAAGTCCGGTTAGATACTACTTTGTCTAAACCGAAATGTCATAAAACGGTAAAAATTAGACTGAACCGGTATTTTAATACGAACAACCCGATCTTTTGACATCTTTCATCTCTAATTTGGATCTTGTATGCTGCCGGAGAGAGGACTGAGAAGATGAAAGATGTCGAAGAGATCATGTGAGAAGGATAATGTGAAAAAATTATCAAACTGGAAAATTCTGGAAAGAGATCATTAAAAACGTGACGGAATACAATTCCATCTTCTAAAAATATAGTATAAGAAAAGTGAAAACATCCAAAAAGGCAACAGCAAAGCCACGATTGCAGACTGGAAAAAGAGACCTTTTTATGAACTCTTTACTGCGCAGAACAGAAGATAAACATTCCAAAAGACTCTCTTTTTGTGCCTGTAATAATTAAGATTAAGGAAGAAAGAAATTAGCTTTTTTGGCATTCGGGCCCCTCAAAGTCACCGCCTTTTCCGTGTTCGTGATGGGAGAGCGCAAGAAGATTATCATCGATACTGATCCTGGAATCGGTATTACTATCCTCTCTTTGATTCTCTTGTTTGATTCGATTCCGATCACTCTGTTCAGTTTCATCCAGAAGCCTCTGCTCTTTGAATCTTCTCAGATCTACTAATCCTAGACTTAGAACTTCTTGATTTACTGATTCGAAAATCCAGATTTACGTCTTTCTAGGAAATTAAAAATCTTAGATCGATCCAAGAAAATGTTTTTCTCTATAGCTTTTGACTTTGACTTCACTCAAGGATTTTGATGATATGTAGATGATGCAATGGCGATATTTGTGGCGTTAAACTCACCAGAAGTTGATGTGATTGGCCTCACTACTATCTATGGAAACGTCTACACTACTCTCGCCACTCGCAACGCCTTGCATTTGGTATCATTTCTGCACTCTGTTCATGTGGATCCCATAATGAAGTTGGCTACAACTCATAGATGATCTAATCAATATTTCTTTTATGCATCTACTGCTACCAGTTGGAGATTGCTGGTAGGACAGACATTCCTGTAGCTGAAGGAACACATAAAACTATCCTTGTACGTTTCTACTTTAAGGCCTTTCTTGTTATGTTTTTTGTGAGAAAGATGGATGCTTATAATTTTGATAAATTGTTTACCTTTTTTTTTGTGTGTAAAGAATGGTACAAAACTTCGAATTGCTGACTTTGTTCATGGAGAAGATGGGCTTGGCAACCAAAATTTCCCTCCGCCTAAGGGAAAGCCAATTGAGAAATCTGGACCTGAGTTCTTGGTTGAACAAGCAAAGCTTTTCCCTGGCGAAATCACTGTTGTTGCTTTGGGACCATTAACAAATATCGCACTGGTCAGACTTTCTCATGCCCCAGTTTCTTCTTTCTTTCCGGTCTTACTTATATCTCACTGAAGATTTTTTATCTTGATGCAGGCTGTTCAGCTTGATCCTGAGTTTTCGAAAAATGTGGGACAAATTGTACTTCTTGGTGGAGCGTTTGCAGTAAACGGAAATGTAAATCCAGCTTCGGAAGCTAATGTAAGTTATTTCAGCCGTTAAAAGTAATATGATCTTCATACACATTAGATTATACATCACTTTCTATCAACTGTGAGTATAATAAATCTTCTTATGTAGTGTTGACTTCTCTTCTTTTGTCTAATTTTCTGGCTAGGGTAGATTTTTGGCGATCCAGAAGCTGCAGATATTGTGTTTACATGTGGGGCCGATATAATTGCTGTGGGAATCAACGTGACTCATCAAGTTATCATGACAGGTTGTTTGGACAATCGTTTGCCTGCTTTGATGTTGTCTATACACATGCATATGTTCTTCTTAATCATCATCTTAACTTGTTGTCTTTTTTGTATGTTTATGCGTGATTTAGCTGATGATAGGGACAAACTGGCATTGTCAAAGGGAAAATTAGCTCAATACCTCTGTAAAATCCTTGGTGTGTACTATTCTTATCATCTTGATGCTTATGAGATCAAAGGTATGATTTGATAAATCATTTGTTCTCTAGACCCAAATATACAATATAGTTTCTGCTTATAAATGTTTTATCTTAATGGTTTTTTCTTCCCCTGGTAGGTGTTTATCTTCATGATCCTACAACGATCCTTGCGGCTTTCCTTCCTTCTCTGTTCACTTACACTGAAGGAGTTGTTAGAGTCCAGACAAACGGCATCACTAAAGGACTTACTTTACTGTACAACAATCGTAAGAGGTAAGATTCATTAGGAAGCTAACCAAATCATATGAAGAAGATGGAACAAAAACCTTTGGACTTGTGGGCTCAAACAAAACCGTGTCATATGTGTTGTTTTGATGTGAACCAGGTTTGAGGAAGTGACCGAGTGGTCAGACAAACCATCGGTCAAAGTGGCTGTGACGGTTGATGCTCCTGCGGTCTTGAAGCTCATAATGGATAGGCTTATGGAGTCTTGAACCATGTGGATTCGTTTTTTGTTTGTTAAAAGGTCTACCATGTGGAATCGTTGATTCAGTTTATCTCTCTCTCTATTTGATGTTTCACTTATTCTGAGCCATTTCTTTTGTTTCTAACACAAAACCTATAGAAAATAAGGCTCTTCTTTTATATCAAAATCAATTTGTGTGTATCTTTGTTCTCTATCAACCGAATAATGTTAATCTTGAAAATTAATTGAAAATAAATGTTATAATTTGTATATTGATCTCTACCATATAAAAATGCCATGCAGTCATGTACTGCACGTTCTCCATGTACTAATTGAAAAAAGTCAAATCAAATGAGAGAAATCGGAAAATGTAGGGGTTAAAAGTAAATTCTCAGAATATAACAAAAGAACGTGACAGGGACATGGAGCATAATAAATTGATATTATTATACTTCTTCTTCTCTCTCTCTCTTTGACTGCGTCTTCCTTGGAGAATCACAAAAACATTCCTCTAATTTTTTTCCTCAGAAACACAGAAGAAAGAAGGAGAGCAGAGAGAGAGACTATCATGAAAACAAAAACAAATACATTTCCCTCCGTACATCTGTCGTCGTCATGCTTCTCTCTCTCTCCATCTCCCGCAACGACGTGCTCTCCTCTCATTCTCTCTCTCCTGACTTCTCTCACTCTCTTTTTCTCTTCTCCATTCCTCTCCATTCCCAGTTTTCTCCAATTCCCGACTCCCTCTGATCCTCTTTCTTCTCCATGGATTCCCCAATCATCGAAGAAGAAGACGAGGAGGCGTTGGCCTCGCTCGTCCCTGTTGCTCCCCGGCGTAAGAAGCATTCCTACAGCGTGCAATTCGACGAAAAGCCTCACCACCAGATCCGCAAACACAGCCTCGACGAGGTCCCCAGATCCACGACGCTAGGAAACGAAGCCGTTTACTTCGATTCCTCCGACGACGAATTCTCCACCGGAGGAGTCATCGTCAGCAGCGACAGCGTCTGTGATGGAAGCGGCGGTGACGATTACGCCGTCGTTACGCCTCCCCTTAATGTCGGTGTCGGCGACGACGAATCCGAGCCTCTCCCGGAATTCATCGGCGCGGGAGGCGGCACCGGCATCTTCAAGGTGCCCGTGCGCGCAGCGGTGCATCCCGGACGGCCACCGTGTCTGGAGCTAAGGCCTCATCCTCTAAGGGAGACGCAGACGGGGAAATTTATGAGAAACATTGCCTGTACGGAGACGCAGCTTTGGGCTGGTCAAGAGAACGGCGTGAGGTTCTGGAATCTGGAAGATGCGTACGAGGCTGGGTGTGGAATCGGCGGCCAGGTACGGCGCGGGGATGAGGATACGGCGCCGTTTCATGAGTCGGTTACTACGGCGCCCACCATGTGTTTGGTGGCTGACCAAAGCAACAAGCTTTTGTGGAGCGGCCACAAGGATGGCAAAATCCGAGCTTGGAAGATGGATCAGCCTTGTGCTTGTGATGATGACTCAGGTCCTTTCAAGGAGCGGATCTCGTGGCAAGCTCATCGTGGTCCAGTTAATTCCATCGTCATTAGCTCTTACGGTTAGTTACTCTGTTCCTCTATGATTGTGTGGCAATGGCATTGATTATAAATGTGTTATTTTTCATCTTGCTTTATGTTTATGGTGTAGGTGATATGTGGTCATGCTCGGAAGGAGGTGTGATTAAAATATGGCCATGGGATTCGTTGGAGAAATCTCTTCTGCTTAAACCGGAGGAGAAACACATGGCTGCCTTATTAGTGGAAAGGTCTGCCATTGACCTCAGGACCCAAGTTACTGTCAATGGGACATGCAGCATTTCTTCCTCAGAAGTCAAGTATTTGCTAACCGATTCAGTAAGAGCTAAAGTGTGGGCTGTGCAGTCACTCACATTCTCAATCTGGTAAGCTCTTTTTTTTCCTCCCTCTAACAGTTACACTTTGGTATCTTTTTTTAGTCAGTTCTTGATCATTCTGAGAGAATTGATCTGTGCAGGGATGCTCAGAGTAAAGACCTTTTGAAAGTTTTAAATGTTGACGGGCAAGTTGAGTGTCGTGTAGACGTGCCCCCTTTACCAGACCAAGGTGATGATGAGATGAAAGTGAAGTATTTCACAGCTTCGAAAAAGGAGAAATCACCGGGCTTTCTGCAGCGGTCACGTAATGCCATAATGGGAGCTGCAGGAGCTGTTCGCCGAGTCGCCACTAGAAGTGCAGGAGCGTTTACGGAAGATACTAGGAAGACAGAAGCTATCGTGTTAGCTGTAGATGGAACAATTTGGACTGGAAACGTGAGTGGCCTTATTGTCCAGTGGGATGGGAATGGAATCCGCTTGCGGGATGTGAATCACCATCAGAGGCCTGTTTTGTGCTTCTGCACTTTTGGAGATCGGATATACGTGGGTTATGCTAGTGGCTACATCCAGGTCTTGGATCCTGATGGGAAGTTGATTGCAAGCTGGGTTTCACACAATGAGCCTGTGATAAAGCTAGCAGTAGGTGGTGGTTTCATTTTTAGCTTGGCCACTCATGGTGGAGTACGAGGATGGTATGTGACATCTCCAGGACCCCTGGACAACATAATCAGAACGGAATTGTCTCAGAAGGAAACTTTGTATGCTAGGCAAGACAATGTTAGAATTTTGATTGGTACTTGGAATGTTGGTCAAGGACGGGCTTCACACGATGCGCTTATGTCATGGCTGGGATCAGTCACTGAAGATGTTGGCATTGTCGTTGTTGGGTTGCAAGAGGTGGAGATGGGCGCAGGTTTCCTTGCCATGTCTGCTGCTAAGGAAACGGTAACTCCCTTTATTTACACGTTTGATTTTGCTTGAACTTAAATTTGTTTGTACTCATAAAGATGAAAACCATTAGAGCATTTGGGAATTGAGAGAAACTACATTCTGTAGCAAGTCATATGCTATCATGATGTCGTCTATATGTATGGTTTCACCTCATATTTGGATTGCGGTTGTAGGTTGGACTTGAAGGGAGTGCACAGGGTCAATGGTGGATTGATGCAATTGGTAAAGCACTTGATGAGAAGAACACTTTTGAGCGTATGGGTTCAAGGCAGTTGGCAGGACTTCTGATATCTCTTTGGTAAGTGAAACTTGAGTTTTGACATGTTACATTCTCGTGCTTATGTTTCAACACTTCTCTAAAAGTTTACGATGAGCAGTTGTTTATCTTCCCATTTTAAAACCCTTTTATGTGTTGTAATTTTGTGCTTAGGGCGAGGAAAGAAATAAGAACACATGTTGGAGATCTTGATGTTGCAGCAGTTCCATGTGGCTTTGGCCGTGCTATTGGCAACAAGGTATGTCTTATTCCATCTCCTCTTGACTTGTTAAGATCTGATTCTGAAATACATATTCGATAAGGAACTTGTTCTGTTTGCTATATCAGTAACAACATTAATGTTCTACTTGTCAAAACAGGGAGGTGTGGGTCTGAGAATCAGAGTTTATGACCGAATCATGTGCTTTGTGAATTGTCACTTGGCTGCGCATTTGGAGGCAGTGAATCGCAGAAATGCAGATTTCAATCACATATTCCGATTGATGGTCTTTTCCAGGGGACAAAATCTAAACAACACTGCAGCTGGTATGGTGCCGTACCTGTTTTTGTCTTGCTCACTTGGCTTTTCCACATATTTATTTTGGCTGCTTTACTCTTCTGGTTTGCCATGGGCCCTCTCTCTTGCAGCTGGTGTCTCAACTGCTGCTTATACGACAAAGAGTGCCACTGTATGTTCTTATCACATCACCATTATTTCAACACTTGAATTCTATCATTGCTTCACGATGTCAGTCACGAGTATAATTTTGTACTGAACATGTTTTCTCTGTTTCCCTAGATTCCAAGCACCGGTGCTGAAGAAATCAAGTCTGATTTAGCAGCAGCAGACATGGTGGCATTTTTTGGCGACTTTAACTATAGGCTGTTTGGTATAACCTATGATGAAGCGAGGGACTTCATTTCACAGCGATCCTTTGATTGGCTCAGAGAAAGAGACCAACTTCGACAAGAGATGAAAGCTGGAAAAGTCTTCCAAGGAATGCGTGAGGCCTTGATCGCTTTCCCTCCTACTTACAAATTCGAAAGGAATCGCTCAGGCCTTGGAGGTACAAATCAATCTGAAACAGAGTTGTTCTGCTCTGATTTCTGCATCATCCCCGTTTTCGTAAAACTCATGACTTTCTGTGCTGTGTACTCTCCAGGATATGATTCAGGGGAGAAAAAACGAATTCCTGCATGGTGTGACAGAGTTATATACAGGGACACTCAATCAAGCCCATTCTCACAGAGCAATTTGCAATGCCCTCTAGTTTCATCTGTTATAATGTATGGTCTCATGACTACCTTTGTGATGTTTCTCGCTCTTTCTTGTCTCTTCAGTTTACTTTTTTCCATTCTAAAATTCACACTTGCGTGTTCTAACAGGTATGAAGCTTGCATGGATGTTACAGAGAGCGATCACAAACCCGTGCGCTGCAAATTCCATGCGACAATAGCTCACGTTGATAAATCTGTGCGGAGACAGGAGCTGGGGAAAATAATAAAGTCCAATGAGAAGATAATATCCATATTCGAGGATCTAAAGTCGGTTCCGGAAACATCTGTGAGCACCGACAACATTGTGCTTCAGAGTCAGGACACAGTCATCCTAACAATCACAAACGAATCAACCACGAGCAAAGCCATTTTTAGCATTCTATGCAGTGGTCAGGCTATAGTTAAGGATGACGGTGAAGCTTCTGACTTTACTCCACGAGGCTCCTTTGGTCTTCCTCGCTGGCTTGAGGTATTAAAATTCTCTTCCAATGCCAATGAGTCTCATCTCTTGTAGAATTCAAGATTTAATGATTTTCAAGAATCTGTCTTATAGGTTTCACCGGCAGCTGGAATAATAAATCCGGAAGGAACCGTGGATGTGAAGGTTCATCACGAAGATTTTCACACACTGGAAGAGTGTGTTGATGGCATCCCACAGAACTGGTGGTGCGAAGACACTCGAGATAAAGAAGCAATCCTGATGGTGAACATTCAAGGAAGCTGCTCAACTTCATCGACGAGCCACTCTATCAAAGTCCGTCACTGCTACTCAGCCAGAGTATGCCTCCTTGAGTCCAGACCCGCTCACCTATCAAAGAACCTAGGCGGTTCACGTCGTCACTCAAGCGAAGACTCGGTTAAACGGGGTAAAAGCAGGTGATGAGCTCTTGTAACATCGACAGTTTATAACTAGATCTTAGAGCAGAAGAACAACAAAGCCATCACGAAGCAAATGTATCAGGTGAATAATCTCTTTTTTATTCATTCTTTGATTCTTTAGAGAATTCATTTTGTATCAGAAACTGTAGATTTTCTTTGAGACCATACCTGAGGTATCACGTATTCAATCTTTTTTGACTCTCCTCCTCACTTGAACCTTCACGGTCTACAGGTGTGTGTGTGTGACTCGTGTATACATTTGTTAACTTTTACATAAAAAAAGTGCCGTTCTTGAGACTTAGTCTCAGAGTGCATACATTCTCTTGTTGAATTCGCTTTTGAGAATCTCTGACTCTGAAGGCATACGAGAGAGTGAGAAAGATCTCGACTTGCTTCTCTCTTTCCTCATGCTTTTCAGTTTAGATTCCTCAATCCTATGCATGACCACACAGTAACACATTGCACCTATCGTGGTTAGCATTATCGTCCCGCCAATAACCGTTTCACATATCGCCAGCCAAATATCCTCCTTGCCCACAACGACAAACGAAAGAGAGACAAAGGCAATGGATATAAACAAACAAGCCAGCCACATAAGCTTGTTGATCACAAACACAAGCTTCTTCTTTGCCTTCTGCTCGATCACCACAACTGAAGTCTGCACCACAACAACAGCCAGTGATATGAACAGCGCCAAGCTATCAAATATGAAGAAGACCAAGAACGGAGCTCTGTTGGCTATCCGAGCTTGTCCTAGCAACAACGTTCCTTTTGCTCTGTCCTCTTCATATTGGCCAGGTATGGTGAAGATTGCTGCAAACGCTACTGTTGCGATTAGGACTGCAACAACGGTTGCAGAGTTTATAGCGTTGTTCAGACCGTTTATGTGAAGTTTCTTCAGTCTCTTAGCGATTCTCTGAATCCTAGCACCCGTTTGGCGAGACTGTTGGAGCTGAGATTGTACCTCATGTCTAATGTCGCTCACCGTTTGCTTAAGTTGTTTAGCTGGATTCTGAGGCTTCCCAAGATCTTTACCTGTGGCAGCTCCTGCTTCCTTCAAAACCGACACAAGCTCTGCGTTTCCAATCTTCTCAGCTATATCAAGTGCAGTGTCTCCAACCTTGTTCATTGCATTGAGGTTGATTCCAGCAAATGATACCAAACATCGCACTATCTGCAAGCAGAAGGCAAAGAAGCATTCATGTAGATTGAGGAACTCGAGAGTGAAAATCAACAACGATGATGCGACTGCTACCTTAGTACGGCCTTTGATTGTGGCAACGTGCAATGGCGTGTTCCCTTTATTATTCTCAACACTCAAAACAGCAGGATCAGGTTTCACCAACTCAAGAACGATCCCTTCGTTTTGACCTTTGACAGCCATGTGAAGCGCTGTTTGTCCCTTCTTATCGGTTCTAAAACCGATGCTTGCATCGTTACCAATCAAAGACTTGACAACTTCGACATGCCCCATCCGCGCTGCAGAATGAAGCGCGGTCTTACCATTGTTCTTAGCTATCTTTGCTAAATGTGAGTTCGTTTCAAGAAGAAGATTCACCACATCAATGTGTCCTTGTGTAGCAGCCGTGTGCAATGCAGTTGTACACAACAAATCTGTTGTCATGGCCAGATTCGGAAATGCCTCCAAGAGTTTCTTTAACACCTCTGCAAAAGATAGCACACATTCAAGATCAGTGTCAAGTAAAGGTGTACAATCTGTTACAAGAAGTTAAGAGTTTCATTTACCGAGATGGCCTTGTTTTGCTGCGACATGGAAAGGATCAAAACCGTTCCTAGCTGCAATGGATGCGGTTTCAAGGTCCATATGCTTCAACATCTCTTCAACAACTAAGGAATGCCCATTTTCTGCTGCAGTGTAAAGAGGAGTCTCTCCTTCAAGATTCTGCTTTGACATTAACTGCTTCAACTCCTCAGTACTGTTACAACAACCACGAATCATCTCTTTAACTTTTCCCAAATTCCCAGTTCGAGCTCCGACATGAAGAGGAGAGTCTCTTCTTTTACCAGGTGACTCGTTCTTATTCTTCCTCTCACTACCACCACCATTCATGAAACTCAACTGTCTCTCCATTACTACTCGAAAGCTTTTCTGCTTCTCTACAAATCCACACAAGCTTCTCTGTCTCTCCACTGCCATTGGGAGCTTCTCTGTAACTCCATCAGTACTCTCTTGTTTCGCCATTGCTTTTCCTTGGATTCCATGTTTCTCTCCGTTCCCTGATTGGAAACTAACTTGCTTCTCAAAAGCTCTAACCTTTCTTGCTTGATTCTCTGCACCAACGCATCTGAGACTCTGTTGCTCCTCCATGGCTTTACTTCGAAAGCTTTGTTGCATCTCCACTACAGGAGCCAAAGAACCCATCCACGTCTCCCTAATATTCCCACTACTTCCGAGTAATTATCGAAGATCTTGAAGATCGATTGTTTCCCCAAATTAGAAAGATGCCAACTTTGTTTCCAGATTTCTTGTAAAGATTGTCACTTTGTGTGTGTGAAAAATTCCAAAACGATGTGATGAGAGAAGATTATAAAAAAAGAAGGTTGCAGCTGATTTCAGTAGAATGTAGTAGCACAATCGTTGCATCTGATGCTCCACTTGATTAACTGAAAAATGTTTGTAAATCTCAATGCTTTTTGTGGGCCCCCACATGTTAGAATCTTTAGTCCTGCCATTGACGAAGACAGAAAGTGAGAGTCACAGCATCTGCTGCTGTTTAACTGTTTAGCAGCCATCCCTTTCACCTTTTGGTGGGCTGTACTTTATTAATTTCGTTAATCTTCCAAAATCCATCAAATTTCTTATTTACCAATTTACCAGCATACCATGTCAAACAAAAACACATCTAAGTTTTTTTTTTTTTGTCTTGTTCTTCTAGATTTGTCTTTTATGTATTTTCTCTCCAAATCAAAGCTCCGTGCTGAAAAATTCTAATTGTGACAATCCAAAATCTTCCACTTTGTTTATTGAAAATAATATTCTACTGATGATTTTTCCTTTTGGTAATAGATTTGTATGTTACATAAATTATTTGGTGATCATAGGCTTTGTTACAGAAATTAACAAAACAAAACCAAGAATATGTATTTACACCAAGAATATGTTATATGTATTTGACTTTTATCTTCTTAGACAACTAGTAGGTTGAATAAGACCGAGACTAGTCCCAACAGCATTGAAACAGTAGGAAGTGGCAGGAGTTCCTTTGTTGTAAGTAAGCTTAATGTCTTGTAATGTGATTCCTGTACACGGAGTGCTCTTGCTACACACCAGCTTCACCGCTTGCTCTGTCGCCGACGTTCCTTGTATGTTCTTGTACGTCACTTGGCTTATCTTTATCCCCGAATGCTAATATACATACATAAAAGATATATATATCAATTCGATAAACATACTGAACTAGATTATTCTGATCAAATTATGATATGGATGTACCTCGGTAGGGCAACCTTGGTTGGAAGGACAATAGTTTTGGTCGATTATGATAGGGTTTTGGACGTTCTTCATGATTAGGTGTTGGAAGAAGACGTTCTTAACGAATCCGGTACTCGGCCTCGCCCACGACTTTATCCTCACGCCGTTTTGTGTTCCAGTGAATACCGAGCTCGATACTGTCACGTTCTCTACTCCATCTTCGTTCAATACCTTAGCCAAGCTCCCGATGCTGCGAGTCATCATCACATTGTCATACATATAAATATTCAAAAAATGTGTGAGATGGTACATAATTAGATGGTACATACCTAACCCCGTGACCTGGGCCACAAGCAAGTTTGGAGATGAGGAAGTTGCGGGTGCCAGGGCCGATAGCAACACAATCGTCTCCGGTCTGAACGGTGCTTCCGGTGAATGTGATTCCGGTGGAGTGTTGAACGTCGAAGCCGTCGGTGTTTGGGCTGTCTCCGGGAGCCAATAGCTTGACGTTTCGGACGACAACATTGGTGCAACCGTTGAGGGTCATATGGGTGACCTGGCTGTTCATCGATTTCACTCCACTTATGATCACGTCGTTTGCAGAGTTGAACGTTATTGACTGCATTGTCAAAGATTTTATGAGATTGATTTCTCCGGTAAATTCGCTTGATGAGTCTAATTAATCGTATAAGAATGTTATGACTTATGACGTGGTCTAATAGATTTTATGATAAGTTAATAAATGAAATATATAAGATTATAAAGTTTTCATTTTATTTCGACCAAATAATCCATTCCAAATAATCCATTTCCTAATCCAAAATTCACTATTCACTATTACAATAACTTACTATATAGAGTCGTCTCTCTCAAAAACAAATTCCGAAAGTTGGCGCATATAGGAAAAGTCGATTGTAGAAAATGTAGGTGAAAATTATCAACTTCATGTTTTTTAATCGAAATAATGGATGCTTAATTATATGCTATGATTGCTCTTTTGCATTATGGTGCTTGCGCTTATGAATGAATGTTAGATCGTTGTATTTATTTTTTCTCTGTTCTTAAAATGCATCAAAATTTCTTACTTTTATTGAGCATTGTTTTTTTTTTTTCAAAAAATGAACGCCAAAGCGAAGAAGAAACGAAAAAAAAATTTGTTTGGTTGTTCATGTGTTCACAATTTCTACTTTGAAATAATATATTTTCTTTACACAAGTACGTTTTAAAATATAAACCCAAGATTGCAGTAGGTAAACGCATAATGTTTGTGGCTAAAAAAATGTTACATATATTAATAGTTTAATAATAATTTATATATGCAAATGTGAGAGGAGAGAACCATACCCTAACACCGGGAGGACAATTCTGACCAGATTTCCGGCAAGACCAGAACCCACTAGCTCGAGCGTCGAAAGTCCCGCCGAATAGTGAGAATTTGTTAACTTTGTTGAAGAGAATCCAGTAGCCGGAGTTTCCAAATGCTCTGTAATTGGCCGGAGCAACGATGGTCCCGGTTACTTGAAAATCAAGTTTGCTCTTGCATGGCCCTCCAAACGTTATTCCCTTCACTAGAAATGTCCCACTCGGAACCATCACAGTGGCTGCAGCTGGCGAGCCGCAAGCCGCTTGCCATGCTTTGAGGAATGCTGCCGTCGAATCCGTGACACCGTCCGGTTTGGCTCCGAAGCTAACGACGTTGAATATGTTGGATGCGCCGATCGAGACGTCGATGAAGGTGAGGAATGTGAAGAGTAATGCAATATGTGATTGCGTCATTTTATATATATTTGAGTTTTGAGTTTGAGTTTGTATTGGTGTTGATGCATGGCAAGGGCTATATATATGTAGTCCATGAATGGGTCGTTAAATTGGAATCTATGGTACAATTCAGTACATGTGGTATCTATATGATTGAGTTAGTGAAATTATTAATGATAGATAAAAGAGCTTATATTCCCAATCACTAATTAGGTGCACATATGGTTGATATATAACTTTTAGGAGCAGCGGTCGTTGTGTTAACAATGATTTTTTTCCAAATAATCAATTTCCACTCATCTACGCTATATATATTGCTTTAATTATTATTGATGTATAAGAAAATACGTTACAACTTTCTAAACGGTTGATTCACCATAACAAAATCGATAGAGGAACAATACAATATGCACTTCACGGCCAAAATCGGCGATACCTTTTGATTTTGACATCATCAACACATATTTGATATCAAATGGCATGTGGTTAACTAGCTGTTGACCGAAAAAGACGTGTGATTAACTAGCTCGCACATTATTGAAACTAACCCAATCATATTCGTTAATCATTCTCATCAGAATGACAGAAAGTCAATGTACTTATATATTGACGGTTTTAAGATGTCGGTAGGCTTCGTTCAGATTATGTTATTAAGGTAATATAAAATCAAATGTGGTAATTTTTATTGTTTTTAAATGTAAATTCCAACCTAATACAGTAGAAACTCTATAAATTGATACTCGATAAATTAATAAACTCTATAAAATAATAATTTTCTCCAGTCCCAAGTCGGGCCAGTGTAAAAATTAGCACAATTAGATAAAATAATAAGATAATAATATTTTTGAAACTCATATGTAAATATATGGTCCCATTAATATCATAAATTAATAATTACCATAAATAAAATTTTATGTAAATACATATATATGATAATATACTAAAATATAAGTATAATTTTCACTTCTTTTCTACTAAAAATCAAATATATTTTGAATTCATCCTTAATTTTAGAATGAATCTATAAAAAATATAAAAACTTTTAAAAATTATTATTTTTATTTAATTTAATATTTATTTTAATTATTTTTTAATAAAACAACTATTTTATTCAAGATCGATAATTTAATAACTCTATAAATTAATAAAATATCAAAGTCCCAACTTTATTAATTTACTAGATTAAGGCCCGCGTATATGCGGGTATATTTTAAGATTTTATAATAAAAGTATGGAAAATATTAAACAAAATTTGATCATTTTTAAACGTAAACAAAATAATATTGAAAACCCGATAAAAATATTTAATAAAATAAGATTGTAATACTTTTACATTTTTATTGTAATTGATTTTTCTTTTGAATTTATGATATAAAAAAATGAATTAATTTGTTTTACTATTATTTTTATCCAATACAGAAAGACTTACACATGTCTAAATCTGATCAACTGATTAATTAATCAAACTTTTATTATTCCATTCAAGAGATTTTAATTGATGAAATCTTTATTTCAATTTTTTTACCTAACAAAAATTGAAAATCAAACTATTTAAAATTAGAATATCAATTATAATTTTTTAATATTAGTTAATTGCTTGATAATTATTTTGTTAGTTTTCTATTTATATTTTTTCTTTCTCAATTTTGTTTTTGCCTAGACCATTATAAATACTATATATTGGTATTTTTCCTTTTCGATTTTTTTTTCTTTTCTTAATAGATGTAACAAAAGAATTTAAATTATTTGTTTCCTGTTTTTTTATTACTTTTAATGGATGTATTATTTTTTCATTTTAATTATTTGTTATCTGTTTTTCTAATTTTTAGTTAGTCTTATACATATTAATTTTTTTATTATTTTATTCCATGACACATGTTACGATTTTCATACTTCCAGAATTTTTTTTTTCTAAAACACATGTCGCAATTTTGTCAGTTATAAAATCCTATGTATCGCAAAACTTTCAAAACATGATTTTTAAATTGGAGAAATAGAATCAAAGGGATTTGATGAATTTTCTTTGATGAATTTATGATTGAGAAACCTTGACTATCTTTTATAGGGGTTCAAGTAACCTATTACATGTAGTTATAGGAAATTTAGTTTACATAACATATTCCATGTACAAATAGATTTTATTTATTACATTATTTTGATTTTATTATTTGTTTGGATAATATTAATTTGATGAATGGGAAACCTTTCTCTATTAGGATATGACAAATATATTTTTATTTCTTTTAACTATAATGGACTAATTTTTTTTTTAATTTCCTTTATCTAAAATTTTTATTATTATTATTATTTTTTTTTCTCTAGCATGTGTCACGATCTTAACGGACATAACATTAGAAGTGACACATGTCGCGATCTTATAAATTATAAAAATCCTATGTATCGCAACCACGCCGTACACATCTAATTTTATATAATAAAAATTTGATAATGAGATATCACCAATATATTTTTATTTCTTTTAACTATAATGGACTAATTTTTTTTTAATTTCCTTTATCTTAAATTTTTATTATTATTATTATTTTTTTTTTCTATAGCATGTGTCACGATCTTAACGGACATAACATTAGAAGTGACACATGTCGCGATCTTATAAATTATAAAAATCCTATGTATCGCAACCACGCCGTACGCATCTAATTTTATATAATAAAAATTTGATGAATGGGAAACATTTTTCTGTTTTGATTTGGCAAATATTATTTTTTTCCTTTTTGATATAAAAACTAAAATTAAATTTCGTTTTTTTTAATTAACATTTTTCTGATTTTTTTTTTTAAGTTCTTCTTTTTTTCCTAAAACACGTGTCACGATCTTAACGGTTTTAAGTGACATATGTCGCGATCCTGAATTTTATAAAAATCCTACGTGTCGCAACCACGTCGTGCGCATCAGCTTTATATAATAAGATAGAGTTTATACTGTACGTTTATTTAAACTTTTCTTAAGATGTTTTTCTTTCTGTTTTAGGAATCGGATACTTGTTCGATTGCATATGTGTGAAAACTGAAAACTTCTGCATGTTATTTTATTTTATTTTGGGAAATATAAAGTTTCTACAGTCGGATTTCGGAGATTGTATTTTGTGACTAGTTCATTAAATGCTTAGAAGATTCGGATAATATATGTTTGAAGTAAGAAAATACGTTAGAAAAAAAAAAACCCATGTGAGTGGAGGAGAAGCGGCGCAGCAGTTGCCGCCGGAGAAAGAGACGCCGGAACTCTCGGACTATTATGATAAATGACAAGAGTTTTTTTTCTGCAAATTTTTCTTCTGGTAAGCCAAAACTAATACTAAACAAAAATAAAGGGGAACCACTGTAAATAACTTTTTGTTAATTAGGCAACACTGTAAAATCATGCATGAAAAAAACCTTTACAAAATGAACTAGTTTAAGCTATCTTACATCTTTGACAAGTCCCCATTAAGCATATCAAGAACAAAATGTACCATGAGGATTAAACCACAAGCTAATTGGCTTCCCTTAGTTCCTCATCCACAAGATAATTCTCTATTATTTCATCCACAGGATCTACAATAGTATCTGGCTTCCTGTCCTTGTATTTCGTATCAGTGAAAAAGTCAAAAATTTCTTTATCAGCAGCTAATCCTTCTCTTCTCATCTGATCAAAAACTTCTCTCGCCTCCACGAACTTCTTCCTCTTAATGAACCCTTTAACGAGAGCGCTATAAGTGCTGCCTGAGACACTAAACCCTCTCTCCTTCATTTCCCGGAACAAAAACCATGCCTCCTTCATGTTCCTACCCTTGCAATGGCCTTTGACCAAATTCTCATACGTCTTACCATCAGGTCCTACTTCCCGAGAACACATGTCCTTAAACATTGCAGTTGCTGCCTTGAGGTCATTCCTAATGCAATACTGCTTCACAAGAGAATTATAAGTGGTTGCATTAGGCGCTATACCTTTCGCCAACATCCAGTTAAGAAGCTTCTCACCATCTTCCAACATCCCATTCAAACAAAACCCATTCATTAGCACGTTGAATGTGACAACTGTAGGTTGAAGCCCTCTCCCGAGCATCTCCTTCAAAACCTCTTGAGCCTTAGCCATCTCCCCTGCTTTACAGTATGCATCCATCAACGTCGTGTAAGTGACAGTGTCTGCATTCACCCCTGCAGCTTCAAATTCCCCAACAAGTTTAACCCCCTCCTCGATATTCCCTGACTTACATAGACCATTGACAACAGAATTATAAGTAAAAGTATTTGGCTGAAGACCTAATTTCCACATCTCATGGATAAGATCATTCGCTGAGTCCAAGTCCCCTTCCTTGCAAAGCCCATCTATCAATGCAGTGTAGGTGACAACATTTGGAGAGCAACCAGCCTGAATCATGTGATTGTGGACACTAAACCCATCTTTCATCTGCCCTGCCTTGCAATATCCATTTATAAGCTCAGTAAAAGTAAAGCTATCAGGCTCTAAACCCCTGGAAACCATTTCATCGTATAGTTTCCTAGCCTCAACCATGTCCCCAATCTGACAAAACCCTGATATAATAGCTGTATATGTCAAAACATCCTGTATAACACCCAGAGACTGCATCTCATAGAAAAACTTCGACGCAGCCCTAACATTCCCTTGCTTGCAGTAACCATCAATCAGAGTTGTGTATACTACAGTATCCGCAACTATCCCCTGCCTTATCATCTCTCGAAAAGCCTCCTCTGCTTCTCTCAGCTTACAACTCCTGCATAGCAAACGGATTATGCTACCATAAGTATAAGAATTTGGCTTCAGCCCCTTCTGTTTCATTTCCTCAATGAGCTTCCAAACTTTTTCAACTTCCCCAAATCTACAGTATCCGTTTATCACTGTACTATAACTTATTACATCAGGAGTGTAACCTTTCAACTCCATAACCAGGAGAAGATGGTGAGCTTCGATGATTCTCCCAAGCTGACAAACACAATGAATCACGATGTTATAAGAAGCAACATTCCAGCAAACACCAGCTTGCGGAAACTCCCTGAACACTACAACAGCGTTTGCAGATTGATTGCAGTCTTTGGAGAGACGGTCAAGGTAGAAATTGCAGGATTCAACAGAGAGAACCAATCCGTAGTTCAACATCTTCTCAAAGACTTTCCTCGCTTCACTGAGCATTCCAAATTCAACGAGCACTTGGAAGAAGACATCGAATACACGAGGATCAGAGCCCCAGTCCTTGTATGTGTAGACTAAAAGATCAAAAAACTGTACAAAGGAATCAGTAACATTCAGCTTTGGCCTCTCCCAAAAGCTGCTTACAAGAGAATGCGCCGATTCTAGATCCTTCGATGCCACAGCCAAATGAGTGACGATGCAAAGGGATTCGAGGTTCGAGTCTCGGCGGGAGCGAGCCCAGTCGAAGAAATCGAGAACCAACCTGTAATCACACTTGATCTTCATCAGAACCCAAATCAAGTGATCGGTTCTGAATTTGCATTCGTAAGGCTTTAGACTCCGCCTCAGAGGCTCAGCGCGACGCAGCTTAATCACGTTGGTGATTTGGTGAACCAATTCAGTGTCTCTGACTGAAGCTTTCTTTGGAGAATAATCAGGGAAAGGTCTAGACTCAGTTCTCGTTGAGAATCGGAGTCCACGAGTATCTCGGAAAGATGAAAGTGAAAAGAGCTGAATGGAATTTCTGAAGGCAGAAAGAGTACCTCTCTTCATCACAGACCACAATGAATGGCTGCTTCATCGCTCCATCACAAATCCAAATACACGCCGTGAACTAAGTAGATAGTAGAAGAAAAACCATTCGGTGTAATTCGAGAAAGCCCTAAAATTTCTGAAGCGAAAACTTGACCCGCCCGAAGCGGGTGATGAGGTTTCGACTTGCGTTTGAAGAAATGGTGAATGATTGGAACAGCAGAGACCCACCCGCCCACACCAACTCCAAAAGAAACGAACTTTGTTCTTTCTCTTTCCCTCTCTCTCTCTCTCTGTTTTTAGAGACACCGTTGTATGAGAAACGAGAGGTCACAGAGATTGCGAACGGCGGCGATCGATTTTGGGACGGCGACGGAAATGCCAAACGGTAATTTTAAAATAACAAAGAAAAATGATTCGTTCTTGTGTTAAAACTTAACTCTTAAGGCCCATTAAGAAGATCGTAGGCCCACATTGACCAACGACGTAACATAAAATAAAGTGAACAGTGAAGAGTCTTTGTTAAACAGTATAAACGGCCTTTGACTGGAGTCTCGCGTTTCAGAAATCTTGGGGGTGTATAGTCTATTTCTAAGAAGTTTTAGGTTCATTATGTAATTATGAAAAATGTGCAAATGTTCATGGCAGTCAAATTAAAGAAGTTTTAGGTGAACTTTCAAATTATGTAAACGTTCCTGGCTGCTAATGTTCAAAATTTGGCAAGGATTAGGTTTTCAAAAATTCTCATCTTATAAATAAAAAAAATCTCAAGTTCATTTGAAACTTGAGTAGAGAGTTGTAGATTTACAAATGAGAAACCATCCTCTTATTACAAACATGCAAAAAGTGATATTACAAATGCAACTATTTATGAGCACATCAAGTCTTGCGGTCTTTTAACAGAATGTTCATAAAATGAATTTGCAGTAGACAATTAATCTCTTCTCTAACATCTCAAATTTAATTACTCAGCTAAACATAGAAACAAACTTATCAACACTCTTATCAGAAGTACCTCCTTCACAAACAGCCTCTCGAGCCAACACTTTCCATTTCTCAGCATTCCTTCTAATCTCTTTCCCTTTCTCTCCCTCCATAACTTCTCCTACACATCTCACAATCTCTTCTCTTCTCACAAGCCCATCAGCTTCTGTCTTAACCCTAATCCCAACCTTCCACACATCCTCCACGAACTTTGCATTAGTGGGCTGATCTGTCCAATGAGGCATACCAATCATTGGAACTCCCAAACTTAGTCCCTCTAACGTTGAATTCCATCCACAATGTGTCAAGAAACAACCGATTGATTTATGTGCAAGAACTTCAAGCTGAGGGCTCCAACTCACAATCAGTCCTTTCTCGCTGATTTCCTCTACAAGGTTTTTTGGAAGTTTGTCTGTCTCTGTCTCTCTCACAACCCACAAGAAGAAACGTCCGGTTTGTTTCAGGCCTGATGCGAGTTCCATCATTTGATCTTCTTTTAGAACCACCATACTTCCGAATGATACATAGACAACTGAATTAGGTTGCTTTGAGTTTAACCACTCGACGCACTCAGTTACTTTCGCATTGAAGAGGCTGAATCCGTAGTTTTTGTCTTCCGGCAGTTGCTTGTCTAAGTACATCGATGGAACCGTTGGTCCTATGTTCATGACTGGCCACAAGCTTTGGACCCATTTCAATAACTAGAAACAGAAAGGAAACAAAAAAAAAATCAAATTAATCATAGTCAATGAAAAGGATAAAAACAAAAAAAGGAAAGATAAGGCTAGAACAATATTTTATATTTTATCAAATCTAAAAAATTATGTAGTTAATTTTTGAACAAAACAACTCTAACCTGGGGAGTTTTAAATTATTAAACGAAAATCTAACTAATACCAACAAAAATATTCAAAGGAATTTTTCTAAATCTAGTTTGTGAAGTGAACTATAAGGTCAAAGATAATCATATAAAACAGTCTTAAAACTATTATTTTGGATATATTTTCGGTACCTTTTCCTCCAGTTTATCGAAAGTGTTGCACAACACTATGTCGACTCGATCAATGTTTGAGAGCTGATCGACCACAATCCTTAGTATATTAGGGTAAGAGGACGATTGGCAGAGGAAAGAGGGCAAATCATTCGCATTCAGCATAGGAATCGAAGGGAAAGATGCTAACGTTGAGTGACCGTACTTTGTAGACGGGACAGAGAAGGAGCCCTTAAGAACATGGTAGTAAATAACTGAGACAAGCCAAGGTTGCGTGAAAAACGCGGCACCTCTCAACCCATGACCATGAGCTATATCAAGAAGCCACGGCATGGTGGAGTCGTACACAAGAACCCTAGGAGGATTTCCCGACAGCTTCATGTCTTGTATCAACTCTGGTAAGCGGTTCTTGATGCTAGTTTCCACTCTGTCCATGTAATCATCGAGGTCTTGCAATGGGTCCTCGCCTTCTTGGAAGCCATTGGGGATGGGGAAGACATTGATGGAGTCACGCTCTGTTTTGTATGGCGGAGAGGGTTTGTCGGAGACGACGACAAGGGTGGGTTTAAGACCCTTTGAGACTAAGCGTTTGCAGAACTGGGACATTGGAGTTAGATGGCCTTGTCCAGGGAGAGGCAAGACGATAACATGACATCCTTCTCTCATTTTATCTTTAATCTTTTGTTCTTGCTTACTCTAGTATGTGTGGGTGTGTTTATATATAGCCATAATGTGTTCAACAGAATCCAAGATGTGTTGAACAGAGACCGAGGTCGATGATAATGCAGCCCACCAATCAAAGTTTAAATCATCATTGTATTTTATTAGTTTATATCGTTAGCATGTGACATTGTACGAGTGTACAACATATATAACTCGCGACATATATTAGGCCCATTTTGTCATCTTCCATGTGAGAGAGACACAGCAATACTGCATCTCAGCTTTATTGCTACTGTTGATGTGATTGCTTATGCAATCCATATCCAAATTGTAAAACATTTATCAACCTTAACTTAAATAATTCATTGTAGTACTAAAAGGCAAAGCTTCATGGATTGCTTACATATTGGGTTTTTGTTTTTGGGAATAAAAATATCTTGCTTAGAAATTTTTGGTGTTAATATACAATTTTTTTGACTAATAAACCTCAGAATGTTATGTATTCATAACACACAACGTATATAGTGAAAAGTAAATAACAAACCTAAGTATATATCATTAGCTATAAAACTAACGTTTAAAACTAAATAACAAACAAGTCTAATCTTAGAAGTTTTAGGTGAACTTTCATATTATGTAAACGTTCCTGGCCGGTGTTCAAAAGGTTTTCAAATAGTTCTCATCTTATAAATAAATAAAAATCTCAAGTCCCACCCATGTTTTCATTTGAAACTTTGAGTCGAGCTGTAGATTTACAAATGAGAAACCATCCTTATTACAACAACAACAACAAATTAAAGTGAAAAAGAATTGAAATCTTAATGCAGCTATATATGTGCATATATAGTCTTACGGTCTTTTAACACATGTTCATAAATGAACTTGCATTAGACAGTTACTTTCTAACATATCTCATTTTCAGTCCTTTAACAAAACATAGAAACAAACTTATCAACACTCTTATCAGAAGTACCTCCTTCACAAACAGCCTCTCGAGCCAACACTTTCCATTTCTCAGCATTCCTTCTAATCTCTTTCCCTTTCTCTCCCTCCATAACTTCTGCCACACATCTCACAATCTCTTCTCTTCTCACCAACCCATCAGCTTCTGTCTTCACCCTAACTCCAACCTTCCACACATCCTCCACGAACTTAGCATTCGTAGGCTGATCTGTCCAATGAGGCATGCCAATCATTGGAACTCCCAAACTTAATCCCTCTAACGTTGAATTCCATCCACAATGTGTCAAGAAACAACCGATTGATTCGTGTGCAAGAACTTCAAGCTGAGGGCTCCAACTCACAATCAGTCCTTTCTCGCTGATTTCCTCTACAAGGTTTTTTGGAAGTTTGTCTGTCTCTGTCTCTCTCACAACCCACAAGAAGAAACGTCCGGTTTGTTTCAGGCCTGATGCGAGTTCCATCATTTGATCTTCTTTTAGAACCACCAAACTTCCGAATGATACATAGACAACTGAATTAGGCTGCTTTGAGTTTAACCACTCGACGCATTCGGTGACTTTCGCATTGAAGAGGCTGAATCCGTAGTTTTTGTCTTCCTGCAGTTGCTTGTCTAAGTACATCGATGGAACCGTTGGTCCAATATTCATGACTGGCCACAAGCTTTGGACCCATTTCAATAACTAAAAACATCAAGAAAAAAAAAAACAAATTAATCATAATCACATGTGTAAATAGGATAATAAACAAAACAAAAAACGAGGCTAGCAATTTTTTTTATCAAATCTACCAATTTTTTTATCAAAAAAAATATTAAACTAAAATATAATGTATACTATTTAATACCAACAAAAAAAATCAAACGTTCTTGTAGACAAATCTAATTTGTGAATTGAGGTCAAAGATAATTCAAATCGTATTATTCTAGAATATATGGTCGGTACCTTTTCCTCCAGTTTGTCGAAAGTATTGCACAACACTATGTCGACTCGATCCATGTTGGAGAGCTGATCGACCACAATCCTTAGTATATTGGGGTAAGAGGAGGATTCGCAGAGGAAAGAGGGCAAATCATTCGCATTCAGCACAGGAAATGAAGGGAAAGATGCTAACGTCGAGTGACCGTATTTTGTAGACGGGACAGAGAAGGAGCCCTTAAGAACATGGTAGTAAATAACTGAGACAAGCCAAGGTTGCGTGAAAAACGCGGCACCTCTCAACCCATGACCATGAGCTATATCAAGAAGCCACGGCATGGTGGAGTCGTAGACAAGAACCCTAGGAGGATTTCCCGACAGCTTCATGTCTTGTATGAGCTCCGGTAAGCGGTTTTTGATGCTGGTTTCTACTCTGTCCATGTAGTCATCGAGGTCTTGCAATGGGTCTTCGCCTTCTTGGAAGCCATTGGGGATGGGGACGACAGTGATGGAGTCACGCTCTGTTTTGTATGGCGGAGAGGGTTTGTCGGAGACGACGACAAGGGTGGGTTTAAGACCCTTTGAGACTAAGCGTTTGCAGAACTGGGACATTGGAGTTAGATGGCCTTGTCCAGGGAAAGGCAAGACGATAACATGACATCCTTCTCTCATCTTATCTTTAATCTTTTGTTCTTGCTTACTCTAGTTTGTGTGGGTGTGTTTATATATAGCCACAAGATTGGAGTGGATGACTTTGATCTGACTACGTCTATGGTGGGACTAGAATCCAAAAAGGTAAAGGTATCGTGGCGACCAAGATGTGTTGAACAGAGACCGAGGTCAATGATAATGCAGCCCACCAATCAAAGTTGAAATCATTATTGTATTTTATTAGTTTATCATTAGCATGTGACATTGTACGAGTGTACAACGTATATAATTTGCGACATATATTAGGCTCATTTTGTCATCTTCCATGAGAGAGACACTGCATCTCAGCTTTATTGCTACTGTTGATGTCATTGCTTATGCAATCCATATCCAAATTGTAAACCATTTATCAACCTTAGCTTTTATTTTTTGTGGATAAAAAATTAACCTTAACTTACGTAATTCATTGTAGTACTAAAAGCTTCATGGATAGTTTGCTTCTATATTGGGTTTTTGTTTCTGGGAATAAAAGTATCTAATGATAAGAAAATTTGTGTGTTAAGATCTACAATTTCTTTGACTAATAAACTTCAAAATGTTTATATGAGAGTAAATTACAAACCTAAGTATACCATAGCTATAAAACTAGCTAATTGGTACGTAATAATTATAAAGGAAAAGAAATCAACATGTATTCTTTTATAAATAGTATGCTTTGAGTTTGAAGAAGTCGTATATGACAACAAAAACTCTGGAATTGAAAGAGACTGGAGTCCTAGCCGACTTTTCTTTCTTGAACCTCACGACTCTGCCGTCATTTTCCTTAAGAATTCTGAGTGACGACGTACCCCTTATTTTTTTTTACAATGTCTAAGTCCTTTTTAGAATCAGAAAATTTAAATTTTTAGTTTTCAGAGTGTTGCTGAGCTTTTGGATATACATTGGTTGGGTTTCGAATTCTGTTAATTACCCACTTATCACCATGACCCCAATCTATGTTACTATGTAAAAGCCACGTCGTCCGTAAGTAAAAAAAAAAAGAAACGACTACTTGAGTTTCAAGTTTCAACGCCGTCCTATCTGGAAGTTAAAACACTATCCATCCACGTGGTGATCTTTGATTGGCCTGTCGCCTGTATCTCTCACCGCCAAGCTGTGCTGAGCTCATTTTAAATTTCTGCAATAAATAAAGGGCTGTTTTCAAAAGTAGTACACAAATTGAGTCAAATCCAAAAGTAATTCCTCTTTTTTCTTCCTTTTTATCCTTACTATATTTGTGATAATAACGAAAATGCCATTACTTTCGTCTTGAAGTCTAACCGTGAAGTCTAACACGCGAAAAAAATGTCCAAAGAAACCTCATCTTCTTCATTTATTCACGAAAATGCCATCACCATCAATTCGTCCAACAACCATTCTCAACCAAAATCAAGCTTTCAATGCACATGTACTCTTCAAACATATATATAAACTCATTATATCATCTCATAAACTTGTATTGGTCAATTTCTTCTCAATTTTCACCCCAAGAATACACATTTTCATCTTTTCAAAGTTTATGTTCTTAGATCTTCCCATTTTTGGTGTGGGAGATCATTATAACGGTTGGGGAAGTTTGCTAAAGCTCTAAATCGAAGTTATAGGCCGTCAACGAAACATAAGATCACGGCAAGGTAAATTTCCGGTAGATCTGAGTGAATCTCATATTTTTGCAGGTCCTTAGACTTCATAGCGAAGTCTAACAAACTAGTTTTGCAATTGATTTTTCAAAAAATTTAGAGAGTAGACTTGAAGTCTACCCATATTCCTTTGAAAACAAAAAAATATGGCGTAGGCTTCAGAATGAAGTCTACTCGAAAAAGATTAGTTTTGCAATTGACAGAATAAAAACTTTTTATGGGAAATCTATCTGTGAAGTCTGCTTGAATAAAAGACTAGTTTTGCAAACTTTAAGTAGTTTGTTTTATCGTGAAGTCTACCCCTGAAGTCTATTAATGTTGTATTAGGCTTCATTCAAAGTCTAATACTATTAGACTTCATTGCGAAGTCTAATAAAGGGTTAGACTTCATTCCGAAGACTAATTCTGATAGACTTCACCAAGAAGTCTAATAGTCAACGTTTATCGGAGTAGACTTCACGATGAAGTCTATTTTCTAAATTCAAAAATTTCAATCAATTGCAAAACTAATCCTATGAAGTCTAATTTTTGTTGTAGACTTCACCGATAGACTTCATTACCTAGTTAGACTTCATTTTTAAGCCTATTCACGATAATGAAGTCTATTTGAAAAAGTCAAAGCTTGGTCAATTGCAAAACTAGTCTTTTTTTTTCGGTAGACTTCACGTGTAGACTTCATAAAAAATTCGTCATTTGAAAAATTGCAAAACTAGTCTATTAGACTTCACAGGGAAGTCTACTAAATAGACTTCCTCGTGAAGTCTACTATTTAATGTTTTATTTGAAAACGCTTTTTTGGAAAATATATAACGAATTTTTAAGATTTTCTTGAACAATTAGTTGAGTTAGTCTGTTTAGTTGCTTGTGTGTTAGTTTGACATGCTTATTCGTTGTATATTTCGTGAAAACGGTTTTCTTGTCAAAATTGAATATTAGACAATACTAGGTAGACTTATAGGTGAAGTCTACCAATGAAGTCTATCAATGAAGTCTAATGCGGTTGGTTTTTGTTTACTTGCAGAAAATGGTTTACATTGCATCTGTTTATGGAGAATGGGTGAGAAAGGACAATTTGTCTTGGCATTTTGAGGTTGATTATCGGAAAGGAGGTAGAATGTTCTCGTTGAGGGATGGTTGTACACATGATGAGCTTATTCAAATGGCTTTAGATGATTATTCGGTGATGAAGATCGGGCACCGTCTAGAATTATCATATCCATTACCACAAGCGTTCACTCAGCAAATGCATATTGATTCTCCGTCCACGTTTGTCACAAACGACAGACAAGTCCAAAGCTTGATCGAGCTAAGTAGAACTCATGTTCTACGACTTTTTGACTCTAGCAAGAGGCGAGAGGATACACTGAGTCTCACAACCAGATACAGCAGAGGTGTCGCTCTTGTATTAATTTGACATTTTTATTTGTTATATATAAAGTGAAAACGGTTTTCTTGCTTGATTAGCACATTAGGTTATTGCAAATAGACTTCTCTGTGAAATCTACTCATGAAGTCCGTTCGAGAAGTTTTACTATTTGTTTGAACTTGGTCCATTTTACCTAGATAAAATGCATCAACATGCTTATATCTGTGCTTTTTAAAAAAATCTGTGAAATCATCTAATGAAGTTTATCTATGAAATCTAATCTTAAATCTAATATCTATTTTGACTTGATTTTTTTAGCTAAGTAAAGTGCATCACAAATGTTTATATTTGGTTTTTTAAGGTGAAATAATCTTATATGAAATATAAGGAAGTCTTATGGTACAATTTTGTTTCCATTGGTTATTTTCTACTATCCATCTAATATAAAATTTGATTCAGATAGACTATTTCATTAATCAACATCATAGACTATTTCTTACACAAACATCATACAAAAATAAGTGTTTCAAAACATAAGTCTTATACTACCATCTAGCCGCCAAAACTGGCTTCAACTTTTCTATGTTGACCCCCACCTCTATGTCTTGCATCACACCTGTGAACTCTTTAGCGTTCAATGATTTCCTCTTTCCCTTGTCTACTTTACTGAAAATTGCACCTACATCTTTCTGTTGCTCAACAAAACCAAAAACCAAGGTAGCAACATATTAAACTCAGCATCTGATACATTAATACAGCACAAATTATATATACAATTATACAAAATCTTGTACCAACTGTATTAAAACTGTGAAAATTAAAAAAGGATTTTTGACTAACTGCAACCTATGTTAATTCATTAAATGGACTACTAAAGCCTTCTTTCACGTTTGTTCAAGAATGCTGCAATCTCAATATCAAATATTTGGCTTACTTGGCTTTGAAATGAAAATTACACATTGCTTTGAGGAAACAAAAAAAAATCGGTTTTGCAAATGAATCTTTCATCATATTGTAATGATTTTGTGTTCAGAAAAATTCAAGAACTTACAATAGAAGCCAATGGACGGTTTTGCTTGCAAAGGAGAAGAGAGCTTTTGTGAGCTTCTCCGCATCTCCAAACCACTGTGCCAAACAATGGAAACAGTTGACATAGTCAGAACAAAAAAAAACACTTGATATAAAATGCATGTAACTGAACCTATAACCAAAAACAATCATAAAAGAGGCAATAAGGTCACTGGAATGTGGATACAGCTATGCAAGGACCTCATATGTATTTAGTTATGCAGTTAAAGCAAATAGCAGAAAGAGATAAACAGAAAAGTTAAACATTTCTCTAGCAAATGTCCATCAAAGTCAAGTTTAATCACAAGACAAGACAGAGACGAAGGATGGAATGAGAGAACAGAGATGAAGTGAGCTAAGACAAACCTTGGGGAAAATGGAGAAGAAGATGGTTATTCTCACCATGTCAATAGTTGCAATTGAACGGTTTTGCTTCAGAGCATCTGCAACCTTTTCAGCTCCCTGACACCATTGAAACATCACAATCTATGACAACAAAGCAAAGACAAACATGGTTTTCGAAATTAGAGAAGTAAACCACACGATCCAACTCCATTATTATGATTGACAACAACAATGAGTCAGAGATTGAATACACAAAGAGAAGTACACAAAAATCTTACACAGAAATTAGAGAAGTACACAAAAATCCACCAGCAACTTATACTAACTCTCATGGAAGCTTGGAAGCTTGAAAGAACAAGAAAAAAAGTAAGACTCCGAATGGTCATAAAACGCACAAAAACAAGCACGGAGCTGCAGTAAAAAAGCGTAGAATTTGACTCATCAACTCAAAGAAGAGGTTCAACAGAACTTACTTGAGACGTTGAGCAGCAGCAACCTTGGTCCCGATTCTCACGGTTGATGCAGCATTGGTTCCAGCGAATTTTGAACAATCTTCATTTAGTCTCCAATCTCTGTTAATCAATCAAACACCAGAGATAAAAATACAAAAATTTAATCACTAAAAGACCTAATATTAAAGAGACATGATTTCTGATTTCATAGGAAGCTGTAATTAGCATCGAATCTATACCTCTCTAAAGCTTTCTTCGACTTCTCTAACTCTCTCTGTTTCCTCAAAGCCCTAGCCTTTGCTTTATCGACGGGACCACCGATGTCCTCCGCGGTTTCCAGAATCCGATCTTCCAAATCCCCAGAATTCTTACATATAACCTGAATGTGGCAAAAATATACCTCATCAGGTAGATGGAAACAAAAGTGAAAAAAACCCACATTCAATAGAGATAAGAACACATTCTCAGCACGAAAATTGAAAACATGAATCAAAGTGAGAGAGAGAGAGAAGCGAGATAATGGCGGTGAAAAGATGAAGCGAGAGAGATTCACCTAGCAGAGAGAGATCCAACGGTGAGAGAGAGATGTGAGGGAGAGAGAGAGGCGGTGGTTATTGGCGACGGAGAGGCGGCAAAGGTTAACAACGGCGAGTGGCTTCATAGTCTCCGGAAGGAAAGGTTGGAGAAGAAGAGAGAAGCGTCAACGAAGGTTGGAGAGGCGAGAAGAATCGGCGGAGGTTCACAGAGAGAGAGAGAGAGAGAGAGAGAGACGCCGTCACAAGTTACAGATTTTTTTCCACAAAATTAGGGTTAATTCATTATATAACAGAACAGGGTTAACTTTTCGGTTTGGTGAAAAAAAATTCGGTTAAATTCGGTTAAGTAGACTTTATAGTAAAGTTTATAAGAGAAGTCTACTAATGAAGTCTACCAAATCAACTAAATTGTATTATAAATTTGTTCGAGTATATTTCGGTTCCCGCCTATTCTCCCAAAATATTTCATTTCCCGCTTGTTTTGTTTTTGAGTTATAAACTTCATCGCGAAGTCTACCAATGAAGTCTACCGATGAAGTTTGACTAACTCTAAACCCTAAATCGAATATATAAGATCAAAACTTATAGTAAACATTAATATGTATATATAATCACAATTTGTATTACAAATTACAAATTTATGAGTTTTAAATCGTTAAACGAATCACAAACATTTTTTTATGTTAAAATTTTCTAAACCCTAATAATGATAATCACAAACCTATACATTAAACCTCAAACATTAAGCTTGATGATTGGTTTACTCATAAAACCTATAAATTGATTTATTTTCATAAAATTTCATTTTATATAAATAGGACTTGTCTTTATATAAATTATGTATAGTTATTTTTATCAAAATTGTTTTTTATAGCTTTTAAACTTTAAATTTAAGATTTTGTTATTTAGCAGATTTTTTTTAGTAGTCTCCACACAATTTTTTTTGGGTTATACCATAATTTGTCTTCTTTGATTTAAATTGATTAATTTATATGAAAATTTATTTTTCATGGATAGTACTTATCTTTGTTAAAATGAGGTGTAAATTTCTTTATCCAAATATTTTTTATAAATTTTAAACGTTAAATTTAAGATTTTACTATAACGTAGACTTCTCAAATAGACTTCACACCGTTTAGAGGTTACAAACCTAATTTCTCTAAGTTGACTTAAATGAATTCATTTTTATGCAAATTTATTTTTCTTGGATGCCAAATGTTTTAATCTTATTTATGTATAATTTGTTTTTATCAAATTAATTTCCAATAATTTTATAATTTAAATTTAAATTGTGATTAGGAAGTAGATTTCATCATGAAGTCTACTACTTCATGAGTAGTCTTTAAACAGAATAAAACAAACATTATGGCCCTCGATTTTTCTTCGCATAAATTCCGGTTCCCGCCCAAAATATTTCGTTTCCCGCTCGCTTTTTTGAATAATAGACTTCATGTCAAAGTCTAACTATGAAGTCTACCGATGAAGTCTGACTTACCCTAAACCCTAAATCGAATTTTTGAGATCAAAGCTATAGAAAACATCAATTATGTATATAATCACAATTTACATTATAAACTATAAATTCATTAGCTTTAAATCGTTAAACAAACCGCAAACAATTTTTTATGTCAAAATTCTCTAAACCCTAACAATCATACTCATAAACCCTATACATTGTACCTCAAACACTAAGCTTGATGATTGGTTTACTCATGAAACTTATAAACTGATTAATTTCCATGAAATTTTATTTTACATAGATAGGATTTGTCTTCATTTAGATTATTTATAATTTTTTTAAGCCTAAATATTTTTTATAGATTTTAAACTTTAAATTTAAGATTTTGTTATTTGGTAGACTTCTTCAGTAGACTTCACACAATATTTTTTGGATTATACCATAATTTGTATTACCGATTTTAAATTGATCAATTTATATGCAAATTTATTTTTCATGGATAGTACTTGTCTTTTTTAAATTATGTGTAAATACCTTCATCAAAATATTTTTAAAGATTTCAAACTTTAAATTTACGATTTTGCTATATATTAGACTTCGGGAATAGACTTCACGCAGTTTATAGGTTACAAACATAATTTCTCTTACTTGAGTTAAATGGAGTCATTTTTATGCAAGTTTATTTTTCTTGGATGCCAAATGTTCTAATCTTATTTATGTATAATTTTTTTGATCAAAACAATTTCCTATAATTTTATAAATTAAATTTGAGTTGTGTTAGGAATTAGACTTCATGAATAGACTAACATGATGTAGACTTCATGAATAGACTTTAAACAGGGTAAAACAGACATTGTGGCTAGCGTTTTTTTCTTTGTTCATAAGGGCTTGGTTTGTAATTCTACATGCCCAGAAGACTAGTTTTGCTCTAAATGCAATATAGGGTCTAGTTTTGCATTTCAAATCAAATTGTGCACTGGCAATTCCCCCATAAATAAAAGTTGGAATTTGACCCCTCCCATTTGTTTCCCAACTTTCCCGTCCACTGTTAATATAAAGTTATAAACATAACAGAAATCGGAGTAAAAAGATAGTGATTTGAGCACATAATATTTGTTGGGAGTCAAATTCCAAGTTTGTTCATTTTATCATTCTTAATTATTTTTCCTTTGTGTATGTATCATTCTTATACCCCTATCATATAAGTTGGTCGGTATTACTTTTTCGCCGACTAGTGACAAGAACATATCAGATTATTTATAAATTAACCGGTAAGAGACCGCATAATACAAAAATATGGTGACAAGGATCATTAACTTTAATCTTTAGTGCAATTAGAGATCAGCCATATGTATTTCAAATTTTCAACCTTATATTTTCCTCAAATCAATATAAGTTTTAATTAATTTTTAAAACATTCGTGGCCTTCAATTTTTCCGCTTTGCTATTTTTTCCCGTTCTTATATTTCTCTCTTCTTTCCCAAACGACGACGTTTTGGTTACGTTTTGTATGCACAAATTTGCAACTTCCCGTGTCCTTTGATTTCTGTTTTGTGATTTACCACGAAACCACTTGGCACCAAAACCTTCTCCTCTTCGCTTCCGAGTTCCATCGTCTCTCTCGTTACGATTATTCTAATTTTCTTGGCGTCGAGTTCGTGATTGAAGATCAACGCTTCTCTACTTCACTCTGATACCGTAGAAACCAAAGAGATCATTCTGCCGAATATTGGGTAAACCTGGGATTCTCACACTTTCTGGGTAAGTGCGAAAACGATTCTTCTTCTTCCTTTCTTTTCGCTTTGATAATTTCGACTTCTTCGTTTGTGTGAGCATTTTCCGTCGTTCCACTTTCTGGGTTTGATTTGTTTCTTTCATCACTGAGAATCTCCCGTAAAAATTTCATCTTTTCCTCTGCTTTATTGGGTCATCAGGATGTTCTTTGCTCTTCCGTTTCTCCGTCTTGATAATCTCTGTGTTTTCCTCTTGATTCTTATTGATCTTGATATCTCTAATTAAAGATACTGATTACGAATACTGAGTTTCGAAATTGAATCAGGTTCTAATATATATCTCTGTACATTGCTCTGTTTGATAATTGCTGTTAAAGTTGCTGACTTTGTGTTCGACGATTTGCTTCAGTGGGATTATTTTCATTTATGGACATTTGATTCTTCATTTCTGAGATTTCACTGGAATCTTGGTTAGAGTAAACATGAAGCAACACTAAGAGAAAGCTGAGAATGGCTGCTTAACTCTGTTACACAACTTATGGTTGCTTCCTGCATTTGATCTCAGCAGACTGAAGAACCCGTTTCTCGCTCACTTCCTCTCTGCAACAGAAGCTATTGTCAATTTGCGTGTTTGATTCGATGGCTTCTTCAGAAGACCACACTCATGGTGATGCTAACATTCCGAAACCTCCTCCTCTTCCTCGTATAACCTACAGGCGTTTTCAAGCTTCCAGCACGAATCCTTCGAGCTCATCACGCCTTGTGCCCAAAGAAACAGTAGAAACTTGGGAGAGGCTTTTCAAAGAAGGAATTGGAGCAGATGCATTCATTGTAACCGATAACTATAATCATTTTCCAGCTCATTCATGTGTCCTGGTGAGTTCTCGTCAAGATATAAATCTGATTTACGATGCTATATGCTCAAAGTTTTGACAAGGTTTCTGTCTTCTGCAGGCTGCAGCCTCACCAGTAATCGCTACACTTCTGGATCAGTCGAGGGGTAAAAATGGAAAACCATATCTCAAAATCTCTGGAGTGCCTTGTGATGTAGTCTACACGTTCATTCGGTTTCTGTACTCGTCCTGGTATGTGTTGGAATGGAAATTGCTTTTGCGATGCTAGTTTCTCTTTTGAAGCATGTCTGATACATAAACCTGCAGCTACGAGGAGGAAGAGATGAAGAAGTTTGTGCTCCAGCTATTGGTTCTGTCACACTGCTACTCTGTCCCATCTCTTAAAAGAGTTTGTGTGGAGGTTCTCGATCAAGGATGGATCAACAAGGAGAATGTGATTGACGTGCTCCAGCTGGCACGAGACTGCGACGCTGAAAGAATTGGCTTTCTATGTGTTTCAATGGTTATCAAAGACTTCAAGTCTATATCTTCAACAGAGGGATGGAAAGTGATGAGCCACACTAATGGTCGTCTCGAACAAGAGCTTATTGAAATCGCCGTAGAAGCAGAACTTCAGAAAGATGAAAGAATGAAAAAGCTCGAGGAGAGGAAAGTGTATCTGGAACTCTATGAAGCCATGGAAGCTCTTGTCCACATATACAGAGAAGGCTGTGGCACAATTGGACCTCGTGATAAAGCCCTTAAAGGAAGCCGAGTCGTCTGTAAGTACCCGGCGTGTAAAGTACTTGAAGCTGCATTTAGACATTTCTTGGGGTGCACGTCTAGGGCTTTGTGTCTTCAGTGCAAGCGGATGGGACAGCTTCTGCAGCTTCACTCTTGTATCTGTGATGATGATCATGACTATGATTCGGATTCTTGCAATGTCCCTCTCTGCCGGTAAGTTTCCATTGCGCATTACAGATAAGTCCAATCTTTATATAGATATACAGATTGTAATCATTTTGTTAATCATGTAGGAATTTCAAGGAGAAAATGAAGAGGCTTAGCGAGAAAGAAGAATCTATGTGGAGATTGCTTGCGGAAAACGTTATAAAAGCGAGGAACAGTAGTAGGTTATTCTCTTCACGTCGTTCTGGTTCGATATAAGATAGGTTTTAGAGTCATTAGAGTGTAAATACAAGGGAAAATGATGGCGACTATGTGCGCAGGGTATATAGCGCAAGAACAAGGCGCACACTAGTGGTTTTGAACAAACATTGGTTTTAGATAGATACGTGCGGAGTCATGATCCGTGACAGTATTGTAAAGAAGTTTTCGCATCATTTCACAACTATTTTTGTATAAATTTGTGCTGTACATTTTAAAAGTGTATAAAATTTGTTCTCAAACGACTTTAAAGGCAGATAAAAGATGATGAAGCATTGAAGCTAATGTTATCTTTATCATGCTCATCATGTCTAAATAGTAAATACATAAGCAAGTTGACTTTTGACTTGGCTAAGTCACCGAGAGCAAGTAGCTAATAAAAATAACTGAACTTCCAATTTGTTTAAGCTTGGTCCTGAGAGTTTACCTCCAAAATAATTATTTTTTCGTCTTTTAAGTACAAACTTCATCACATCATTTTTGGTTGTCTTTATTTTTCTTCCTTTTTTTCCAAAAAAACAGACGAAGATGGAAAAATTTCGCTATTTGATACATTCAGCAGCATTTGCATTGTGTCTCGTCGTTTCAGTTCTTTCCCAAGATCAGTCAGGTTTCTTAACTGATTCTTTTATTTTTAGTAGTAAGTAGTTGTAATGAAGAAATTATAATCCGTTACTCATAAGTCATAACTATGTGGATCAAAATGTCTAGGCTTCATAAGCATTGACTGTGGGATTCCAAGTGGATCATCGTACACAGACGACACAACGGGCATAAACTACGTCTCAGATTCATCTTTCGTCGAAACCGGAGTCTCCAAATCGATCTCTTTCGAAGCTCCAAGACAACTTCAGAACCTGAGGAGCTTTCCGGAAGGTTCGAGGAATTGCTACACTCTGATTCCAAAACAGGGGAAAGGCAAGAAGTACCTCATAAGAACCAGTTTCCTGTACGGTAACTACGACGGAGAAAGCGGTTCGGTTTTTGATCTGTTCCTTGGAGGAAATATCTGGGACACTGTGTCTTTAAACAATACACCCGTCCCTGTGACCAAAGAAGTCGTTTACTTTAGCCAATCTGAGAATATATTTGTCTGTTTGGGTAACAAAGGCAAAGGAACTCCATTTATCTCGACTATAGAGCTTCGATTTCTCGGGAACGACAATACAACATACGAATCTCCAAATGGTGCACTGTTCTTCTCCAGACGCTGGGACTTTGGCTCTTTCATGGAGTCACCCGTCAGGTAAATCTCTGTTTCATGCTTCTTACTCTGTTTTTTTGCTCTGTTTCATGCTTTTTGCTCTGTTTCTGTAGCTCTTTGTTTACTATTCTCGCCCATAACGGAATAAAAACTCGAAATATTTTGTTTTGTTTGTAAAACAGATATAATGACGATGTATATGACCGAATCTGGATTCCTCGCAATTTCGGCAGCGATTATAGAGAGATCAATACATCACTCCCAGTGATCTCAGGTAATGATGGCTACAGCCTTCCTAGTTTGGTTATGAGCACAGCACTGACTCCCACAAACACAGCAAAACCAATCACCATGATCTTGGATAACAGTGATCCAAAAGTCAGATACTTTGCTTACATGCATTTCGCTGAGGTCGAAGATCTCAGTCTCAAACCAAACCAGACCAGAGAGTTCGAGATCCGCATCAACGGAGTGAGAATTGCTGACGTCAGTCCCAAGTATCTTCAAACAGAGACAGTTTTCCTGAAGCCTGAGAGCCAAACAGATATTAGGTTTACGCTCGAGAGAACCCCCAAGTCTACACTTCCGCCAATCGTTAATGCTCTGGAGATATACATCGGCAATAGTTTCTCGCAGTCTTTCACTAGCAAAGAGGACGGTATGTGCCTAATAAAATGACTAAAAACAAAATTCAATCCTTTTCATAGTTTGATCAATGGTTGAAGCTTATAGATGACGCGGCTACGAGTATAAAGGCGAGTTATAAAGTGAAGAAAAACTGGCAAGGAGATCCTTGTTTGCCTAGTGTCTACATTTGGGAGGGCCTTGACTGTAGTTATGATAGTCTTACTCCTCCCAGAATCACATCACTGTAAGTGTAGTTTATTTAATCTTCATCTTTTCTTGATCAATCTGTAGATTCTGTGAAATGGTTGAAATAATTGTTGCTTGGATGCAGGAACTTAACATCTAGCGGATTAACGGGTCGCATATCTCCATCCTTCTCTAACCTCACAATGATTCAAGAGCTGTGAGTTTATCTACTCAAGACAACACCAATGTTTTTTTTTGTATTTTGTTAGAGAGATTCTTGACATGAACAAGCAAACTCTTTTTATCTTCCTAACCGGCAGAGACTTATCAAACAATGGCTTAACCGGAGACATTCCAGAGTTTCTGTCAAGACTGAAGTTCTTGAGGGTTTTGTAAGTTACATATATCGATACAACGACAGCAAACTGACTATAAAGCTAACGATGGACTATATATCTCAATAAATCTGCAGAAACCTAGAGAAAAACAAGCTTACAGGTTCGGTTCCATCCGAGTTGTTAGAAAGGTCAAAAAGCGGATCGCTATCCTTCAGGTTCGGAGATAATCAGGGACTCTGTACAGAGATTGCTTGCGTAAAAAGTAACAAGAAAACACTTGTGACCGCGATTGGCGCATCATGTGCAGCCTTGTTCATTCTCCTGTTACTGTCTGGTGTATTTTGGATGATCAATAAACGAAAGAAAAAGTCCGGTATATATCCATCTTTTTTTAACTTATCTATCTTGTCTATCACGGTACTAATTGTCAAAAACTTCCCATGCAAAGTAAACTCTGCGGTGGAAAAAGATGCAGACAACGGGATCAGACACAGTCCGGCGGAGAAAAAATTATTGTTTACCTTTGCAGACGTTGTAAAGATGACAAATAATTTCGGTCGTGTCCTCGGTAAAGGAGGTTTTGGAACAGTCTACCATGGCTACTACAACAACCTTCAAGTCGCTGTTAAACTTTTATCAGAAACATCAGCTCAAGGTATCAAAGAGTTTCGCTCAGAGGTAATATAGATTTTCAGATGTTGATTACAAAATGATAAGCAAACACTTCCTTAGTTCCTTCAAGAGCATCAGCACCAATATATGCATATTCGTATTCGTATAGGTCGAAGTTCTTGGAAGGGTTCATCATGTAAACCTCACTGCGCTGATCGGTTATTTCCATAATGCTGAAAAAATGGGATTGGTCTATGAGTTCATGGCTAATGGAAACATGGCGGATCATCTCGCGGGAAAATATGACCATACATTGAGCTGGACACAAAGACTTCAGATTGCACTTGATGCAGCACAAGGTATGATGAACCAAAGTTTTCGTCTTTTTTTGTTTTAACTCTTAAAACTAATCCCAAAAGTTTTAATCTTTCACGATAATATCCATGAAGGGCTTGAGTATCTTCACTGTGGATGTAAACCTGCGATAGTTCACAGAGATGTGAAGACTTCTAACATATTGTTAAACGATAGAAACAGAGCAAAGCTTGCAGATTTCGGACTTTCCCGGAGTTTTCAAACAGATTCTCGTTCTAACGTTTCCACTCTAGTAGCTGGAACTCCTGGATATCTCGATCCACTGTCAGTATTCTCTCTTATCTCCGCCGCGATTCACCGGATAAAGAAAACATTTTGAGTATTCTTTGTGGTTAAGTTCTGTTTTTCAAACAATGTGCAGATGCTTCAAGACGAATGGGTTAAACCATAAGAGTGACATATACAGCTTTGGGGTTGTGCTATTGGAGATGATTACGGGGAAAAATGCGATCGATGAGTCACAAACGGAGCGTGTTCACGTGAGTGATTGGGTGGTCTCGATCTTGAAGTCTACGAATGATGTGAGTAATGTTGTAGATTCAAAGTTGGCGAAAGACTTTGATCCAAACTCTGTCTGGAAAATTGTGGAGCTTGCTTTGGCCTCTGTTTCGCTTAACGTCTCTGAGAGGCCTGACATGAAACAGATTGTTGTAGGATTGAAGGAGTGCCTTGCAAGAGAAGAGAGTTGCAAGAATTATTGATGTCATCACTCACAACACAAAGGTGTAAAATGTTGAATTTTTTGAAGGCTTTAAAGTTTGTTTTGTTGTATGTAAAGCCCAAACTAATGGAATAAATACTGTATGTAAAGCCCAAACTAACGGATTGTTCTTTTCTGATGCAAAGTGTACTTAAAAAACTATCATCAGTAGTAGTGTAATTAGTTAACAAAAATACATTTGTTTGACAACAAAAAACATTTTATGATTATCCAAAAAAAGTAGAATTAAAAACAAAAAATGAATAGCAAAGAAAAATAAATAACAAAGAAAAATAAACATTCTAATCCGGTCGCCACAAAGAAAAATAAATAAAGAGAGGACAAAGAAGAAGATAGTGACAAGAAGGCAAAGACCAAAAACGCGTGGGGCCCTACGTACCTTTTGAAGAAAACGCTGATTCCTTTGGACTTTTGCGTCGCACGGTCTGTGCTTCTGTCCCCACAAATCTCTCTTATTCATTTTAAAACTCACGCGATCGCAACCTCATTGTCTGCGTTTCAAAACGCGCTTCTCCTAACCGCTCCACGTTAATGATTCATAGCGCGAGTTCGGTGTTCGTGCCCACTCGCGCGCGTTTCCTTTATATTGAAGTCAGACAGATTTAATTTTGTCTTACTTGTCTTTCAGTTAATTTAAGAGAGTTAATAGTTCAGAAATCTTACAATCAAATCTAACTAGCTTACCATCATTCTACATTAAATTCTCTTGTAATTAATACGGATGCTTAGTTTACAGATGTTTATGAACTGTTTTAATTAATAAAAGTATAATTGTGTGGATTACTGTATTTAATAAATAATGCTAAGACTTAAGAAAAAAGTGTAATTGTTTGTTTTCTTTAACTAGAATAGTATATATGTTGAGAAGTGATGTTTTCTTTCTATTGTGCAACCGATTGATTGATCTGATTGATGTATGTATTTATCTTGAAATATCAACAACTCAGAGAATTGTACTGGCTGTGAGTAGAGCCCGATTCCTTAATACCTCTCTCGTTGATATTTTGGTTAATTTCAAAGAGAAGAGAACAAAATTCCAAGAAAGAGAAAGCAGAAAAGCAAAAAGTGGAAAAGAAAAGATTGATGGGTGCAGAGAGTTGGTCAAATAATTTGACAAAATAAATAACCTTCCAAATGTCACTATCAAAAGAAGAAGAAAATAGTTCTTCTCTATCTACAAACAATAATGAGTTTTGTTGAAAATAATAAAAGCGACTTCTACCTGGGACTTGTATTATTATATAACTACAAGAGGACTTTCTCTCCATCTCCATGGGTTGCATAATAGCTGTCAAGATATGATGAAATAACAACATATCCAATGGTTGCCACGAACAGCATTATTAGAAATTATAAAACTAGTTCAGTAGTTTGTAATTTAACTAGAATAATAGGAGTTATTCGGGGTAAAACAAAATGCAATTAGTCTCAGCACTAGAGACTCTAGAACAACTAGGAATTAGTCTTTACTCTTTAGTCATCTTTTTACTATAAACAGTTTGCAGAGTTGTCAAAGAGTAGTAGATGGTGTGGGGGCATGCTTCCAAATTTTCGTAACGATGTCAATTAGTCTTCCAAGTACTCAAGAGTTCCTTTAACCCAATTTACCTATAAATTATACTCCAAACAATCAAATTGCGAAAAATGAACTTCCTAGCTCGGTTGTGTACTTTTAGAATTTTTGAACCATTTCTAACGATGATTTAATGCTTTTCTTTAACTAGGCAGATGTTAATATTGTAGATCCTGGTACAGCTGTATTGCAAAGTCAAGATGTCATTGGACCATATGAATAGCATATATATTTCTTATGTGAGGACAAGAAATTGCGTGACATTAAAATTAACGAGGCCTGAGTAGCTCTGATTTCTACTATCTGAACAAATTTGTAGCCTCTAGTAATAAAGTTACAGTCGATGGACACAAAAGTCACAAAACTACAAAATATTGATTGTCGATAAAAATGAAAAGTCTCGAGAAATTATTAAAATTGATGGAGAATTTATAAATGACACCCAAAAAAGGTTTAGAAGAAAAAGACATAAAAAGCAGTTCCCTTCAATCTGCTTTCGTTTGGTTTTAGCATACACAGACACAATTTCTTCTCACACTCTCTCTCTCCTTTTCACACGCCGAGATTTCTGCGACTGCTTAAATCTCACGACCTTTAAAGAAACGACACCATTTTCACTCAGTCTGAGCTCTTTATCTTGATATTGGACATCATTTAAGTGCAAAACGAAGGAAAAGACCAAGATGTATAAACTAAACAAGGGTTTGGAGCTTTGCCTTTTGGACTGAGTAAACTCAAAAGAGAGAGAGAGAGAGTGAGAGAGAGAGAGAGAAACATTTCCCTGTCTTATCGGGTTTTGTGTTGTCAGAAGCTGAAGGACAAGAAGCAATTTACTTTTAGGTTTTAAAGGAAGAAAAATTGGAGCTTTGACAAGTTCTCGGTGGTGTTCTCAAAGAACAAAGCTTTTTCTTAGATTCTTCTGCCAAAATTGTGAGTCTATCTCTCTCCGTAAGTTCTCTCTCGGCTCTGTTTCTTTCTACTTCTGCTCTGTTTGTTCTCTTCACTTTTGGCTTAATTATACAAACTTTAACTGTTTAAAAGCTAATCTCTTGCATATTTACTCTTCTCTCCTCTGCTTGTTACTAATCTTCAGTCGGATTATGTTTCGGTTTAGTTTAGAAAATTCCCTTGACCAGAAAAAAAGTTACCATCTTTGATAATACTAACAGTTTCTACTGTAATGCAAGAAGTAATTTTCTAGTTTAAATTGGTCAATAATTTCTTGAGAGAGACTCTTTATTCTCCTCTGATCCGTGGAGGATTTGTTTTTTGGGGTTTCCCCTGTTTTTAGGGACGCAAAGTGATTCATGCATATATGATGTTATTGTCAGTTTATGAGTTTATGGAAATAGTTTAAGCAACATGATATTTAGTCTTTTGTTTGAGCTTTATAATTGAGCTTAGAAATCTTAAAATAATGCTTAACTCTTAAGCTGATGTGAACTTAAGGCCTAGCCTCTGACCACAAATCCTTGCCTACTTCGTTGACCATACCTTTGTCTTGGGCTTAATATTCTAGTCCAAGTCCTGTCTTGATCCAAAACACTCATCTATAGATCTTGTAGTCACTTTGGTCTGTAATTTGCATTAGGATGGTAACCTCGTACCTCATGTGAAACGTCTTCTTGTAGAGGTTTGGTCTGTTTTGATGTGTTTCCTCTGTTTTGCTCATTAACAAAGGAATGGAATTCTCTAGAGACGCAGGAATGATGATGGAGAATAAGCGGAACGTCTGTTCTCTCGAAGAAGGCAGCATCAAACGCCACAAGTCTGATCTCTCTTTCAATTCCAAGGTCTTTCCTTAACCTATCTTTCATGGATTTGACAGTCGAAAGAGTTTTTGGTCTCTGGTTCTACAAGACCAACAAGGGGATGATCATTTCGTTTTTGTTCTCTTAATGGCTAAAACAGGAGAGGAAGGATAAAGTTGGAGAACGTATTTCAGCTCTTCAACAGATAGTTTCCCCTTATGGAAAGGTAACTCTTTGTTATCACAAGATCAAGACTTTTCATCTTCTCTCCGCACATACTTTTCTCGTCTAATCTTCTTCCTGATCATGCCACAGACAGACACTGCATCAGTCCTGCTAGACGCAATGCACTACATAGGGTTCCTGCATGAACAAGTGAAGGTCTCTGCAACTTTCTCGTTCAATACCATTACGAGGCATGATTCTTTCAACTATACCTAAGTTTTCGTATTTTTTGTACAGGTTCTAAGTGCTCCTTATTTGCAAACAGTGTCCGCTGCTACTCAGGTGAGCATGATCTTGAATCTTGAACCCATTTCTACTTGGCCCACTATTTCTATTTTCTACATTTGAAGGATCTGCACTTGGGACTTGAATATCTTGCACGGACTGATTTTTATGTCTTGATAACCAGGAGGAGCTGGATGGATACAGCCTGAGAAACAGAGGATTATGTCTTGTTCCAATGGAGTACACAGAAGGAGTTGCTCAGAGCAATGGTGCTGATATATGGACGTCCGTGAAGACTCCTCCATCTCCAGCTTTCAGTGTCAACTCTCAGTCACCCTTTAGATGACCGATTCAATCTTCACAACCTACTAAGATCTTTGTGATCTTAACCAATTGTTATTATTCTGATGATGCCTCTGTATCATATATATATAGACAGAGAGGCACAGGAATTTGTTTTAAGAATGGTTGGCGCTGGCTGTTATTATTTGACTGCCTATTATTTGACCTTATGCTATGTAATTTGTCCAAATAGAAACCAAATGATGCTAATCGAAAGTAATCTTTTATGCCGAAATTTGTCTAAGATATCAAAGTTTATTTTGGTGTGATCTTACCAAAACTATCGTTTTGTAATGTAGTAACTTAGTGAGATTAACGCACAACACAAGAGAAATGGATTTTGCTTGTAACAATACCAAACAGCTAATCACAAACTTCACATTACCCTTTCATAAGAACATTCAGTTGATGAACTGAAGAGTGATGAAAACATTACTACTGAGATTGGAAAGGTTTAGAACATACAGACTGCTGATGCCGAGGGACCAAATAGCTTGGAAAAAAGTAAAGATAAGTCGATCACAGTTTGTTGTTGACTATTAAATCACTAAGGTTTCACCCCCGAGATAGTGGATCACACTAACTTGCTGAAGTAGGCTTGACCTTCTCTCGCATATACTGCAGTAGATGCTCCCGTTTCCAGTTGTCGATTCTGCAAAGCAAGCAAAAATCAAGAAACAAAGAGAAGCCAGTTACAACTTTTTCGGAATGAAGCTCTTTTATGCTCCTTGGCATCATCAGGGACAATGAGTAAGAATATTCCAGAGGAAGGAGTTAAAAGTTCATCTTATTCATTTACCTTATAGTTTCCTTATGTTCACCATCTTCATCAAGCATGATCAACTTGGGTGGTGAGTTGAATATGTACTGAACTTTCACGCTTGGGAACTTTTCTTTTTCTTCTTCAATGAAACCAACAATTTCTGGATAGAAGACCAACTTCCTCATACACACCTCTAATATAGCCCCCGAATAGGTAACCTGCAGTCGCAAAAAAAAAAAAAAATGTTATCGAGCCATGACTCTCCATTTAATCAATTCCCGGTGAAGTTCCAGTTTCAAAAAGCATACCTTGCTCATTGAATCCTCAGAATCATCAGCGCAGCATTTCAAGCAATCAGATACCAACTCTACGGATACAGTACTCATGTATAAGATAACCAAGTTTGTAAATAATTTGACAAGATTGTTGAATAGGATATGATATTTTCCCAAAGAGTTTGATTCCCATCCAAATCGTGCAGAAAATATTGCTTTAGCTCTGATCTCAGATTCTGAGAGACCAGAGAAATTCCAATTTAGTAATTTTCTGTTCATTCTTCTCCTTCTAAGAGAATCATGTAGCTCACAATTCACAAAACTAAAGACATTCTCTTCTTCTACCGAAACTATCTTAAGCAATCCTAATCCACAATCTACATAACAGATCATCGCATATTCCGATTTTTTTTCTGGGGAAAAGCAATCGCTAATCGAGATTCCGATCAAAAGTCTACTCAAATTAACCAGGCGTCGGAAGGAACGAACCTTGATCCTTAACGTATTCAGAGAGAGAGTGGCAATCGGAGCAGAGAGCGAGACCGGTAAATCCTAGATCCTCACATTCTTTACTGCTCAGCTGCTCTTTCGCTGAGATCGTCCATGTCAACATCAGAATCATCACCATCATTTTCGCTGATAACACAACCATCTTCGACCACGCTCCAGCCATCTCTCTCTTTCTCATCAACAGATCCTCCACCAAAGTCTTTGTAGATCCGACGACGAAGCGACTGAAATGTTGATTCCGGTTTCAAATGTCCAGAAATTCAATTGGTACCTGGTAGAGGACATCATCTCCGGTTTATTAAAAATTTGGGCTATAGAAAACCGGAAAGCCTTAACCGACGTGAAGAAAAATGTTAAAACCCAATTCACCGATCCATTGCACACGCCTGCGAATCTTTAAACCCCTTAAACCCTAAATCGAAATTACCTTCGCGAGAGAGAGAGAGAGAGACGATGGATCACATAGCAGCGGCGGAAGAGCAGATCGTGTCGGAGAGGATTAGAAGAAAACTCGAAGAAGTAAACGCAGCTGCTCAGTCTCAGCTCTCTCCTATTCAGGATCATATCAATTTCACCCTTCAGGTTGGTATATACAATTCTGTAAATTGGCCAAATTTCCGAATTTCTCTTGAATGTATTGATCTTCTGTCTTGTAACAAATTAGGGGAAGCGAAATAATAGCAAAAAAACATATTTTTACTAAGCTAATTCAAGGGCAGACATAGTTAGTAAACCTCTCTTGTAATGAATCTCTTTTCTATTGAAGTTTTTACTAAGTTTTCTGAGCTAAATTCTGCTGCCGGATATGAGATTTTGATACAATCTGTGTAGTTAAAAAAGACCTCTCCTTTAACTTGAAATTTTGGTCTTTTAGGGTAATTTGATATGAAGAATGGCTTGTTTTACTTATTTTGATTATCTCTACAACTAAAGCCCAAGTTTTATGATAGTGGATTGTTTTCGTGTTATTATTCGTTCCCAATAACACCAGTTTCTGTTAAGCTGATCTCTCTATGGAAAAATGAAAAATTGCAGCAAGCGTATTTCAAATGTGCATACGAGTGCTTTGACAGAAGCAGGAAGCAAGAGGAGATAGCCAACTGCGTTGAGCGCTGCAGTGTTCCAGTTGTCAATTCCCAACAGCATTTCGAAAGCGAAATGGCTCAGTTTCAGGTTAATATACATGATTATACATATATATAAGTTAACTCACAAGGCATGCTTTTTGCTATCTACTGAAACTGCAATTCTTGTTATCTGTTTCATTCAGGAAAGGATGAACAGATCTCTCATGGTCTGTCAAGACAAGTTCGAGGCTTCAAAGCTCCACAAGAACCGGGTTGATTCGGCCAAAGATATGGAGAGCTGCGTGAACCAATCCATTGAGGAGAGTCTCAACACATTGCCTCATATTGTGCAGAGGATGAAGACAGCCTTCTCCATTCGCGACTAATAATAACCCCACTAGCATCTTTTACTCTCGTGCGGCTCATCATAATCCTTTTTCATCATCAACCAATAGAACAGCCAATGGATTTGTAGGAGTTGGGTTAGTGTTTTAAGTTTGTATCCCTTTTACTTTTGATGTTGATCCTTTCAAATTCATTTGTCTGTTATTGGTGATTGTTTGAGATTTTGTGTCGACATTATGACGAGAATTTACTCAAGCAAAATGTCTTGTGCTTTATTTTAAGGGTTGTCTCGTTACTTTTAAGAACATATCTTGAATACTTATGCTTACTACTGTATTATGTCTCGTTACTTTTAAGAACATCTCGTTATTTATATATATGGAGTCGGAGATGTGATATGTTAACCGGATAGCCTCAATTTCAAAAATACATTATCTTTTGAACCGAACCAAATCGGATCTGATTTTATCCGGTCTTCTAACTTAGTCCAAATTCGGGTTTAGAGATTAAGAAAATTCCATCGAATGGGTGTCCTTCCCGTCGTCGGAATTCCTTCGCCGGCGCTACAACCCCGCAAAATTCACGCCATTCCGAAGATTCAAAACACTAATCAATCTACCTCCGGAACCACTGTTTCATGGACTTCTCGCATCACTCTCCTCTCACGCAATGGTCGATTAGCCGAGGCAGCCAAGGAATTCTCCGATATGCGACTCGCCGGCGTCGAGCCTAACCACATCACTTTCATCGCCCTACTCTCTGGCTGTGGTGATTTCCCCTCCGGTAGTGAAGCCTTGGGCGATTTGCTTCATGGCTATGCTTGCAAACTCGGACTCGCTAGAAACCATGTCATGGTTGGCACCGCGATCCTCGGCATGTACTCCAAACGCCGTCGTTTTCGTAAGGCTAGATTGGTTTTTGACTACATGCAAGACAGAAATTCGGTAACTTGGAATACAATGATCGATGGGTACATGAGGAATGGTCAAGTCCACGACGCGGTCAAGTTGTTCGACGAAATGCCTGAGAGAGACTTGATTTCCTGGACAGCTATGATAAATGGGTTTGTTAAGAAAGGCTTTCACGAGGAAGCTTTGGCGTGGTTCCGTGAGATGCAGTTTTCTGGAGTAAAACCAGATTACGTTGCCATTATCGCTGCTCTTGCCGCTTGCACAAACCTTGGTGCTCTCTCGTTTGGATTATGGGTGCATCGTTATGTTCTGAGTCACGATTTCAAGAACAATGTCAGAGTGAGTAATTCTCTGATTGATCTGTATTGCCGATGCGGGTGTGTGGAGTTTGCTAGACAAGTTTTTGACAAAATGGAGAAACGAAGCGTGGTTTCATGGAACTCAGTCATTGTTGGTTTTGCTGCTAACGGGCATGCAAATGAATCTTTGGTATACTTCAGAAGAATGCAAGAAGAAGGGTTTAAACCTGACGCAGTCACTTTCACAGGGGCGTTAACGGCTTGTAGCCATGTAGGTCTAGTTGATGAAGGTGTTCGATATTTCAGAACTATGAGAAGTGATCACAGAATCTCGCCTCGGATTGAACATTACGGTTGCTTGGTGGATTTGTATAGCCGGGCTGGGAGACTGGAAGATGCTTTGAAAGTGGTACAGAGCATGCCTATGAAGCCAAATGAAGTTGTGATTGGCTCTTTGCTTGCAGCATGCAGGACTTATGGGAACGATACGGAGTTAGCAGAGAGGCTGATGAAGCATCTTAGTGAGGTTAACGTGAAGAGCCATTCGAATTATGTGATTCTCTCTAACATGTATGCTGCTGATGAGAAATGGGAAGGAGCAAGTAAGATGAGAAGGAAGATGAAGGGTCTTGGACTAAGGAAGCAGCCTGGGTTTAGTTCGATAGAGATTGATGATTCCACGCATGTGTTCATGGCCGGTGACAGTGCCCATGTCGAGACTTCTTATATCCGCGAGGTCCTCGAGCTTATTTCTTCTGATTTGCGGTTACAGGGCTATGATCTCCTTAATGATTGAAATCCAGGGACTTTCACATCTCACCATTTTTGTTGAAGTCAGATTGGCGAATTACAGAGCTTCATTACTATTATACATGTGATCTAGATGCAAGGTAAGTGACAATGCCTCCATAAGATCAAACACACTGATCACAAAGAAGCCCTTTTCGTAGTTTTGGAGATGCTGAACTCTGGGATAAAACCATTGATGCTAAACCTGGTGGGGAAATGATTACCCGTTCTTTGATAGTAAATGGTAACCTGAATCTGTCTGGACATATTATGGTTAAATACTGCTGTTTGGCTGTTTGGCTGTTTGCTGTCAATAGTAAACAGTTGATTAGTTTTCACACTTGAAATACAGTTATGTTTGCGTGGGGTTTGTATGACCTCGAGAATATTCTAGCATTAGTCAACCTTTTAACATTTTCTTATTTGAAAAGAGACTAGAATTAAAGATCATGACAACGATGTGAAGAATATGGGACTATAATCCCTCACAGATACATGTGAATAACGATATGAAATAGCAAACAAATATTAAGAACGTGATCTATATTCCTCCTAGGAAATCACTTAAGATTCTTTCTTTGGAGTCTCTGAACCAAGGCTGGGCGGTAGTGTTTTAGCACTAAGATAAAAACCGATAGATAAGAGACCAGAGATAGAGTAGTAAGACCCATGAAAACCACCAAACTGACAGGACTTTCCAAGATTGTAGGAAAAAGATCTTGGGTCGCTAAACTGGCTCTGCAGATATGGGTTAGTTACACCAAACGGACCATACTCCTGGATGTTGGTAGTGAAAGTGATCACTTTAATGTTATCAGACTTATCAGAATATAGACCATTGACTCCAGTAATATACTCAGCAGGATGGTTCAACTCGATCTGCAGAGTGGTGGCAGTTGATTGTGAAAAATTCAGAGGACGATCTATGTAGATAAAAATAAAAATTGAAACTATTGTGGAGACGGTCACATGGCTTTTACTTACGGTGTGAAACTTATATGTACTGCCCTGAGTACCGTATAGTTTGGATAACACGTATTCTCCATTTTCCACGTATTGGAACTGGATCGACATTATCCCGTCGTCTCCTCCTGAAACGAAAATCTGGGAGATTTCACTGCGACCTTTAAGATCAAAATAGTCACTGTAGCGACTATACCTTTCTGCTGGACCAACTTTGATCAATCTGTGACATTAAAACGACAAATGTTGATTCAGCCAACTTATTATTGATAAATTCTCAAATTTGAAGAGGCTTTCACAGAAAAAAAAAAAAACAAAAAAAAAGACGATTAATTAACAAGACCTGGTTTCAGAAGTCATCCTTTTCTTTGTATTTGTTGTATTTGTTATTGAATGATTCTTCTAAGAAAATCAGAATATATAGAGTAGGAATATAAAAAGTTGTGGCGCTGATTTTAAGTGTAGTTTGAACATTGTCAAGGAGGGATCGCAAAGGTCCAGTCAAATCATACGTTTCCGAAAAGTTCCTTTGTTAATGTGCAAACTTTAATGCATTCTTTTCTGAATGCATTAAATGAACACAAAGATTTTGTGAATAATGATCGTTGATGATCAGTATTATGCGCAGTAGAGAAAGAATAACGCCACTTTATTAATTCGTACATAAAACTGTAGAAGCATTTGGTAGTATAATCGGGAGAATAATATTTAGTATACAAACATTTTCAACCTAAATGAATTTTTGACTCAATTTCCTCTGCATTGCTCGTATCGATTTTGGGTTGAACTGTTTTAGGCCGGAGGTAAACACCAATGTATTGTAGTCCCGAGGCATCGTAAGTCCCATAGAAACCGCCGAACTGAGGAGATTTCCCGAGTTTAAACGCGAACTTTTCGTAGCTAGAACCGGAGGTGCCAAAAGGACCGTACTCACTAGTGTTGGTAGTGAATTTGAGAGACCTTATGTGAGGATTGCTTGCTTCGTACTTGTAATACTCTCCACTTAATCCAGTTATGTACTCATGCGGATAGTCCAGCTCTATCTGCTGGTTCCAAATCACAGACATGTTTTTAGTTATAAACCTTGTGACAAAATACCTTATATAACCATGTTCATGGATCATGATGTTATACTAAATATTTTTTATTAAATAAAATGAAATCCCAACGTATAGCTCCAATGAAAAATTACATTGGCTTGTCCAACGACTCTAACCCTATCCTTACGTTTTAGTTGTCATCAAATTTGTGATTGGGAAAAAGAAGAGACTTACGACGTCAAACATGTTGCCAGAAACTGGACCGTAACGGTCGGATAAGACGAGCTTTCCGTCGATCACGAACTGGAATTGGATAGACATGATTCCTCCGGCACCATGAGATAGAAATATCTGAGAGACGATGCCATTGTGACTTCCTTCGTCCCAATTTACAATTGTACTGCTTCGAGCATCATGCTTTCCTACTGGTCCTATCTTCATCTTTCCTTCCATTATTTTTCTCTGACCAAAACTCGAAGCTTTCGATTGGTTATAACAAGAATAGGGCAACATAAAGTTCAAATATAGAGATCTCATAGTACTTTCTAAGTTTGCGACCTCAGATTGGAATATTCCTTTCCAATCTTCTATAACTTCACTTAATTTCATCTTCCTAAGCTTCCTTTCTATTAGCCAAAATTATAAGATAAACACTTTACAAATATATATGAGTCTAATAGTAGTTATCTTTTCCATTTGCTTACAAATAACGACTAAGAAGTTTTGTTGTTGTTGTACGTTGTTGCAAATAGTGAAATAGGTTGTTTATACAAGTATCAAATCAGGATATGCTGACAAAAACAAATTTTAGAATAACGAGCTACAAAGACACGAAAAAAGCTAATATTAAAAGTAACAAAAATAAATAAATAAACACATCCGTTGGCATCTTGGTTGCTTGATCTTCATTCCATAACGCTTCAATCACTTCCTTTTTAGCATTCTCCGCCAAAGTTAACTGTTTTAAAACGAAAAAAAAAAAAACAATTTTCAATATGAAAGTTTACACATTACTTTTCAAATTAGTATTTTTATAGGTTAAAATTTCACCACATTTTTTAAATAAGAGAATCAAATGTATAAAACTGCATAAATGAAGAGTTTACACTTTGCATCACAAAAGAACAAAACCTAAAAACTATAAGCAAATCCATTTCCTTCCTTGCATATATGCTTTTACTCTTATAACACTTATGTCCAAAATGACTTTGTAGGCTGCGTATGGATCCTGCTGGCTATACCGATCCCGAAACACCAACACCCATGCCACATGCCGCTGCTTATGGTGCATATCCTGTTCAGGTAATCAAAAAAGTTCTTCATATACCGCGAGGCTATGATCCTCTAATGGTGTACGCGGCAATCAAGAGAGAAATGGAAGACTTAGGCTTTTTAGGTCCTCTCAACATTGAGGTTGTTGCAGTGGAGGGTCGTATACCTATGGACATCTTGAAAAGGCTCAAGCGAACTGGGATTAAGTTCATTTCAGCGGACCACAGTGGACCTCAAGCATCAAATGAACTTAATCCCAGCTTTGCATCTGAGTCTTTTGATTTAGCCTTTGGTTACGTTGGAGTTGACTCATCGCTGAGAAAATTGTATCTCGAATATGAGATGAAGCTGGACAATGATCCAGTCTATGGTGGTAACTCAGCGAGAATTGACAACATTGAAGCCCAGGAATTGACCGAGAAGAGATGTCTTGAAGATAAAATTACAAAGTTCGACCTACTACTCTTGGAGATCTTGTTAATTGGCACCAGCTTCTCGACTTTGTAGAGAAGATTGAAAACGTCCCCGTCCAGGTATGAGATCTTGTTAATTGGCACCAATTCAATTGTTTATTTTTCAATAGGTTTCCAGACAGTATGAAAAATGCCTAGTAGCATGTGCAAACTATCCAGAGTTCTGGATACGATATGTCTTAGACATGAAAACTAGAGGAAGTGCAGACATTGTTGACATGACCCTTGCTCGAGCTACACTAATCTTTGTCAAGCTCTCCAACTCATGATTTTTTTTGTAGAATAACTTTTGACATACTTTGGCTTGCCAAAATCAACCACAGATTCACCTTTTTGCTGCTCAGTTAAAAGAGCACAATGGGGATATAAGTGGTGCTAGAGCTGCATACTATTTAGTGCACTCCGAAGTTTCTCCCGGACTTATTGAAGCAGTAAGCAAACATGCAAACATGGAACGGCGAATAGTAAGCTTTCATGAGCTAGTAGTAATTCAAGGACTAGTATAGACTATCATCACTGTTGTTTTCATGTACTCAGTTTAGATAATTGGGACTCAGTTTTAGGTAAATTACAGAAAATAAAGCACACATTCTTAGGTAACAAACCGAAACTAAAAAGTAAAACTGTAAAACCAGTAAGAATTTTACCAATAAACCAAACCTTACCCAAGCAAACCAAAATAAACCAAGCGATTAACTTTGGTTTGCTTTCTCCCGTCGTAAATCAGTTTCTTCTTCTCATTGCTTTCTGTCGCTGGTTTTGTTTGTACGTTGTTGTTTAACTTTGGATTGTTGAAATTTCGGTTATGTATTGATCGTTCGTGTATCTCTGGAGATTTCCTCATCTTTGGCCGGCTGTTGTTATTTTCTCTCCGTTAAAAGTCAGATCATCGCTATAGCTTTGGGCGATACTGAATCAAATTACAAGCAAAGCACTGCAATTTGTAAAGAAGCAGCGGATCCTCGCTTCTCTTTCATCCGGTAAGTAATTATATTTCCTTCTCTGCTTTGAGTTCGAGATTCGAGCTCCTAGATTCCGTTTGGGGGAATTCGTGATTTAGACAGGAAAGGGTAAAAAATGAAAAATTGCAAATTTTCTGCTGCTACTAAAGAGAAGAGAGAAGAGAATCCCACATGGAATTTTGTTAGTTCTTGCTGATTTTGCTGCTACAAAATTTCTGATTTTGTTAATTCTTATCTGCATATTTTGAAGCCCTGATTACCTCAGTAGGTTGATTTGTCCAAGCCTAATGGTACCTTTTCCCTCTCTCAAAACAGATCTCAAATCACAGTTACCAAGATGGCGTATGAACTAACTGAGCAAAAAAGTAATACTTCCTTCACAATTTTGCTTCTGTATAACGTTTGAATGTGTTGAATTAGTGATTTAACTCTGTGGTAGTGCACAAACTTGAAAAAGTATGTGTTTTTTTTACCAACATGTGTTCTTAAATCGTAACATCTTCTGTGTATAAAGACCTCTTACTGATTAAACTTCTTTTTCTTTTTGGTCTTATGGCATCCATTTCTGCAGAAGTTGGGTTAGGCCTCATTGGTTTTGGTTTATCTTTCACGTTTCTTGGTGTCATCTTATACTTTGACAGAGGCTTGCTCGCTCTAGGAAACGTGAGAATCTTCCTTTCCTATTTACTAAGCTTCCTTTTCGTAAGCCAAGAGGGTCCAACTTTTGAATCTCATTTGGCTTTTGTGTTTGTGTTCAGTTATTTTGGTTGATAGGTGTTGGCCTTTTAATTGGTTGGCAGCCAACTTGGAGACTATTTACCAACATCAATAACTTGAGGGTACGCATAGAAGTAGAACTAGTGCTAATCTCTGTTGCTAGTTGTTCATCTTGATGAATCTTTTGTAGTGAAGTATCAGTGTGTTGTTTTTTTCCCCTTTTTTACAGGGCACAGTCTGTTTCGTCCTTGGAATCTTTCTTATATTTGTACGCTGGCCAATAGTCGGCATTATCTTGGAGATATACGGTTGCATTGTCCTATTCGGGTGAGAACATTTTATTTAGCTTCTAAATTAAAGATTCCATCTGCTGCTGTGTGTAACTGATGTCACATGTGGTATCACTGCAGCGGATTTTGGTCCACCTTAAAGATGTTCCTCTCGCAGATTCCTTTTGTTGGATGGATAATACAGTATCCTCTCATGGTAAGTGTAATCATCAACAAGACAACAACACACCCCTTGTCCTCTTATGCTACTTCCTTTTGATTTCCGAAACATTCATAGCTTACTCTCAGGAGGGACTTGCGTAAAATTCTCTGTTTTTGATTTTGCTTTGGAATGATCTTCTTGTTTCAGGTTCTTGAGCAACTTGTACGAGGCGCTCGTTGAGAAAGTTCCGTCTCAGTCTTATCTTCATCCTCTTCACCACAACAAAGCCTCTCCAGAAGGACCAAACAACTGCTGCTGACCTTTTTTTTTTTTATCTTATAGAAACAGAATGTTTTTTTCTTCTTTTGTGGGACATCATGACAGAGATTTTGTTCTCTTTTTTTTGGTCTTTAAAACTTCGCTCTGTTTCACATTTCTACATCCTTTTTTTTCTTTATATCCAAAAATTGTAGTTTATGTGTATCTTACTATCTTATCGCTAAACAAAATATAACCTCCAATCTTGAGCCAACTCAATCTTCAAACAAAAACGGAACAAGCCAACGAAATATTTATGATGAATAAAGTGTTATTTGTTTATGTTTATTTCGTACGGACAACTGGACAAGTAGTTTCTAAATGTGTCAGCCGAAGATCAAATTGTTATCTCACTCAAGATCAAAACATATCTCAAAAAGAAAAAAAACGTCAGAGATCGAGTGCGGATTTCTCTCGGCGATGTCTCATCGTGCCCGGCGAGACATTGACCTAAACCCGCTTAATTCCCGACTACGATCAACGGAATAAGAACACAGTAAACACAAAATCACTCGGCACCCAAAAAAAAAAACTTAAATCAAGCAATCATGTGGATTTCGAGGCTGAAGAGAGTTAGGAGAACGATTATGGTTCTGGGCGTTGCCAATTTGGCCGTGATTGTTTCCGGCGGTGTTCTGACTCTCGCTTCGGACCCAGATTGCGACAAACCCGGCCAACTATTTCCCCTCTTCGCCGTTTGTTTAGCCGCCGGCGTCAAACTCGCCGCCATGGTTAAGGTCGGCAATACCCAGGAACTCATGGCTATGACCATCATGGATTCTCCTACTCAAAACAGCCTCGAACGAAAGGTGTGTGTTTTTTTTGTCCAATCTCTACTGTCTCCAACTGTGTTTAAAAACCAAGTCTTTAAAGGATTGGCATTGAATACCATCAATTTAATTTACTTACTTTTTGTTTTGTTTGTGGATTATGTGCAGTTGAAGTATAAGACGTGGCTTTGGTGGACTCGGTTTGCAATGGTAATTACTGTATTGCAATTTATTGGAGCAACTTACCTTATGTTCCGTGTGGCCACATTTGTTTCCCATGATGGAATCCCAAAGGATTGCGTTTTAGGTAAATTATCTATGACACAGTTGTCAGTTGTTAAAGTAAAGTACTTGGCAGTTAAACTAAGCCACCGTTTTATAGTTAGCTATGCACTTTTTCTTGCTTAAGAATCTCTTTAGCAACTTCTTTTGGTCAGGGTTATCTCCGGACACTCGTGGGTGGAAGCAAACGCTGCAGGTTGCCTTCTTGATCACGGTTTGCTTTGTTGCGTTGGCACAGTGCTTTACGGGATCAGATATATTGCAATGGCGGTCTTTCTATGCAACGCAAGATGATGCCTGGAAAGCTCATTACCAGGAGGTTTTTGACCATGGGATTCGTGAAGTTTTGTGCTGTCTTGGACGTCGTGAATATATGTACGTTTGTGTTGATTCTGGAAAGTGGTTTCTTGTTTACTAGTTCAGAACTCTTACAAATTTGATTGTAATGCTTCAGGGGTGTGATTGAAGAAGACGAAGTGTGTTCAGTTGCAAGACTATTAGGTGATCTTGTTTCATATCGTGCATCAGGCACTGGCCATTTGGAATTTTTGGCAGGTAATTAATATCTAAAACTTAAATAAGCCTTAGTGGTTGTCTGCATGATTTCAACTGTTTAGTTTTCACTTAGTCTGTGGACCTTATTTTAAGCTTTGTCTATTCAGGCCTTGCTCTGTTGCAGAACAATAGCCAGTTTCCTGAATCATATGAAGACTGTATGGAAGCTCCAGCATTTCATCTCCAGGAGGCTGCTATGTTACATAAATTTGCAGAGGCTGCTTATACTGTAAGTTTGAACAACACAGAGCTCCAAATCTCTTCTTTAAATGGTAGAAATGTCTAACTTGCGTGTGTGGCATTGTGCAGGGACCACTGCTTGATGTTGGGAGAAATCCTGCCTTATTTTTGTGCACATGGATTTGTAGGCAAGGGATTTTAACACCTTGGAGCCGTAAATGGTAACCTGGTTAGCTCGTTTGTAGAAACTTTAAGTTTTCTCATTCCTTTCCCATGTGTCTGACTTTGATACATACAAATGCGTATGATATTTAATGTAAGATGTTTCCTTGCAATGATCCGCAGGCGGCCTGACCTTGATGGTGACAATTGGTGGCGAGGTCATGCAGCTGCCTTCCTTAAGTTCATAAACTTTCCTGCACATGTTCTTCGACGAGGTCGGATTTGTAGGGTAAGTTTGTTCCCTTTAATCGTATGATCCAACACCAAGACTGAAATATGTTTATTTAAAGGTGTTTGATATCTTGTCACATGAAATGCATCAGAATCTTTCTCATCTGTTCGTGTAATTTTTTTCTGTTGTGGCAGGAGAAGTGTAAAGCGACATACTTTGTTGTAGTCTTACATTATCTAAGATGTGTTGTAATTGCTGTTCGAGGAACTGAGACGGCTGAAGACCTCATAACTGATGGTCTAGGACGTGCGTGTTCACTAACTGCTGAAGACCTGGATGGGTTGAAAAAGTCAGTCTCTATCTCTTATGACTCAGTCACAGATGCTCTCTCGTTCTTCTGATATATTTTGAGATCTCACTGTTATCATATCAATACTAATGATTCTCCTTTCTGCTGTTTTATGTGCTTTGATGTCAGTGGTATGGATCCATCCCGTAAACACTACGGACATTCGGGAATTGTAGAAGCTGCAAGAGATCTATTTATGCAAATAGAAGGAGACACCAAATTTGGAGGTGAGAGTTTAAGCTACAGTATGTTCCTAAATTGCATTGATACATTTCTTTAAGCTGCTATACAAATTAAACGGTGCAGAGTCAGGATCTGTTGGGTTCCTGTCATCATTGATCGGTGATGGATGCGAGTGTGATGGCTACAGCATTCGCATTGTTGGACATTCTTTAGGAGGTGCTATTGCCTCGTTACTGGGACTTAGAGTATGTTTTCTATCAACAAAATATCACATTACATGACATTTTCTTAACTTATATTTTCCTTTCTTTTATTGAATACGTTTTGGCGTATAGCTTCGTTGCAGATTCCCTAACCTGTATGTATATGCCTACGGACCCCTCCCATGTGTAGATTTAGATGTTGCTGATGCATGTTCTGAATTTGTCACAAGGTACTAAACTAGATAATTGAATCATGCTGATATTAATGGGTTTAGTGGCTAACTTGTTAGGTCTTGATGCAATTGTCAACAGCATTGTACTCGATAACGAATTCTCATCACGACTTTCGTATGGCTCAATACGCCGGCTCCAAGTAGCAGCAATCAAAGTGCTGTCTCAAGACCCCAAAGCTGATACAGCACTCATTTTTAGACTCGCACGCCGGTTCTTGTCTGCCAGCAAACGCCAACGACAAGATGTCCATGAAATATCTCCCGGAGAGGCAATGCCATCCATAATTGGTAACAATCTTTTATCTTACTCATACTCTTTGTTTAAGTTAGATTACTAATTAACGAGAAAGATTTGCTTCTTCTTTTGTTTTATCTTTGTAAGTTGACAATTCAAGAGAAAGCTTACAACAGCAAGATCAAATTTACCCAATATGGGAAGAATCTGAACTAGAAACGAGGCAAGATGACGAAGAGTTCATAAACCCGTTTCACGATATGGCCTCACCGGATAATCCTGTGTCTCAGTTTATGGGAACAGTTCCAACAAGAGAAGATGCTGATGAAGAAGCACCTGAGATGTTCTTGCCAGGTTTAGTCATTCACATTGTATCCGAAGGAAACAGTATGAGCTTGCCGATATGGAGAGGATGGGCGTTCTGTGATGCGACAGGTGGTTACAAAGCTTATGTTGCGAACAGAGAGAGCTTCAAAGAAATCATGGTTTCTCCATCAATGTTCCTTGATCATCTTCCTTGGAGGTAACTCTTTCATCCAAAAACTTTGATTTCTTAATGAAATTCTAAAATCTTAGTGTACTGCAAATTTTTGGTCACTGCAGATGTAGACACGCGATGCAGAAGGTTCTAGATTCGCGGAATCTCTTCTTCGATGTGGCAAGTGAATCTGATATAGTATGACACAGGACATGAAGATGTTTCTCTAACCTTTAATTAAACAACAAAACAATGTGCATATGTTTGTACATCAAACAGTACAAATGAACTTAGTCATTTATCTTTGAAATGGAATTGGTTTTTTTTGTGTGTGTGTGGAGGCCACAAAGATAATGGTTAATCTCTAGATTCTAGGACAAGGTATCGAACCCTTGACTTGTTTGGACAAACTACAGATATAGCTGATAGATTAGTATTGTCGGCTGGTTGTTTTATTGAATTGTTTTTAAGCTTTAAATCGTTTATGCTTTAGAGTTAGAATCAAATCCAAGAACCTACATTGCAGCTTCCTCAGTTCCTTGAAGAGAAAGACTTATCTCTCAATCTGTAAAAGTATGACAAAGATGAACAAATCTCGAACCAAATTTGGCTGCTAACACTTGGATGAGTTATACGTACCAAAAGAGACCGCAGAAAAGCAAAATAATATTTAAAGTACTTACATTGAATGCCATTATTCTTTTGAAAACGTTAAATTTATTTCGTTTTAGAATGTCTTTGTTCTTCACTTCTTCTTTAACTTGTTATAATTTAGTCTATAATAAATATTAGTTCGATGATTTTATTAGAATATATTATTGAGATAAATAAAAAGGTAACATACAATCAAGTTGCTTAGGCTGCTCTTGAAAAATCGTAGTCTTTTAATTGGGAATCGTTTGATAATTATTCCTTTGCATTATATTGAAAATCAAGAGAAAATCAGGGTACGTCATCCAGTGAAGCTGAGGATTTGGACCCTATGAATGAGACTATGAAGTCTCTTCTCCTTAATAACCGAAAGTTTTATCAGTTTTGAATTTCTTTTCCAAAAATTGGACGTCTCCCACTAAATCAATTTATATTTCGAGTCTCTCACAAATGTTTCTTTTTTGAAATAAAATTTGATTACGTATCGATCGTAGAATACCATGATCATTTAATACCCATATGACTAAAATCCCAGTAGTTTGGCCTCCTCCATTTTTGAAGGTGCTAAAGCTGTATGAAAGATGTGTGGCAACACAAGTCTTTGTCTAAGGTGTGATGATGTGTCTCATTACTCATGAGTTTGTGTTGTCTTTTCTTTTTTTTTGTTAAAAAGTGTTCCGTTACATATTAATAAACCCAAGAGTCAAAACATAATGTAAAACTCATAAAATCTATATAAATTAATATTCTTTAAACTGTATACTTTTATTACTTATGTTCGCAACAAGAAGTCAAATAAGGGACAAAGAAAAGCTGAAAAACTTCATCTGTAGCTTTTCAGTCTCTATCTCTCTGCTCGCTTCCTAACATTATCAGATTGTTAGTCAAACTCAGTTCTTTGCCGCGTAACCTCTTCTTGTTAGTGCCCAAATACTGATGTTTATTTTATTTTATTTTATTTAATTAGTTGAAGTGTGGCTCATTCAATTAGTTAAAAATAGTTGCGTTCTGTTTCGGTGATGCCAAACAATATTTTTTTGGATAAAATTATGTTTGAAAAAAAATGAATTTTAGGCTGTGAAACTATTTAAAATATTTTTAACATATTAAAAAGGAAACAAAGAGTGGCATATGTTGCATGGTTTTTCTTCTTCCTCCTTCCTACTAAAAAAAATGTCAACCTCGCTTGGGAAATGTCATAATTTTAACTTTAGCTAGGGTGGGTGAAGTTCTCTCGACTAATACCGTGGTATGTACGTGTTGAATTTTTTGTTTTCTTTGGATAATGGACTTTGCCTTTAAGCCCCATTTAAACAGTCTAACTGAGACCGTAAAATTATTGCAGTATAAAGGAGTTATTTTCCTAAGTATGCAAGCAACGGGAATTTTTCAATTCCAAACTTCTAAAAGAAAAAAAAAAAAAAAAAAAAAAAAAAAAAATCGCAAAAGGAAAAAGTATAAACGATAACCCCTATCCCAAAGAACAGACAGCGTTAGGATTTTGACTTGAGGAAACAACATAGAAAACTCCACGTGACCTTTCTTGCCATTTATTCTCTTGCTTTTTTTTCTCCAGGAAATCTAATGCTTTTTTTTAGTTCTCTAGTTATAAACTTATAATTACGGTTCACTATTTTTCCAGTATGTTTTATTTGAAGACTAGAAACCACCATTAGATCAAGTTAAAACAAGGACCATTCTCTATAGTCAGTCTATACTGATATTCCGTGAACCCAAGTTATGGCTCAATATTTTATTACTTTTTTGTGGAGAAAGCTTGTGTAAAGTAAAAATTCTGCATCCCAAAGGCGTTAACAAAAGCTAGCATTCTAGTCAATTTTTTTGTTTGATATATTTACTCTCGGTCATTCTCTTTTATTTAGCTATCTTTTTCTTTTATGATTTCTTCCTACAAGAAAAAAAAAAAGAAAAACAAATCAAACGTCACAATTTTCATATCCGTTTTATATAGAAACCTCAACAGTTATAAATCTCCGACCACAACCACTCACTCTTTATGCAATACCAAGTTAAAATAATGTTGTTTTGTTTGTATTCATATATACATCGAGTAGTAAAGTATATAAGAGAAGCATGAGGCGCGAACAGAGATTATAAGATTAATAGAAAAATGTTTACTGACCCGAACCGACCACATAAATAATTCATACTTGTCTCCCAACTAATGAATATTATTATTTAAACTTGTGCCAACAATAGCTTTTTGAATATTTAATTTCTCAGTCAATACTCGCCGAACATATGAAACTTTTTCTCTCTCCGTGATCTCCATTCACATTTTCACTCTATAAATATGCCTCTCACTCATTGTCTCTCTTTATACTTCAACCAACTTATCTCTCTCTCTCTCTCTCTCTCTCTCTCTCTCTCTCTCTCTCTCTCTCTCTCTACACTGTCCTCCATTAATGGCGGCCAAAATCCACACTCAAAGCCCTAACTATTCTCCATTTCTAATGAGAGACAAAACTCCTCAACAAAAACACAATCTTGGCCATTTCTCTCTCTCCAAGAACAACACCTCTAAAAGACTATCAGTCTCTTCTTCTATAATGTCTCCTCCGATTACATCTTCTCCGCTCGCTTCTTCTCCTTCTTCTTCTCCGGAAGCTCGTCTTCCTCGAGCACCAGCAGCCACTCTACCGTTGTCTCGGGTATGGAGAGAGATACAAGGAAGCAATAACTGGGAAAATCTCATTGACCCTTTAAGCCCTATGCTACAACAAGAGATCACTCGATACGGGAACTTACTCTCCGCTTCTTACAAAGGGTTTGATCTAAACCCTAACTCCAAACGTTTCTTGAATTGCAAGTATAGCAAAAAGAGCTTGCTTAAAGAATCTGGAGTCCATGATCTTGATGGCTACCAAGTCACCAAGTATATCTACGCCACACCAGACGTCAACATCAATCCTATCCAGAAAGAGCCTAACCGCGCTCGTTGGATCGGGTATATAGCAGTTTCTTCCGATGATTCGGTGAAACGTTTGGGGAGAAGGGATATTGTGGTGACGTTTCGTGGCACTGTGACCAACCCTGAGTGGTTGGCTAACCTAATGAGCTCTTTGACTCCGGCTAGGCTTGATCCTCATAACCCTCGTCCCGATGTCAAGGTTGAATCTGGATTCTTGAGTTTATACACATCCGGTGAGAGCGGTAGCAAATTTGGGCTAGAAAGCTGCCGCGAGCAGCTTCTCTCTGAGATCTCGAGGCTTGTAAACAAGCACAAAGGCGAGGAAATGAGCATAACACTTGCGGGACATAGTATGGGGAGCTCTCTAGCTCACCTTCTAGCTTACGACATAGCAGAACTCGGTATGAACAAAAGAAGAGGCGAACAATCTGTTCCATTGACCGTGTTTTCCTTTGCGGGTCCTAGGGTTGGTAACTTGGGGTTCAAGAAACGGTGTGAGGAGCTAGGAGTTAAGGTCTTGAGGATCACGAATGTAAACGACCCGATCACAAAACTCCCTGGTTTCTTGTTCAACGAGAATTTCAGGGCTTTAGGTGGTGTTTACGAGCTTCCTTGGAGCTGTTCTTGCTACACTCATGTGGGAGTCGAACTCACGCTCGATTTCTTCGACGTTCAAAACATTCATTGTGTCCATGACCTCGACACTTACATCAATTTAGTAAATCGTCCGAGATGTTCGAAATCGGCGGGTACAGAAGACAATTTTGGCGGCAAGTTTTTGAACAGAACAAGTGAGATTATGTTCGGTAAGGGACAACGTCGAGCGTTGCGGTTAAAAAACGCAGCGATCAGAGCGGCATATCTACTTGGTTCTGTATCCAATCATATGTTGTATTATAATATCATTTAGGTCTTTTAGCTAGAGATTGATCCAAGCTAAAATTTTGGGTCTACATTTTTGTAAAGAGAGGACAAATAATTGTAGTCCTATCTTTTACGTAGAGCGAGCAAGTATTATATATAGAGAGATATGTGCATATACAAAACATTGCAGTATAAATGGGTTTTAAATCCCTACCGATAGGGTTTTGGGGATTATAGCTAGTTTGCTGACTTGTGAACTAAATTATTAATATGTTTTTTAAATGATTCAAGTTTCATACAAATTAGCCATCGAATATATAATTATATACAATATACAAAAATGCTTCACTATATTTTACCATATCTATTTGTCGATGTTATTTGTCAATGACAGCTATGGTTTAAATATAAACACAGACTGAAACAGATATATATCAGCAATATAACCCGTTATTTTCTCATTTCTTAGGTCAAGTGTCTCGCTTCTCAACCAAGTGGTCATATCCCAGTGGTACTTGAGGGAGGTAAGTCCCAATACGGACCCAGATTCGAAACCACTTGGCCACAACGGATTTAACATTCCTTCCGTTGGGGCCCTGGATCCCTTTCGAGGGGATAGTCGGGTTTTCCGTTCGGGTTAGATCCTCGGAACAACTGGATACAGCTGGACAAATCTCAGACCATCGGTTTGGGTCCCATGACTGATCGGTGACCGTTCGGTCGACTCCTCAAACCCGGATACCAAAAAAAAAAAAAAAAAAAAAGTGTCTCGCTTCTCGTGTTATGCGAGGATCGATATTTCGTATTCTTATTTGCAAGCTTACGTATATACTAACTAATAAATAACGAAAGCATATGCAGTACGCTATATATGTGGACAAATGAATTTTTGCAAAGAGGTTATTATGCATCTAATTGTCTCCAACTATTTTCATTTGACAAATTAAGAGAAAAACTTCTATTTAATAAAAAGAAAAAGAAAAATACGAAAGAGACTGGGTTTGGAAAAATGCGATCATTGGAGAATTCGTGCATGGGAACATAACATATATGTTCAAAATAGCTACTTATTGCACACCTTTTTTCTTTCAAAATTTTGTTCATACTAGATCAAGATATCATTATATTTGTCTATAACTGACTATAGATTGTTCAAATTTTCTCTTGTGATATGAAGATGTTTTCTTTATAAAAAAAAAAGTGATATGAAGATGTTCTTATAAAGCCAGACAAAATTTAGAATAATCGAAGAAAAAAACAGTAGAGACATGTCTGTTTGTATCTATATTTAAAAAGAAAATAGATAAATTTGGCAAAATATGTATCTTCTTCCGTGCTTTGTCATATGCGCGTGCAAGCTGACGTGTTATCGTTTACCGAAGTCATCGGAGATTTGGACAATTAGTTTACTTGTCTGATTAACGAACTATATATGCTGTTCCCTACATCATACAGTAGTATATTTTCGCACGTGCATCGATTTCCTGATAATTTCCTCATATTTTGTTTTCTTCTAAATTTTACAAAAATGCACTTAGATGAAATAATAGACGGAGTTGGAGTTGGACTTGGAGTTGGAGTTGGAGTTGGAGTTGGAGTTGGAGTTGGAGCTGGCATAAATTTTTAATGAAAATACAGTAGCAAAAAATAAATAAATACAGTACTCGATACTTTTACAAACATTATAGTAGATGTCATTAAATATTCTAGCTAAAATCATAAAGTGAAAATCAAATGTTGAAAAAGGATTCAGCGATTATATAAAAATCACTTGACGACAAAAATGGAATTATATAATTTTGTAACTATGTCGCTAAACGCCTAAACGTTATTTTGGATTTTAGCTCACGAGATTTTGTTTAGACTTAAAGTTGTAAGCTTGGTTACATCACAATGGAAGTTATGGAACTGTAATAAATTCAGTTTCAATTTCTCACGAATCACATGGGTCAATAAGGGTGGGGCTGGAAAACACGTACGTTTACGGACCAATTTAGATGTGTTTATATAAATTTCACTCTCTATAAAACGTTTATTTAATTGTGATTACGTTTACAGAATAAATAACAACTTATTTTGCATGCAAAAGTCATAAGATTCGGTACGCATCTTAATTACGACTCCATTTTGATTTTTATTAGGCCCTTTATCAACAAAATTAGACAAGATATCGTTTTCCTTCTTTCCTTTTATGGATATATATTTATTGCGAAAATGATTGGTGAGGGAGGAAGTTTCCTCCTTCGTGGGCTCCAGATTTAAATTAATACTTACTAACAATTAACAACAATAATAAAGTTTTATATGAAAACCAAAAAGCTATGATACAGATCCATAAAAATGATAAGAGCTTGAGTTTTGAAAGAAATAATTTAGAGGCTGTTGATATCAGTAGAAGATGATTGTAGTTTGATAATTAATGTGTGGTTTCAGGGGTGATTTGAAACGTATAATTAACACTTTGTGGCAATTTTTTAAATAACAATCCACTATAATAAATTTCGACTTGTAGTACAAGAAATCAGGATGTAAACTATTCTTTTCATCTAGACCAGCTTGAAAATATTGGACTTCAATTTACACACAATAATTAAGAGAAAAATATGAATTTTTGTTGTGGAAATTTAATGTCTGGTGTTCAGATATTTTTTTTTCTAACCTGTTTCATTAATGAATTAACGGAATTTTTGTCCATTGGGATATGACTTTTCATGCGAATTTTTACGTAATCCATGACGTTCCCTAGCCGTTATTATCATGTTGAAAAGCGCATCTGTTGTAGAAAAAATTTAAAAGGAGATGACTGGCATCAATTTTGTTGGTTCGTTTTAAGAAATCTCGTTTATCATGTTTTATTTATGTGGGGGGGGGGGGGAAGACCGATCGAAGAGAAGTGAAGTTTGGCGCGTGGTATATATACAGTGGCCGGACAAACTCAAGTGAGTTTTGGATGTGTTTAAGTGCATGTACGTTTTTCAAAAATCTTTTGGAGATTGGAAATGTGACTCACACATTCACACTACTAATAAGTGTTATTGCATTGTACGTTCAAGTCTATTTTTAACGAACAAAAGAAGAGGAAGCTTAGATGCTTGCTGAAGTAGGTATATAAGTAGCTTTATAAGAATTGTAACTAATGGCTCTTATTGAGAACTATAGCTGCTTTTGTTGTAACTATTGAAACTATTGAAATAAATATAACAAATGGCTCTTATGAGAAGTTGCAACTATTGAAAAATTCAAATTTGTATCAATATAAATTCAAAGCATCAAATTTGTGGACGGGAATTTCAGGGAGAAAAAGGGATGGGAACAAAAACTTGGGCAAATAACATCATCATAACTTATTCGAGGATCGATCAATGAATGAGATAGGCTTGGGTTTTCTTGAGATTTATGTGGCCGCACGAGCTGCCTTGACGGTTAAGGGACTAGCAAAGCGTCCATAGGGTGAAGTAGAGTGTGGAGGAGCCTAAAAGGAGGGTCCAACGGTCCATCCAAAAGCTATAAGTGCTTTTGTCGCTGACATAACACTTATAGACTTTTTTAGATACAACTCAAAACTTCAAACATTATATGCATACAAACCTAACAAAAAATCTTACAAATTATATTTCACTATTTAATCTTACAAACTTCACCATTTCATCTTTTTATTGTTAAAATGTGCACTTCCCTAATGATTCCCGAAATATCTAACGAATAAAACTCAACTCCATAAGAAACAAAAATATCATAAACAAGAATTAAAAAGCCTTTGCGCTTGTGGCCCAAAGGTGATTAAGCTGACTCGGTAATCGGTCTACACTAAAATAATAAAGGAATAGTTTGATTGGTTCGGTTTAATCTTTTGCAATGGCACGTGAGGCGCATGTGACATCCAACGATTGGCCAATAGCGGAAGAGTGAAGACTTTTTATTACCCGATAAAAAAGCATCTCATCTTTTCTTTTCAAAACAGACTCTCTGCATCTCTCTCCTCTGTCTCTGTCTCTGTCTCTCTCTCTCTCTCTCTCTCTCTCTCTCTCCTTCGTCTTCTCTCCATTTGGCGATAGAAGTCATGTACCAGTCATCTTCCTCCACGTCATCATCATCGCAGAGATCATCTCTTCCCGGCGGCAGTGGAGGGCTGATCCGATACGGCTCAGCTCCGGGATCGCTTCTAAACTCTGTGGTGGACGAAGTCATCGGAGGGTCAAACGCCGCTCGTGACTTCAATTATCCACCGCCGGAGAACTTCCTCGGTCATTTCTTCACCGGAGCCGATTCCTCCTCCTTGAGATCCGATTCAACGACCTGTGGAGTCAACTCATCAGACGGACAGAAAAATCTTGGCAACAACAAAGACATCCTCCTCGACAGATCCTACGGTGGATTCAACGAGATCTCTCAGCAAAAGAGCAACGACGTCGGAAATAGCTCTGGATCTTACTCTCTCGCCAGACAACGTAGCTCTCCCGCCGACTTCTTCAGCTACCTCTCCGGTGAAAAAAACAGTAAGTTTTTTCTTTTCTTCATCTCAAGAAAATTATATAAGCTGATGAGATATTAAAAGTTTTTTTCCCTTAAATTTTCAGGATTTCTCCAACTTAGTATTTGCTAAAACCATAATGTAGTTATTAAATAAAGATTCAACTGTTTAGGAAATAAAGAAGAAGCATTTTTTTTTTTATTGCTGAATGAAAGATCCATTGGGTTGGGTGAAATGAAATCTATCTGTCAAGAGGCTGCTGAGGGTACTTTCGGTATCTCCCTGTAAATACTAAAATGTAGCTTCGTGACACAGTTTCTTTTCTTGTACATACGATCGACGACGTTACAAATAAGTTGACATTTTGATTTAGATAGGAAAGTATTTAGGTTCGTTGGTAATTTGGCTGGTTGGTAATTGTGCAAGACGTGATCCTCGTATTTCAAAATGACGAAAAGGCCCTTGCTCCGAACCACGTGCTTGAAAGATACAGCAGAAATGTGGCTCGGTTACCTTACATTTAATCTGGATATTATTATTATATGTTCCAGGATTCCTATAAGCCAAGTTGCATTTTTAAAGTAAGAGGATGGGGTTTTTTAGTTCGTGATCAATAGTATGTTTGCTGACATGGCGGAATATCATTGGTTGTTAGGAAGATTATTCAAATGGAAAGCGATAGATCTTGCTTAGTTGGTGGATCTGTCTCCTTTTTATGTTTTGGTCCTGCGGATTCGATTTGTGCTTCAATTTTTGCCTCGTTGTTATCTAATATCTTCCACCGAGCTTGGATGTGACTTCCAACACCCAATTAATTTATTTGTTTCTAAAATATGATATGAATTATGAAATGTGAATTGATTTTGTTTTTAAAATATCACATAATGTGATATCATAATGTACTTTGACCAGGTTTCTCGTTAAACCAACCAACAAGTGATTATAATCCGCAAGGAGGGACTAATGCAGGAAGAGGACAATCGAGACTCAAGTCTCAACTAAGCTTCACGAGTCACGACCCTCTGTCCCGGATCTCCGAGGTCAATGAGACCTCTGTCCACGATGGTTCGGGCCATTCGTTTTCAGGGGCTAGCTTTGGTGCCGCCACTGATTCTTGGGACGACGGTTCCGGCTCAATAGGGTTTACTGTCACCCGACCCACTAAACGATCCAAGGACATAGACTCAGGTCTCTTCTCACAGGTACCACTTGTGTTTTTTTTAGGATAGACATAAAACTTTAACTAGTAAAGGTAAATGCAGCAAACTCTCACGGAACTTCTATGTCAATGGTTTTGCAGTATAGTCTTCCTTCAGACACTTCAATGAACTACATGGACAACTACATTCAGCTTCCAGAGGATTCTGTGCCCTGCAAAATTAGGGCCAAACGTGGCTGCGCGACCCACCCGAGAAGCATCGCCGAGCGGGTAAGTTCAACTAACTATTTCCTTTAAAATCATCCTTCGCATTGGAAATGACAATTTGTCGCTAGTTAACTAAAAACTCATGTCGTTCCAATTAAAATAGAAAAATATTAGAGATTTTGTTTGTTACTTGTTAGCTATGTTAAGGCAATCTTAAGTTCTTAACGTATACAATCCGTATATAGGAGAGGAGAACGAGAATAAGCGGGAAGCTAAAGAAGCTACAAGATCTTGTACCCAATATGGATAAGGTTACTTTTGAATCATATCAAATTTAGTGCATGCATGATATCACATTATTGAATAAGAAATGTTTACTTGCTACTAAATTTATCAGCAAACAAGCTATTCTGACATGCTGGATTTAGCGGTACAACACATCAAAGGCCTTCAACATCAACTTCAGGTTCCCTACAAAACTATATATCAATCGTCTTATTTTTCTAGCTAGTTGCGTCACCTGAATCCCATTTTAGAGATCATTATAATTCAGTAATATAAATTTACACATTCTCGTCTTCAAACGCAGAATTTGAAAAAAGAACAAGAGAACTGCACGTGTGGATGCGGTGAGAGACCAAGCTAGGTAGCTAGCCAGCTGCAACCCTAACGGTAGGGCTCATCCTAATTTTATCAGATGTCTTTTGATACTTTAAGAGAATTAGAGAAGATGTAAATAAATAGATGATCAAATGCCTACTTCTCTTGTAAGCTTTCCAGTCATAAAAAAACCTTTTTTTTTGTGTAGTCGTTTTTGGTTCTTTTGTGATGAAAGTGTAAACTCTTCTTTTATGCAGTTTTAATTGATTCCCTTAATTGAGACATGTGGTGAAATAATATCTATGAAAATAATATTTTGAAAAGTAACCAAATTTCTAAAACCATCAAAAGTACCATTAACCATATGAAAATGCGTTGGAGAAGAACAAGGCATATGCCACGTGCTACCTTTTCTTCTCTTCTTCACGTCCTTTGTCTCTTGCACTTATCTTAATCTTCATCTTCATCTTCATCTTCATCTTCAATAAGATATTCATTAGAACTTAACTTTCTTGGAGCTTCTCTAATTCTTTTGAGCACTGCTCGGATGGCATCAGCATCCATCCCTTTAGAGTCATCAGCAGCAACCGCTCCCCCAAAGGGTTGATAGTACAAGTCCTGCTTGGCAACCAAGAGAGAAGATGGGGTCAACTCAAATTTAGGATTAAAAAATAACTATACGCGGTGAGAAAGAGAAATCGTGGAAAGAGCTTGTTGGAGTCTATATATAGTTTTGGCTAGGATGCTAACCTTAAGTGCATGTTGTTTACTGTCGAGATGATTTGCAAAACTCTGAAAACCTTGGAGATCAATATAATAGCATGATCCGCAATACAAGGCAGCTGCAGCCATTGTTCGCCATTCTTCCGTCCCCGGAAATGGTGGCTCTCGAACCAAAGGTAAATATCCTGGGGAAAAACAAAAAGAGATTAATAAATTTGCTCACTGTGTGTGTGTGAGAGAGGGAGAGAGAAGGAGGAGTAACGAAATACCTGGCGTAGGCGACCAAATGTTTGCCAGGGAAGTTGCCCGTAAGGAGAGCGAGGGCACTTCACATCTTGTAAAGCCTGAGCAGATGGGGAAAAACAAAAAGAGATTAATAAATTTGCTCACTCTGTGTGTGTGAGAGAGGGAGAGAGAGAGAGGCGTGTGACAGAGAGAGAAGGAGAGGGAGGGAGGAGTAATGAAATACCTGGCGTAGCCGACCGTATGTCTGCCAGGAAAGTTTCCCAGAGGTAGCACCCTTCAGTTCTTGTAAAGCCGGAGCAGATGGATTTGGGTCGTTCAGGATATAGTGACTCAAGAATGTTGTACTGCCTTGAGCTTAAGCTCCCAAGATACCCATCCAAGAGCCCCTCACGGGATATACCCATAAGATTAGCCGGAGCTGGATAGTTATCTAACAAGAGGCTCAAATTACCCACAAGACCTTCTGTGGGGACGTGATAAAGAGAGACTCCTGTGGAACAGAGGGCTTTCAGGACTTCATTGTCGACCTCTGTTAGCATGCCAATGGCAGTGATGGTGAGAGGACCACAGTAGCCTAGTTTCTTCAACGACTCTTTTATAAACGGACCGATCAGACAAGGATTAACGTCATCGGGAACCGGACACCTGTAGATGTCCCACCACACCAACGTTACAGCCTCAGCTTCCTTCTCCGTACGCGGAGGATAGGTCTGCATCATTCAAGACTTTAAACCTAAAAGATTCGGGAAACCAGTTACGTATGTGTCTTTAAATCTAGATGAACGGAAATCACCGACCGAAAGTTTTATATCCCAATCGTTATTGCTAACACAACAAAGCCACAACACTAATCTTGGATTGAATTAGTAAAAGATGGACCGATCAGCCTACTAAGGGCTTAGAGAGTAATCTTATTAATCAATAATTGCTCTCTTGCTCTCTCTCTCTCTCTCTGAAAATTCTCAATGAATTGCAAATTGTGAGTAGCTCTCCTTTTATAATGGATGAGAAGTGGGTTCCTTGATTTAGGAAATCTTCCTCCGTGTTGTTGTCATTTTTCTTTTCTATCGGCTTTTTCCTTATCTCTTGAATTTTTCCTTTTCTCTTTAGATTGGGGACAAGGTGGACTTTAGAGAGAGATGGACACAATGCCGTAATCGTTCCGATCGAATCTCCTAGGGCAAATTCATGCATATAACCTTCTTTTATGCAGTTTTTTACATTTGATTCCCTTATTTGAGAAATTTGGTGAAATCATATCTATAAAATTACTACGTGGTAAAGAACAAGGCATATGCCACTTGCTACCTTTTCTTCTCTTCTTCACGTCCTCTGTTTCTTGCACTTATCTTAATCTTCATCTTCATCATATTCTATAAGAATGTCATCTTCATCACGTCCCATGTTTCTTGCTTAATCTTCATCATCTTCATCATAAAGTGGCTGTCTTGGAGCTTCTCTAAGACGTTTGAGCATTCCTCGAATGGCATCAGCATCCAACCCTTTAGATTCAAAAGCAGCACGCGCTCCCCCAAAGGGTTGATAGTGCAAGTCCTGCTTGGCAACCAAGAGAGAAGATGGGGTCAAATCAAATATAGGTTTAAAAATAACTAGACGCAGTGGGAAAGAGAAAATTGTGGAAAGAGCTTGTTGGAGTATATATATATATATATATATATAGTTTTGGCTAGGATGCTTACCTTAAGTGCATGTTCTTTACTGCAGAGATGATTTGCAAAACTCTGAAAGCCTTTGAGATCAAGTTTGCATGATCCGCAAAACAAGGCAGGTCCAGCCATTGTTCGCCATTGTCCAGCCTCCGGAAGTAGTGGCTCTCGAACTAAAGGTAAATGACATGGGGAAAAACAAAAAGAGATTAATAAATTTGCTCACTGTGTGTGTGTGTGTGGGAGTGAGGGGGAGAGAGAGGAGAAATTAAACACCTGTCGTAGGCGACCGTATGTCTGCAAGGAAAGTTTCCCAGAGGTAGCACTCTTCAGATCTTGCAAAGCCGTAGCGGATGGATCGTTCCGGATATATTGAACCAAGAATGTTATACGTTGAGCTCAAGCTCCGAATAAATTGATCCAAGAATCCCTGACGGGATAGAACCATAAGATTAGCCGGAGGTGGGTAGTCATTTAACAACCGGCACAAAGGACGCACAACACCTTCTGTTTCAGAAACCAAAAGACTTAATTAGTATGTGCAAAAAGGATAGCGGAAAGTAAAGCCAAACCCTAACTTGACAAACAAAAAGTAAGATGAGAGAATACAGTAACCTGTGGGGATGTGATAAAGAGAGACTCCAGTGGAACAGAGGGCTTGCAGGACTTCATTATCGACCTCTGTTAGTATGCCAATGGCAGTGATGGTGAGACGACCAGAGTAGCCTATATTCTTCAACGAATCTTTTATAAACGGACCGATCAGACGAGGATTAACGTCACCGGGAACCGGACACCTGTTGATGTCCCACCACACCGTTGTTTCAGCCTTAACTTCCTCCTCCGTACGCGGCGGATAAGTCTGCATCATTCAAGACTTCAAACCTAAAAACAACAACAAATTTCCGGAAACCAATTAGGTCTTTAATCTAGATGAACGGAAATCACCGACCCCAAGATCTATATCCCAATCGCTATTGCTAACACAACAAAGCCACAACACTAATTTTGAATTTGATTCGGAAAAGTATGGAGCGATCAGCCGACGGAGAGAGAGAGAGAGAGGAACAATGCCGTAAACCGTTCCGATCAAATCTCCTAGGGCAAAATACATATGTACAATACAGAATAATCTTTCAGTTATTTTTTATGGGCCGACAAAAAGGAAACCGGTTATCTTCTTCTTACCTACTTGATTTGATGAGTATGATTAATTAAGGTTTTTTGTTTTGTTTTTGTTTCAAGATAATTAAGGTTGTTTTTACACTTTTACTTATGTAAATAGGTATTTCCGAAATAGATTTTGTTTTTTTTTTAAAATGATTTCAAACCCATACAAATAATGTTTTTTTTTGTATGTGTAGAATAACATTTTTAGTATTTTAAGTGTTACATTATAAATTAAAATTTTTAATTAGTAGTTTAGATATCAGCATTGCAGGATTTTGTACGTTTTCTGTCCTAAATAATTAATTTAAACTGATAATATTTGGAAGCAACAACAAAAAAAGAAAGAAAGATATTAAGAGCGCACTTAATGCGCAGTATGTCCTCTCCTGCCAGCTTGTTGCACCGTCCTCCGTCTCCTCGCTCTCTCTCTCTCTCTCTAAAACCAGTCCTGCTTCTCTCTCTCTCAATAGAGAAGAAGCAACCATGTCTTCAGACGATGAAGGAAGAGAGGAATACCTCTTCAAGATAGTTGTTATCGGCGACTCTGCCGTCGGCAAATCGAATCTTCTGTCTCGCTACGCCCGGAACGAGTTCAGCGCGCATTCCAAGGCGACGATCGGCGTCGAGTTTCAGACGCAGAGCATGGAGATCGAAGGCAAGGAGGTCAAAGCTCAGATTTGGGACACCGCCGGCCAGGAGCGTTTCCGTGCCGTCACCTCCGCCTACTACCGTGGCGCCGTCGGCGCTCTCGTCGTCTACGACATCACCCGCCGCACCACCTTCGAGAGCGTCGGACGTTGGCTCGACGAGCTTAAGAGTAAGTCTCCATTTGCTCCTTCCCCCTGATTTCATTTTCTGATTGATTCGAGTTAGAGATTTGAAGGTAATTAGATATGCGATTGAACATGGTGATGATCGATTTGAGCATACTCCTGCTCAATTAGGTCGCAGGGTTGACTAGAAATTGGGAATTCGAATCTAATTTTGGTAGAATAATCAACCGTCTTCTTCAATTTGGTCAAAATCTTATGTTTATTGCTTCATTCGATCATTACTGATAAACCAACCAAAATGTAGATTAATTACTACTAAAACCAATTCATTTGCTAATTCTTTCCTTTTTTTGACTCCAGTCCATTCTGATACAACGGTGGCGAGAATGCTGGTGGGGAACAAGTGTGACATGGGGAACATAAGAGCAGTGAGCGTGGAGGAAGGCAAAGAGCTAGCAGAAGCGCAGGGGCTTTTCTTTGTGGAGACATCGGCTCTTGATTCGACCAACGTTAAAACAGCTTTCGAGAAGGTCATACTTGATATCTACAATAACGTGAGCCGTAAGCAACTCAACTCAGACACTTACAAAGATGAACTCACCGTGAATCGGGTAAGTCTCGTTAAGGACGATAGCTCTGCCTCTAAACAAAGTTCTGGTTTTTCTTGCTGTTCCACTTGATGACGATTACACACAACAGAACAGAGGACCTATTTTGATCTTCTTTTTTTTCCCTTTCTTTCTCATTGTAACTTTACATAAAGTTTCTCCTTATTGATTTTTATTTATTTGTCTCATATAGAAAGAAAGAAAACAAAATTCATGAATTGTAATTTATCTTTGCAATTTTGGCAAATATTTAAATTATCTATACCACTATGCAACTTCCTCTGTTTTTTATTTGGTCTTGGTAATATTTCTCTATTTTTTGGGACTTTTTTTCATTATTAGGTAATTGGTGTAAAGCGAGGGAAACAAAAATAATTCCAAATAGAAAAGAGATAATAAAAAGGAAAAAAGATGGCTTTTCACAGAGTTTTCTCTGGTTTTGTAACAACGAATATGAACGGAGAATAGTTTCTTTCTCTCTTACCGCTCCCTTTTGTTTTGTTCCATCACCCCTCAAATTTTCTTCTCTCCTTCTCTCTCACGGTGGCGATGTCCGTACCTCCGTTTAGTTGCCGCATTCTATCGGCGGCGGTGGCCCTCTATCTGGTCGGTCTGTTGTGCGTTGGGGCTGGCGATGTTGCTCCGAAAGATGGTGCCGCTCCGAAAATTCCTGGCTGTACCAATGAATATCAAATGGTAATTTTCATTGCAAATTTTCCCCGTTCACATTTTGGGTTCCTCACCAAAAATTATTCAAAAACCGGAATCGTTTCCGTCGAACGGAAACTTATCTCTATCTCATTGATTGATTTGAATGCAATCAAATTCCGCAATTACAGTTTTTGTTTCAGCGTCTGCTGTTATCCTTTTAATGTTAAACTTTCATTATGTTAGGTTAAATCGTTCATTGAAACTTGTCTGAATTGTGATGCAATCGACCAAATATTGAGGGTTCTACTTGATTAGATTACGCATTTAACTAGTGATTATCAAAGCTTCTCTATCGTATTTTTGTGATTTAAATTAAGCCGTTTATTAAGATAGAAATGTTATCCAGGTCAAGGTCAAGAATTGGGTTGATGGAGAAAATGGTGAAGCTTTTAATGGCATGACTGCTCAGTTTGGCGCCATACTTCCTTCTGATTTAGACAAAGCTGTTAAACTGCCGGTTGTTCTTACCACTCCTTTGAACAGTTGCACCAATCTAACCTCAAAGGTACTTCCTTCTCAATCTTACACACCATTTTACGTAAATTCCATTCTGGTGACTAGCAAAGCTAGAGAGAAGACTCTAACGCGGAAAGATCTTAATGATGTTACTAACTAATTATTGCAGCTATCTGGTTCTATTGCGTTATCTGTACGTGGCGAATGTGCTTTCACAGCTAAGGCTGTAGCTGCACAGTCAGGAGGAGCTGCAGCTTTGGTCATAATAAACGACAAAGAAGGTTGACAATTTCAAATATTAAAACCTCAAATTGTATCCCACTTTTTATGAGCCTCTGACATTTGCTTTCCATATATTTGGTTATTTAGAGCTGGATGAGATGGCTTGTACTGAGCAAGACACCTCCTTAAATCTTTCTATACCTGTTTTGATCATTACAACTTCATCTGGAGATGCCTTGAAGAAATCCATTTCGCAAAATAAGAAAGGTAAAGTCTAAGACTTAATGGATCCTCATATCTGTTCTTACCATTTTTGTTATAGTCTCTCTGTTGTTTCTTTTACCATTCTTTTAATGACTAGGTAGTTTCTTCTATTTTTTTGTTGTTGTTGTTGTTGCAGTGGAGCTCTTATTGTATTCTCCAAAAAGCCCAGTTGTGGATTATGCAGTGGCATTCCTCTGGCTAATGTCTGTTGGAACTGTTTTCATTGCTTCTGTTTGGTCACATTGCACTGGTCCAAAGAAGAACGATGAGCAGTACGATGAATTATCACCAAAGGTTTTTAACCAGACTGCATTTGGGGGTTCTACTGAAACTAGACATATTTTTTAACATCTGGGCATAGATGAAATCATGAAATATATATTTTGTTAAAAGAAGTGATAACATTCAACATGTTTCTTCTATCAGTTTTCATCATGTTTCTTCTTGTTCTTTTCCTAATATCTTAATTTTTTTTTGGCAGAAACCTTCAAACGATGAAGATGGCGCTGAAGACGAAACGCTTGATATCAGTGCTACGGGTGCTATAATCTTTGTCATATCAGCGTCCACGTTCCTCGTTTTGCTCTTCTTCTTCATGTCATCCTGGTTTATCGTGATCCTGACCATCTTTTTCTGCATTGGTGGTATTCAGGTAATGTTGGCGAATCTTTTGTATATCTTATGTTTCATGGTTCAATAGCTAGAATGTCTACTAACAACTTTATAGTGGTGAACTTTCTTTAGCAATATTTCTCTGGTATAAATACAAAACATGATGAACTCTTCATGTGAGATGAAACAGAGGCTAACCTACGCATTGTTATGTATGAGTCATAGTGATTAACATTCTTTTGTTTGTTTTTATCTCAGGGAATGCATAATATTATCACAACCCTCATAACAATGTATTCTCAGAAACCCAAAATAAGAGCTCTTTATTCCAGTTAGTGAAAAGCATCATGTGTTGCTTGCTTGCTCTATTTCATATTCTGTTTCTCTGCAGGAGATGCAATACATGTGGCCAGAAGAAAGTGAAAGTCCCTATGTTTGGAAATGTCACGATTCTCTCACTCATGGTTCTTCTATTCTGCTCTGTGGTTGCTGTCATCTGGTTTCTGAACCGCAAAGCTTCCTATGCATGGGTCGGCCAAAACATTTTTGTAAGTCTGATAACTCTGTAAAAGCCCAATTCCTCATATTATGCTTGTGACACGTTACTGTCCTTCTAAGTTTGACTTGTCACGTGACAGGGTATTTGCTTGATGATAAATGTCTTGCAAGTGGCTCGGCTACCTAATATCAGGGTGAGTTTTCTTTATGTGTTTTTATAAAAATGTATTTCTTTTGTGATCTCCTTCTAATGGTGGTGTGTCACACTGTATAGGTTGCTACCATTCTTCTGTGTTGTGCATTTGTGTATGACATATTTTGGGTATTCGTGTCACCACTAATCTTCAAGCAAAGTGTAATGATTGCGGTAAGATTTTTCCATATTGTCCTTCATTTACCAAGTTTGATACCTCCAGTCTTATATATAGATTCTCCTTGTATGACATAGGTTGCACGTGGGAGCAAAGACACAGGAGAATCAATTCCCATGCTCTTGAGATTTCCACGGCTTTCTGATCCATGGGGTGGTTTCAACATGATCGGCTTTGGAGACATTTTATTCCCAGGCCTTCTCATTTGCTTCATTTTCAGGTAACCATCGACTTATCAATGATTCCAGTTCATGATATCTTTGTTGACTCTCTGTTTTTGTAACTCAGATATGACAAGGAAAACCACAAAGGAACCGTGAGAGGATATTTCCCGTGGTTGATGTTTGGCTACGGACTTGGCCTCTTCTTAACATACTTGGGATTGTGGGTTATGAACGGACATGGTCAACCTGCGTTGCTCTATCTCGTCCCTTGCACTCTCGGTAATCTCAAGATACAAAAAAAAAGACTCTAAACCTGACCAAATTGCAGAGTTTGCTTACATGATGATGGTGCGGTTTTGCAGGAATCACGGTCATACTTGGGTTGGTGAGGGGAGAAGTGAAAGACTTGTGGAACTACGGGACTCCACATCCTTCACCTTCAGATGTAAATCCAACTCCACCTGCATAATTTGCTCCAATAACATCACTCTAAAGAATCGAAGAAGAAGATATAAAAACAACAACATGATTCGACACTGTTTCTTTCGGCTAAGGATTTGCTCTTTTGTGCATATACATGTAGTAGTTGAGCCACCCACACCGTTATAATGTAATGTAATTCACCAAACTTCTGTATCTGAAATCTGAACGAGAAGAGTTTGTATATTGTACAATTAACAAATAGTCTTGACACTAAAATTATGAGCAAACAATTCTTCTGAAACTCTCGATGTACATATTTGGTTTGATCTGATATTTATCCCATGTTAATAAAATCACTTTTTACTTGGCAAAGAACAACAACAGAGGTAGATTCGAAAGACTCTTGTCCAAAAGGTGACGTGTCTTATTTCTTAAAAATGTTGGTAACAATTAAAACTTAAGACTGAGCAGAGTGGAACAACAGATCTGGGAATAAGAGCAGTTCCCTACTAATTTTAACCGGCGGGAAAACGGATAATTTTGGGGGATAATCTCTTTTCTTCCCCCACTATCCGATCTTTTGCTTAAACCCTAATCATTTCAATTTCAGTTTCCAATTTCAATTTTTCAATCTACTAGTGAGAACTATGATTTCAATGGCGAGTGTCTTAGAGGAAGAAGAAGATACCCAAAGCAATGGCATAACCCAACTCCACGACAAGGTTGCTATTCCCGTTCGCTACGCCTCTCTTGACTGCGTCTACTCCGTTTCCTCTTCCTCCTCTTCACCATGTTGTGTTACCACCAATGTCATGTCCAATGCCCACCAGAAGCTCCCGATTATCGACTCTTTCCAAGGTCCCGATGATTCTCAGTTGCTACCCCATCGCCGACCTGAGATTTTCCACGTCTACACTCGCCGTAGGAGGCGGCGGCGTGAGGAGGAAGAGAAAAAGAGCCAGAAGAAAAGGAGGATTGGTAACGGCGAGCTGATGAAATTGGGCGGCGTGGATTCGAGTGTCTCCACTACGCCGCGTTTAAGAGGATGCAGAATTAACGCTTTGTGCAGCGGAAGTAAGCAAAACGGATCTTCCCAGAGGAAGGAGAAGCTACTACGCCCAACTTCTTCTTCTACAGCTAAGAAATGGGTCAGGTTTGGATTCCACCTCTCATTGTGCTTTTACCGGTTTAGATTTACGGTTAAGACGTTTATTGCTAATTGGCACACTCGTTTGATCTTTATATGGTGGCAGATTGAGTTATGATGGTGTCGATCCTAAAACTTTCATTGGGCTGCAATGCAAGGTAATCGTTTAGCTATTAACTTATGTGCTCTGTATATTCCATAACAAAAGGGACTTGTTAACAGCTAATTGTTGTCTTATCTCTAGGTTTTTTGGCCACTCGATGCTGATTGGTATCCTGGTTCGATCATTGGTTACAACGCAGAGAACAAACATCACACTGTAAGTTCCTCTCTGTCTACTGTATCTGAGCTCATGCCATTATTTTTGGTTTTATGTATCTCTAAGTGCTTTTTCTTTTTCACCACTGTAAAAATACTATACAGATTAAGTATGGAGATGGAGATGGTGAGGAGGTAGCTCTTCATCGTGAAATGATCAAGTATTTCGTTTCTCGTGAAGAGATGGAGCTGTTGAATCTCAAGTTTGGCACTAATGATGTGGCTGTCGGTGGTCAAGAATATGATGAGATGGTTGTATTGGCTGCTTCTTTTGAGGGCTCCCAAGATTTTGAGCCTAGAGACATCATTTGGGCGAAACTATCTGGTTGGTAACTCTATACTAAACCCATTTCTGTTTTCTTGTACAAGTATGTAGGCTTATGTTACCTACTGAGAACCATACTGCTGTGTTTGTCAACTTTTTCCGGACAGGGCATGCCATGTGGCCAGCAATTGTTGTGGATGAAACTGTTATTGTAAAGCAGAAAGGTCTAAACAACAAGGCACCTGGAGGAAAATCAATCCTTGTACAGTTTTTCGGCACTCATGATTTTGCTAGGTTAGCAAATCTTCTAGAGATCTTGTTATGTTACCAAATTGTTGCAATGAGTGTAACACAAATTGACTGACATTTTATCCTTTGGTTATACAGAATACAAGTCAAGCAAGCGGTCTCATTTCTTCAAGGGCTTCTCTCACGGTCTCCCCTGAAGTGCAAGCAACCTCGGTTTGACCAGGCCATGGAGGAAGCAAAATTGCAAGTTCTCTACTTTTTTTTATTTGTCAATCTAGCGAAGTTGTTAACAAATAGACCATTTCCCCATGTTTATCTGAACATGAACATGATGCCTGTGCTAAATTGCTGTAATTGACCTCATCCAGGTACCTAAAAGAATTTAAGCTACCAGGAAAGATGGATCAGCTTCAAAAAGTTGCTGATACTGATTGTTCAGAAAGGACTAATAGTGGAGAAGAGGACAGCTCAAACTCTGGTGATGATTACAGAAAAGATGGAGAAGTCTGGTTACGACCAGTGGAACATGGAGATTGTTTGCATACAATAGGAGATCTACAAATAATAAATCTTGGTAATGTATGAAACCTATAAGTATCGTTGTATTATCCTTTGGTTGGAATGGACATTGCTCATTATTCATAGGCGTATATCAATTGTCTTCCAGGAAGGATCGTGACAGACTCTGAGTTTTTTAAGGATAGTCATCATACTTGGCCTGAAGGGTATACAGCTATGAGAAAGTTCATATCACTAAAAGGTCAATTATTCATCAGTTTCCATGCTTTTCTATATTGATCAGGCAGTTTCTGTCTCTGGTTGATTGAATTAGTTCACCAATATGCGTGCTTTAACTTCAAGCAGATCCTGGTGCATCTGCCATGTACAAGATGGAAGTGCTTAGAGATGCCGAGTCAAAGACTCGCCCTGTTTTCAGAGTGACGACGAATAGCGGCGAGCAGGTTAGTTTTCTAGGTGGAAGGCTTGTGTGTATAGAAAGTTTGTTATAGCCATGGATTTTACATTGAGAGTTTTTGACAGTTCAAAGGAGACACTCCATCTGCCTGCTGGAATAAAATATATAACAGAATAAAAAAGATTCAGAGCGCATCTGATAGTCCTGATATGTTGGGTAAAGGACTATATGAATCTGGTACAGATATGTTTGGCTTCTCCAACCCAGAAGTCGATAAACTATTACAGGTATTTACTTCTTGAATCTCAAAGTATTTGTAGTCGTTTGATATTTGTCTCCTTTTACTCCCTCATTCACTGGACTCTTAGAAGTTTTCGCTAGGTTCTCTGTTGTACACATTTTGGGGACCCTGTAAATTCTCTGGTGCTTTGCCTTCTGTTTTGCAGTTAAAACACATTATTAGGAATCTTGTATGTTTAGCATGGAAGTTTTAGATTTTCAAGCTATGTGCATTAAATCTTTCTTCGTATGAATCATATCTCTCTGCACATAAGTCTCTTAGTTAAATTTTGATTCTTTCCCACTTGATGCCCTATGATAAGCCTTTACCCAACTGACAGGGGCTATTACAATCCAGATCAAGTTCTAAAGTTTCTCAGCGCAAATATAGTTCAGGGAAGTATCAAGATCATCCTGCGGGTTACCGACCTGTGCGGGTTGACTGGAAAGATCTTGATAAGTGTAATGTCTGCCACATGGATGAGGTCAACAATGCTTCTTTCTTGATGAAACCTTTTGTATGCTTACCTTAATCTTGTACGCTCTAATAAGTTAGTTCTGACTTAAATTTTGTTGTCTGCAGGAATATGAGAACAATCTGTTCCTGCAATGTGATAAATGTAGAATGATGGTATTGCTCTTTCTCTAAGTTGTTGATACTGTATCCTAATGGCTGGCATTCTCTCCTTTTCGAGATGATACTCAGCTCAAAAGTTGTGATCCTGCAGGTCCACACCAGATGCTATGGGCAACTGGAACCCCGTGATGGCGTTCTGTGGTTATGCAACTTGTGTCGTCCTGGTGCTCTTGATATTCCTCCACGATGTTGTCTTTGTCCTGTAGTTGGTAATTTGACCAAACCCTTTCAGTATGGAGTCCTTATATGCTTTCATAAGTGACCAACAAAAGATCTTTCAGGTGGCGCTATGAAGCCAACAAGTGATGGGCGCTGGGCTCATCTGGCCTGTGCCATATGGATCCCAGGTTCAATTTTGACCATTTCTTATGCTATTCTGCATGTGTCTGCTTTCTACTATGGATTTGGGAGGCCTTACATTTATTATCCAAGATGTGGCAGTAACTCTTTTGATATTATCCAGAAACATGCTTATCGGATGTCAAGAAGATGGAACCCATTGATGGGGTTAATAAAGTGAATAAGGTTCGAACATACCTTATCACTTTCCTTTAACTAAATAGAGTCAGTGGCTTTGAGAGAATAGTTTGATATCTATTAGCCACATGATGTTTGATTAGTTGTCTTCTTTTCTTAACACTTCAAAACAGGATCGTTGGAAGTTATTGTGCAGCATATGTGGAGTATCTTATGGAGCTTGTATCCAAGTAAGTATTCTTTTGATGACAAGAAAAAGCTGGATAGGAACATACATTTTCTGAGTTTTCCTGTGAATTTGGGGTGTTTATTGCTTAACATGCTAAAAATTACATAAATATGAGTAACTGGTTAAAGTATTTAACTAGAAACTATGATGCCCATTTTCAGTGTTCAAACAGTTCTTGTCGAGTGGCATATCATCCACTATGCGCACGAGCTGCTGGTCTCTGTGTTGAGGTACTTTTGTATCCTACAGGGGATCATAAGATTCCGCATTCATTCATATACGTTTATTCAACCGCACAGAATTAGCAAAAGAGATTGTTTTGATTATGATAGCATTTTCGTACTGATCTTGTAGCTTGCGGATGAGGATAGGCTTTTTCTTCTATCAATGGAGGATGATGAACCAGATCAGTGCATCCGCCTACTTTCATTTTGCAAGAGGCATCGACAAACGTCAAATGACCACCTAGCAACAGAGTACATGATCAAACCTGCTCATAGTATTACCGATTATCTCCCACCTCCTAATCCATCTGGCTGTGCTCGTACTGGTATGCACTTGCATTGATCAATACCTGCTACTTAGAATGGTGTGTGTCTTTTTATAATGATCAGACATTATTCTCTTGGAGTTCTATATTCTATGCTCAGAGATCAAATTCATTATTTTTCACATTTTGCTTGCTTGTATTCATGATTACATCTAGGTCAGTTTAGAGCTGCATCTTGCAGGATTATTAATGCATACTTCCTCTGTTTCTGGTAGAGCCTTATAATTATCTTGGAAGAAGAGGACGAAAGGAACCCGAAGCTCTTGCCGGTGCTTCTTCAAAACGATTATTTGTTGAGAATCAGCCGTATATTGTTGGTGGATTCTCTCGACATGAATATTCAGCCTACGAACGCATTCATGGATCAAAGGTGTCACGGATGATTACTCCAAGCAATATTCTATCTATGGTCGAGAAATATAGATATATGAAGGAAACATACAGGAAGAGATTAGCATTTGGTAAGCATCTAATTAGCAATCGTAAAAGATGTTACTACTCGTTCAAAATAATATAGTGATCGTTTATACTTATTATGGATTAAACAGAAACGTTTCCTATAAACCCTATCAGACCTCTCAAAACTAATTTACTGTACTCTGATCTTTTGTTCCTCTAAAATGTTTCACTTTCCCTTTACAGGGAAATCAGGAATTCATGGTTTTGGGATCTTTGCAAAGCTTCCACACAAGGCAGGAGATATGGTTAGCATTCGGAACTTTCACTGTCCAATCTTGTATAATAAAATGTCAGTCATGAGCATATTGTGAATTGGGTGGGTGCAGGTGATTGAATACACTGGAGAACTTGTTAGGCCTTCAATAGCTGACAAAAGAGAACATCTTATATACAACTCAATGGTGGTGCGTATCCGACCTTGTACATTTGATAATCTATAGAAGAGTCTGAGCAATATTGGAACTCATTATCAGTACAAATTCCATCTAAAACGTTATTGACTGCTTATTTGGATCAAGCACTAAACATTCCTCTCGCATTCCCTTAAACCTACTGTGCTGTTAGTATCAATGCATCCTTCTAGCTTTTACTCACTGATTGTTTTTGGCTCTGCATTTCCGGTTATGAGTATTGAGTTACAAATATCAGTTTAGCAAAATAATATATTTTATGATATAGGGTGCTGGGACCTACATGTTCAGAATTGACAATGAGCGGGTCATAGACGCGACAAGGACAGGAAGCATTGCCCATCTGATTAATCACTCATGTGAGGTATGGTCACAAGTTGTTCTTGACAATTTGTATTTGGTATAATTAGCATCTGCAATATCATCCCATTACCTATGCGTTTTCTTCTGTGCAGCCAAATTGCTATTCAAGAGTCATTAGCGTTAATGGTGATGAGCATATTATCATATTTGCAAAGAGGGATGTTGCAAAATGGGAAGAGCTGACTTATGATTATAGGTTTTTATCATGCCCTTTACTTCTCAGGCACCTTTGAAATTCCATGATCATTTGCTTACTTTATATCTTCAAACTTGCAGGTTCTTTTCTATTGATGAACGCCTTGCATGTTATTGTGGCTTCCCAAGATGCCGGGGTGTTGTTAATGACACAGAAGCCGAAGAACGACAGGCGAGTATTTATGCTTCTCGCTGTGAATTAAAAGAGTGGACCGAGACCTGAGAGTGAATCTTCGTATTTCCCTGAACGCATACTGTAACTCCAGTACTCTGACTTGAGATCGTTCAATTTGATCCCAAGGTTTTGTAACAGTCTATTTCTTGTACAGATACTAATTAGTACTTCAACTACAGTAACCTTTTAAGTACTTCAACTACGCATTACAATCATGCATAAGTGAACGAAGCTGTATTATCTTCTTTCTTTAGACTCAAATGAGCCTCAAATCTGTTGTTTCTATTATTCATTAGGTTTATACGTGATCCTTTCAGTCTGACACAACATGTGAAGGAACAAGTCCTATCACTCCTTTAGTTCTTTGTTTTGTAACTTTATTTCACCTTTTTTTGGTTATCTGCGCATGTGACCATTATTGGTTTGGTCGTATCCCTTGACCCATTCCCTCACAGGCTCACACACACAAACGCGTGTAATGTGTTCGTGTATCACTGTGTATGTGTATATATAGTGAGGGTAGGAGTTTAATGCTTCACCTGTGCCCAAATGTCAATCTCTCTGAAGTTCCTACTTTGGTCAACTCTTGCTCTCTTGCTTCTTCAAATAGGTAACTTCAAACTTGTTTAACTATTTTAATTGCAATTTTATGCATAGATATATCATATATGTGAATGGATTGGTTGTATACTTGTATTTATAGGATTTGGAGAAAAATGTGAGAGCAAAAGCAGCGAACCAATTGTGAGGCAGACGCAAGTGAAGTGGAGAGAAGGAAAGAAGTTCAGAGTTGAGGTAATGAACGAATGTCCTATGTGTCCAATCATCAACCTTCGTCTGAAATGTCTAGGATTTCCTCAGTCGCTTGTGGACCCTACACTCCTCCGTGTCCTCTCCGCTTCCACCGAAAATTGTGTCGTCAATGACGGGTTACCGTTGAGCCCGATGCAGACTCTCTCTTTCAACTATTCCAACTCACACCAGTTCTCTCTTCGTCCTCTTTCTTGGTCTTTCCAGTGCGAATAAACTAATTAATAAAATAGTTAGATCAATAAGAATAGATCTCTTTGTTCATCATCAATCTGCTGGTTTTTCTTTTGTATTATCTATATTCAGACCCTTTTCCTTTACGATTTGACCAAAATGTTGAATCTATGTACAAAAGAGAAACTATCGAGAGTCTCTAAAGGAGGAAAAGAGTAATAAGGACAAGTAAAGAAAGTAAAAGCAAAGAGGTATCTAAAGAAAATGCTGAAGAGATAAAATGTGAGCCTACTAAATGAACTGTTCCTGTTCCTTCATCTTTTACTTTTATGCTTGACGAGCCTGCAGAAATAGAGACAGAACAAAGACATACTGTTTCAAAATCCAAGAAATCTTTCACAATCACTATCAGGCATGAATCTTGATCTCTAACACTTACAGTTGTATTCAGTCCACCCAATGAGCTGATTTTCTAGATCGTAGAGAACAAGCTTGTTTGAAAGGACCAAATCTGCAAACGGAATGTAAGACATTGTCACTGAGCCGCAAGAAAACACAATGGCTTAGGTTAAACGTTTTCACTGAGTAATGCTTAAATGTAATATGATTGCAAACTAGAGAACTTGTTTTACAATAGTAGTAATGGCCGGACAAGATCTAGAGCTAGCTATTGCAGGATAACCCGTTTAAAGAATAATGACAAGCAGGTTCAGAGGTGAAGAAGGTTAGTGAGTATTCTTAAGGTACCTCCCAAAAGTGTCATGTTTCTCCTATCTCTGGATTGCATTCCACTATTTTGCCAACCAATGCACCACATTCCTTCCTGTAAAAATTTGGTTTTATAAGCGAGGGGGTAAAATGGGTAGCCTGATGCGTAAAATGCAAGACGAAAGGGCTGAAGATGCTTACATAAGGGAACAGATAGTCATGAGGATAAACCCTGAGGAAGACCGAGTTTTCGAAATGGAAAGTGACATTCGGAAAAGCCTCATCAATTCTGCAGCAAAGGTAACATGTTGTTCCATAAGAATACCACTGTGTGATAAATGCATTTGGGATCATGCAGTATTAATCAACAATTCAAGACGTAAAACTAACCTTCCAGAGTACTGAAAGCATTTATAATCTTTATCCACTATGTGAACTTTCAGATCAGACTCCAGCGAGGTTATCTAACAAAAGAACCAGATTTATGAGCATATAGACTCTGCAGTTCAAATTTATTTGAGAAACTTAATTTTTCTTGCAGGTGTACCTTCTTCACCAATGGTTCATAGATTATCTCTGGAAGATAGGCCAAGGTTGTACCACTGTCAATTATTGCTCCTTTTCTGTCTCCGGCTTCAAATAAATCAGCTGGAATATCTAGAAACTCCTGACCAACTTGAACTGCTGTCATATTGACATTGTAATGTTGTCTACAATTAAAAACAAAAAGAGTCCGTCAACAGAAATGAACAAGAGAACGAATACATTCACCACTTTAGTAACATATACTACTTTCATTTCCTCCCTCCAAACAGGAAAAAAATAAGAAGATTCACTCTATGTCAAGTAAAAGCTCTAGCTATTCCACTGTACTCGAAAGAGCATTTCATCTTAGCGAGCAAGCATATAAGATTAGTCTAAAGCAGGACTATAACAGGAACAACATGGTGGCTGCATCTACCGGTATCCCATTGAGCTATTTATCCAAATGGAAAAGGAAAAACAATCTTGACATACTGATTGGGTACCAGTGGTGTCATGTTTACTTTCGGTTGCACAACACGTCCAATAGCAAATATGCCACCTCCGTTTTTCCCATCTAAGCAATGAGCAAATATCTTCTTCACTCTCCCTGATGAGGCAAGCTGGGAAATCATTGAGGAATTAGCTTTTCCAAATCCAAGTATTCCGTCAAGTGCTTCTTCATTAGAAGCATCGAGATCCCCTGACTGCCTAGCACCACACCTTCAAGATCAAATCAAGAACATAAGGAACGGAAGAAACAATGAGGAAATGATGGATTAAGTCATGTAAACTTACCCAAATATGACACTCCCGTTAGCTGTTTTGGTCTTGAGATCCCCAGCTACACTGTCGTACTGAACAATATCTTGTACAAAATAACCCGCAGTAGAGCTGCCATCTCCATATATTTCAAGATAAGGACATGACATATTAGCTTTGCAGCCAGAGAGAGGACCATTGCTTATCTGGTAGCAAAAATCGTCATCACAAGAAACCAACTTCCCGCTGTTTGATTCATTTATGTTGTACAGTGTCAGCTCGATCTGTATAGGAAAAGAAAGCTCAGAAGAAATGTGGAGACAACTATTGAATATGAGTCTCAAAATACAAAGAAGTGGCTTACACCAAGAGTGCTTCTTCTTGGACATTGCTTGCACTGAATACAGTTTACCCACATAATATCACTGCCTGTGTCGACTTGAACATAATAGCTCTTTGCAGGTGTTCCGATTTCAATCTTTGCATAATACAGCCTTCAAATGAAAAAAAAAAAAGAGAAAAGAGAGAGAGAGCATAAAGAGATCAATGAGACGCATTTGAACTCCAAATCCAAGTTATATAAAAAAAAAAAATCAACTTTGAAACCGCACATTACGAGATTCCTAAAAAATTTCGAGCACTAAACAAAATTGAGTCTGTCTTACTGCAACGAGTGAATCGTGTTCAAAATTGGAAATTGAGAGAGGTGCCTAAGAGAATCAGAGAGAGAAACGAACCCGAGGATATCGGGGCGACCGGTTCCACCGAGAGGTAGATCGATTCCGGCGAGAATTGTGAGCTGGCGGCGGTCATCGTGCTCCTTAAGGGCACTCAGGGAGCCTTGAAGCCTGGGATAACGGTACTTAACGTTGAGGACTCCAGGATTCGACGAGACGCAGAAAGCGAAAAGGAGCATCAGAAGAGCACTGAGAAACGAAATCAGCGTGAATCTTAGCGGTGGCGCGCAGATGGGGAAATAGAGGATTGATGAAACCATCTTCCTTCTCCCTCGCGCCTTGTTTTTTAATGGCGTCTATCGACTCGGCGGAGGAGTTGACATGAACCGCCGGTCCGGCGAAGACGACGACGACGAGGGAGCAGAGGGAAAGGGCAAATTGAGAATTTTCAGAATTTGTTTGGTCACTTCCTTCTTCGACCAATTCAGTCTCTTTTTTTTTTTTTTTTTTTTTTTTTTCCAGCGTGGACTTTTCAATTTCCTTATAATCATTCTTCACTGAAACTTATGACTATCCTTAATTTTGCCCGATTTGGTTCGTGATCACTTTATTTGTCTTAGTCCAAACTCATCCATTGTTTCGAATATTCGCAATTTCTTTGTAGCCACACACACACATGTAAAATATTTGTAGCTACTATCTACAGACTACAAAATGGATTATGTATTAAAACCAATCGTGAATGAATTTATAATCAACGAATACAAACATCATTCGTAAACAACAATAAAGTTTCTTTGCTTTCTCTATATTACACACATTCTGCCATACAATAATCAAAGAACATACGGTTTTAGTTTACATACAGAAAAATATAAAATTTTGTTTGCATAAGTAGTTCTACAGAGACAAAAACACACACATTTTTTTTTACCACAAGCAATTTCACTTATTACGTAACACTTCTCGAGCGAAGCAAAGAGACTTGAGAACAATGGAGAGACTTACGAAGAGGAAGCGGTAGGTGCAGTTGAAGGGTTGAATGCTTTCTGCTCGGCGCAACTGAGCTCTTCGTTTGGTCCGGCGTCTTCTCTTCCAATACCCAAGAGGTCGAGGAAGTACAAGTAGTGTGAGACTATGTTGTTCATTGGGTCGATGCTACCTTGACCACACGTGAGCTCTCCGTACAAGACGTTCATGGTGCTTCCAAAAGTCGGACCACGTTTGGACAGAGTGTCGTTCTTCGTAGGTTTCCAGTTTCCAACAAAGATGTCGTGAGCTGAGGGCTGGTTTTTCTTGATTGGTGTCATCCATCTCCAGATTGCAGCTTGGAAGGCGAGGGTCGCGTTCTGCTCGATGTACTCCGGGTGGTTCAAGAGATCAGCTTTCAAAGCATCACCGGCTGCACCGTAGTTGAAGTTCCTTCATATTAAACACAACCAAAATACTTAGCGTCGTTGGATGATCCTTGAAATGAATGTGCAAAGTGTTTGATTTCATCTAGAGGTTCAAAATGTGTACCAGTAAATGGGCAAGGCACCACGTCCGTAGTATTCAGCTCCAGGGCTACAAGGGTACTTGTACTTCCAGGACTCGTCACAGTAAGATTGGCTTGGGCTCATTTCCCTGTTATAGCACAAACCCCAAGCTAAAGGCCCTCCTGTTGCCACTCCGTAGCCACCTACAAGACATCACAGTAACACTCTCATACTAATGCAAAGCCGCTTACAACAAAAGCTATATTGGGAATGCCATTTTCAGAAATGTGATCAGCTTAATAAGATGTCAAAGCTATCATAAAAGCATCCGAAATGGTTCAGTTCTTAATGATTAATTATATCATATCTAAAGAAGACGTCTGGTTTTCTTAAGTAGCTCAACCAGAAACAAACCTAAAACAGAATTGAAGAGAGCTAAAACCAAAGCTTTAGAGTTTGATAGGACACTCACAGGACGTTTTGCTGGCGACATGACCGAGAAACGCAGCCATTTCTTTCTGTCCCATGAGCTTTCCTCCAGTGGTACCAAACCCAAGAGGCTCAAAGAGAGCAGCAGCGGTGATGAAGGACTGGTAGTCCCAGAAACCAGCAGCGTGAGCTACAGGTGTGTTTCTTTTGGAAAAGAGTTGCTCAAACTGATAAACCTGAAAGTAATCTGATATCGTCTCGTTGCAGCAGTATACAGAATACCACCCACATTCCCATCCCTGTGTGCACACCGTCTTTCCCCTCACCTTCTTCTTGACAATCGTTTTGTCTTCCCCATTTGCAACCATAGCCATACATGATACAGCCAGCAGAACCAGAATCACGATTGAACCACTCCGGATCGACACCATGGCTTACAACTTTGGAGCAAGTATTAGCTACAAAGATTATTAAAAAGTAATTAGCCAGGCAAATATAGAAACTTTTATCACTCTTCGTAACAAGCAAATATTACACCTGAACATGATGCCCAGAAATGGATTTCAAAAAGCTGACCATATAGATCTACGCTCAACAAGAAATTCGAGAACTTGCTATAATTAAAACACCAAATCCGAGAAGCTTAAAGCTGGAAATCTCTAATTTCAACTCTCAAAGATTGGAATCAACAAAGGAATAATCAAATCAGCAACAAAACCAAAAACATGGAGCTCATAAAGTTCTAGAAACTAAAAAAAAACAGAGAACACTAATAGCTGTAGATTGACCGATTTCATGCCGAATTGGATAGATTGATGAATAAGATTAGTGTATAATTGGTGGATACTTCAAAATGTGAATGTAGATCACGAAATCAACAATGAATCAGCGAAATAAAAGTTCCCAAGTCAATCATTAGCTGAATCGGTACCAAACCTAGACCGAAGAGCTGAAGGAAAAGCTTTTACCTGCAATGCCGATCAGCTAGATCCAGAGAGACCGATAAAAACTAGCTGTGCTTCAAAGGAACAAAAACTAGTCTTTTGATTCGTTGCTGAGAAAATAAGAGATTCTCGGGAAAGAGAGAGGACTAAACTAAAGCGGGTGACGGATCAGCGGTCGTTATCAACCGTTGGATTGGAGTTGAAGCAACGGCGAAGATTACGTCTGGTGAGATGAATGTGTCGGTTTGAGAAGACAGGCTGGTACGAATTGTGGGCCCGTTAAGTGAAGTGGAACCTTCCACCGACAGCCTACCGCACACCGCAGAGCTGAAAATCTCCTCGGTTAAACCAACCGGTTCGATTCGATACGATCAAGCTTTGATTTTCTGGATTATTATGGTTTATTATGCTGTATAGGCCTTATGGGCTTTTAAGTTAGGCCTTTTTGCGAATGCTAACACAACAGATCCAGAGAATAATTGCACTTTCACTTTCCCAAAGAGGAAAATTTGTTTTCTCTCTCCTCTCTCTCTCTTCGCTTTCCCTCTCCAACAGTGACAATGGCGTCTTCTTCAAAGCAAAATCCTTCGTCTTCCAGACCCCCAAGGCACCCTTTTCCGGCCACTACCTCAATTCCCACGAAACCCGGTGTATCGGAAGAATCCCAATTTCGAATCCCTAACCACCCTACGACAAGCGCCTCACCGTCGACGTCGAATTCACCGATCTCGATGGCAGTGGAGGATCAGATCCTCGGACTTTCCACTCACCTCACCCGCCCGGAGCTTCTCCGACGGCGATCGCACAATCTGAAGCAGCTCGCTAAATGCTATCGAGACCATTACTGGGCTCTAATGGAGGATCTCAAGGCGCAGCACAGAGAGTATTACTGGAAGCATGGTGTTAGTCCTTTCAAAGAGGATAATCATCAACATAACAAGAGACGTAGGATTGGGATTGAGGGAGATGAAATTGCCGTCGAAGGTAGCGGCGACAACGATCACAACAATGGTGGCGTTAAAGGTGATATAAATCTCAAAGGAGGAAACTGTGTGGCTTGTGGTAACGGATGCAAATCCAAGGCTATGCCACTCACCAATTACTGCCAGCTTCATATTCTCTCCGATAAAAAACAGAAGCTTTACACGTCTTGTACTTACGTCACTAAAAGGTTCGTTCCCAATTTCGCTTTTTTCCTAGTTTTTAACTTTTGATTCACATATATATTCTCTTGCTAGATTAGGAAATAATGGTTGCTTTGTTATGGTGTGAAATTCAGTTCTTTGAAATTGGTTTTGACTCGTTGTGAGGAATAGGATGTGAATTGATTACTTAAGCAGCTCTGTGTTAACTCGGTGTTGTTATATTGAATATGCAGAGCTCAGTCAAAAGCAATAACATGTCCAAAACCAACACTTGCATCGACTGTTCCCGCCCTGTGTAATGTGCACTTCCAGAAAGCGCAGAAGGATGTTGCTCGGGCTTTGAAGGATGCTGGTCATAATGTTTCTTCAGCAAGCAAGCTTCCTCCGAAACTTCATGACATTGTAGCCGCATTTGTGCATCATATACAAGCAAAGAGAAAAGATCCAGGGAGGGAGGGCAAGCTAATAAGATCAGTAAAAGAAGAAAATACAAGCTGAGTTCGAACAGTTCTAGCGCAGAGAAATAATTTGTTTCCACGATTGTGCAAAAAAAATGAAAGGTAAGATAACTGGCGTACCATATCATCACAAGTGAGAAAGACAGGTAGCTGATAATTTGCTTAGACTTAAAGTATTTAGCATCTTCTGTTGCTTGTTAGATTCTTGTTAGTCATCTTGTCTATTGATGAATGTTGATTAGCTGGACTTGACTTTAACCCAATACCTTTGTTAAATAGTCTGTGTACCTGTTTGACTGACCCACGCTTCTGGCCCGACATTGACAGATTTAGATGTGACTGCCTTTACAAGGTTACAAGTTATACAAGGAACGTCAGTCACACGAGGAGCAACATTGACACAAAGGTTTGGTTAAGTCTTACAAATGTAGGTTATAAACCGATGATATATTTGGCTTTTATAAGGCAATTTCGAGGTCTGTTGTTAACCAATGTAGACTCCTTGCTTTTAAATGTTGTGACATACTTGATTCAAAACATTAATATAGCAATCTACCCTTAGTGATTTTGCAACCGAGATATGTTCATGCAGTGTTCTCTTAACTTAGGCTATGAAGATGATTTGTTGCAATCTGATTCGCGTTTCCTTGAAAAGGGCTTAGAATTGTGTTGCATCTAAAACTTATAAGCGCTACATTTTAGAGCATTTGGTACAATACTCTTAAAGGTCGTGAGTTCAGTGTTTAAAAGTCCATTAATTAGGAGAGGCTATGTGATCGTCTGCCATGGTTCCATAAGGACTCTGCTTTTAGATTGGAGTCCGAAATTAGTATTACAGAAGATCTATCGGAAGCTACTTTGCTGCCTCATATTGATATAGCCACCATGAAATTCCCATCTAAAACTTATAAGAGCGACATTTTAGAGCATTTGGTACAATACTCTTAAATGTCATGCGTTCGATGTTCAGAATTCCATAAATTAGGAGAGGCTATGTGATTGTCTGCCATGGTTCCATAAAGAGGCTGCTTTTTATTTAGATTGGAGACCGAAATTGGTATTACAGAATATCTATCGGAAGCTACTTTGCTGCCTCATATTGATATAGCCACCATGAAAGCAGAGAACCAACAGAAACTTCAGTCGCCATGTTGAGCATCAAGGATCAGTATTAGTTGTTATCAGCCATCCACTTTTTCGTCAGTTTGGTTAAATTAATGGAAAAGAAAAAAAAAACGAAGATGATGAAATAACATAATATCTCCTTTGCTTCCCACTCGATTTCTTCACCAAAATTAAGTAGCATGACCAACATAGGCAATTCAGCGAACAAGATCGTGAGCTTCATCACAGATTGAGGGAAAGGGAAAGAGTCAGATCTAGTTACCAAGTTCGGATTAGTTACCTCAGAGAGCAGAGGTCCGTAACCAGTTAGTGATAGCTCTCGTTAAGACATGTCTCTCACAACTGCACAATGACAACAATCCATCTTTCATATCTCACATGTAACAATCTTTACACTGATGCTTAACCCACATGACATTCATTCTCGAAATGGTACGGCGTTAGATTAGTTAACATCACACTCAGTTAACAGACGCAGTTAGATTAGTTACCTCAGTAAGTCCATAACCAGTCAGGTGGGTCAAATGAAATGCTCTTTAAAAATAAACAGAAGCTCTCATCACTGCATAAGGACACGAATCCAGATAGTTAGATGTCAGATGTTAAAAGCTCTTAGATGCTGAGACAGAGCAGGGTTATGAAAAAGAATTATTCATAGATTTATTCACTGATACCTTTATTTCCGTTTCATAAAATCATTAGACTAGATACTAACTTACTACACATACATGGAATTGAATTAAGTGAGAACCATCGTTGCCTTTGTTGGTGTTTAGTTAACTTTTTCCGAAATCTCCTCCTCAGCTAACAATGGCTGAGACTGATTACATATTGTTCATGATTCATTCAGCTGCACAACTGGACTGTACAGGCAACGGCTTGTGCCCAGTATTTGAGCCTAGCTTTCACATCATCCGGATTATCACCTAAACACAAACAAAATGAAAACATTCTCACTAAGATTTGTGGCCTCTGTATCTCAATTACTCAGCAACAAGCCAATTACACAGATGAAATCAATGGAGATTTCAGGAAGAGATATATACCAGGGCTAGAGATCTTCCAATTGGCAATCGGAGTGGCCGTCGCCGGCGAAAGCAACGGAGAATCTTCTACCGGCGAACCTTCCGGTGACGATCTGCTGCTGTTCTGCTTGTCGTCTAAGAACTTCTGGCTCATGGAATAGCAGAGCTCTAGAGCAGGTAAAGTGTTGCAGAGCTCGGGAATCTCGTCGTAGCTGAAACCAAATCCGAGATCTAAACAACCCTTGAGATCTTCCAAATCGTCATCGGTCAAACTCTTGGATCTCGTCAGATCGTCTCGATTATCCATCGTGGCAAGAGTCTCCACGTAACCCTCCAGCAACACTTGGCTCTTCTTCCTCTCCAGCTTCTTCCAGCTCCCGTCGCCGGAGCCAAATGACCTCCGGGTCGAGACGGAGATCTCAGCCCACGCTTCGCGGATTCCCGATTCATTGTCATCGCCGACGTGTTCGAATGCATTGCCAGATGTTTCGGCTTCTAATTGCCATGGATCTGATGATTTGCAGCGAACGAAACCCATCACTCACTCTCTTTTCTTTTCTCTGAGTCTCTCTCTCTCTCTCTCTCTCTCTCACTCACTCGGTTTCCTTATATAACTGTGTGGAGTCGTCGATTTGTTTGTTACTTATAAAAGCAGCGATGAGCTGTATGTAAATGTACATCCCATGATGATGATGATGTTGATGATGATTGAGAACTGCAAATATAAATGTCACATACACAATCACATATATGTGAAAATGACATTTTGGATGTGAAACAGTGTCATTTGTAAGGACTTGGTTCTGACACCAAAATATACAGTTGGAGTTACTGCTCCGGGCCACGTGGCGGATAACGAGCGGAGAGATCCGTAAAGGGAGATGGAATATAGGCCAACAAACCCACGTGGCCTGTCTTTGTCACTCCAATAATTTAGGTGGTAGGAGAAGAATACAAAGTCACATCATTATTGTTGGAGCTCACGATTATTAATATACGGTCCATAGTTTTTATACGAATGAAATCTTGTTATACACCAGATGAGATCACAACCATGCAAGCAAAGCAGTCGTACTTACTACTTTGTTGGTATTTGTAGATTATCTTAATTAATGTTAGCACAGTTCTCATCCAAATATAGTATCGATCATACATCTGCTGCTGGTTCATGTGATTATAATTTGGAAATATTGCAAAAGGATGGTCTATAATGAAACGAAGTTTGCCACTTGAGATTGCACACTTGTACTCGTGGTGCGAGCCACAACGGAGACACTTGTGGGATCCACATGATCTAACGCTTTTTCCCCTTTAACCCCTAAAAAGGGTTACACGCGTCACTGTTACGGAAATAAAGTATTGTTTTTTTGCATAAAATACTACTACGATTAATTATCATGAAGATCATCAAGGCATCGTTTTTCTTATATCGTCTGACTATTCTTCTTTCTTTACTGTCCATACGTCAAACGCACTACCAATGGATTTCGTCTCTAATTCAATTACTTCGGTAACAAATGTTGTCCTTTATTCAGATATAATCATTGCAGTGAAATTTTATGTCTGATCTCGATCGGCATAACCAAATCTGGATTCTTAATTAGTCAACCGAAGTTTCACTCGAGTTTGAAGAGGAGACAAAGTATTGTATGACAAACTATTTGGACGTTGCGTATTCACAATGTCTCCAGTTGTAGTTTCCTTGATGCATAGTGGACTCGGTTCAATCTTATCGTTTTTCTTACTTTACTTTTTGATCGTTATCAAGGTCAATCTTAAAATATCGATCATGCATGTAGTTGTATAAATTTCACATAGATTAAAGTTGTGTTTACTAGATTAAAGCTAATTATGCGAAGAGTAAAAAGGAAACTCGCCATTTCAAATAGAAATGAACAAATTGCCATAAAATTTAACCATACATGAAATAATTTAAAGTATATGTAGACTATGTAGTTATCTCTTCTGAACAATCTCGTTGTTTTGAAATGTATACAAATTGTCTCTGGTAAACTCTTTGTTTAAGGGGAAGTAGAACAAGTGTGGTTTCCCATTTAAGTACATTTTTAAAACCTACAATATATGGATTAAAAAATACGAAACAGAGATATTGCTTGTCATAAAAGTAAGAGAAATTGCAAACCATTTTCACATCTATATAATATACAAGACTAGTATCATGGGCACAATTTACATCTCATTCTCAAACTTGCATGTTTATATATTTTCGACGAAACTTACAAAAATTCAAAGTTTGAATTTAAATGCCACGTATCAAAATTCTATTGGAATATTGACTTGTCTTTATAATATAAAGCATATAAAAAGAATTTAAAAGTCTTGGTCTTCTCTTCTTCATTTTTTTGGCCAAGAGACTTGATCTTCAGCTGAATTATCTAAAAAGGGCGAAAAAGTATTAAAATTTATCTTCTCTCAATTTGTTCTCGTATGGATGATTCTGAAATCAAAAGGATGGATAAGCTCGATATCGAATCCGAAGAGGAGTGGTACGACGCACCTGAAGAAGAAGATGATCAAACCGAAACATTTGTGGAACAGAGTTGTGTAACTGTTCTAGCAGAAGAAGATATCCGGAGGCGTATGGAGAATGATATTAAATGTCTTTCAGATATTTTCTCAATCACCGAAGCTGAAGCCACACTTCTGCTGCCTCTCTTTCGCCGGTAAAAAGTTGAAAACTTGCGTTCTAATATTTGAAGTGTTCTTTATTATTGTTTCTTCTTCTACAAGAAACCTTTTTGATCTCTCTGTTTCTTTACTCAGCAAAGTTAGTGAATTTCACAAGGAATGGTTTGATAATGCTAAAAATGTTAGAGGAAGCGTTGGCATATTGGAGAGACTTTATGATAAACCTTCTGATGACAAACAAGTAATGATTTTTTAGTCAAAATGTTTATATTATACTCGTTTGTTTTGTCTGAATCTAAATTAACAAAATGTTGGTATAGTTCCTTTGTGGAATCTGTTCCGAATCACACCTGCTTGAGATGTCTGCATCGGTCTCTTGTGGCCATCGTGTTTGCACTTGCTGCTGGACAAGTATGATCTCGCTATAATCGAATGCTTATTCTAATCCTTCTTCGATATATGTATGTAGACCTTGTGATATGTATATTGACGTGTAATTTGATAGGACATATCAAGAAAGTCATCAGTGAAAGTCCAGAAGCTGAATTGAATTTGTGGCTGGTTTGTCCTTATGAACATTGTCCAGCTTCCGTTGGTCGAGACATGATCGAGAGATTTGCTTCCGAGGAAGACAAGTCTAAGTACGAACGATATCTCCTTAGATCGTACGTTGAAGACAGCAAAACGGTATAGAAATGGAATTAATAAAAAGATCACTATGAACCATTTGTTTCTTAAGGGTTTGATGATTTATCTTTTGTCTTATTGACATTTGGCATTAGATGAAATGGTGTCCTGCCTCGGGGTGTAGTTTCGCAATTGAACGTAGTCCTGATTCTGGAAATTCCGATGTCTCTTGTGTTTGTTTGCTTAGATCCTGTTGGAATGTGAGTTTTTCTTGGATTTGCAAACTTTTTTTCTTTTTAATCAGTGTAACTGAATTTAAGCTTCAGTGCAGCGAGGAGGCTCACAGTCCTGTGGACTGTGAATCAGCAGCAAAATGGTTAGCAATGAACATTTTCGATTACCAAAGCTCAATCTGGTAAAACAATACTTTGGATATCTATTTCCCATTTCAATTTATAAAGCTTGAATCTTGAAAATGTTATAGTCTTTTCTGGATTGTCATTTTAGGGTAATGGCCAACACGGTGCCTTGTACTAAGTGTAAGCGAAGGATAGAAGAAAATCAAGATTGTTCACTGAAGATGACATGCTTACCACCTTGTAACCATGATTTCTGTTGGTAAGTATACTTATGTGAACTGATCTATGATTTCCCCATTAATTAATGTCTTGTGGTTAATATTATGATCACATACCTTTAAGTTGTTTCATGTAATTTCATCTGCAGGTACTGCCGCAGGGACTGGACTGAACACGGGGAAGAAACTGGGTGCTCTTTATACATTTGTAACCTCGTTCCTGTCTCGGTACTTTGTCTGATCGATCACTGAAAATTTTGATCGTTTGTGTATCAACTAATATGTTTATTTTGATACTTTTGCTCATGTTTTGTAGTGTGGAGCGACTGATTTTCAGAAAATGGCAGAATCTGCTGCAGATAGATACAGAGTCTGTTATGAAGACTGGAAGAGTAATGAATCGGTATACTGTACACGCACTTATATATGAACTTCAAATCCCATTGTTCACTTATGAAAAATGTATTGATATCTTTTGAGTTGGTTTTTTTGAGCAGTTGATGCAACAAGCAAAAGCATACCTGCAGCGACTACACACTGATCTTGTAAGAGAGATGTACATTGTCTTATATATTATTGTTCTGTTTCATTCTCTGTGTACTAAAGTGAATCTCTTTTTTTTTTTTTCTTTTTCTAAACCGTTTTTGCCAGATTCCGCATCTAAGTAGCATACAGTTAGCAACTGTACCGCAGCTTCAGTTCATTGCAGAAGCTTGGTCTCAGGTTAGGAAAACTAAAACTAGCGTGTTTTGGTTTGAGTTTCCAGACAGTATTAAAGTGATGCATACATACAATACAGATGATGGAATGTAGAAGGGTCCTGAAATGGATTTACGCTTATGAATACTACCTTAGAGATGATGAGGTCGAGAAGCGAGCTTTCTTGAAGCACAAGCAAGGTCTGTAACTTGCATATGAAATATTGTAGATCCACTAGTATGATCCGGTTTTGAACTGTTTGAAAGATGAAGCTAACAAGTCTTTGTTGATCAGAGGATGCGGAGATTCCTTTGAAGAAGCTCTATCACTACGCAGAGAATGAACTGCAGACGTATCTTGACGCGGAGGAACCATCAGAGGACTTTACTAAATTCAGCATCAAGTTACAAAGACTAACTAGGTTTTACTCTCTCTCTCTCTCTCACTTGTATTCCAAGCAATATCCAACAGCTTAAGCGGTCAAGCCCTTAACCTTAAACTCTTATTTTTTGTTTTTGTTTCATAACAGCATAACGCGAAACCACTACGAGAGTCTGGTAAGAGATCTTGAGGATGGCTTAACTAATGTTTTACCTTCTTCAAGGTCTCGAAGGCCACGTAGCGAGGATGCTAGTGATTTGGACCGTGATTATGGTGACGACTAGTCGAGGCTAATTGTTTATTACCAATTAATAAATTTATTTAACCAGTTGCGGATTTCGGTTTTAAACAGTTTAGAGGACGAGGCTATCAAACCTCATTTATAAAAAACTCGACTATACATCTTTTTAGTGTTTTAAATATTAAATATATAAAGTTGTGAGAAAGTCTTCATTTGAGATGAATTTATCATGTTTTCCACTTGCTTTTTTTATAACATTTTGAAATAGGAAAAAGAAAAATGTCACATCTACTAGAAGAACTATAAAATTAATCAGACATAAAACACCAAAAGCAACACGTAACTTCTTGTTGTCTGAGAAAGAAGCCGAGGCCCAGTAAAGAAATGGAATCGTTTTTGGAGAAAATAAATTTATGAAGAGGCAGATGCAACGCAAAATCTATTTTGGCCTCATGGTGCTATAACACAAGACGTTTCGTTCTCTCCCAAAGTGAAACAATCGACGCTATCATTAGTAAAGTTTTTCATTTATAAGTTGCAGCTTAAACATGTATTTTCCTAGATTTACAATTAATTACTGACAATCCTCTTTTTTTATTACATTACTATAGTACCTATATAGATGAATGATCTCACAAAAGAAAACATCAATATTGTGTTAACAAAACTAGAAAAGCTTATTACTTTTGTAATAAAAAATCTGTATTTTGTTGTCCAACAAAATAAATATAGTGGTACAAGTCCATATCTCATCTACTTCATTTTCTGAATCGTGAACCCAGCGATCCAAAATCTTACCTACAAATTCTCGATCAAAACCATCGGAGCTCCATTTCCATTTCCATTTCCTTACCCTTGTAAAGTAGTTTACTTTCCCTTTCGATTCACTCTCTCTCCTCTATAAAGCACGAACCTTTTTTTGCTATTGAAACCCAAACCCTACTTTGCCCAGCTACAAGGGAAGAGGGGTTTCGTCTCATTTCTCTAAATCTCAAAAGCCTTTGAAGAGGGGAAACGAGCAGATTCTCTTTGGGATTTCGCCGATCATGGATTCCGAAGACGACATGCTCGATGCCCACGATATGGAGTCGGGAGATGATGATTACTACAGCGGCGGGACCGATGATTACAACGACAGCGATGGCGATGAACCCGATTTTGGGTACGATGAGGCAGACGTCGACGATTCCGCGATGATCGCCTCGCTCCGGTCTCAGGTGGGTTTAATTACAAGATTGACATTTCCGTCGACTTCTTACTTGCGCCGTTGTCCGCTTTTTTTTTTGGGATTTCATTGTCTCTAGAACTTGTTATGTATTACTTGCTTTTTCAGCTGGCAAATGTCTTAAGCTAAGTTTTTTTTTAGGATAATTAGTCTATGGCTCTTTGTTGATTACATAGTAAGGAATCAATGGTTGTTAAAGTTTCGATTTTTTTTGCTGTTTTAAGTTTACTCTAGTCTTTATCAGATTAGTGGTTTTCCCATTTGTTCTGACTTTAATGGGAAATGTTGATTTAGTTAGATTTTTGCCTTTCGCTTGGAATGCTTATCCTGGTATCTATCGCATGGCTGATAGATAGTTTTCTATTTGTTAATTTAACATTTGCTCTTATTTGACTGTAACTAACCATTGACTCATTGTTGTTGTTGTCGTTGTTGTTGTTGTAATAATGCGTGCTTCCAGGTAAATTATGTTGTTCTCAAAGAAGAAGATATCCGCAGGCATCAGAAGGATGATATTGGACGAGTTTCCATGGTCCTCTCCATAAGCCAGGTCGAAGCAATCATTTTGCTTCTTCACTATCACTGGTAAATTCCCTTGACACTTATTGCGTGATTTGGTTACTACTTTCGCTGTGTCCTATGTTTTTAGTATATATATATATATATATATATATATATATATATATATATATATCTCGTTTCCTAATGCCTGAGGAATGTGTCATTTTAGGAGTGTAAGTAAAGTTCATGATGAATGGTTTGCGGATGAGGAGAGAGTTCGGAGAACTGTTGGCATATTGGAGGGACCTGTTGTTACAGCACCTGATGACGGAGAAGTAATTGCTTTGATTTTTTTGTTCTATATATATCTTGCTTGGCAATTCTCGTTTCACTGACGCATGATTTGATCTTTAGCTTGCATGTGGAATATGCTTTGAATCCTTTCTTTCTGAAGAACTTGAATCAGTTGCTTGTGGTCATCCTTTCTGCCCTACGTGCTGGACTGGTACGTCACATTCTTGTATTTTCCTTGTAGATGCTTGCATCTGTAGTGTTTTCAGAAACCGGGAGTGTTGAATTTGTAATTTTCCTTGGATTTATCCGAGTGTATATCTAGTTAGCATTCCAGTTGCACAGTTTCATAGGCATTGACCTATAAATTTAATAAGCTCAGTTTCTTCCATGCCTGAAATGTGTGGAATTAAGTTACCTTTTTCTGCTTGAACGTTTCTTTTCTAATACCTTATACTGTATACTTACATAGGATATATCAGCACAACCATCAATGATGGCCCAGGATGCTTGATGCTTAGATGTCCCGAACCTTCTTGTGATGCTGCTGTTGGTCAAGATATGTTCGAAAAATTGGCTTCTCAGGAAGATAAGGAGAAATATTATAGATATTTTCTTAGGTCTTACGTTGAAGACAACAGAAAGGTAAGACGTCTAAGATAACATATATCACCCTGCGTAACTGTAACTTACCGCAAAAAGCAGAAACTGCTTGATGCTCTTGCTATGAAAAACTTTTTCAAGTCATTTATTCTCGTGTCCTTCTTACCATGCTTTAATTGGCACCAATTCCTAGGAAGCTTTTACTTCTCTATGTTGTGAAGTGGCTTTAAGACTGTATATAAAGCCTATTTCTTTGCATATTGCTGGTGTTGATAGCAGATTTTCTGTGTTCTCAGCTTTTCCGACTTTTCTTTATTCTTAATCTTGCATGGACTGGCTGCCAGCCTTTTTTCTTGAATGAAATCTCAATAATCTCAACTTTCTTCAATGCTGTTGCTTTGAGCAGACTATCGTAAAATGTCCTCTATATGTATGCCTATGATATGTCGCTTGTCTAGCTTTGATGTAGCTCCAATTTTTTTGTTGCTTCAGATGAAGTGGTGTCCTTCCCCTGGATGTGAGCATGCAATTGATTTGTCTGCCGGGACTGGGAGTTATGATGTTTCCTGCTTGTGTTCTCATAGCTTTTGCTGGAATGTAAGTTCTTGGAGTCAAACCCAACTTGTCTGCTTTCCCTTGACAATTTTAATCATTTTAATTGATCTGTGGAACTGTGATATATCTGAAATTACAGTGCACTGAAGAGGCTCACCGTCCTGTGGATTGTGACACAGTTGCACAATGGATACGCAAGAATAGCGCTGAATCTGAAAATATGAATTGGTACTATTTGTGTTCATGCTTCCTCACTCTGCCGGTTATTTCTACCGTACATCTTGCATACATATGTTTAATTACCTCTAAAGCTACGCCATTTCTCTTGCATCTTCCATTTTTTATTATATTTCTCGGTAATCAATTTTTGCCTCCTCATACCCAGGATACTTGCCAATTCAAAGCCTTGTCCGAAGTGTAAGCGGCCAATTGAAAAGAATCATGGCTGCATGCATATGACATGCACACCACCTTGTAAATATGAGTTTTGTTGGTAATGTTTTATCCCCATCTCTGAAGATGTCTAAGTTTGGTTGTTACTCTTTTTCTTCAATGTTGGATTGCAAGCTTGGTTCACTCTGATGTCTTAGGATTTATTCTTATGATGGAAGTGCAAGAAATGCTAATGAATGTATTTTTATATGAATCTTTAGGCTTTGCCTTAATGCATGGACAGAGCACGGTGAAAGAACTGGTGGTTTTTATGCATGCAACCGGTATGAGGCGGCTAAGCAAGAAGGACTGGTACGACCTCTTATACTTATATGATAATTTGTAGTGGCATTTTCTGCAACCACTGATGGTTTCTAGTATTGTTTTGGTGATATCAATTTAATCTTTGTTTTAGTATGATGAGGCTGAGAAGAGGCGAGAGATGGCCAAAAATTCGCTAGAGAGATACACTCATTACTATGAACGCTGGGCAAGCAATCAAACGGTATGCACAATTTCTTATACTTCTTATGCCTTAAGACACTTAAAAGCTTGAAGTGTTGTAAAAGCTTGAAGTCACGTTTCTTAACTTTTTTTTTTGTGTGATGTGGCAGTCGAGGAAAAAAGCTATTGAGGAGCTGCAGAAGATGCGATCAGAAAAGGTAAGAATTAAGAATTTTATCTCCTTGCTGATCTCTTTTATCTGCCGAATGATAGGCTAGTTCTTATTTGGAGTGGAGAATGATGTGAGCTAACATCTATTCCCTTGGCTATGATTTGCAACACCAAATTTTATCCATGCTCCATAATGGGACTGCATTGTTGTTCCTTTGTTGATTTTGATTTGAACTTGTGGTGCTTATACATGTGGGTAATTACATAGAATTTGAATGTAAGAAGGATTATTGTAGTTTCTCACATGCTCTTTTCAAACTTTTCTTCTGCTAGCTTGAGAAGCTTAGTGACATATACCGAACACCAGAGTCTCAGCTCAAGTTCATCACAGAGGCGTGGCTTCAGGTTAGCAGCTAAAAATATTTAAATAACTGTGGAGACTTGTGTAAAACATCTCTCTGAATGTTGGTCACTTAATTCATGCCTTTACAGATCATTGAATGCAGACGTGTACTGAAATGGACATATGCGTATGGGTACTATCTGCCTGATCATGATAAGCGACAGTTTTTCGAGTATTTGCAAGGTCAGAATCCTCATCTGTAGATTGGCCGGAACAAGCTAGTTGTGTCAGCGAACCGTTGAAGTTTAAAGTTTCTCTTGTTGATTTTATCAGGGGAGGCTGAGTCAGGTTTGGAGAGGCTCCACAAATGCGTAGAGAAGGAACTAGAGGTGTTTGAAGTTGCTGAATGCCCTTCGGAAGACTTCAATCAGTTCCGGACAAAGTTAATTGGTTTGACCAGGTAATATTTCGCCTGTTTAGTAGAGAACGGATCAAGATAAACTGTGTAGACATTAAGATGAATCTGTGCAGTAATAATGTTCAGATAGATTGTTACGTCTATAGTCAGGTTCTGCCATATGAATGCTAACTCCAATGACTTTGTATCATGTATGAACAGGATAACGAAAACCTACTTTGAAAATCTGGTGAAAGCTCTGGAGAATGGTCTTGCTGATGTGGATTCGCAAGCGGCTAGCAGCAAATCAACGACAAACGCTAAATCTCCTGTCAAGGCAAAAGGCGGTGGGAAAGGTAAAGGAGGCTCCAAAAATGGCGGATCCAGCAGAAACCAAGATGACAAGTGAGGTGCTCTCAGGTTTGGTTAAAATTTTGATCAATCATTTGGTTAAAATTTTGATCAATTGAATCGCCAAAAGGATCACGTGGTGAAGACCCCATATTTGTGTTTAAAGTTTGATTGAAAAAGTAAACTATCAAGAAGAATGATTTGACCTTGAAGTTATATATGAGAAAGAAGAATTGTGCTCTTAAAGGATTTGTAAAAATAGGAGAAGGAGAAGAGAAGGAGAGAACACATAAGTTTGAAATGACACAAATATAACACAGACAATTCTCATTAAACATTGAAACCCATATAACATACATACTAATCATTCTCTGAGTTATTCAATGCATGAAGAAGTCTTTAACTGGCTGTTGTTAAAAATTCCCAAGTATCGTGGTCAAGAAACCGAAATTTACAAAATGCTGACATGATGGGTCAACGCAACTCCTTCAAAAGGTCAAAGATAAGAGAACGTTCGGTCCAATAAGCAACTCACTCAGTTTAAAAATTTGAAATATATAGTCCTTGCCTTTATATGCCTTTGTAAGAACGCGCGAAACATATATAAGGGATTTTCCTAACTTATTGCCGGAGACTAACAAAATTTGTCAACTGTGTATTTGTATAAATAGATTAATTCATCTAATGCAAGGGTCAACGATTTGATTTTGTTTTCTGTGAACAGTTTATTCGTTGTCACCTTCAGATTCTCTTAGAAGTTAGTGGTTGGTATGTCATTATCTTCATTAATCTCTTTTTGTTTATCATGTAATACTGCTACATGTACTCCTCAATCTATAATCTCAATTCTTGTTGTTACTCATGAAACTTTTCTTCTCTCTGATTTCTTCAGTCTTAAACACAGAAAGTGATTGGGATCTTCATCGATGGCTTTTACAGATGGGAAAGACGATGGACCTAAAGGATTTGTGAAGAGAGTGGCTTCATCTTTCTCCATGAGGAAGAAGAAGAAGAATGCAACAAGTTGCACAGAAGCCGGTGAACGAAAGTTACTTCCAAGATCGAAATCAACAGGTTGTACTAACTATGAATCCATGAAGCTACCTAAGAAGATTTCAGATGTCACAATCAAAACAAGGATCAAATCATCATCTGGCGTCACACAGCTACCAAGACGAGAAAAGATCGATGATCGTGGTGGTGATGGAACGAACAATAACTTTGGCAAATGGAGAAGCTTTGATGACAGTGATTCAATATGGTTATCTTCAGATTGTGCATCTCCTACTTCGCTTCTTGAAGAACCAAGGTTATCTGTTACGTTTCGTTTCAACGTTGATGAGAGTGTAGTCTCTTGGTTATCAAATCTTGCCAATACTTCTCTTTCTCTGAATCATCATCAAGAACCAAGTTCCACTATAGACCGTTGTAGAATCCCAAGGAACACTAAGGATCATTCAGAGAACATTCAGAAGAAAGCTTGTGCTCCAAACTCCACAGTTTCTGATTCTAATACTCAAAGTTCACAAGGAAAGAGAGTTAGCTTCTCACCATCTTCAGGTACAGAATTTGAATCAGAGAATCTTTCTCCTTCAACTTCTCTGGCTCATGAGAAAAGTGAGGATTCTAAGAAGAGTAGTAATGTTGCTGATGAGCCGCTTTTCTGGCCGTATGAGCAGAGATTTGATTGGACGCCAGAGGATATATTGAAGCATTTCTCCATGTCACCACGGAGAAAGAAGTCATTGGTTGCCAAAGTTACCTCTCCAAGATCCATGAGAGCACAGCTTCTCCAGACAAGGAAAGTAGATCTTAAAGACGGGTGTAAGAGAAAGCTTGTGTTCAACGGTCCTGTAACAAACGCATCGAAGATGCCAGAGCTCAAACGAGCAATCAGCCATAGCAGCAGCAACAACAAGAAAAACGACAGTATCAAGAACGAGCCTGTCAGGAACTGCGTGAAGAGGAACAAGAGTTTGCCGTCAAGACTGAGAAAATCAAGCAAAACATGTTCAAAAGTTGTACCTATAGAAGCTTCTGAAGAAGTGATCGCAGCAGAGAAAGTCCAAGAAGTGGAAATAACAGCAAGAAAGCTCATGAACCGCAGAAGCAAGACTATGCTGGAAGACGATTTCGCATTGATGAATGATTTCTCAATAGAAAACGCAGTGGGGCTTGCCGAGTTCAGTGGTCGAGAAGGTATAGATTCAGAATTTAACTCTGACACTTTCTTGTTCGATGATTCTCTTTGAAAAAACTATAGACTATTATATAGTTGCCTGTGTCTTGGCAACAAATTTTGTTCATTTCATTGTTTGAGCATTTTGAAAGAATGTAGCTAAACACTTGCACTATGAGAGATATGTTACAAGAGACCAAAGCTAACCAAAGTAGACTAAAGTAAACAAGAAACCAGATTCACATCAAACTGTTAAGTTGGTAAGATCTGAAACATAAAAAAGGGGAAAATAACTGAAAAACAAAACCAAACAAAGGTGTAAAGATCAAAACCGGTGTAAAACCCCAAAGAATCGCCTGAAATTAGATGGCTTTTTGAGTCGATCAATCAAGTTAGTCTCAAACCAGAGGACTCCAAGCCATCTAAAAGACCAAATACCGATGTGGTCTCCATCTTTCAAACCATTAGCCTTAACAATGTCGTTCCACACTTGTGTTTTTTTTAATATTTGTTTAGTATGACCTTTTAGTTAAGATGTTAATTGTTTGCTACATCCACATTCTGTTTAGTGTGACTTTTTAGTTAAGGTGAATAAATATTACAATTTTCAATTATGTATCCACATTCTGTAATACACATTTTTGTTCATATAATCAGTTATACAATTCTGACGTTTATATTTATCAGTAAATGACTGAAAAATAGACTAGTTATGAATTTTTTAGGGATAATTTCAAAACTACATTTTTTTATATTTTTTATGCATATTTTCAAAATTATATCTTTAGGGTGTATATTAATTTAAATTAAATTAAATTTAAATGTTAAATTTAGGAAAAAATGTAAATTTTAAAACCAAGTTTTGAAAATTACCACCCTGAGTTATATTTTTTACAATTTCTCATTTTTTTTATATCTATATTGTCAAAATTTAATTTGCTCCTTCGATTTGTCAAAATGATTTGCTAACATTAACTGAGTAGGTTGGTTTCTCAATTCTCTTATCGCGGAAATGGAATAAACACACAAAACTTGGCTCTATGATTCTCATCACCGGAGCTGCTTCGAATTTTCCCACCGCCGGTCGAGTTTTCAACGCTATGAATCGCCGAATGCGTGCTACTCTATCGTCTGCCAAATCCATCTCCGCAGAATCCTTAAAGCCTCCTTCCAGTTCCAATTCAGGTTTTCTCTCCCTCTCTCTCACTCTCTCTCCGAAATAATGGGAATTTAGTATTGATGGAACTTCGGTGCTTGTTTTGGCATCAGAAGCAGCTAATGGAGCTTCCGAGTCCGAGAGACGAGTATCCCTAAGGAAGAAAAGGCTAAAGCAGGAAGATTTGGAGCCTGTGGAGAAAGATTCCAGCAGAGGAATCAACGTCCGTAAAGTCAGCTTTTTTCTCCTTTCACTTTGCTTTGCATTACATAATTGGGTTTTCGAGATTTAGAGATTTGTCGCCAATTTTGTTGCTCCCTTGGTTTGAAATGAGACAAATTCTGTGCTCTGTTACTTTCACTTTACTAAACGCTGAAGATTTGTATTTGTTTACGTAATGATGCAGGAGATGTGTGGATTACCGGATATAGAAGAGTTTCCTTACAAGAAGACGAATGGATCTAGTAAGTCTCACTATCTGTTGTTACATTCACAGTCATTTTGTAAGTCACATTCATAAGCCAATTTCAGTAATGGAAAGATATAAATTGACTGAGCCAAAACGTGTTCTTGCTACTCTCCAACTCATAGTAGAATTTCTTGTATGTAATGGCTTTGCAGGGACGTCAAAAGTAAGCCTAAATATACTATCAACAGAAACTAGCACTGCCGCATCATCGATCAGAACAACAGGTTTTCTACTCTTGGTGGCATTTTGGGTATGTTTATGCTTTTATGGAAAACGGGATGTCCCTAAAATGTTAACATTATCTAGGCAGACCACCTGAAAACTGGGAAAAAGTGCTCGAGGGTATACGGAAAATGACATCTTCAGAAAAAGCAGCATCAGTTGACACTGTAGAATGTGATAGAACAGGAAGCTTTTTACCTCCCAAGGTAAAAATATCGGACTTCTGTGGAACTTAAATGTAGGAATTTTTTCATATTCTTCATTCTTGCTGCCTTTGTTGTTGTCACATTTCATAACTTCAGATTCATGTTTGAAAGTAGAGAGATTTTCTTGTTTTTGCTTCTGACCTTATTTCTAGCTATATCCAGGAAAGGCGATTTTATGTCCTCATAGGAACACTTCTTTCAAGCCAGACTAAAGATCATGTAACTGGTGGTGAGTTTTAAGCTGCTTACCTCATTTTTGAGAGAATGCGTGTTTCCCCGTTTTAGCATCTCTGATATCATCTGGATCTACAAGTTTCCTGATTTTTATATCCAGACACTTCTATTATGCAGCGGCAGTAGAACGTCTTCATCAAAATGGCCTTCTCACTCCCGAAGCCATTGACAAAGCCGATGAATCAACCATAAAGGAATTGATCTACCCGGTAAATTATCCCTTACCTATCTTCCATGAAGTTATTAAAGACTTATTTGAGCCTGATATTGTTTGAAAAGAGTTTTCAAAAAACGGAGAATGTTGTTTTTGCTTTAATATCGATATGAAACTTAGTTACTTGTCCTTTACTTTTAGGTCGGGTTCTATACTAGAAAGGCTGCTAATGTGAAGAAAGTTGCAAAAATCTGTCTCATGAAATATGGCGGTGACATTCCAAGCTCCTTGGAAGAGCTACTCTCACTTCCAGGAGTTGGTCCTAAGATTGCTCATCTGGTAAAATTTGGCCATATTACTCTGTTTTGTAAAGAGAGATGAATGTTTTAAAAGTTCTCAAAGGTGTCTTGTGATTGTCCTGCGACAGGTTTTGCATGTAGCATGGAATGATGTTCAAGGGATATGCGTAGACACGCATGTGCATCGTATTTGCAATCGACTTGGCTGGGTTTCTAAACCAGGAACGAAACAGAAAACCTCTTCCCCTGAGGAAACTAGAGTAGCTCTGCAACAATGGCTTCCAAAAGAAGAATGGGTCGCTATAAACTTTCTTTTGGTGCGTCATATTTGGAGACTATTTACTTAAGTGCTCCATAATATGTCATGGATATCAATGGATAATCTCATATAACTCCATTTTTGTTGTCTGAAATCTACACAGGTAGGTTTTGGACAAACGATATGCACAGCGCTAAGACCACGTTGTGGAACCTGTAGTATCACTCAGCTTTGCCCTTCTGCCTTCAAGGAGACTCCAAGTCCATCAACCAAATCGAAGAAGTCTATAAAAAACAAAAAACTTTAATCCAATCCCTGTGGAATATCCTTACAGATCATTTCTTATCCATTTTGTGATTAGTCCTCCATGAAAAGATAAATTGTATAGCTTTATATTGGCCCACTTGTCTGTAGCTTGAAGACTGAAACCGCCCTTTTTTGAAAAAGCACTGGCATGTTATGGTCTCTAATGATTATCAGATACTTTTTATTGATTGTTATGAAAAACCTTCCAATGTTTTCTACTAAAAGCAACTGATTTGGAGTTATCGAAAGTTCATTTGTGTTTGTTAGAAACTATCACACAAAAGTTTAAATCAAACTATAATGTTTACTTCCGTAATATAATAAGAACATCCACTGTACTAATTTGTAATTGAGATTAGGAGGCTAATGAAAGGAGTGAAGTTATGGGGTTAATATATGATATTACGATAAAGTGAGGGAGTAGTTTCAAAATAATCCAAACTTGTAAGAAGAATATCCACGGACTAGGAGCGGTAGGGATAGAGATATTCTGATGTCCAAACAGGGAGTGAGGTAGAAAATTATATTAAATCAGCAGCCGGAAAAGAAAAAGAGAAAAAAAAAAACGCTCCAAGAGAAAAAAAAAAAAGAGGGAGAAGAGCAACGAAGACGGACCTGCAAATTCTGCAGTCTCCACTGACACTTTCGATCTTTCTCTCTGTTCACCTTCTGCAATATTCAGGTTTCGCGTCTTTACGCTATCATTTATCTGTTATGCTTGCTCGATTTTGCATTATCTCCGTCCATCTCTCAGTCGATTGTCTCGTCGAGTTCTGTAGCTAATGCAATCGGATAAACAGTGGGTTTAGCTGTGAATAAGCAATAATCTCTTCTCCGTTCTCTGCAGAACCCGTAGATTTGATTGAACTGATCATTTACAGCTTCCGTTTCTAGGGTTTGGTGTGGATTTTTTTTCATTGTTTTGCTCGGAGGTTTAGTGGCTTCCCCGTTAGGCTTTGTCTCTGTTAATGCATGTCTATTGGGATTTAGAATACTAAGAAAGGAGGTGGCTGTGAGAGAATATTAGTTGCGTTCCTTCTGGGACTCTTTTGAAATGTGAAAAATGTGATTGTGTCCTACATGTAGATTACAGACCTGTCAGAAATGTATCGTGTATTTTGTGGTATTTAATTTGGTCTCATAGGTGTAAATTACAAAGCTATACTCCTTTTATCTGATAGAAATTGCAGCCCTGCACTGTCATTTTCATGAAGCTATATTTCGTTTGCTGATGGCAGAAATGTGACCTTTGAATCTTGAGTTTGTAGTTTATGGAAGGAGATAACCATCAGAGGTAGCATTTCCCTATGCATCCGGAGCGATCAAGTCAAGGAGATGGTACAGTTACTAAGCCAGTTAGAAGCAGTGACAGGCTTAGGAGGAGGCCCAAGGTGTTTGGTCGCTCACCATACTATTATTACTCGCCAAATAGTTTACATAAGAGGAAAAGAAACACAAAAACAAGAACGGCAGCCTCACAGATCGCAAAGATGCTGCATAAAGGGAACAGACCAGCACGGGCATCAAATGCCAATGTAAGCATAAAACACCAGCATGTAAATTAGAAGGGTGTTTCATTATTGTCCAACGAGAATGGATTCCTAGTAGTTGCTTTGTAATGCATACCGTTTATCTTTAGTCAGAATGTTGATAACATTGCTAATGATGTACAGCCAATTGCATCCGACCTCCGGCGATCCACAAGGAAGAGAAGACTTTCTGTAAACCTTGAGGACTATACAGACAGTTCTGGAGCGGAGGATGAAGATATGATGGTGAGGATACGTTATTCTGAAAAATGGCTCTTCGATTTTGAAACTTAAAGCTATTTTATAAGTACTATGGTATGCCTTTTTCAGAGTCCAGCATATCGAACTTCGAGGAGTAGAGTCAATAATGGAGCTCATAAAAACTTCTCAACTTCAAAAAGTAGAAAAGCCATGGAATCTGATACGGCACCACGGCGTGAAGGTCTCCGTCCTCGTCGTTCAAAGACACTTGCTAATAAACGACTGAAAACAGAATCTGGCGCCAATCAAGATTCATCAGAGGAGAAAGATGGCCAAGATGAAACTGAGAATGGGAATGAACTAGATGACCATGATGCTGACGATGATGAAAATGAGGTTGAAGCTGAAGACGAGGATAATGGAGAAGACGAAGGAGAAGAAGATGGTGATGATGATGATGAAGAGGGTGATGAAGAACAAGAGGGAAGGAAGAGATATGATCTGAGAAACCGTGCTGAAGTGCGTAGGATGCCTACAGAAGAAATTAACAAGCAACAACAACCTAGATCTCCTCGGAGAGTGTTGCATCAAGGCATGGGTACCAGGGCTGGAAGGGATGTTAGGAGAGGTGGGTCTAGGCTTCACAAGCGCCATCGCTTTACAAGAACAGATGAATCAGATGATTCTCTTCTTGTGGATGAGTTGGACCAGGGCCCTGCAATTCCCTGGGCTCGAGGTGGAAATAGATCTGGACCACCTTGGCTATTTGGGGGTATGGACACGTACGGGTCAAGTTCAATGGGTTTGAATGCTGGAGCTTCTGGTTGGGGTCACCAGAGTGATGGTTTAGCTGCATTAACTTCCGGGGTTCAGACTGCTGGGCCAAGCTCTAAAGGAGGTGCAGATATTCAGCCATTACAGATTAATGAGGATATAAATTTTGACGACATTGGTGGGCTGTCCGGATACATTAATGATTTAAAGGAAATGGTTTTCTTTCCGTTGCTATACCCAGAGTTTTTTGCAAGTTACAACATTACTCCTCCCAGAGGTGTGCTACTGTGTGGTCCTCCAGGCACTGGTAAAACACTGATTGCTCGAGCATTAGCATGTGCTGCTTCAAAAGCTGGACAGAAAGTTAGCTTTTACATGCGAAAGGGTGCTGATGTCCTTAGCAAGTGGGTTGGCGAGGCTGAGAGACAACTAAAGCTACTCTTTGAGGAGGCTCAGCGAAATCAGCCTTCGATAATATTTTTTGATGAAATTGATGGTCTTGCTCCTGTAAGATCAAGCAAACAAGAACAGATACATAATTCTATTGTTTCAACTCTGCTGGCGCTGATGGATGGCCTTGATTCTCGAGGTCAAGTTGTTCTCATTGGAGCGACAAACAGGATAGATGCAATAGATGGAGCTTTACGTCGTCCTGGCAGATTTGATCGGGAGTTCAATTTTTCTTTGCCAGGCTGCGAAGCACGAGCCGAAATATTGGATATTCACACTCGTAAATGGAAATGTCCTCCTACTAAGGAGCTGAAAGATGAACTAGCAGCTAGTTGTGTAGGGTATTGTGGTGCTGATCTAAAAGCTTTGTGCACTGAAGCTGCCATTCGTGCTTTTCGTGAGAAGTATCCACAAGTTTATACAAGTGATGATAAGTATGCCATAGATGTTGGGCTGGTTAAGGTTGAGAAGAGCCACTTTGTAGAGGCGATGTCAGCTATTACTCCTGCTGCCCACAGAGGGTCTGTTGTGCAGTCCAGACCACTCTCTCCGGTTGTATCGCCATGTTTACATCGACACCTTCTTGAATCCATGAGTTTGATATCAGATATTTTTCCCTCGTCATCCATGTCATCGGAGTTGACCAAACTGTCAATGCTTTCATTTGGATCCGTAATTCCTCTAGTTTATCGTCCTCGACTTTTGTTGCTTGGTGGTGAAGGAGTTGGACTGGTAATTGCTTTTCGTTTCTTGTGATTATGTCAGAAAGCTTTATTATTATGAACTGAATTCACTTACTTGTTAGCCTAACAGGATCATCTCGGGCCTGCAATTTTACATGAGCTAGAAAAGTTTCCTATTCATTCTCTGGGACTTCCATCTCTTCTTTCGGATCCTAGTGCAAAGACCCCGGAGGAGGCGTTAGTACATATATTTAGTGAAGCTAGGAGAACAACACCTTCAATACTTTACATACCGATGTTTAATAATTGGTGGGAGAATGTAAGTGTGTCTTTCCTCTATTAATTCATTTTGATGCAGTTACTCTGGGAGATGATGTTTGCTTATTATAATGTATTATGTTGTCCTGTTGGTTGTAATGTAATTTAAGGTGCCAGTCTAATGATCCTAATACTGATCACTGCAGGCCCATGAACAGCTTAGGGCTGTATTTCTGACTTTGTTAGAAGAACTGCCATCAAATCTGCCCATATTATTGCTTGCTACATCTTATGGTGAATTATCTGACATGGAAGAGCAGTCAGTGTTTAACAATCGATCTGTGTAAGTTTATGCTCTACTTGTAACCACTTTGTCCAGTACCATACTACAGATTTATTACTAGCTTTTCTTTGATTTTTCATAAAAAGTTGGTAGTGAGTTTCTCTGGTCATGAGCCAAAATTTGTTGACTAGTTTCTCAGTAGTGAACGTGTCACAGTTAATTAACTCCTATTTTTTTTTAGAACTATTAGCTAATCAATCCTATCCTGTGACACTCGAAATACTATTTTATATTGGATAAATAGGATACTCTTTGCGCGTTATATATTTTTTCTTCATTATTTTGGTTGTCCATGAAATATCCCCCACGCCTATGGTCTATTTCTGAGTTTCTCAGATTTTGCACATTTGCTTTCAGCTATACTGTGGACAAACCATCAAGGGAAGACAGGTCTATGTTCTTTGACCGTTTGATTGAAGCTGCTCTCTCAGTCATTTCAGGCTTAAATGGCAATACTGACGGATCAGAATCGCTTCCAGAACTTCCCAAGGTTCCAAAAGGACCCACTGGTCCAAAACCCGCAGAACTAAAAGCCAAGGTGGAAGCAGAGCAGCATGCCCTTCGACGATTGCGTATGTGTCTCAGAGATGTTTGCAATAGGTAAAAGTGTTTAAATAAACATCCACTCAGCCTATTAAGCCTATAAATAGTGATCTTTTGGTAACTGAAGGCCTATTAAGCACAAGTCCCTATTAAGCCTACTAATTTAGCTCTCAAATTGTACAGCTGGTAGCATTCCCAAGTCTATCACGTAGGGAGTTTTCTTGGGTATTAAAAAAATTAACTTGAGGGATACTTTTGTTGTGCAGGGTACTTTATGATAAAAGATTCACGGCATTCCACTTCCCAGTTACTGACGAGGATGCTCCTAATTATCGCTCAATAATTCAAAATCCAATGGATACGGCTACACTGCTACAGCGTGTCGATTCTGGGCAGTACCTCACATGTTCACCGTTCTTGCAAGATGTCGATCTTATTGTGAGAAATGCCAAGGTAATACATCTCTTTTACATGGTCATAAAGCCTTGAATTCATAAAATGTGGTCACTGCTAGTAAAGTTATAAGCAGAGAGAGTCTAGTAGAGTACGTTTTGTAATCATTTGATATTATGGGTGAATAGCTGTTTTCTTAATCAGAATGATAAACGACTTTTGTCTTTTCCAAATCAGTGCTAAGGAATGAGATTCTTACGTGTATGTTTAGATGGTCGCTGACTTAGTTTTTCCGGTCATTTAACCCAGGCTTACAATGGAGATGATTATGCTGGAGCGAGAATTGTCAGTAGGGCCTATGAGCTTCGAGATGTAGTAAGTTTGCTATTCTCTTTTGACTGCATATATTATTTTCCATTAAGCCTATCATCTCCCATAGCATTTCTCTAAAACATGATAATTATTCATAATGTTTCAGGTGCACGGGATGCTGTCACAGATGGATCCAGCACTGCTAACGTATTGTGATAAGATTGCTGCTGAAGGTGGTCCGTCACAGATACCAGATGATCTTAGTGGATCTATCCTTAGCTTAGCTCCCGTGGTCCAGATGGGGACTGTTACTAGATCCAGTGCCCGGCTTCGAAACGTGCAGCCAGAGGATCGAGATCATGAAGGTCTTAAAAAGCCCAAGAAAACCGATGCTGTCTGTGCAGGTAATGGCACTGCAACCACAGGTTTTGCTTCTTATCAAAAACTTGTTGGTGGTTTACATTTTCCTCAATAACTGAGCTCCTAAGATATTGAACAAACTCTTGATAATGAGACTTGTGAATACTTGTGATGAACAGATTCAGCTGCAGACAAATCACAAGACCAAGATCCAGGCCAGGATGAAGAAATGCCATCTCCGGAAGCAGGCAACTCAAACTCATCAGCTCCTTGTTCAGCAGGTTGTGAGAAAGAAGACCAAAGTGAGCCGCCAAGTAAAGAGGAGGCTTGTGTGGAAGAAGCGAGTGGTGATTGTTCCCGAGATGAGGAAATTCGAAGCGGAATAGAAACTGTGAAAGGGCTTCTCATGGAACGCACTGAAGACTACAGCATTCCGCAGATGGAGAGGCTTTATACTCGAATCATGAAGGGTGTTCTCGAGACTTTGGACAAAGGGCTTCGTGCTGATCAAAGCCCTAAGCATTCAATTTTGAGATTTTTGTCGGAATTCGCTCAGCACCATGCGAATTTCTGAAGCTTTTTAACACTTTCTCATATCGGTATCAGTGACTAGGTTTAGATTTGCCAAGGAAAGGAACTAAACATCTTTTTTCGTTAATCCGGATTTTTCTTTGACTGAAAAAGTTGCAAGAATAGTTTTTTTATCAGTACTCAGTAGGATCCACTTGTAAAATCGAAACCTTTATAACTAAAGCAGCCATGAAAGATACAAAAAGAAAGATTTCACTCTAAATCTTATTAGGCTATGCAGTCGTTAAGTCGATATAGACAGATGTGTTTCATAGAATTGGTCTTTGTTGTCCAACTTAATATTTCATCTCTAGATAAGTCGTTGTTGGTTGCCAAAAGCACATGTGTTTGTTACTTTCTATACAAGTAACCATGGAAAGGAAGTGAAAGATGATCAAAACCCACCATGAACCAGTCAGAACTTCATCATCTTTTCTGAGAAGGGACAAGCAGAGAAACAAACTGTCCAACAATAAAAACAGAGTACCGAAAGTAAAAAAAACAGAGCAAGAAAATGGTAACAAAGACTAATAATCTTTGAGTAGAGAGGAAGCTGATCTGGCATCTATTTCCGTTATGACCGTTGGGGTGCGTTTTAGCGGGAAAACATCCTGACGCAATGAGATTTGATCAACGCTTAAAGACCAACTTCTTGGACGACGATCTTCAAGATTCAAGAGAGAAATATACCATAGTGAATCTGTCGCACGACTATTTAGTCGACAAGATAGTTCCTTCTCACCATTTTCTCAACCGCTCTCTCTCTCTCTCTCTCTCTCTCTCTCTCTCTCTCTCTCTCCAATTCCTTTGCTCTGCTTTTCTCAACTCTTTTGGCTTCTTGAATCACACAGCTTAATTTACCCGCACGGAAGAGAATAGATGAGAAGGAACATGCATCCACTGGAGATTGAGTTGTTGAAGGAGGCAACGGTCATCAAGACTTTCAAACAATTAGAAGAAGAAGAGAGAATGAAGAAACAAGAAGAGAGGATGAAGAGAATCTTCGATCTCGTCCCCAGAAGAAGAAGAACCCTTGGAAGAAGACGACCCAGAGCCAAACCACAGTCTCGCAATTTTCCGAAAGACCCAAGAAAAAGATCACCAGTTCACAAACACATCACCAAGCCGAAATGGCTTCTCCGTGTGTTGCAAGACATGAAGGTAGACACTGATCCGATGATGATCATACAGAAGCCTCTCGACTTGAACGATGTCGATCCAAGCCTAAACCGTCTCTCAATCCCTTTCCACACCATCAACTGCAACAACTTCATGAACAGCGACGAGACTAAGATCCTTGGAGACGACGACCTCAACAACGAAGGACAGATGGGCGTGGCTGCGTTTCTCGTGGATCAACGAACCGAGCAGTGGCCTGTGGTTTTGAAGAAAGGTCTTTTCAGGACTGTTTCAGGGAGAAAATTCATGGGGTTTCTCTTGGGTGGTGAATGGAGCCAAGTCGTTAAAGCTAACGGATTGTTGGACAAAGACAACATCACTCTTTGGTCTTTCAGGCGCAATGGAATCCTCTTCTTTGCCCTTGATTCTGCAGGTGATTCCATCGACTTCAAAGAGTAGAAAAGGGATGGCTTTTGTTACCTCAAAGTTGGGATCTTTATAATCTTTCTGGGTTTATCTTCCATTACTGTTCATAGATGAAAGTTCATTGAAACACAAACTAAAGTTGTTTCCTTTCACCGTACTCTGTTCATATGATTTGTATATTTTCTTCATTACTCTGGTTTGTTGCTTGATCTACACCTACTTTCACGTAATTCAACTGAAATTGATTCTTTTTCTGTTTTGGGTCTACTTTGGTTACTGCATAGATAATATCTTTGATTTCATCTTGATACATGATCGAAAAGTCTAAACTTTAGATGAAAATGCTCCTACAAAACAAAAGATAGTTATTTTCTACTAGTGTTAGAAGCTAGCTTGGTTTCTGAGAATTTGAGATGCTCTTGGATCTGACTCAATCATGAGAGAAGTTTGTGTATTTTGGCTAGCATGCAAGCAGCTGCAGATTCCCTAGCTTCCTCAGCATCAGACTTTTCCTCTCCAATGATTGTTTGCGCAAAACGAGTCTCCTTTATTCTTACTGCAGCTTTGAATCCACCTTTTTTAAACAAATGAACATGAAACTTAGAATTAGAAAAAGGGTCTCAGCTCAACTACGGATATAACATATGATCTCAAATATTTTACCATCTGATGGAGACACGCGATAGTTTGGTAGGACCCAATTGTTCTCGAGACAGATGTCATCCAGTTTCTGCAAGCAATAGGTGGCAAATAAAGCTTTTTTCTTTTAACATGAAATGATCAAGCAAGCTCCAGAGTTAACCAAGAACTTTACCTGGCACATGCTTTTGGTTGAAGGAAGAGGTTCACTGAGCTTCACCCTCTTGTTGATTTGACATGCTGACTTGTCAGGAGATTCTTGAAGATTACGCCTCGAGTATGTCTCGTTACAGCACTCAAGTATTGTATCTAGTTGCAGCTCACAATCACCTATAAGACACACGAAGAGCATCCAAGTTCATGTATCACATTTAGCTTAATGCAGAATGGGAAAAGTATATACACTACCTTTGATGTTCTTAATGCTTTTATCACATATAGCAATCTCGTCTTCAATGTACCGCTGCTGAAGAGTCTGCATCCAAAAGAAGAAGAGAAAAACTCTTAGGCAATAACATAAGCGTCTACGCTATAGCCAATCAAGTTTTTTACATCAAACTCTATTTGGTTATTACCAGCTTATCTCGTTTACAAAGAAGAACTTTCAATGCAGTTTCGGATAGTGATGTTGCTCTAGAGGAGAGAGTCGTCTGTAGCTCCTCAAGGTTCAGATTAGAGTTACGAGCAGAAACAGGAGCTGCCTTAAGCTTAAGAATGCTATTAAGCTTGTCAGAAAGAACTCTCTTGATACCTCTTTCTCTGTGATCCTCTGAGTCAGACTCAGCCTGGATTTACAATAAAGGTGATTCAAGAAGTAATACTTGAATATATAAATTATTAATGTAGGTTTCAGACTTTACCTCAGAACCACCTTTCTCTCCATTTTCTTTCCAAGCGCTCATTTCATTGTTAGCATTCTTAGCCTTCAACGCAACCACTGTCTCAAACTGTTTCTTTGCAGCAACTGTCCCTCCTCTCAAGTAACGATTTTGTACCTTTGGAGTAAAAATTTTTCTAGCTCCAGGACTAAGTGGAGCAAAATCTTTTTTCGCCTGCAATTTAGATCCCTTAAGTTAATTCTGTACTTACCATTTACCATTAACCTAGCAACAACATAGTATCAGTACCAATACTTACATTAGCATCACGGCTCCTTTTTGAAGTATCATTTTCTCCTCCTTCTGACTCCTTGATTGCATTGCTTTCAATCTCATCAGATACTGCTGCTGCTTCTTTCTCTATCACAAATTCAGTATCTTCTCGCCTGAAAAAAAATCACAGAACTGCTCCTTAAACGGGGAAAAAGTGCCAAACAAACTCAAACTGATACAGAGATTCACAATTTATGAACCTGGAGAACCAATCGGCTATAAGACTGGCATATGGAAGAACATGAAAATACTCCACTATGAGACTCGTAGCCCATTCAGAGAAGCTCTGCTCAAACAAAGGACCCTCCATGCTATTTATGTAGACAAAAAAAAAAGCAAAAGAGGCTCATTATATGAACCAGTGAATATAAGTTCGGTCTTTCCTCACAATGCCAAATTCCACTTACCAGTTAAGTGTTTCTTCAACAGGGATTTCTCCAGAAAATTTGTCTTCTGAAGTGCACTTCATTATGTAGAATCGAGCCGCTGTCTTCTCTTCACTCAAGGAGTAAACCAAATGCCTCTCCAAGATCACAATGTCATTGTGACCAACACCTGAAAAAGATTCAAATCTGTTTGAGTAACTTCCAGCAAGAACGCTACTGTAGAACTAGGAACCCATTGATTTATCTTTCTTACTAACCAGTTGCGTCTTTAATAGCTGCAAATGCAGCTCTTTGAAAGATGACTTCTTCATTCTGATCTCCAGCAGCAGTTTTCTCCTTTTCAATGGCTTTTTCAAGTAGTGACCACACACCTTGTGTGATGGAACTGTTTTGGAGATAACAGTTGTTCTTCTTTGAGTCAACTAGCAAAACTGCGATTTTTCTTATGGGCCATTTCTTCAAGCTTGAAATATCTGAAGACGCGTCCAAGCTCATGGATAAGCTACATGCATCCACAATAACCTTCTCCAGCAACACAGTTTGTTCCGAGTCACCACCGTCTCTTTCAACTTCGCTTGATTCCTTCAGATGCTGAAGCAGAGCAGGTCTCATAACGGTCGTCAAGCTCCGGAACGACTCAAGAGACAGACATTCCAGATGAGGATGCTCTCTTCTATGGAAGTAGTTGTACAGCAACACAACAGCATGAACCTGAATCGAATCAACACCATTTTGAAGAACATAATTTTTAAATTTGCATGTCTAATTTGAGCTAATCAGAAACCTAATCAGAAAGTGAGAAACTTTGAAGAAATCACCTGCTTGGCAACAGATTCCCGGAGAGACTTGGAAGGAACATCAGTTGGAGAAGGTTTAAAAGGAAGGAGAGGATCGACTAAAGTCTCAAGCAGAGCTCGAATGGCGTCCTCTGTGGGACAAGCGTCTGGGGATTCTGCGGTGGTCTTTGTGACCGTTAAACTGCAATCCACCTCCTCCATAGTATCAAATCCCTGCAATCCACCTCACTGCACCAAAATGGTTTAACAAGCGTAAGAAGAAACCAGGAACAGAATAGCAGAGCAAAGACCACACAGAGCTTGATTTCACGGCGTTTAAGGAAAGAGCAAAAGCGATTCAGTAGAGGGAAGAATGACGAAGATGAAATTGCAGAGGAAGAAGGCAAAAAAATATGTTTTTTGAAGGAGTGAAGAAGGAGAAGAAGCGATCAGAAGAGCAAATAAAGTCGAGATTTTTGCATTTCGGTGGTAGCGAAGGAGAAAGTGTCGAACTTTACCGGAAAAGGAAACCCTAGACTTGGTACTGAGATTAACCCAATTGCCGTTTTCGGAAATGGAAAGAGAGTTTAAAATGAGAAATGTGTCAGCTGTACTATACAGAAGAGACAAGAGGAGGAAGAAGAGCAAGATCATATATTTTACATGTCTTATAAATTATTTTTGTTTTTTACGTTTTTTAATAATATTGAGAGATTCGAAAAGGCGCGAATCCCTGGGTTTTTCTGTAATATTGTTTCTCTTTTGAGGGTATATAAGGGAGTTTATTCCTTGTACAGAAATTTGATTGATAGGACTTTAATTTGATTTTTGAGCTTGACACAAAGAACCAAAAGCTGAAAACCTAAAACAAAGCTATGAGAACTCTACTCAATGATGAAGCGTTTGAATTTTGTTTCAAATTTCTATGTTTTATTTTTCCAATTCTTAAATACATTATTCGATCGTATCATTCTTCTACATTTAGTGGTATGTACTCAAGCTAGGAAGATTAGTTTCTTTTTGGTGAAAGAGTATGAGAGTTACAATTTGTTTTATTGGAATTTTTCACCATAAACATTGCTTACTTTCACAAAAGTCTTAAGAAATCAACACACCCTAAACCAGGACAAGACTCCGGTTTCAAACCCAACTCGTACAACCGATAACAAAACAACCGTAGCTCATGCCAAACAAAACATTCAACAATACAACGCTTCTGTTCTTCGACGACAGGTCGATCAGATTAAACAAATGACTCCTTGATGATATATATATATATATATATATATATCTAAAATGTTCTTTTTCACAATGGAGGAAATGGAATGAATCAATCATCGTTGTTTCCAGACTAAGAATATATGCAGCAGAAGATTACACGTGATATGTATATATATCTTATGCCGTGTGTGTGTCTCTATATATATGCAAGATTTTCAAGAATGTACCCCGGTTTAGCATCCGGCTGCTTTCAAGAATTTATCGTACGGGCTTGACGGCGGTAACCGAAACGAGTTTTGTTCCACTTCGTGTGAGCATAATCCGAGCTGGCCTTGTGGTTGAACTTCAGCCACAATCATTGCCTTCTCATCATCATCTTCACCAGCTTCTTCTGTCTGCAGCAGCACACAAACAAAAGAAATGAATACCAAACAGGAAATCAAAATGTTGATGAGAGGAGAGTGGCAGAACAAACTCTCTCTCTCACCTCCTTGAGAAGAAAGAGCTCCTCCTTCTCATCGTCCTCTGAGAAAGTTATTGCTTTGGCTGCTTGGGGTTTGAAACTTCGAAGCACGGACATCTTTTGCTGCTTACCCGTCACGAGCGCTTCGCATTGGTTCATCATTTGGTCATAAGGTACTGGAGTGGAGGAAACAGGGAGACTTGCAACTTGCCGAGCAGTTTCTGATACCTACACATCACCAACGAAACAAAAAATTACAGGATGACACAGAAGAACCAATAAAAATATAATATAGTATGAAATGTTGAGTGTTAAGTATTACCGATTCTAACAACTCATTGACACTCAAAACATCAACTGGGTTAGTGTTTGTTGACAATGATGTTCTGTGGCCAGACTGACTCCCACTAGCCCCCGGGGAAATTCCTTCAAATGCATCTATTGCTGAAAGCTCAACCTGAAGATTCCACACAGTTGCAGTAAAAGTTTTATCACTCCTAAAGCAAGTTTTATCATGAAATGCAAGTTTCTCATGAAGTCAATATACCTCTTCAAAAGCTGGAAGCTCTATTTGATTAAGAGGAGAACTAGGTCCTGGTGTCTCCATGAACAATGGTGCACCAAGCGGATGCGCATCATCTCTGGAAAACTCTGACTGGATATCCTTTCTCAAAATTGATTTCTCCTCCTAAGAGCATTACACATAATGCATTTTCAGAAAAAGGTGTAAGATATGATGTGTTGGATGTAAGATCAAACAAACCTTCCACAAAAATAAAGTAACAGACTTATCATGAATGCATGAAGTTAGATAAGTACCTCGGATAATGTTTGGAATTTCGATGTGAAATGAGTAATCACGATTTCCTTTAGGCGACGATCATCTGCAACAGTCAATGAAAAACTGGTAGCAGCACTATTATCTTTATCAGATCCATACGCCACCACTTCTTCCTGTGGAAATCCAGAACACAGAGCACGCAATCTTATATCTCCTTCCAGCGCAAGGTAAGGATCAACCTATTTTTAGAACATGACGAATTGCACAGACAGAGTTAAAAACAGTTGAGCGCCCAAAAGCAAGAGATATGAAAAATGGACAGCAAACAGATGTAATATATATCAAAAGCTTACCGTTTGGGCAGTTAAAGATTCTTTGACAATTGGAATTATCTTTGGAATATTGGAAACCTTGGCACTGAAAATGAGCATATATGATGCAAATGTGAAAATCGATCTTCTTTGAGGGAGCTGCATAGCTGCTTCAGCATCATACCAGAAATATATGTCAGAACCAAACTCAACAGAACCGGGTGTTGAATGGACGGAAAAAGCATTAACCAGTCTTTAACTTACCATCTTGATTCAATGAGAGATTTCGAAGAGAGAATGCCAGCTGAAAACACCGCACCAGAGCCATGTGATTTGACCTCTGCCAGTTGCAATCACCAAATCAGAGAAAATTTACAAAATCAAAAGAGCCCTCCCATCCAGATAGGGAGGATCCATCAAGAAATCAAAGTTCAAAAGCAGAGTGTTGTAAGTTCATTTTGAATCTGAAAGAACCAAGACGTCCCGGGCCAGGGTAAAATTATCCATTGTGACCATAATGAAAGTAAACCAACATTCCATCAGCCTTGGGCATCGAAGCTAGAGTAAGATGTGAACTTAACATAAGATGCATAGACTAACCTTTGCTAGTGAAAACAAAATGGTGATATTATACGTGCTAGCCATAGCCTCAAAATTTGCAGGGGTATTCTCGGTAGAAGTTGCTTGGATCCATAGGGATGAGAGGAGCATATTCACTTGGTGACTACTCAGTCGGAGTGAACATAATGACTATAATAGCACGAAATCACACTATAGTTAGATCACTATCAGATACACTCAAATCAATAAGATAAGTGCCACTTAATATCACAGGCGAGGGATCCCAAAGAAACAGAGAGGTTTAAAAAATCCATACCTTAATACCATCTTCTACATCCTTTAAGCTATCCAGGGACTGACAACTAAGACTGGTATGTCGCGATTCACTTGGATGCGATATGTGGTTTACATCTTTATGCAGTTCACTGTTTAAGGATTCCTCAACTTGATCTCTCTCTTCCTCCTGTAAACTAATACTCTGGCTCTTTCCTGTACTTTCATCAACTGGCAATATCCCAGAAACAGCTTCTGAGGTTTCCTTATATTGGTCTGACCAAGGCAAACAAAGAGTTCGAAGAAGCAGGACGGAGAAAATTTTGTGTGCCTCAACTCTCGTCTCCCAATCTGTGTGGGACATCGCAAGGAGCAGCTGGTGAAACAAAGCATCCGGAAATACCTGGAGCAGACGACAGTAAATCCGCTAGAACTGAATAATTGCTGCGAAGGTGAAATACAAAACAAAAGCTGCAGTAAAAAAAAACTTCCTTACTTTCTTGTGGTAAGAAACATTTGGGACCTTCGATACTATATGTGCAACACAGAGGACGGCTGATGCTGTGGTCCTAGCAACGACTACATTAGTGGATATCGTCTCAAGAACCACTGCCAACATATCAAGAATGGGCCCTGCATCTCCAACCTTATTGCAAAACAAACAAACAAAGGAGACATAACAAAATGAGACACAGGAAGATACTAGCAATACTTGTGGACAGGATCAGATCGAAAAACAGTCAAACTAACCTTATTTGAGAGCTCTGAGATGCAATTTTCTGATGCATGCTGGAGCTCAGAGTTCTGCTTTGTTTCATCAGCAGACACATTTGATTCAGCTGCATTTTGCAGGCATTTCCGCAAGTGCTTAATCAAGTCGGCTATTACAGCAGTCATCGCGCCTGAAGCCTGCTGCTTAGCATGTAGCACAAGGCATGTGGCTACATTAACCATGTTAACTTGAAGACCTTGTTGCTTCACTACATTCTTATGATCCAAGTGCTTGATCAAAGAAGATACCAACACATGACAATTTTCTCCTGCTTAAATACTTCTCTAGTCAATCGCCTCATAGACAGGTTACAGAAATAATATCAGGAAAAATAGCAAATTAAATATCATCTCTGACCTGATTCTTCTAGACGAGACTGCAGAAACAACAAAACAGAAGAGGCAACGCCCTTCTGTGGAGACCAGTAGTTTCCAGTGTCAAAAGCAGTCAAAAGCGGTTCCAGAACCCGACGAACAGTTGTAGTTTCCTTTGCTAGTTTGGCTATATTGCAAAGGCAAACCATAGACCAGTATGAGGGGCTCTTCGAAATATCCCTGAATGGATGTCATGAAATAAATCAAATAACGAATAGATGATGCATTTCTGGTGGTCATAAAACAATTGACAATCAATTTCTGAGAAGTCTTACATGTTTTCCAACTTATAGTCAGTCACGGGATTAGGCTTGAAAGAAACCTTTTTGCTCATGTTGGGAATCTCCGTTTCTGAATTTTGACCAACTTCTTTGGTGTCTTCTTGTCCCTTCTCCAAATCCATATAATTCTCCAGAACCACCGTAATAATCTAATTCAAGATGAAAAAGGTTCACAAACTAACTACAACGCACCAGCACTTGTATATATATATATAAACCTTGTATACAAGTATCTGATGACTCACCAAATCCATGTCCATTGATAGTTGGGAATGCTCACCAATGAAAGATACCTGGCATAAACTATTGATTAGACTAACCAAAATGTTCCTAGCAGAAACAGTTGTGGACTTTGCAGCACATAAGATGTAGCTCTAGAATGAAGCCCAAAACTAAAATAGGATTTCAAGTATAAAGAAACTAACAACAGATAACCATGAATGTAGGACTTCTTTATGTCAGTCAATTAGAAGAAAGTAAAAGGGAAAAAACGATTACCATGAATGCCAACGCCTGCATTCCTGCTGAGCGTAAACGGAGGGATCTTTCATCATCCCCCATTTCTTGAGCAAGTTGACAAAGTTTAGGGATTAGACCTTCTAAGTTGAACATGTGTGAGTTCTCAGTCTGCATATAAACAATTGAAGAGAGACCAGAAGCAATTAGCATTTACTGTCAAGCAATAAACTATGGAGAAGTAGCTTAAGAAGGGACATATAACCATGCCTCAAAAATTGCTCAATGTACCTGTAAACTTATGAAGTCAACAAGAGTATTGCAACCCAAGATCTGAACCTCTTCCTCTTTTGATTGCTCCAGAAGAGTTCGGACAATGCTTAGCAAACTACACGAAAATAGAGGCCTACAAGATAAAAAAAAAATTGTCGTTTCAGCAAAATATGGAATGAAAAGTGATTCCTTAGTCCTAAGTAAGAAGAAACAATTACTTACATCTGCTCCTTACATGATGAAAGCAATCTCTTGTAAATGATCAAGACGACTTTAACTGATCCAATATTCCCATTTCGCAACTCTTTGTAACATTTTTGCTCAAGGTACTCTGTAATCTGTCACAAGCGAAGACTGCAACGCATGAGAATGAAACTGAGAAGAAGAAGCACGCCAAGCAAACACAATGGAGACGCAACTACCTTTGGGATTCGTAAAGGGTTCCTTGATGCATACTCACAAAGCTTGCCTATTTTTCTATCATTTGGCTCAGCATCCTGCCAAAATCACAACATGGAAACATGTTAGTACCAAAAAATGTAAACTTTCGAAGATGATAATGTGAAAGAGCTGTGATTTGATTAGATTAGAAAGTGAAACCTGATTGCGAGGGAAAATCTCAGCGAGCATTTTCTTGTAGCGTTTAACGGGATGCCTTGACCTTGCCCTCAAGGAAGGGCAGAAGAAACAGAGGTTACCACAGGCGGGCAAAACCCGTCTGGACATAACCCCCATCGATTCCTCTTCTTCTTCGTCCCTGTCAATTCCAATCAATATTGATCAATGCACGAAGAAGAAACGTCTGAGGGAATCAAAGAGGATTATATGTACATACCCAGCAGCAGAGCAATTCGATGGGACTCCCCTAATTCAGTATCCTCCTTGTACCGAGATCGCAATCCTCTGAAATCCAGCAAAAAACAGGGAAAGTTAGAATTGTGAATCCAGAAAGATTAAAAAGGAAACAAATTCACAGAAATTGCGTATCCAATTTACAGAGATTGTGCAGGAAAAAAGATTGAATTGAGGGAAAATTACGAGGGAGAAGAGAAAGGTCGAGAGAGGGCAGCTGGGGAGAAGGAAAATCTAATCCAGCTCGCCCGCTCAGAGGTGGCATCGCTCGTCGCTCGTCCCTCGTCTTCCTTTTATCATTATTATTAGTTTCATAATTATATCTTTTTAAAGTCCCTCTCTCTCTGTCTCTCTTTCCGCCATTAATGTCGGAAAGTGTCAGTCCTATAACTCTTTAAATTACCTAAGTACCCCTGACTTATCTTGTCCGGATCAACCCAGAGCTTTGGTGATCCGGGGGATATATACGGTCCGAATTTTCAAGATTGTCTCTAGGATTCCTTCACTCATGAATCTTGGATTTATTGGCACTAATTTTTAATCATTTGGTATACAGGTTTGTTTTTGCATACAACATTATGGCCTTTTGATTCGGTTCGGTATTGCCGTTTTTTCGTTTGTCTCGTTCAAATAAATATTTACCAGATTAACTGTAAGTTCCTCCATTCCATCGAATATGCACAATTTATCCATTTCAGATGTTTTGTGTGTATGACTTCTTCAAATTTGGAGATTTAGTCCGGCCAAAGAACTTGGAACGTAGAAAGTCAAACACAAAGAAAAGCCCAGTAACAGAGAGCAGAACATGTTACTAGAGCCTACTTTGAGAATCAGGAGCAAACGGAAATCAAGATTAAACTAAAACATATCCTATTAATAGTCCTCTAGAACCAGTTCATGACCTCCATCACAGAGACAGGTTCCAAGTTCCAACCAAAGTCATACTAAAGAAGCACACAATCTCGTGGAAGTTGAAACAGCTAATAAGCTTGGTGGAATAAGAGTACCACACACAAATATGAACAACGTAGAACATCAGAAACGCAGCAGCTAAAGGCTAAAGCAAAGTCAGATAAACTAAAACAGACACCTTCACAAACTAGTCGACCCCAAGTAGCTCTAAGCAAAAAGACTCCTCCCTTGGTTTTCAGCATTTTCCCCAAACACCTTCACTTACGAATACTTACTGAGATTCCATCAGACTCTTCTTCTTCCTAGTGAAAACTAAAAGACTTCATGTTGTAGTGGCTAGCCAGATTCTTAGCAGCACCATCGTGGTAGAGTTTATCTATCAGCTCAAACTTCTTGTAATGTGTTGTCGCCGTCTCAGATTGCTGCTTATCCAACTTCTCTGCTTCCTCCAGCTGTTTCTGAAAAAAGAAAAACAGAAACACATGAAAACACATTCACAGATTCCCATGCCACATAAAGAAGATAACAAGAACAAGCAAAACATAGTCGTAAGTACCTTGAGCATGAACGAAGTCTCAGCACTGTGTTTCTGGACAAGCCGCTTCATCTTCTTAGCCTTGTCGAACTCAGGATCACTAGGATCAATCCAGCGACACTGGATTTTACTGCCAGGCTTCTTGGGCCGATCATGGAACATCTCAGGCGTAGCAGCAGCGGCTCTCACAGGTCGAGGCATTCCAGCGACCATGAAAGGAAACTGCGTCAGAGTCCCGATCACAGCCTTTGCCATGTCCTCGTTCTCCATCTCAACCAGCACGCTCACGGGAAGCTCCTTTGGGCCAAAGTAGTTTGGCAAAAACCTCAAATCAGTGACCGTCCCGAACTGATCGAAAGCAGACTTGACAACCGCCTCCGAGGCGTGAGGGGTGAGTTCGTCTACATACACAGTGCGACGGACCTTCTCTAGAAACTTGGCATACTCTTCTTCTCCCTGATTAGCCATTCTAACCAAATTATAGAGACGATTAGTATCGAAGCAGAAGTCCTACCATTTCACTAAGTAGAAACTCGGAGCGAAATCGCTACAACTTCCGCTCCGTTCGCGAAATCCAAGCACAAAAATCGCAGCAGAAACGGGAGGATGCTACGAATTTCCTAAACTAGAGAAAGAGCAAAATCATGGCCAAAATCTAGGGTTTCTGTGTCTTTCCCTATCTACAATCAGTTTCTCACACAGATTGAGAAAAACCATATGATAGCAAAATCGATCACCGCATCGAATAAGTTAAGCGTAGAGATGAAATGATTACCTCAACTACAGAGAAAATCGAGGCGACCCCTATGGCGAAACAAATTCAGAAAAGGAAATGAGAGGGAAGATAATGACGACGACGACGAGTTACCGAAAATGACGACTAATTTATTTGATATATATCACTTTAATCGTAAGAATATAAACAACGAGCCCGTATAGCTCAGTGGTAGAGCGTCAGTCTTGTAAACTGAAGGTCCGTAGTTCGATCCTGCGTGTGGGCACTTTTTGTGTTTTGTGTATATAATCAATGTTTGTATTTTACTCTCAGAAGGAAATCTTTTTTCAGATACTTCTCTCGGTCATAGTCGCACAGTTGGGTAAGTGTGAGTACGCATCATAGTGGCTCACCACTCACTCCATCGGGTTTTAGGTTTTTTTGGTAGCTGTCTTTCTCGTAAATAAAATATTAAATTGGATTATTATAATTTATAACTTAATATACTAAACCTTTTTTTGTAGCTAATTAGTAAATTTAATTGTTTATTGATGGAATAGAAATGTTTGGACCCAAACGTGCACCCAATCTCCTCTAGGTGGAGAGGGAACTCCATACTTGCCAACCATTTACATACATCAACAAAACATTTGCTATACAGAAATGTCTTATTTGAGAATAACTGAACTATTCTTGATTAATTGTGATTGGTCTTACTAAGTAACATCATACAGTATTTTGTGCAACACGGTGCTTTGCTTATACTCCATCATTTTTAATTCACCCATATTAAAGAATGTGAATCCCAGGGTTTGTGTCGTATTTGATATACTTTGTAACCGACATATAATGTGTAGTCGTCACAAAAATAGTAAATCGCATATTGTACACACACAGAGAGAGACATGGAGCCGATAACTCGAACAACTTTACAAATCCAGATCACAACGCCCACAAAAACGGCAAAATATTTTATAAGAATAGCTGTTATCTATCTTCCAAAGATACACAAATCTATTAGACTATATTTTATCTGAAAGTTGACTCAACTTTTCCCCTACTGTTCCTTGCTTTCTTGTTCGGTAAATAACGAAAGCATGAACTACATTCCCACTATAAACAAAACTAACCATTTTTATATATTAAAAGTTGTTTAGAGAAAGTCATGGTTTTGTATCCTTTTAAATAACCCCAACATTTCCTCTCTGCCAATAATATCAACCAAACGGCAAATCTTTTCTCTTCCTCTCTCTCTCTCCCTATTTTTGGCTAATTAATGTACCTCGTTGCATCTCTTTGACTCATTTAACTTTTCTTCCTAGATTTCTGAATTTCCCTGCCCTTACCGGGGCGATTCATCAATCTCCAAGAAGCCAGGAAAGGGTAAAAAGATCTTCCCCGGAAACCCTTTCTCGGCTTCTCGGAGCCATCCATCACCATTTGTCTTTCTTCATCTACAAGCAACCCTCCAAAGTTAAAAGAAATGGATGCAACAGAGCTAAAACGCGTGTTCCAAATGTTCGACAAGAACGGAGACGGGACGATCACGAGGAAAGAGCTGAGCGAGACGCTGAGAAGCCTAGGGATTTACATCCCCGACAAGGAATTGACGCAGATGATCGAGAAGATCGACGTGAACGGCGATGGGTGTGTGGACATAGACGAGTTTGGCGCGCTTTACAAGACGTTGATGGACGAGGAAGACGAAGAGGAAGAGGACATGAAGGAAGCATTCAACGTGTTTGACCAGAACGGAGATGGGTTTATAACGGTGGATGAGTTGAAGACGGTTTTGTCTTCCTTGGGGTTAAAGCAAGGTAAGACATTGGAGGATTGTAAGAAGATGATAAATAAAGTGGATGTTGATGGTGATGGTAGGGTTAATTACAAGGAGTTTAGACAAATGATGAAAAGTGGTGGTTTTAGCGCTTTGAGCTAATCTCTTTTGTTGTTTTTTCTTCCATTTTTGTGTTTTTTTTTTTGTTTCTTTCTTTCTTGGTTTGATTGTATTTGTTTTAGGAATGAAAGACACAAAACAAAAGAAAAAACGATGATAATTAGCTGACTATTTTTCTCTACTGTTTCATCCGTCATCAAGAGTCCATGATCAAAGTCTCAGTTTTAAATTGAACCGAGATGATGTTTTTGATCTTACCTTCGAACGTTTCATATACCAATCTATATATTCACTAATTCATTTGAAGAGTTTATCGATACGAACAAATTTTGAGTGATCGGAGAAACTTCAGAAGGTAATTTCAAAACCAAACAAAAATTTAACGAAAGACCGACCAAAGTGTTCAAAGTTCAAACCGAAACGATGTTCCAATACAAATGATAGGTGGTTTAGTCCGGTTATACGAATCACCTATATACCGGTTATGATTAATTAGACCAGAGAGTCGCTTACCACGACGAGTCTTCAATTCTTCATTTCACATTTCACTCCCTGCCTGGACTCGTACTCGTGAAATTCATCGGTTTCAAGCTCTCTGGATCTTTGAATCGGCAAAGGTATCGCTTTCCCTCTTCCTCTTTCCCTAAATTTCTTGCTATGTATTTGTTCCCGTCCCAATTTATTAAGAGAACTACATTGGGTCGATATCGCGAATGTCGATTTGCTCAATCACGAAAGTAGCAATCAGTTTTCGATTTTGTAAATCTTCATCGCCAATTAGTTACAGTCTGTGGAAACTCGTTTAGCTGTATTGAGATTTAGGGTTTAGTATCAAACTCTGGGTTTTATGATATCAAAGGGTTTGAACAGCGAGACTTCACAAAATTAGACCAGCTTCTTACCATTTACCTAAAATCGAAGCTCCTGAGACTCTTTGTGGTGGGATTACAGTCTCAGGAGATCATCGTGATGGGTCTTGTTTATTCATGTTTGTGTATAGATTCTGGTGGAATATGTTAATGCAATCTTTAAATTTGTTATAGTCACGTCAAGTATTCAACCGAACTGTAGTCGGATTTTGGTTTTGTCACTGCTAAAAGAATTGGAATGGATTTGCGATGGTAGGAAATGGGAAGAGAGAAGAGTCCTGGCTTGAAGATCCTCTGGGTCTGGACTCTCGGCACTGCTGCTAGTATGATTCTCTCTCTCTCTCTCATTCTAATTTGTGTTTCGGTTTATGTTCACTTTTATGGATAGATCATGAGATGATACTCATGTAATATTTGATCAATCTTGTGACTTGTTTGCAGTATTGGTGACGAGTGTTGTCCGCACAAGAATGCAGGACATGGAATCGATGATGAACCAGGACCAAGCACCGAAACAAAGCCAGAATACAAGTGCAGGTGTTTCCGTCTTAACGGATGAAACAGCTTTGCCCGAGTCAGATCGAGAGATTGCTGAAAAACTCTAATGAAGAACAGCCTCTTGCTTCTGCTGTTTTTACCCCTTCTTTTTCTTCTCTTCCTTTTCAGTGTTTTATGAAGATGATGAGACATGTTTTAATGGTTTTAATATTAGAAGGTTCTAGATGTTGATTGTGAGATTAATTTGAAAAAGGTGAATCGACTAAGAAGCTTGCTTGATGACTGATGAGGAGTGTTTAGCAGCTTTTTTTCTGTGTGAATATTAAAAGTGTTTAAAATTTTTAGAGTGATCAACCATAGTTGCCGTTTAGTAATAATAATATTATGGGTTTGTTTTGTAGCTTTTGTGAAAGTTGATTGGAGTGTCTGAAAGAGAGAAACAAAACAGTTTGATTGAACCTACGCGAAGTGTAAAGGTCAAGGAACTTTAAACTATGATTTAGAGACACTTAAAGGGCAAACACCCATTTCTTGCGTTTAAGTTCACTATGAACTTGTGCTTTAAAGACATTTGAAGGGCAAACCAAACACACTTACTATTAGTTCTTGCATTTTACTTTTACAATGGATGCTCCACCATATTTTCCTTTTGTTTATTTCATGATATATGTTGTGGACCGGACTTTTTTTCATATCTATAATGAAGATTAGCCAAATTTCATCATCCAGTCTCACCTATAATCTTTTTGGTCACCTCTTTTTGTAAAGTGTATCGACCAAGTGTCCACATAGACTTATTAATTTACCAAACTCGTTAGCTCAATCCAACATGGTTCGAATCTGTTGGTATTTGACGTAATCATCATATTGATATGTTATGTAAATTAGTAAAGTGTTTTGTTCTTATCCACCATCCGATGTTTTAATTCCCATGATGAACCTTATAGGAATGTTTTACGATACCATATTAAAATGTTGACTACACTGAACCTTATAGCGACATACACAGAATCTGATCCTTTTATATATCTTTTCAAAAAGAGAAAAACATTCAAATTTTTGCGTGTCATGCATAATCCCAGAACCATACAAGCTGTATCAACTACAAATTTGGAGAAAAACGAAACTAAATTAGAAGAATATTTTTGCACGAATGTTCAGAAATCCGAAATTCGAGATATAGCACAAATCTGGAATTTCGAGAAACTTATATATTCAACGTTTTGAAATAAAAATCTACAAGGATATGACTGTTTGTGATTATCTTAATCTTTTTTTTTCCTTTAAACATTAATGCTCTGTTTTTGACTAAGAGTGAAAATTGAAATGACCTCGAAAGCTTCAAACTCTGTCTTGACTCTCCTAGACCCTTATATAAACCAGTCTACGCTTCGTTCTCTCTTCATCCTCTCAATCATTTTCATTCACAGATCTTTCGAACGCAAAGTCGATCTCGCTCAAATGGCTTCCACCGGAGAGAAAGGCCTCATCGTCAGCTTCGGCGAGATGCTCATCGACTTCGTCCCCACCGCATCAGGCGTTTCCCTCGCCGAATCCCCCGGTTTCGTCAAAGCTCCCGGCGGCGCTCCCGCCAACGTCGCCATCGCTGTCTCGCGTCTCGGAGGTCGCGCCGCCTTCGTCGGGAAGCTCGGTGACGATGAGTTCGGTCACATGCTCGCCGGAATCTTGAGGGAGAACGGCGTCGAAGACAAGGGGATCAACTTCGACAAGGGAGCAAGAACCGCGCTCGCTTTCGTCACGCTCCGTGCCGACGGTGACCGAGAGTTTATGTTTTACCGGAATCCCAGCGCCGATATGCTTCTCCGGCCAGACGAACTCAACCTCGAACTAATCAGATCCGTACGTTAAATCTCCCTCAGATTTTGTTTTTTAAAATAAATAAATATCGATTAAATATTTAAAGTTATTTAATAAACAAAGAATTAAGCATATAAAAATGTTGGTTGGAGATTAATTTTGATGAATATTTTAATTTTATTTTTTGGCAGGCGAAAGTGTTCCACTACGGATCAATAAGTTTGATAACGGAGCCATGTAGGTCGGCTCACTTGAAGGCGATGGAAGTGGCGAAAGAAGCCGGAGCTCTTCTTTCCTACGACCCAAACCTCAGGGAGCCACTCTGGCCATCGACTGAAGAAGCCAAGACACAGATCATGAGCATCTGGGACAAGGCTGAGATCATCAAGGTCAGCGACGTCGAGCTTGAGTTCCTCACCGGAAACAAGACCATCGATGATGAGTCAGCCATGTCTCTGTGGCATCCTAATTTGAAGCTCTTGCTTGTTACCCTCGGTGAAAAGGGTTGTCGTTATTACACCAAGGTAAGTTGTGACGTTGGTTTGCTTTTGGTTTATGATTTTTGATTGGTTATGACTTTTGTCCATTAGGTGATACCAAATGACAGACAAAATAACATGATTACTTTATTGTTAATTGATGATATTTTAAGTATTTTGTGTTGCTTGCTAATAAAGAAAGCTACTTTTGCTTTTGTAGAATTTCCATGGATCTGTTGATGCATTCGATGTGAATGCGGTGGATACTACCGGAGCTGGAGATTCCTTCATCGGCGCGTTCCTGAGCCAGATTGTTGATGATCACTCTGTGCTAGAGGTTTACACACAACCCTAAACCTCCCAATTGAATGTCGAACAAATTGTGTGATTTACTGATATTGTTGTTCTTTTTCTTTTGGTTTCATAGGAAGAGGAGAGGTTAAGGAAAGCGCTGAGATTCGCAAACGCTGTTGGAGCGATCACGACGACCAAAAGGGGAGCCATTCCAGCTCTCCCCACAGACTGTGAAGCTCACTGCTTTCTTAAAGACAAGTAGAAACGTGTAACCTCTTCTTAGATACACAAATTTACGTACGGCTTTTCTTTTTGTCTGCTGTAGTTTTTGTATCTCATTTGGATCCTTGCTCATGTTTCTGATTTGTAGTAAGGATTCCAATGCTTTTATTTTTCTGTTTTTTCCTTTCTGTTTCTTTTTCTTCTCCTACAAATGTATTGATTCAATAAGACTTGTGCTTCTGCGCATCTGCTGCTGATAAAAACGAGCCCTTTTTTGTTGGGCCATGGAATTTCTGAGTTGTTATTTGTGTCAACTGTTTAGAGTTGTAATGAAGATTGTTTCTCAGAGCCTTTGAAAGAGGAAAACACCTTTCGTGTTTCCCACGTCAGCTGCCTTCTTCGCCAACACAGTTAACTTAAAAGAAAAAGTCTCTGTTTCTTGCCAAACGCTGTTAGAGAAGCTAAGATCTCTGAAAGAAACAGACAATTCATTCAAGCGATGATGAACATCTATGCACCTAGTCGCTCTTTAGATGATCATTCAACAGAATCAGCCGTTTTAGAAGCAAAAGCCACCAAAGAGAACTTTTTATCTTCACCTTCATCTCTTTCTCTGTTGGCCTCTGTGGTTGCATTAAAGAGAGCGTTTAACAACAACAAGGGGTTTAGTCTTGCTTTGGTTGATAGAAAGAACAACACAACGAACGTGAGGGAGAAATTTTGGTTTCAAGGATTAGGATTTATCGATAGATTAAGAGATAAGATAGTAGCAAAGGAAGGCTTCTTTAATTCGAGTTTGTATAGCACAAGCATTAAGCAAATACACCATGTCCACGAGGTTATATGAACAAACTCAAACACAAACATCTCACTAGAGACTAGGACCAAAAAAAAGGAAATGTATAATAAGCTTTCAACACAGCTTAACTCAACTTAGACGAAACTAAAGATATGGCACTAAATCCACAAATCATCCTTATGCAGATAGGTTTCTATTGTTTTCTTTTGCTCTTACTTTGCCATGGAGGAATGGTCTAGAGACTCTAGAGATAGGTTTTTAGCCAAGATCAGGGACAATGAAATGCTCCTCCTCATCATCATCGTCTCTGATCTCTAACCTCGGCTTCTTGTACGAAACATTCGACTTCATTGGTCTGTATGAATGAACATGACCTAAATGAGAAACCGAAAGCTCGGGCACTTCAGCTGCAGGAAGAGTCTTCTGATTAATCTGATCACTGAAGAAACCCATGTCTGAAAACCACTCTATCTCCCCAAGATCAAGCTGTCCTTTCTGCTGAAATTTAGACAAGAATGAGTCAACAAAAACTAGCTGCAAGAACAAAGTGCCATGGATCAACATAACAAAACTTAGTCTCTAACCTTATCGTTGAATTCAGGATCAGAGAAGTGGAAGAAGTCATCAACAGCCCAAGGGAGAGGAGTAGCAGAAGAAGGTTGTTGCTGGCTTGGGGCTTTAGCCGGAATCTGACTAGCTTTCTGTTGGTTGTTGGAAGGCTCGGAATGATTCTTCTCCGTTTCTTTACTGCAACTACTTGAGCTCAGAGCTACTTTAATCCCAGTGGCTAAGAACCTCTGGTGATTAGCAGAGCGAGAGTTAGCCACGTGGATCGATTCATCACAGTCTCTGCAAAGCAGAGCTCTGTCCTCTACACAGAATATGAAAGCTGCCTTCTCCTACAAGTCACAAGGAGAGTAACAAACAACATAATGAGCTTACAAATCTTCTTCACTTGCTATAAGATCTAGAAAAGTCCTAACTAACTTTGTAACAGATCTAAACTAACGAATCTATCAATCTCTGACAAGATCCAATAATATTAATACACAGAGAAGAGAAAGAGAGAGATCTCTATCTATGTTTACTTGGCAGATGTCGCAGCGAGGGAATTTGGTGGAGAGAGAATCGAGATGAAGGCGTTGGTGCTTGCTTGCGAGTTTGTTAGCTGCGTGAATCTCGACGTCGCATTTAGAGCAGAGAGCTGCTTCATCGGCGCAACATATCACCGTCGCCGGAGCATTCTCACACACATCACACTGTATCTTCATCTTCGTTTTCTTCTTTTTCCCTACTACAGTTTCTCTCTTTCTTGATTCTGGATTTATTATATCAAGAACACTTGAAGCTGCCTTTTTCTCTGTTATGGCTGTTGCTTTGCTGGATTCTTTCCGAGAGTAGCTTAGCAGAAATGTAGGTGAAGAGAAAGAGGTTTAGAGGAGATGAAACAAGGAAACAATATGCTGGGAACAAGTTGTTTGAGAGAAGAAGAAGAAGATAAGAGATTTTGATGAATCTGCGTATCAAAAGGAAACACTCTGCTTCTTACAGCAAGGTCTCCTGGGCCCCACTCTTTTTCTGTGGCTCTCCTTTCTCCTGTCGTCATCTCTCCTCATTTGGATATTATTTTCTTTTTATATTCCCATTATTATATTCACACGTATTATTTTATTTTATTCTAGCAGAGATTATTTGGAAATTGTTTTTTTATTCTGTACATATTGCTGTACACTTTTCGAGTCAAAGACCAAATCGAATTTGATTTTGTTACATCTTTTTCCCCGCTCAAAGTCTAATTATTTTCAGTTATTTAGCTCTAATTGTAATTTGTAATATGTTATTAAGAAACCCCAAAATTATGAAGTTCTTGAATACAAAGATTTTTCTTTCCTCCGGGTCTCTATTTTCTGAAAACTCAAGAACCATTAAAACTAAAATAAATGATTTTTCCTAGAAGAAAGATTTTTAAGACAAAAAGGGTGGTTGATGAAGAAGAGTTTGGTTTCAATCAAATCAGAGACAGAGAAATAGAAAAGAAAAAAGTGAGACTTGTAGGAGTGGAATGTTACGCGACATACACGTATTCCGGAAAATGACATTGATTTATTCTTTGGAATGACGACATATTATGTAACATGTAATGAGATATTTTTCTCTTTCAATTTTTGACATGGTTGGTCACTATCGATTAAAATACCACAAACGAGACTATTCCATTTTAAGAAACTTCGGCATTGTCACATGAATGATTGTTGGATATCCAAATTAGTAAAACAATCTATACACTTGCGGTTCATAAGAAACGCTCAAGTCTTGTTTTGTTTGTTTGATTTGGTAGTGAAAATCGAATAAAAATTCAAAGAATTGTCAAAAGTAATTTCCAAAACACTTACTGCTTCTGTACATGTTCATCCTTCTGGTTATTCCCATGAGAAGTATTGTTCACGTTGGCTGTTTCTTGATGAATCAAATTAGAGAATCCATTCCCGATCGATTTCCACCAGCTCGGCCGCTCTGAGGTAGTTTGATCTGTCAGGTCATTATCACATTTGCCTGAGGACAGTGCAACAGACACGGCTGCCTCAATCTGTAGCTCAGAGAATCTCACAGCTCCTAGTAGCTTCTCTGGAAGCTCGTCTTCGGTCTGGCTTTCAATGAGGAACGCAAGATCAACAGTCAACGTAGTAATGTAGCCAAACGCGAGATGAACAATGGTGCTAGCGACCATTGAAGAACCGATATCAACATCAACCTCCACAAAGTTTGATCCTGAAACATACTTGCAAGACAGTGCACGTCCAATCACACAGATGGCTTGCTCTCCAACAGCTTTTCTCACAATCCAAGGTCCCTTGACAATGTTTGCAATCAGTTTTAGCCTCGATTTCTTGAAACCATCATCTCCTTTGAGAAACCGGTCCATTAAGGAGCCTTCAAGGATAGGCTCTGTGGCAACAAAGTAAGCCACAGCACTGTAATTGTCTTTGTGAGGAAGCTGGAGATTGAAGGCCCAGACAAAAGGCTTAGTCTCATCTGTTTGAAACTCCTCGTCAATCATTTTCCTGATTCGGTTGCTTGGGTCACTGAGAATCTCAGAAAGCTTCTTAGGGCCTTTGATCCAATCAAAACCTAGAGGCTTCAGAAGGAAATCAGCAGCAGGTACTTTAACCTTGTCAAAGAGATACTGTGGTCCTCTAACCATGAATGTCTCTGGAGGTGGCGTTGTCCAGCCATTTCTCCACTGGCCTGGCTCAAGACATGCAACAGCTCCCTCTGATTTCCCTCTTTTGATCCATTCTGGCTCAGTTTCTTCACCAGAGCCAGCCATCTCTTGTGAAAAAACCTGAAACACACACAACTTTAATGAACATGCCACCAAACCATATGATCCAAAAATACATTGCAAACAGAGGCCTAATAACAGAGATCCACACTATGCCACGAGAAATATTTTTAAAGAAAAGTGTCAATCACAATTTCTCAAAGAAACAAAAACAGCAGCCTTGATCAGAATTGCAGGCAAGGATGTAAATAAAGCGGTATCAAATTGAAAACCATCAAATGTCTTCCCATTCACTAATCACACCAAATTCAGCTCGATCACACATGATTCTATGGCTTACTAGAAACCCTAACCCTTGATGATCTGAAACAACAACATGCGTGCCGTTCAAAAGAAAAACACGACCCCAATAATTGATTATCCATTCATTCTACAACACATGAATACATGATATAACTAGAAATGAAGAAAAGTTGTTCACTTTCTTTTGATCCGAAAGAAACAGAGCAATCGAAACCGGAGACGAAAATCAAGTCTCAAGAGGTTCACGAAGAATCGGCGACAATGATCAGACGAAAATCAAAAGGAGAAAAATTCCAAAGTTCAAAGACAATCAACAAAGGATTTTAATTGATTATAGGACAAGGAGCAAACAGTAAACCTTTTCGGCCGAAGGAAGAGAAGGATTCCTCCCAAAACCCTAAATTCAGAATTAAGAAATGAAAATTTCTCTTCTCACGGGAAAGAAGAGGAAGGAGATGATCTAATTTTGATTTCTTCCCTTTTTATTGTTTGGATTAGCTTTGAAACGGAAGCTGCAAACAGATCCTTATCATAATATAATCTAACTTTTCTCTAATTACATTAGATTATTATTATTTTTATCTAAATCTTATAAGGAAAGGTGAAAATAAAATACCGAATTACAGAGTACCAAATTTCCCATTTTCTTTAATAACTTTTTGTTCTCTCTCTCTTTCCACATCGTAACTATATTCGGCGTCTCTCCGGTCTAACACCTCGCCGAATTGGCCACCTCCTCTCGCTTCTTCCCCACCGGCGTCGGAGAACCATAATTTGCTTCTCGCGCCGTCGTAGAGTGGATTTACTGTAGCATTTGACGGATCGTCTGAATAGATATGGATCCTCGTCAATACGAACACGTCGTAAGTTCTCCTAACTTCGTCTCCAAGTGAAATGTTTATAAGTTCTCTCGAGATTTCAAAAAATTGAATGACGATCCTGCTCCAGGATGATCATACCGCTTTCACTCGATTAGGTTATGGATTAATTTAGTTTTTTTTTTTCTGTTAGGTCTTTGCAATATTTCAATGCCTTTGATCTATGGATATGCATTGCTTATCGTCTTATGTATTGGTGGCTCTTACTTTGAAATAGATAGTGGTGTTGTCAAAATTTAGAATGAATGCATAGTAGACTTGTGCGGTTGTGGAATTTGAGCTTAGCATTTTGAAGCAAATTCGTAGTTTCACTGAGGTAAGTATAGAGGAACGTATCATCTATTGCTTACACAGAGACTTTCTTCTGATGGTTTCTCTGTTCTCTGTATGGGATTCTGTTGTAAACATTTTGTTCACTGAAGTACAAAAGTTCATAGAATTTTCTCTCTTTTCAGGTTGTGAATGATAATGATATTCAGAGCATTGTAATGTCATATCTTCTGCACAACTGCTTCAACGAAACTGCGGACTCACTTGCTTCTAGTACTGGGATAAAGCAACCTGCAATTGATCGTGAAAACATGGAGAGAAGAAAACGTGAGTAAAACTTCTCTTCCATGTTTTGACCAAATGATGCTAATGGATTCGGTGATTATAGGTTTTGATTGATTGTTAAATATTCAGAAATAATACATTTTGTACTGGAGAGGAAGGCGTTGATGGCTGTTGAACTAACAGAACAACTAGGACAAGACTTGCTTGAGAAAAACAAGGATTTACACTTCGATCTTCTATGCCTTCATTTTGTGGATCAAGTCTGTGCCGGGAAGGGGTGAGAATTTATGGGTTTTTTTCCATAAGTAACTCAGGTTTCTCAGTAGCTTGGATCTTAAAACGTTTCTCTGCATGTGCAGCGAAGAAGCTCTTGAATTTGCTAAGAAAAGGTTGGCTCCTTTTGGGTTGGAGAAAAAATATGTAGAAAAGCTTGAAGTAAGTATATATTTTGTTTGATCCTTTATTATATCCCATTCTTTGATGTATTGGCAGATTATATTTCTGTGGTTCTTCGAAATGATGAGAGAGTTATTTAACTCAAGTTTGTTTACCTGAGACAGGACGCAGTTACATTGCTGGCTTATAATGACCCTGAGACATCCCCAATGTTCTACCTTCTGAGCTCTGACCACCGACAACAGGTTGCCGATAATCTGAACCGCGCAATTCTTGGTCAGTTCTTTTTCTTCCCTCCAAGAAAATCTCTGGCCTCCTGTGATCTTTACAAGTATTAACTCATTTTTCACATCGTTCAGAACACGCAAACCAGCCAAGCTGCACACCAATGGAAAGACTCATACAACAGGTGACAGTTGCGAGACAATACTTAACTGAGGAAAATGGCAAAGTAATCATAATATTTCAGTGTTTACCCATAGATATGTATATTTCTCTGTAGAAACCGTGCGTTAAAACGCTATTTCATGTTTTATGATAGGATACGTTTCCACCATTCTCTTTGAAAGATTCTCTCAAAGGCTAAGATCGCAGGAGGACTCCAAAGTTTGCTAGGAGGAGGATATGCTAAGCACTCTCATGTAAATACTAAAAGGCTTGCTTCTCAATCTTTTATTTTTTAAATCTGTCTTCAACTCCAGCAAACACGAATAGTCTTCCATGACCACAGAAGGGGTTTCGATTTCCTGTTGCAGGAGATGAATATTGTTAATGACCACCGGTTCTGTTTTCTTTGGTTCTCTACCGGAAGATTGTTTCGTTCAACTTTGTGAGTTTAGTCGATACATCTGTAATCCATGTCCTTGGAAAACTCATTTCTCTTTGTAATTATTGTTTAACAAGCTTTAAAGCCAAAACCAAATGAAACTTTTCAAATAACCAGAAAGCCAAAGAATTTGAATATGGTTAACAAGGCTACAGACTTGGATTCAAAATCCAGTTTTTGACCAAATCCAAAGAACTTCTGAAGAGCTTGGAATCATACAAAGAGAAGACTGTAAATTACTAACAGACAAGAACAAAGGCTTCACTAACTTCTTCTAAACACGCAATTTCTAAGCTGTCTTGTTTTTAACTCCAGAATGCAAGAGATCCCAAATCCATGAGCCTGCGATGAATGTGCACCTGATAAGGGAGAAAACGCCACCAAGAGTACCGCACTAAATTGGACACTAACACACACTACAATCTTCAGTCTTTTGAGGGAGCCTCGAGATCAGGTGATGTCACACTCTCTTTTTGACCCGAAGAAGACATGGGCCTTCTCAGCTCCAAGGACCCGCTTTGTTGTTCCTGCTGTTGAAGCCGCTGCTGCTGCTGCTGCTGCTGAAGCAGATACAATTGCTGCTGCTGCTGATACTGAAATTGCTGCTGCTGTTGTTGTTGGTGTTGTAGTTGCTGCTGTTGTTGTTTCTGTGAATGAATTTGGAGCAGCTGGAACTGCTGGATAGTGTGCATCGACTGATTATTGGGATAAAATTGCTGGTTCGATCCAAAAGAACCATAATTCATCATTGATGCACCATTTGAAGCACCTTGCCCCGTCGCTACCTTAAGATGCTGGACTTCCTCTTTCAGTGCATCATTTAATGCTGTCAAAATAGAAATAAATTACGATCAATCAAGTAGCAGCATTCAAAACAAAGTGCAGCCAAATCCTGACGTGGGACAATATAAAATGAAATGTATGCGAGAAAAGCTCCTCACCATCCTGCAGGTGAACCTGTTGCTCCATTGTTTGTACTCGCAGTTTCAGCTCATTGTTTTCAACACTAAGGCCATTTGTATCTCTCTGAACAGCAGGAAGAAAATAGACCAGGAATTAAAACCATAACCTTACAATATATTAACTTAAATTTGCTCTTCAGGACCCCTAACACACTGATTAGACCAACCTGTAACAGAGTCAACTGGGCTGAGAGAGACGTTGCTTCTGTTTGTAAAGTCTGAACTTTTCTCTCGAGCTCTGCTATGTATCTCATTTTCCTTTCTTTCGACCTCGCAGCAGACTGCCTGTTTGCCCATATCCTATCAAAATGATACAACGAGTCATGCATCTTCTACACAAGAAAGTCACCGAATATCAAAACCAGCGAAGATATAAGGAAAAGTCTGAAAGAAACAAAAAAAAGAGTACCTTTTAGCACGTTTCGGATCAATGAGAGCAAGCTCAGAAAGCTTAGCAGCAGAGATGGCTTTCTTAGAGTCAACTCCAGAGACATCTTCATTCCCCGACATAAGCATCTCAGGCTTGATACTTGTTGAACCGTCCATCGATTGGCTGTGTTGGTGCCTGATCCTCGGTCTTTCACTAGAGGTACTCTGAAGATTAGAATTAGAATTCGAGCCTAACTCATTCCTCCAAGCAGGTTCCGATGGGTCACCCATTTGAGACGAAGACGTTGCCGAAGAATTGAATTTCTCCATATCAAGATACATATACAGTAAGTCCTCATCAGTCTCGTCAGAGAAAGAAGGTCCATCAGCAGCACCGACCACGCCAAGATCACTATCAAAGCTCAAGTCATCGGGAAGAGTGAGGATCTCTGAGTGAGCTCGGCGATGGCCTATATTCTTAGGTGGATTATCCGGCATCCGGCTTATATCGTGGCTGAATCGGTTAGCGTCTGAGCTGCTTCCAGTTGGAGTCAAGTGAGGAAACGATGATGATTCAGGTTTCATAGCGAAGCCACTTCCGTTTGGTGAAAACGCAGAGTAACGACCTGATGGAGGAGGAAGACCTCCACTTGGAGGTGCAGGAGATTTCTCCTTATCCATTTCCAGAATTCGACTTAACAAGCTAATCTGCATACGATCAATTCCGAAAAACCAGATTAATGTTCCACACTAGACTAAGATTAGGGTTTTCTTAGCTACCAATTGTTCCTCAACTAAGGAAAAATAGAAACCCTAGAAAAGCCACACGGTTTATCTCAGGCCTATATTATAACGAAAGACCTAAAATAGATTAAAAGATAGGGTCATTTGACGCACTTACAGAGATCTAATGAGCTGGAAAAGCCTCAGCAGAATGGCCGAGAGAGAGATCGGGGAGACCCAATTAAACAGAGGAGGAATAATCTGGGAAAGATGATGAATTTTCAAGCAAAATTGTCAAAAGTAAGAGAAACGATGACGAAAGAGAGAAATGGTAAAATCAGAAAGATCCGAGGAGAGAGGAGGAAGAAGACGAACATTCTCTCTCCATTACATGATTCTTCTTCGAACCAAAGTAGTCTTTCGCAAGACGATGTCGTTCGGATGTATTTGGTTTAGCGTATATACGTACAAGTACGAAATGCGTGTGAACCGTGTACCAAATTACTTTTACCTTTTTTGGTTCTTCCTATCCGGAAGTTGGGTGGTAATCAGCTGCTTTAGCGTGTTGGTATTAACGATGCTGCTGACCGTCGGATCAGTAAGTTGATGATATGTCTGGTTTCTGTATGAACGCGTAGACAATTATTTCGTCAAACTGATTCACGTGGTTGTTAATTTTTGGTTGGACCGTCGAGTCCTGCGAATAAGAAAATACTAACCAGGAAGTTGAAACCATGTGGTATGTTTTGTTTTCCAATAATATTAAGAATGCTGACGTACGATTTTTTTCAATCATAATTTACAAGTATAATATTTTGAACAAAAATTAGAAATGGAAGAGTTTGAAGATGATGAAATTATGAATGTGAAACGAAGAAGATGGATACAAATTGATTGAAATGGAGTTGTGCCCATCAGTCATGGGCCGTGTGGTGAACTAGAAGGCCCATAGTAACTCATTCGGGGAATATGATCATATACGTAACACTGATATTAAATGGGAGCATTTACTCTTACTCTCAAGTCTCAACGACCTTTCTCATCGGACCATGCTTCAATAATTCATATCCTTATTATGGGATACAAATACATTTTACTCTTCATTATGTGTTGTCCATGTTCCCTTAATTTTCTTTTAAAAATAGTAAATTAAGCTTTCTAATTTTAGTAATTTCTTTGATCCTATTGAACCATGCAAGGGCCTTATATATATATTCCTCACGTGATCTTGTTGGCTCTAAAACTCTATACTATTATACATCACATCAAGCCTAAGGGCATTCATCCTAGGTTAATTGCGTCATTACGAACCAAGGCCGCAATTTGATGACCGGTGAAGTGGCCGGGCAAATATGTACAACTATGATGTTACTCATAAGAACATAACAAAACAAAAAACATTCTCCGCATTTAGGTCAAACATGAGGACGCTGGTTTTGTAAAGCAACCTTTTAAATTAAAAAAATAAAAAATACTAATCGATATAACAAAAACAAAAAACAAGAAAACTTGGTTGTTCGAGGTAGATGAAACCAAATTTCGATCCACTATACTTGTGTAGGAAAATAGTATAGGTTTCTACAAAGATGGGTCTTATTTACACGAATACAAGAAAACTTAATGCACATTTTTAGGGTTTGGTATCACTCTCCATCATTAGGGGTGGCTTGTCTTTTTTACTTGGAGAATTAATTGTTGTTTTAGGGTGTTGGTGATACACAGTGACTCAACTATAAATGTATCGTACGTCTTCATGAGAATCGAGTCGATAAATGAGATCACAATTGGGGTCAAATATTTGAAGAATTTATGCCCGTTATGTTTTAAATTAAAACTAAACAAAGCTGTACTCATTAATCTCAATCAAAAGTAAAGCGTTAGGCCAACTCCCCCTGGTTTTTGTTTAGAAAACAGCAAAAGAACTATTTTACTTCAGATCTTACTAAATGGCTCAGGGTCTTACAACCCAGACTTGTTCAGACATCAGGATTTTTCTTACAACTGATTGATCCTCCGGTTCTCTACTGAGTCAGCTTTGTTTTTTTGGTCATATAGTATATCTGAATTCTTAAATTGAACTACTTTTACTTTCATGAAGAAAAGATGCATGACAACAAAATATCATATTTTAACTTTACATTTATAGTCCGGTAAAAGAGCATCAGGGCAGGCTCCAATCAGTGGCGAAGCATGGCCTTGAATGGTGGCAAAACAGACAGAACCGGATTGGAAACCGACCTGTATCAGATTGTCATTAGAATCCCAGAAACAGAGGAAGCCTTCTCCTATTTCTCATTGAGATATGTGATTCTTCATTTACTCTTTATGTAACAACCTAAGATACCTATTGGTCAAAAAGTTAAAAACAAAATAAAATAAGAATTGTGTTACTTTAACTTCTGGTGAAAGATGGTAGAAACTATGGGGTCAGCCCCTTGTGGTGTTTGCAGGTAGAACATTGACTTTTTGGCCCCAAGTCTATTTAATGTCTTTTGTAATTATGATGCTGAATCTAATGGCACTGTCGTCTCTGGGTACTCTTCAAATCCTTTATCTACTACAAGTCTACAATAATTTATATTGCCCGTAGTCTATACATTCTGTGTGCAGTTAGGGTTTTAATGTGATCAGTTTTTGTTTTCTTTTTGAAATTTCCTGTCTTAGTTGATCAACTAGAATTGTGTTTGCCTTATAACCTCTTTTAACGAAATTTTAAGATCATACTGGACAAGATAAACATAATTACAAAATTTAGTAGTAGTAGTACTTCAGTATTATGGGAATACCCATATGACAATGTTTGCTGTTGTTGAATCTTTTGCTTGTATGATTTTTTTTGTATTTAAATTTTACATTTCGCAATAAATATATATCCCAAAATTGTGTAATTAATGTTTTGTTACGATGTTGAAACTACGAAGATATGGCATGGATATGGGGATCACGAAAATCTTAAATTCAGAATTCAAGGAATCGATATCTAGTGGCTACATTCTATGTATATATATTTCGATGAACTTTCTACATTTTTTTTTGCCTATTCCTATTTTATACTGTATTGAGATATTGCTTCAAACTTGTCCTAGTGATAATTTTCTACAAATTTAATATGAGTTCATAATTTCTGAGTGCTATTTTGAAAAAGAGATATTATTCTTTAGAAATTAGAATGTCCAAAAAAATACAAGCTAAAACTTAAAGCTTGATATATCGAGACCAGAGATAATGAAATGTTTAATAGCCGTATTATTCAACGAAAGCCTAAGACACCTCATTTTTTGGCTCGATGAGAGACAAAGTATATCTTTCTTTGACAATGAAAGTTTCATTTCTCGGACACATGAGAAAGCCTTAAAGACGTAACTAAACTCTTGAATAATAAATACTTATTTGAAACGAGTCTCGAATTCTACTTAAAATTCTGAATATCTTAAAAAGTAGATTACGTCCTTTATCGAGCTCCATTTCACAGAATCTATGCATACATGCATTGCTAAAATAGTACATTTTATTTTTTGATTCGAGAAACTGTACAATCGATCTTTCCATGTAGAGTCAATATCTTTTTGTGGCCAAGAACAAAAATATCTTTTTTTTATAAAAAAAAAAAGTAAAGTCAATATCGAGCTCCGTGTCAGCTTTATGCTTACATGCATCTATGGCTTCCAACAATAATATTATCACTACAAAGTTAATGAAAGTGTTATGACGCGCGCCTAACGTCCCAACTGCAACAATTCACAAATACCATAATGAAAAAAGTGGCACTAGAGAAGGAATGTATCAAGTAGGATCAGTTTCAAACAATAAGTTCAGTGGCTTTCTTCTTAGGTTTGTATATATCTCTTCGACTCTTCCCCACATGAACGAATATAACCTATATTATAACCTAAAATACTGAGTTCACTTCTTAGTTTCATAAATGATTTACTACAAGAAAATAGTCAAATAGCAACCTCAACGTTAATTTAGTTAAATTTTTGTAATGAAAAATACAATTTGCAGCGTTACTTTGTTGCAGCCACACACACACCCAAAAAAAAAAAAAAAAAAAAAAAATCCAGATTTCCATTACCAATTTGCAATGCAACTTTTCTACAACTTATAAAAATCTCTGGCAAAATTTGTATGAAACAATTAACGATGGTAATACCGTAATATTACATGATCTGACTTCTACCAATTTCAAAAAGAATCGATCGTTGGTTTTCTTTGGGATATAGGCATCTTCTTTCCATTTCTTCCTTAATTTCGGAAATATTATACACTAGTTAAATGATATCACATGAATTGTTTCCTTCTAGATTTCAAAAGAACATACTGATTAGTCGTCTTCTTAGAGATATATTCAAACCTTTTATCAAAAAAAAAAAAAAAATGCATGTGATTTCCATTTCTTCCTTAATTTCCAAGATGAGATTGTGTATACGCAATTGCGTGAACTGAGTTCTTCCAAAATCAAGTAAAGATTCGTTCATTTAATTTTCTTTGAGATATCGGAGTCCGGATGTTGCTTGGCCCATACGCACAGGGCAGCACAGCACGAGTTACATATAGATGAATCTGTATGCAGCAGTATGCATCGAATCTTTTAGAAGAATAATATATTTTATATAATATGTATGCAGTGTATGTATAGCTATACATAAATGTATATACAATGCAGTATCCATAAAATACAAAAAATTGTACCAAGTTAGAAGAATTGCATATATAATATGGGTGTGTATTTATATATCACAATACAAAATCAATACGAGGTCTGTGTCAGCTTTATGCTAACATAGTTACAATCGATGGATTCTAAAAATAACAATATTTTTATTTTAGGAAAGCAAGTTAATGAACAATTAACGACTACGTTCCAACTGCAACAATTTACAGATAGGATAAAAAAAATACCATGCATTAGAGAATAAATTACGGCGTCCGTTAATAACTCAGTCCACTCTAATTAATTTCTCCTCTTCCATCCATGTTACTATAAATCACAACGATACTCATTCACAACCTTACACAACCATCATAACACTCTTTGTGCTCACATATAAAAAAAAGAAGCATTCTTTAAGCAAGCTTCACATTTCCGAGAGTCTTTTAATTTCATCGACTTAAAATAGACACTATCACTTAACAACAGAATGTCAGTGCCATCGTCGGAGGAGGAGAATCACCGGAAAACGGTGGAGGACAAGGCTGAGATGGGGAGGAGAAAAAGGGCAATGTGGGAAAGAAAGTGGAAGAGATTGGACATCGTGAAAGCTTCTGCTTCTCTCTTTGTGCATTTCCTCTGTCTCTTAGCTCCTTTCCATTTCTCTTGGCCAGCTTTACGGGTTGCACTCCTTGTCTACACGGTGGGTGGGCTCGGTATCACCGTCTCTTACCACCGTAATTTGGCTCACCGGAGCTTCAAAGTCCCTAAATGGCTCGAGTATTTATTTGCTTATTGCGGCCTTCTTGCCATTCAGGTTCGTTCTCTCTTTCATGTATTTTTTCACATTTTTAGTTAGTATTCTTTTCTTTTTGTCCTGCATGCATTATGCCTGGTCTGAAACCGAACGATGGCATAACATCACTAGTACAAACTATCAGAATACAAATGTCTTTTTGTTTAATATTCAATATATATATCCTTGTTTCATATAGTACATAACATCATCACTAGTACATCACATTCATGTTCATACTCATACACGCGTGCATCCAACTTACATAATTTCTTAATCTGCTACAAATCTTTAGTTTTGAACTAGTGGGGTCATGTTCAACTTTAGAAACTCAACCTAACTCAGAATGATTTTTTAGCCATTGTCGATCTGTGTACTCAATTTATAATACTGATTAGTTGAGTTAACCGCTTTTGTTCTTCTAATTAATACTATCTAGAGCTATATGAACTCTTGGACCACCCGTAAATCCTTAGATTTTTAAGACCTGACGACCTATAATATTTAATCTTTAATATATTCACCTAATTTGTCATAAACCATGACCGTTTATTTTGTTTGTTATTGTAACAGGGAGATCCGATTGATTGGGTGAGCACACATCGATACCATCACCAGTTCACAGATTCAGATAGGGACCCACATAGTCCTATTGAAGGCTTTTGGTTTAGTCACCTCCTGTGGCTATTTGATACCGGTTATCTTGTTGAAAAGGTATAACTAACAATTAAGTGGGATAACTAGATTAGTTTACTTTAATCATAATTAAAATTTAAATATGTTATGGTAATGACACAGTGTGGAAGACGGACAAATGTGGAGGATTTAAAGAGGCAGTGGTATTATAAATTCCTTCAAAGGACGGTCCTTTACCACATTCTAGCATTTGGTTTCATACTCTACTACTTTGGTGGTTTGTCTTTTCTTACTTGGGGAATGGTAATATTTACGTTCTCTTTTTGTTTTGCCTTTTAATTTTTAGTTTCTTGAAAACAACTTATATCTGTTGCGCTTGTCTATTAATAGGAACAATAACTGTAAATAATAAATGATAATGAGGTCAAGAATTGTAAATTTAATTTGGTGGATGTAGGGTATTGGGGTAGCAATGGAGCATCATGTGACTTGCCTCATCAACTCTCTTTGCCATATTTGGGGAAGCCGAACTTGGAAGACTAATGACACCTCTCGTAACGTTTGGTACGTACAAACATTTTGATCAATCATGAATGCTTAAATACTAATGTCCTTTGGTTCATATACACCACTGTTGATTTGTCGAATTCTTCAATTGCTAATGTGAAGAAATAAAAGATATTGAAAATTTATGTTTTCGCTAGATATAATTTGATGCTTGATTAGTTGATTTGGTGAAATGAAAGGTACCTCAACCAACCACTTCTATTCTAAGTTCAAGTTTTAAATGAGAAAATTAAATCATAACACATTATCCAAGAAAATACGCTCAATCTAAAACTATTTGACTATGACTAAGCAGGAAAAAAAATATCATTGTCATCAATTGATATAGAGATTAGTACAATTCGTCCGAAACGGAAACTCAATTGTACAAACTCCATAGGCATTTAGTTTCATCATCCATAGACCCGACATACATAGAGATATTTTGACTGTGTTGTTTTTCGCGTGGTCCATTTCAATTACTACTATGTACGTACATATTTAAAATAGCATATTTCATTTTATTTTATTTAAAAAAAAAATCTTACGGCTTGTTTTTAATAAATTGTAAACGTAACCAAGTATTTGAAATTGTGTGTGTGTGTGTGTGTGTGTTCGTGTTTCGCATCAATGTATTAGCAGGAATGATAAATAACTTCGAAGAAACTAATGAAGTGGTTAAAAATTGTTACAGGTGGCTATCGGTTTTCTCTTTTGGAGAAAGCTGGCACAACAATCACCATGCCTTCGAGTCATCGGCGAGACAAGGCTTGGAATGGTGGCAAATCGACATATCTTGGTACATCGTCCGCTTTCTCGAGATTATCGGTTTGGCTACTGACGTGAAGCTGCCGTCAGAGAGTCAACGCCGTCGTATGGCATTGGTTCGTTGAAGATGGATGATATTCGACTTCTCGTCTTTATTAAGTATTAGTTAATGTCTACGTACGTTTAAAGTTTTTTGGTAAACGTAACACTTGTAACATTGTGCTATGTTGTGTTGTCCTGTCTTGTGCTATGCGTTAGAACCAACTTGTTTAATTAAGATACGTTCGTTTTCGTATGAACGAAATTATAATATATGCGTATTGAAGTGTTTTTCTTTGGATCATCTACATTTCACAAGAATATTTCCAAGTTTTTTTTTTTTTTTTTTTTTTTTTTTTTGGTTAGCTAGGAAAGATTCATCGGGCCGAGGGTTAGTTGTTGAAACATTAAAAAAAAAATGAAAATCAAACGTCTAAGAACCAAACCTATAATGTAGAACCAAAATCTACACTCCAAGTCCAAACTAACCGAAAAAGTTAGAGCTCTCAAAGCGAACATTTTTATAGCATTTAATTACTGTATAGCCTAAATCCGTATAAAAAAAAAATATTATTAATGCTCTAAATATGAATAAAATACATGAAAAAGGTAAAATCACGTATCAAGGAAATTTTTACCAACAAAAAGCATGCATTTAAATGTTTTTTAGCCACATTCTCCTTGATAAAATGTAGTCAGTCACATTAATTGATAAAATGTTTTTCAAATCCCAAAACCTTTTCTTACTATTTTGTAGACAAATTCCAAAACCTTAACGTTAAGAAATATCAAAATTAATGGGTGTTTTGATGACGTATAAGCATTCGTTAAACTATTCATGAAAGCAACGTTTACAAATGTCCCTCAGGTTTGAACATGTGCCTTGTTAATGCTTAGCTCATAATTCTCGGACTAACAAATCGACCGGGATTGCTACGCAAAGCATTAATTAATATTAAATTCAAGAGGAAAGTTGGGCAACCAAATTGCTTTGTTCTTTGCCTAACTAAATCCTCATTTGGAAACAAAGGCAAATTAAATGCGAGGTAATGTGTAAAAGTTCATTATTTCGTTGTAAAATAGTGATGATTACTCAAATCCACCGTTGCAATCCTTAATCTCCACAACATTAAGCTTCAATGCACCAACATCATCTCCCTATAAATGTAATCAAACATTCGCTCTAACATATATACCACAAACATTCATACTACTCATATTTCAAGACACAAACCCTATTGATCCTCGATGGGTGACACCACCAAGGACGATGGCTCTAGCCAAAGCAAAGGGGTGCGTATGGAAAGAAGAGCGTATTTTTTCAGGAAATGGACGTCAATCGACGTAATGAGAGCTTCATCTGTTGTGATCATTCATTTGTTGTGTGTCTTGGCACCGTTTAACTACAAATGGGAAGCTCTCCGGTTTGGTCTGATTCTCGCAGTGGTTACTAACCTAAGCATCACATTCTCCTACCATAGGAACTTGACTCACCGGAGCTTTAAGCTGCCTAAATGGCTTGAATATCCATTCGCCTATTGTGCCCTTTTCGCTCTTCAGGTAAATACATTTGTTTTAACCTAAAATAAAAAAATGAGAATACAGCCAAAATCATCATGCATGTATATCCTGAAATATTATTACTAATTTTTTTTTTGGGTTTTGTTTGTTTGCAGGGTCATCCAATAGATTGGGTGAGCACACATAGGTTCCATCACCAGTTCACAGATACAGACCGTGACCCACATAGCCCTATCGAAGGATTTTGGTTCAGTCATGTCTTGTGGATATTCGACACCGCTTACCTGAGGGAAAAGGTAATTCAACAACGTTCAAAATCTCTACAAACCTATATGTGAATCAATCTTATATAAAAAAACAAATGTAACAAACAGTGTGGAGGACGACGTGACAACGTGATGGACTTGAAGCAACAATGGTTCTATAGGTTTCTTCGAGTCACAATTGGTTTCCACATCTTAACATTTTGGACCCTCGTCTATCTCTGGGGTGGTCTTTCTTACCTAACTTGCGGCGTGGTAAGATTTTCTTGAATCAAATGAGAATTGGATTATACATAGATAAAATTGGTCTATGACAAAAAAGGTCAACTGTATAATAATCTTTGTTTTTGTTTTGGCAATAGGGTATTGGAGGATTCATTGGTTACCACGGGACTTGGCTCATAAACTCGGCATGCCATATTTGGGGTTCGCAAGCATGGAACACCAAAGACACCTCTCGTAACGTTTGGTATTTACGGTTTTACCTTCTCCTGTCTACTAAACCGATAAACCTTAACCGGAACTAATTATATTGAGTGATCGTGGAATGGTGCAGGTGGCTAGGGCTATTCACGATGGGAGAGAGCTGGCACAACAACCACCATGCCTTTGAGGCGTCGGCTAGGCACGGGCTCGAATGGTATCAGGTGGACATAACTTGGTACCTCATTTCCTTCTTCCAGGCTCTCGGTTTAGCCACCGATGTCAAATTGCCTTCTGAGGCTCAGAAACGCAAGCTTGCTCTCGCTCGTTAACTCTCACTTATGTTTTCTAATTCTATCTATCTATTCGTTTTCAACCTTTGTTTCTTTCTCTACAATAACTACTCATCATTACTCTCTCTCTCTCTCTCTCTCTCTCTCTCTCTCTCTCGTTCTTTATGTAAAACTGTTAAGAATAATAATCCGTAAACTTGTAGATTATTTCAACATTTTTAAGCTACATTGCATGTTGTATGAACTATGAAAACCGATCTAAAACATTATTATTATGAAAGCGTAACGAACCCTTGTGGTTTAGAAGATGTAGTCAGGTAACTTGAGAGGAAACTCAGCGACTTGTACTTCGAATTGACTCCCTTTTGAATCTTTCAAACTATATACACAAAATAAAACAACCAGAGGTCAAGATTTCACAACATATGCACTCTGAATTCTCAAAACACCAATGTCCATGAAGCAGCAACATACCTTCCAGGCACAAAAGTGAAAGATCCCTCAATAGATCCACTAGTTGTTGGAAAACTGGAACAACTCTCATACACAAACTCTTCTTCCTCCCCTGCTTTCAAGAGCGGATACTACAAAAGCAGAATCATTGTTTTGTTACTCCCAACATTTCTAACTATACGAGAGTGAGAAAGCAAAACTATACCTGTCCTATCACAGCTTCTCCATTAACAGTATCTATAACCTGATCATCAGCTCGGATACTCCAATGTCTCCAATACAGTTGACAAGAGCTATGAGTTGTCCCTTTCAAGATGCATCCTTCCGGCACGAGAGACATTCGGATCGAATACGCATACCAGTACGCCGGTGGCTGATCCCGGAGATTTGACATTTCCGGGATAAACACAGACGAAGCACGTACCTGCAGCATTATCATCAATCACCACAAAGGCATCCAAAAACCTGAACATCATTCATCAATAACTTATATAGCTCACCTGCACGCCATTAGTTACGGCGACAGAACACAAGGGAGGAATCTCCGGGAATAAACTAATACTTTTGAAGCCATCCTGTTCACGGATCTTTATAACCCCGGTTTGTAACCTCCGTCCATGTTCTTCCAACCAAAGCAACATGGCGTCCTGTTGCTGATCACCGTTGGTCTCATGAACCGACCTAACCAAAGACTCTGGCACACAGGGAAGCATTTGGCGAGCACCTGTCCCAGTGTAAAGCTGTCCGTTTGCACAGTCCAGGAAAAAGATCTTCATAGTCGACAATGCAGACACAGCCACAACGATCAGGTTCAACCTTCTCGAGATCTCGAGGTGTCCCAAGATTTCGTTTGTCTCCCTTATCACTTCCTTAAGAGGTAGCAAGTAGACATTAACTTCGTGAGAGTAAGCAGAGTATCCACCTATAATCCCCATAACCCCATTGGAGGGAGACGACGGTTCTTGGCCGTCGACGAAACGGTAGAGAAGCCTTGTGGGGAGAGGAAGTTTCACTTTGAGAGCTGTTTCAACTTCTTCAAGATCATCCTCTGTGCAACCTTTTCTCAGCGTTGCTTTTGCTTCAGGGAAGTTTAAGCTCAGCCATTGTTTGAGATTGTCCCAACAAGTTCTAACGCGTTTAACGAGACTCCATGGGTACATTCTAAATGACTCCCTCCACATTTGATACGCTCTCTGAAGAATTAAAGACAAGAACTTCAACATTTTAGAGATCAAAAATCTAAACTTTACAGATTTAGACACTCAAAAGTTGTCGAAAGAACGCAAAATTCATCAAAGGAGTCGGATTTTGATTTCGAAAACCTAGAAAATGTCAAAAGGAGAGAAAAGAGTGAAATTGACCTTGAAGGAAGGAGCAGGATCTCCATATGGATCGAGAGGAGTGGAGATGTTGAGATGAAGGGAACAGAAGATTGACCATAGCGATTCCTCCGAGGCGGAAATTTGAAGGCGTTTGCTCACACAAGCCACTATCGCAGTGCCTTCAGGGCCGATTTTGGATAAGATGATGTGAAGGACCAAATCTCCAGCATCTTCTAGACCCATCGCTTTCGTTCTCTCTCGGACAACGACCCTTGTTGCTTTCTCTCGGTTGCTTGTCGGCTCTGTTTCACTTCTTAGAACCGTTTCAATCAGAAGAAAGTCTGTTTGGTGTGTGGAACAAAATTCACCTGCCCTAAACTTCAACAAAAAAACAATTCAGGAGATTGAGTGTAATAACGATTACTTTAGGGACTCAAGTGAAATAAAATGAAACTTCGGAGGTCTTTGTGTAAATTTATCTAAACGTGGTCGTTTTGTACCCAATATATATCAAACGACGACGTTTGGGTTTAAAAATTTATCTAAACGACGTCATTACCTCAGTTTTATCAGAATTAATCAAGCGTCAGTAACCAGAAATGACCATTTCAACCACTTGGAAGGAATTTTATTATCGCTTGCAAAAGACGGAAAACCAATCTCCTAATTCCAAATTCCCACCGGTGTGATCATAATGGTAATGTGTAATGTGATCATATTAGATCGAGACACGTGCTATTTGTTTGAGGAGCAAAGAGAGGCCTTTGTATAAATGCAAACCGTGTCATTGTGACTTGTTTGATCAATTCCTTCGTTTTTCATTTTCAAATGTTGAACACCAATATTCTTTTAACTAGTATTGTCAAAGTCAAAGTCAAATATCGTATTCGTATATATTTATATTATGATAATATATATGAGCTAGTGAGGTGCCAATTAACCAATAACTTTCTATATATAATGGTGTGTCAGTGTCATTACAATGAAACCCCATGCGAACAAAACAAGCCCTACAACAAAATTTACGTGCCCAATAAAAAAAAACAAAAGTCAGTCAGTTTCTTTTTCCTTTGGAGAAATTTATTTTTAGGAGTAAGAGTGTAAGACGAACATGAAGAGACAAGTTATGATCGTTATCATGTTAGTCGTCTTTTTCGTTGTTTTCTTAGATATCAAGCAAGTGGAAGCCATGAGGCCATTCCCAACCGCCGCCGATGGGATCCGGTTCATGTTCCAGTCGCTCCAAAGGGGCCCAGTTAGCGGGTCTGGTCGAAATGGTTGCACCAACATTCCCGGTGGTTCAGGTAGCTGTCGTGGTTGAGCACTGACCAGTCACTGGATTCTTCTTCATGAAACCGCAACCAACGATTCTTTTATTCTTTTCAAATATTAAGACCAAACTTTATTGTAGATCCCAAGCTGAAACTGTATTGTAATCTATAGTCTTTTTCAGCGGCACTGAATTCTGAGTATATACAAAAAATTATGTGTCCAACAAAGTAGTTGTTTAGCTAATAATAGCCACTATATTCGGCTTTTATGCCCGTACACAAATATGTAATCCCACAAATTGAAGTAGACAATGTGAAGAGTGAAGACGAAGAATCTTTCCAAAATTAAAAGAAAATAGTGAAACTTTGAAGTAGACTACTTTGTTGGAACGTTACGTTTGGTCCTTTGTATGAGAAAAGTACGGACATATTGTTGGAAAAAATTGAAGTAGACCACTTTGTTGGAACGTTTGGTCCTTTGCATGAGAAATGTACCATTCTTCCGTTATTTCATCACAATCCTTTTTATGCAATCGGGATAAGTGATATCAACGGAAATACCCCTTTGTTTTTTTTTGGTAAAAATGCTTATCTTAACTTTAGCCTTTAGAAAACATTGTATCATATATATTTTTTCTTTTGATTACTGCCGGTGTATCACATTTTTTGTTTTGTTTTATAGTTTCATGAATTGCACGTCGTTATATTAATAAATCATTTATTCAGGATGCTTAAAAATAATAGATAAGAATGATATATAAACCAAAAAGTTACATGTTTAGAGTTCAAAAAATTAAAGGAATAGCAAATCTCATCAAGTACAAAGTTAACGAATACATACATTTGCTTTCATAATTGCTACAACTGCATCAAAAGAGATTCAATACACAACACTTTATTGTTCTTATTACCTTAACCTTTAATTAAAAATTAAAAATGAAATAATGAGGATGTCTAATCAGACTGGTGGACGGCTCAGCCGTGGCACTGACCCGGAGAACCATTGATGTTGGTACAACCGTTTGGACCTGACGGTGGCACGGGAGCCCTCTGCAGCAACTGAAACACGAACCCGATCTCATCGTCGGCTCGAAACGGCCTAGCCGCTTCGACTTGTGTGGTGTCCAAGAAAATTACGAAGAGTGCGAACAAGATCACTCCAAGTATTAATTGTTTCTTCATCATCATTTCTCTCTCTTGTTTATTATTTTTGTATGTACTCAAAGTATTAGAAAATCGTTTTTTTTTTGGCTGGCACGTAAAAGTTGTTGTATGGCTTTTACTCTTTATTTGCTCTGTATCACATTTAGTTTGATAATGACTTATATATACGGGTTTCGATTGTGGTGTTGGTTGATTGTTAAAATGGTATCTATGTGTGACTTTGGGGCTTTTGGTCTTACTTAGACATTCTTGTGGGTTGTGGCTTGACTTTTACCAGGAAAGACTTGGTTTTCCGTAGGAATTGATCAAACAAGTTAAAGATACGACACGGTTCTTGCCTTGGACCGCAATGTATACCGCAAGTAAATCTGCAAACCAAAAGTGTAAAGTATACAAAAAAGGCGATAAGCCAAATTGCTATACCGCTACGTTAAGTAGATAGATTCCACATTCCAGTCCAGTTTAAAGCTAAGTCTCTACTCGAAATTTTTATTTTATTTTTGCATTCTTTATCTTGATTAATGTTTGGTTTTGGAGGTTTCATTTGGTATTTTGGTGCGTCTGGTATATGTTGGTTAACTAGATAGCAACCGCGTAATATGTAGAAGTCTAATCATATTTATTTCATTTCTAGCTTGTATTAAGCTTATGCGTGTTCAACTATTGACTCTGAATTGTTTTATTTTCCATATATAAACGCATGATGACGAAAACTCATATTCGATTTTGGAGGTCAGGATGACATGATATCACCACTACGCAAAAGAACTTGGAAATATTCAATGTCTCATAAAGCGCAAAAATAGAAAATTCAATAGGCAAGTTTGATTCAGTCTTAACTCTCAAAAGTCTCGACCAAATAAACGAAGGGTACGCTACAAAGTGTGTACTTATGTCAGTATGTAACCATATGTCTATACACATTAATATATACAGACCAACCCTGAACTTTCATGGAAATTCTTAACTCTGAATTTTTATTTTGTTTTGGTTATTGGAAGTGTTGAATTCGATCGTACCGGAATCAACATTTCAGTTTGCTTTGGTTTATACTTTTTATTTTTTATTAGTTACGCGCGTTGACTTTATTTGGAGCGGTAACATATATATTTGACTTTTCTCGCGGCGGCGCTTTTACCGTCGATGATGATTCCGGTGAACAGAACCAACGCTCTTTTATCTATCCTGAGCCAAGCCAAAACACTACACCATACTCAACAGGTTCACGCCAAGGTCATAGTCCATGGATTCGAAGAAGAAGTCGTTCTCGGATCCAGTGTCACTAACGCTTATATCCAGTCGAATCGTCTCGATTTCGCAGCAGCTTCCTTCGATCGAATCCCTTCCAAGAAGAGGAATCGTCATTCGTGGAACACGATTCTCTCTGGTTACTCCAAATCCAAGAGCCGTTATAGCGACGTCTTACTTCTCTACAACCGCATGAGGATGAACTGTGACGGCGTCGACAGCTTCAATTTGGTATTCGCGATCAAAGCTTGCGTTGGTTTAGGGATTTTAGAAAACGCGATGCTGATTCACGGTTTGGCGATGAAGCATGGGCTGGATAATGACGCTTACGTTGCTCCGTCGTTGGTTGAGATGTATGCACAATTCGGTACTATGGATAATGCGCAGAAAGTGTTCGACGAAATTCCTGTGAGAACCTCAGTTCTCTGGGGAGTTCTGATGAAAGGATATTTGAAATACTCGAAAGACTCAGAAGTGTTTCGTTTGTTTGATCTCATGAGAGACACTGGCTTAACGCTCGATGCGCTTACATTGATATGCTTGGTAAAGGCTTGTGGGAATATCTTTGCTGGTAAAGAAGGGAGATCAGTGCATGGTTTATCCATTAGAAGGAGCTTTATGGATCAGAGTGGCTATTTACAAGCCTCCATCGTAGATATGTATGTGAAATGCGGATTGTTGGACAATGCTCGGAAACTATTTGAAAGAAGTGTTGATGATAGGAATGTGGTGATGTGGACTACACTGATCTCTGGGTTTGCAAAGTGTGAGAGAGGTATTGAAGCGTTTGATTTGTTCAGGGGGATGATGAGAGAATCGATTCTTCCAAATCAGTGTACTTTGGCGGCTCTTCTTGTTTCTTGCTCGAGCTTGGGATCTCCGAGGCAGGGGAGAAGTGTTCATGGATACATGATAAGGAGAGAGATTGAGATGGATGCTGTGAATTTTACATCTTTCATCGATATGTATGGTAGATGCGGGAATGTTGAAATGGCTAGGAAGGTTTTCGATATCATGCCAGAGAGGAATGTGATATCTTGGAGCTCGATGATCAATGCTTTTGGGATGAATGGTCTGCTGGAGGAAGCTCTGGATTGTTTTGATAGGATGAAGTCACAGAGCCTTGTTGTTCCAAACTCTGTGACGTTTGTTTCGCTTTTGTCGGCTTGTAGCCACTCGGGAAACGTGAGAGAAGGACGTAAGCAGTTTGAATCAATGACAAGAGACTACGGGATTGCGCCGGAGGAAGAACATTATGCGTGTATGGTAGATTTGCTAGGTCGAGCTGGTGAAATTAGGGAAGCGAAGTCGTTTATTGATAACATGCCTGTGAAACCAATGGCCTCTGCTTGGGGAGCTCTTCTGAATGCTTGTAGAATCCATAAAGAAGTCGAACTAGCAGAAGAAGTCGCAGAGAAGGTCTTATCCATGGAACCAGGTGAAACAGGCGTCTACGTCTTGCTTTCTAATATATACGCTGATGCTGGGATGTGGGAGATGGTGAATTGTGTGAGACAGAAAATGGGCATCAAAGGATATAGAAAACCCGTGGGACTATCTGCTACTCAAGTCGGCTAGAACAGTCAGCTATTGATCTCTCTGCATCATGGTTTGATGAAGAACGTATGAAATATGAAGCAACAAGATATAGAGACGATGGTTAAACTCTGTACAATCAACCGGAAAAGAATATCCGTGAGGATGAAGATGGTTGAAGAGAGATTGGAGTTGTACGAAGCTGGTTGCTGCTGGAGTCAAAGTCGCTGTCAAAACAACATGGGAGTTTGTTGAAGATTGGATTTCAGATCGGAAGTAAATGGAAGCTCCATCTGGAAGTGGGAAGGAAGTGGAAGCTCAGACGACTGGAAGTTACTCGATCCCGTTAAGAGATGAAAAAGAATTCTTGAAGCTTTTTTGAAAATTGTGAGAAGTTTTTTTTTTTTTTTTTTTTTTTGTAACGTCGATTGATAAAAGGGCTTCTTAATGAATTGTGATGATGCTGAGATATTTCAACTTGAGAAAAGAAGCCAGTGATTGAAGACCTCAAATTGGTAATAGTTAAAGATGTAGCAAAAGACAAGTTTGTAAATATAGATACACTTCCTTCCCACTTCCAGATATATTGGTAATAAAAATGTAGCAAAAGGCAAGTTAGCAACGGGTAATAGTTATATATTGCTTAGTAATTCAGAAACAACAAGAACTACCAAGAAAAAATTGATGTTAAAGACATATTTGTGTTTGGTGCCGTTATATATTATTTCTTGTTTGGCAAAGTGCTCTAAAAGATGGACTAATTGCATTGCTTTCGAAAATGTAATTAAGCCTTTCAAAAAGATGGTTGAAAATCCAAAATGTAGACCAATTGCCAAACTCTCCAAAGTATAAACTGATCTCTGGACGACGAGAAACACTTTATCACAGACTATAAACTGACGTTTGGCATTGGTCGGTAAATAGAAAGCATTTTCTTGGATATTGTCCTCAATAGAAAGCTCCATAGGAAGAACATCTCCTCCATCATGTACAAATCCAGAGTATGACTTTGACAGCAAGATACTCTCCATTGCTCTACCAGTACATCTTGCATTTGTTAACACTGTGAAGATTCTTCTGCATCAGCTCCACATTGCTAAGGATAATAACAAGCTGGAAAAATACAATTTACACCAACTCAAGATACCAACAAACGTTAATAACATATGAAAGAAAAGAGTGCATAAATATACCTGGAGAGAGTTGGGGACCAACACATTTAACCATAGAGAATATGCAAGAGTATAACGGAATTATGCTAGGAATGATCATCTTATCATATACAAAAAAACTGTGAAAAAGTGAAATCACCAAAACTCATACGAGCCCTAATTTTCAGAAAATTTAAATTTCTTCAAGATAAAGTGAATCAAAGACCATGAAACACAACTAAAGTAGTCTCTCTCCAGCCTAATATGCATGATTCAAGCCATAATCCACCAAGAGTTTAACTGTTTGAACATTGCGTGGATACTAAGGTAAGCGCAATTAGGTCAAACTATCGAAGGTGGGCATAATTGTTTGAGGCTTTGAGCTTTTAAATTAAGCTCATCTAAAACCAAAATAAAGATTTGACTTTGAATCAGATTAGATAAACGGGTCCGATTGACTGATTCAACTCGGTCTGACCAAATTATACTGGTTTGATTTTAAATGGTTTTGAAAATTTCAAGAGAGGAGAGAGAGAAGGGACTGTTTTTCTTTTTTTTTTTGTTCTAACAGTGAAGAAAAAGGAAGGGCCGTTGATTCTACGCTACACCTATCACACTTGTCTACGATTACAAAAGTTGTTTCAATGATCCTTGCTACTTTCCCCAAAATTTAAAGCTTTAACTTCCGTACGATCAACCAGAAAACTCACGAAGGTGAAGATAATAAGATGGCTCAAGAGAGATTCTATTTGCTCGCTGCTGCAGTTAAAGCGCCTGGTTGATTCAGCAGAGGCACCATCATAAGATGACCCATCTTACAGAGCTTCTCCTCCTGAAGCAAACGATGACAGCTCACAGACATCCTCAGATTTTTAAGAACAGAGGAGATAACAGATTTGAGACTGAGACAGAGGGGATCAAGAAACAGAGTTTTTGAACTTGTTTGAGGCAGGCGGAGAAGAAAGCAGCAGAGTGGCCAATACGAAGCTTGTCACTTAGAAATTCTAGGAAACAAATCAAATCATTAAGAGGCTTGAGCGCCTCGCCAAGCACAATGACCACAAGGTAACCTCTTTGACGAGCTTCTATAGGCTCCAATGAGTATCTAGAGTAAATCAACTCTTAATAATACACATTCTCAGTCTCCTGCATATATCCATCTACTCCCATCAGCTCATTTATCTCATCAAGCAACAAGTAAACCTCATCTGAAGCAGGGTGAGATTTATCAGCTGCAGCAAACAGATGGACTCGCTTGTCTAACTGAATCGAACTTGTCCCAGGACACACTTTCTCTATACCCAACTCTCTCATCTTTCCCCTAACCTCTGCAACATCTCCCCACCTCTTTTCTTCTGCATACATGCTAACCAAAAGGAAATAGTACCCACTGTTCCTCGGCTCCAAAACCATCAGCTTATCAAACGCTATCTCAGCTATCTCCAACTTCTTGTGAAGTTTGCACCCATCAAGCAACGCCCCCCAGATCACCGCATTTGGTTCAAACTCCATACCCCCAATCAACTCCAGAGCCTCATGGACCAACCCAGCTTTGCTTAATAAAGCAACCATGCATCCGTAATGCTCAACATTAGAGACAATGGAGTAGTCATCAATCATGCTACGATATATCCTCCTGCCTTCTTCTACAAGACCTCCGTGAGTACACGCAGTTAAAACACTCACGAAAGTGACTGCGTTAGGTCTGACTGATTCCATCACCATCCTCCCAAACATTTTCAGTGCTTCTACTGCATAACCATGAGCCGCGAGCCCATCAATGATCGAATTCCAACAAAAGAGATTCTTTTCCGGCAAATTCAAGAACACAAGAAGCGCCTGCTCCAAGCTACCGCATTTGGAATACATATCTACCAATGCAGAACCAATGTAGACATCAAGAACAAACCCGTTTTGAACAGTGTACACATGTACCTCCTTGCCTATATCCAGCACGCCGAGATGTGCACAAGCTGAAATAACAGTTGAAAGAGTAACCTCATCAGGAACGATCCCTTCTTCTGTCATTTTGTTGAACACTGCAATTGCTTCTCTGTATCTCTTGTTATGAGAGTAACCATTGATCATAGTCGTCCATGAGACGATGTCCTTCACAGGCATCTGATTAAACAATGACTCCGCTAGCTCCACACTGCCTGATTTCGTGTATCCATCAATCAGACAGTTCCACGTAGCGACGTCCTTCTCCGGCATTTGGTTAGCTAAAGAATTCGCCGAGTCCATATCCAAGACTTTGCGATAAGCAGAAACCATTGTGGTCCAAGAAAAAGCATCTCTTTGAGGCATTTCGTCGAACACTATCCTGGCTTCTCTGATTCTAGCCAGATTCGAGTAAAAGGTAATGAGAGTCGTCTGAATTTCAACGTGGAAGCAAAATCCAAACTTCCAGATGTGCGCCTGAACTGATTCCCCAAACCCAGAAGCGAAAGCAGAAGCCTTTACTAGCGAAGAGTATGTGTAGCTTGATGGAGAAACAGAGTCCCTGAGCATACGAACGTATAATTCAAGGGATCGAATCGGGTAAGAACAAGTGACGAAGCCTTTAATCAAAGCGTTATAGACGAAAACGTTAGGCTCCTGCATCTGGGCCATGGAGGAAACCGCGAGGTCAAGGCGGTTGGAGGAAGAGCAGGCAGTGATGAATTGGTTCATTGAGAAACAGTCTTGGTTTTGGCTGGTCTTGACCATGGCGGCTAAAGCAGACTCTAGAAGCTTGGGGGACGAGCATTGCTTGATTAACTGTAAAATTGGATTATTGTCGAAGAGTGAAGTTGAGAAACCTCGAAGAGGAAGAAGATGATGAGACTGGGCCCGAAAGCTACTACACACGTTGGACAAAGAATTCATGTAAATACTAAACTGGAGGTTGATGATAAAGATGAAGACTTTTGAAATCTCTTCTTACTTGAGTTTATTCAGAAGGCACAGTGACGAAACCTCTAGAGGGGCCAGAGGGTTCCAACTTCAGTAAACCTGTGAAATTGTGGCCCATTTGGGTTGAAATATTTGCAAAAGAGACCACAAGATGTCCATCCTGTGCAATTTTACTTTGTTTTTTGTTTTCAGCTTTCTATGTATTCGCTTAAAAAAATGTTGAAGAAGATAGATCATAGATATCAAAGTACTGAAAGTGAAATGTTAAGCAGCGTCATACTCATTCCTAAATTATTGCCATTGGCGTCTAAAGACGAACGGAGAGAGGTGAAGAGAGACAACTTGTCCCTCAATTATTTGAATATTTATATTTCGTGATGATTCACACTATGTCTATTACGCTGTATAAATGTTTTATTAACGCATACTTTCCACTTGTAATATAAATCTATAAAGGGGCAAAGTTGTAGAAGAAACAAGCTTTGGGTTTTACTCGTGTGTGACGACTAAATCATGCCCAAATTAATAGGCACGTGTTGGAATTGAAGATGCATGCACTTTCTTGCTTTCAAAATGATGGATAAAAGTCCAACATGAATTGAAGATTCTTTGTCTTATAATAATTTTGGTACTATCCCAAGTTTGATTTGAGACTTTATCTGGGATAATAATAAAATACGTTAGTTTTATACTCGAAATAAAAATCACAATACTTTTATTTTTATACTACTTATTTTTCTTCAAACTTGATTATGTACAATTTTTTTCTTATCAAAATGTAGATTGTTAGAACATAGATACGTGCTTTCTTCAAAGCAAACAAAAAAACCCGTAGATACGTGCTCTCTCTAAGTTAGTCGAGATAAGAGTGGAGGTATTATCCTTCAAGCAATATATGTATAATCAGAATTCAATAAAATAAAATCAATAAGCCAAAAAAGAATCAATAAGGTTCCAAAACACCACAAAGCATTTCATATAGATTAAAAAAAAATACAAATATTTGTAGACAAAATAGGCCTCAATCTTCCTTTAGCAAGTTGAACCATTATTATATATACTTGATTATTCCAACCACTAGATTTGGTGGAATTTAATCATTTCCCAATCAAACAATTTACTCTCTTTTTTTAGTATAGTTATTGTTATAATGAGTAGGGACATTGAATAGCATGCATGTCTGAGTTTTCTTGGTCGTGAGGAAACAAAAAATAGTTCTTGACCTACTAATTTAATACTATCAAAATAATTCGGTTTACCTTTGACCCTAGCAGACTAGCAGGCCCGGACAAAAAGTGAATTTACAAAGATTACAAAAACAAATCAAAGAGAAGAGTGTTCATGCACCCGTCTCTCTTTGCTACATTGTCTTCGCAAGTTGCAATATAAGCCAATCATATTTCGGTGGTCCACCACTATAGGCTCATCCCACTCGATTGATTTTTTTACAAAACTTAAATCTTTATATGTAGATCAAATATCCAGTTCCCAAAATGTCTTATTAATCCTGGAATGGATGACTTCGAATATGCCATTTCTTGCACAGCTTCTTTAAATTGATGGAGAAATAGACTACAGTTATGATAAATTGTTTGCATACATATAAATTTAATTAACTAAAATTATAGTTGCATTAGACAATAAAATCTCATACTACATATTTTCGGAAACTTTTGAAGTTGAGTTTGCCGGATATTATTTTCCAGAAATCTATATGCTTTCAGAATATTCGTACTATAAGAATCTAACTATCCAAAACACCTTACTCAACTATATTTAAAATATTGTTTTGATAATTTATAACTTGAATAACATTACTGAACACAGTGAGAGGGGTTGCGTTTACATTCAGAAAGAACCTATCGGACGAATGCTGCAATCTAATAGATCAAATTAAGATAAACAAAAGCTTATAATATGAAATCGATAGCTTAAATTTAGCAAACACGAGAAGTATCTTCCATGTTCACTCGCGCTGAATCTTCCCAAGAATATGAAGAGATAGTTGTCGTAGAGTGGTCCAATGACTTTGTCTAAGCTTCTAATTCGAACCTTCTCATGTACTGTCAATTTATTGGAGTTTCAAGTTGCAACCAAGCGACCCCACATCGCATCGGTCTAATTAGTCTAATTAAAGGGGCATGGTCATATAATTCTAATGAAATGTTCTTTAGTTAAAACTCCATAATATACTGTAACAGTGGCCAAAATAGTGGCCGAAATGTTTGTAACAAAACTAGAAGAGTACTGATTCGTAGGTGATAATAATGCATGGAGAGTACATGCGTGGATGCTAAAGGACAGAATAAAGGGACAAGTCACATCAAGTGGTGATTGGTGAAAATATTTTTTTCTACCAGAAATAATTACGAAACATTATACAGTATACGTACATGTTATAAAGTCTCCAATTATAGAGGTGGCGGCGACGAAACCTCAGCCAATTCAACTTCTTGATCCTGTACGAAAAACTAAACCTCAAGTCAGTTTCGTGAAGCGAATACCCTTATGTGGCAGTCAATCTTTCTACCCCGACAAGACTGCCTTCCAACAAAGAAAATTGACCAAAATATTCCTCATTTTGTATATCTGTTGTTAGTTTGTGATTAGTCTAGTACTTGGAATTAAATTGTTCTAGTTCTATAGATAGCTTGTGGTTAAAATGACACCATATCTTGATGATTATTTCTACAACTCATTATATGTTGATCAGGACGTTGTTTTCAATATGTTGATGGCACACCGTGAGTAATAACTCGGAACATGTGAAAAAACATAATAATAATAATAATAAAACTATAATGCATAATCGAATAACTTGCATACTAAAACGTTGATAAGAAACATTGATACTTCTTGGCCTTTTTGTCGCACGTTTGACCCACTTAGCCGTATATATCTAAATTCTGATCACTACTGTCAGTAAAACAAACCTTATTACAATTTAACAGCGGTTTGATATAAATATCCTAAACATCCGAGGTTACTCGAGTATTACAAGAGTACAAAAAAAATGTCACTACAAACGACCGAGATGATCTCCAAACAAACGCCAACGTGGCAAATATGTGCCATATCATCAAATTACTGATCTCATCTATTTTGTCGGAGATACGCCGCCGTACGTCATCCCCTCAAACTTGGTCTTGTCCCACGTGGAACAATGCACCCACTTCTGTGTATCACATTAGAGATAGATCCTATTACGTATTACCTTATTAAATTTGTGTTTGTGTTTTTCCGATTATATTATTATATATTCAATTCCAATTATCTTTTGGATGGCCCCATTTTCCCGTTTACGAAATAAATGATTATTGAGTTCTTGGGCAGCCTTATTGTCAATGTATAGGACCCAATGAAATAAAATATATACTAAACTAATAATGTTTTGTATAATACGTTCCACGTCTAGTATATATATGCTATATATTCCCCAAACTTAAAGCCGCTTAAGAAAGAGATCACAAAGAGAAAACCGTTATAAAAAAAAAAACTGAAAATGGAGTCTCAAACTACTTTCTTCTCTAATAACCAGAGTCAAGAGTTTTCCCCGGAGAACTCTTCTTCAACAAGTTCATGGAGCTCACAGGAATCATTCTTGTGGGAAGAGAGTTTCTTACATCAAACATTTGATCAATCTTTCCTCTCATTTAGCCCTTCTTACTACTCTGACGACTTCTTGGCATATGGATCATCATTCATCAAAGAAGAACAAGAAGAAACCACCGTAGCGGCCGAGGAGGATGAGGAGAGGTCATACAGAGGAGTGAGGAAACGGCCGTGGGGGAAATACGCAGCCGAGATAAGAGACTCAACGAGGAAAGGGATAAGAGTGTGGCTCGGGACGTTCGACACCGCGGAAGAGGCGGCTCTCGCTTATGATCAGGCGGCTTTCGCTTTGAAAGGCGACCTCGCGGTACTCAATTTCCCGGCGGAGGACGTCAAGGAGTCTCTCCGGAAGATGGAGAATGTGAACCTCAACGATGGAGAGTCTCCTGTCATAGCCTTGAAGAGAAAGCACTCAATGAGAAACCGGCCTAGAGGAAAGAAGAAGTCTTCTTCTTTGTCGTCAAACAGTAGAAAACAGAGTGTTGCTATAAAACAAGAAAGTAGTCCAACGGTTGTGGTTTTTGAGGATTTGGGTCCTGAATACTTAGAAGAGCTTATGAGGTCATGTTCATGATCATCTATACTTTTACAATTTCAAGTAATTTGAGTGAGCTCTGTTTTTGTTTTTTTTAGTATAGTTGTATACTTATATTATTATCCAACGAAAAGTTTTGGAGGAGATGTGATGGGAGATATTGGTAGTGTCAGCTGTTGCGTTATTGTTGGAAAGTATGTATTATGTAATTATCTCTACCTTAATGCTTACTTTCTTATTTGTATATAGTATATTTTTTTCATAAGTTCTATAAGAAATGAACCGAGGGTTTTAAATTTTTAATTAATCAACCTCGTATGTAATACTTTTTTGAAATGATATAATTTAGATTATTAACTATCTTAATTATTTTATTTTCAACATAGAAAATTGAATAATCTATTAACCATAAATTTTGTTTATCTCATTCAATTGATATGGGCCTATTACTATTACCATACATTACTGATGCTATTTTCTCTAAATAGAAAGTTAATTAATATTCGTTGGAGGAATGATGTTCTAAACTGTAATAGATAAGACGAGATTATCCACCTTGGTACACTTACGGATTTGATGTAAAAAGTGCGATCCAATCATATTGTTTTATCTTCGATAATGTAACGATCATATTAAATTATAGACACGTCGTCCCTGGTGATGCTTTGGTTGCCATAATTAATATTTGCTAATCTATTCGTTTATTTCTCTGGTTACTGTTCTATCCGTTTCAATTTAAACATACTTCTGTCTTTTCAAGCAAATGAATAACAATAGGCATTTTTTTTTAATGCTGTTTCATCTTGAGCTATATATACATGTAAGCATTTAGCTTAGATGTAGAAAATAATGACTGAAGGGTAAAAAAGTGTTGTAATTTTTCTAAGATTAAAAAATGGTGGAAAATATGGAACTCTCACATATAAAATAAGATACCTAATTGTTCAGCGAAAATGATTGGATGATGTTCAACCTAAAAAAGAGAGATAAAAAAAGAGGCGTAGCTCTAGCCACAAGCCCACACAACCAATAACACTAACACGAAACATTGTATACGTACTAATGTGATCATTCATAATCAGAATAATTGCTAGCTATAAGAAAAATGCATTAATCACTGGAGTAGCAGTGATAGCCATTAGTCGTCGAGAGAGCTTCCATGTATTGTTTCTCCAACACTTCCATAACTCTATCCGCTATGGCACTTGCATAAACACTAGATCCTTCACAAATCTGTTATTCAAAATCAATTAGTCTAATGCTTTTTTTGGCATTAATATAATTAAGGGTTAATTTTAAAATTTAATGACAAACCTTGGTGTTGAACAAGAAGCTGTGGTGCTCTCCGATCTGTGCACCAGCTACATGGTGAAGATCAAGCTGAAGCTGATCAATCACTTTGGAGACAAAAAACAAACAATTGATTTTCTTCTTCTGCACAATCTTGATCGTGACTTCATCGTCAACGATACGTACATCGACCTCAGTGAATTTCGATTTCCTCTTCAGCCAAGAACATCTAAAGGAATTGTTGTTCTTATTGATCAAACATTGTTCTACTACTTCCCTTTGCGCCTTATAATTCTCATCAACAATAACATCATCTCCTTCTTCTTCGATCCTGCATCTCACGTTCCGCTGTTTTACGAATCTTTTCTTCTCTAGTAGCATCTTGAGCTCCTCAATCCTCCTTAACAACTCTTTGATGTAATCTATTGCTTCTCCAACGATCGATGCTCTATCATTCTAGAGATATAGCAAACAAACACAAACATTAGAAAGGGTTTCAAGTATGTAAAGTTGATTACTTGAAGAAGAAGTTAGCGTATAAGTAAGTAAACCTTGGTGGGATTTGGAATTAGACTCTTCAAGTCACCAAACCGGTCTTTGAAGTGGACTCTTCTCTCGCGCTCGGTAGGGAAGACTTTTCTTTTTCTTGATCCTCTCCCTTTGCGGCTAAGACCGTTCTCGTTGTTGTTGTTCTCTTCAGCATATAGCAAATTATGCACTCCATTTGCTTCAGTTTGATCCTCAGCTCCAAGTAAAGTCCCATTAGAAGTAGGCTGCAAAGGGAAATTCAAATGGAAGAGAGGGTCGAAGGCAGAGACAGAGGAAGTTGTCATGAGAATGTCTTGAAGACTAGGGTTTGGGAAAGGTGGAAGTGAGGATCTTGGCAATTGCAAGAGACTGAGTAGGTCAGGAGTTGTATGATTAGGACCTAAATTCACAAAATCTTGGTAACTGTTGTCCCAGTTATTTGATTGTGGAGGAGCATATGATGGATCTTGAAGGGTTTGGTGCATTAAACTATGGAAATGATTATCACAATTAGGAGTGTCATTGATGTGATGAAGCTGGTGAATAGAAGCTGCTGCTGCTGCTGCGGTGGCTAGAGAACAATCTTGTGGGCTGAGATGGAACTCAGAGAGATCTTCTAGACTGCAGTTGCTGTTGCTCGTGCTACCGGCGACCATGACCGGCGGTGGTAGCTCGGCCGGAGAAAAGCCGCTCTCCACCGGAGCATTTGGGTCAAAACAGCCAATATCTTCAAACATGTTTCCTCCTCCCATGAAACCGATTTAAAAGCTAATATGGTTTCACAATCTGCAAACAAGCATGACGTTGAGATAATTTTGTATTTCCGGTTTAACAGAAACCTAGATTATGTACTGACAACTATAACCTAATCTCGAACAAATTTGCTCTAACCATCTTACAAATCGACTTGCCTAGTTCTAGATCAGTTCTTATAAGTTATTGGAAATGAAAGACTAAGAGAAGGTATATTGTTACCGTCGACGACTGGTTCTCCGAGGATCTTTTCCGATAAATCACGCGAAGCTGAGACTTGCATTAACAACTCTCTCTCTTTCTCTCTCTGTCTTTTTGAAAAAGCCTATACGTTTTTTTCAATTTAAGAGTAACAATAAAAAGAGAGGAAGATGACAATTTTATATTTTGAAAAAAATAATAAATTGAAGAAATACTTCTGCTATTTATTTGTGGTCGATCGGGGGACAAAAATGTTGTGGTCTCAAAACAAACTCTTTTTTATTTGTTTGCTTGAAATTTCAAAATGAACTTACCAAATCATGTATATGATTTTTTTGCCCTAAAATTGATAACTGAATAGTGAATACAAATTCTTTAGTTTTCTTTATTTTTAAAAATAAACGTGGGACTACGATTGTGAATGTCCAAGTTTCTTATTTGGCTATCCGGTTTGAAATATCTTTACTGAAATAGAATCTTTTTGGTAAAGCTCTGTTTGAATTTCGTATCAGATTTTTACATAAAAAGTTGTAGAATTTCTGGTTTGTTAGGTCTAGGTGGACATGATTGTATAGTTACATACACCATTAAACACACATACGCACATACACACATATTATGTATAAATATATAAGTGTGTGTGCTGTATCACGAGTGTTTTGGTTGGATCATGTAATTTCTCTCTGGGGCAAGACAGGCCGGTTAGTTACAGTCTGTAAGTTCCATGACGTGTTCTGTCTTCGCGTGGGTCCCCTTACGATTCTCTCAGGTTTTGCCGTTCCGATGACGATCTTCAGGGGCACTTTCGTCTATAAATTATATTTCACCTAATTCAATAGTAGTACAATAAAAAGGTAAAAAGTAATGCATTACTTTCTAGTTTCTACTGCATCGATCGAATGTATAGTACTCTTGCCATATGACATTATATGACATGGATAAGATAAAAAAATGAGATAAAGATTAGTTTTTTTTTTATCATTTCTTTGAACGTGTCTCAACATTTATTCATTTAGTAAAGTTAAATTTCTAACATAAATTAATAAATAAATGATTTAATTTCCTGTTTGTTGGGTCATGCAATTTCTGTTTTCAAGGCACAGGTAGCGGATTGTTTTTGAAGAATAAAGGATGGGTCCCACGTAAGAGGAAATAGAAACAAATTCTATGTGGGAAGGGTGTTTTCGTAAACTCAGTATATGAGAATTCTCTTGTATTGGATGGACCTCTTGTATTGGACCTGTTTGAGCTAAACAGTCAAGCATATCCTCCATACTGATGCTTTGACAAAGAGAAGCCCAATATGATTGGGCCTGAACCCGAATTTAATTTCACTAGAAAATTACCACGTTATTATCGGCTAATAAATAACGTAATACCATATCATTATTTTTTTGTTCACTGATCAAATACTTTTCAGATTTATAGGAAAGTATTTTTCGTTGCAGTTGCAAAAACTTGTGTATATGACACTTATTAGTTACTTATGGTTGTTGAACTTACCCGACAAGTGTGCGTCTGCACTTGAAATATCCAATTTGGGCCTACTGATTTTAGTGTGCACCATGTATAGTTAAAGTTCATACGAAATGCCCAAAATGAACTTGTGGTGGGGAGAGGTAATAATATGTGGAGAGGAAGGTGTAGATGGAGATATGACGACGATGACGTGGCTATAATTGTGTTTCACATGAACAATTCTTGATGGTCCATTCTTTGACATGACTGAAGCAAAATGGTACGATCGGACCGTATTGTGTGAGATATTGTGATCTTTGTTATCTTTCTAAATTATGCACCCCAAGACGATCGAAAAAACAAAACCAACATTAGGATTTGCGCGCCTATCTCACAATTATAGTGGTCCATTACAAATAGTCTTTTAGTAATACGTATTTTTTGTAGGGAGTTGAGAAATCAAGAAAATATGAGTTGATAACAATAAATGTATACCGTAACTTTAAGTCACAGCAAAAGATATAAACTAAATCGCTTAGCAGATAGAGAATGTGGTACACTATTAGATATTGTGAGTGGCCAGAGAGTGAGTCTGTTAAGTTTTATGGGAGTTAAGTCATTGATAAAAGAAAAACTAATTAAAAGAGACAATGATTTTCGTTGAAGATTTTCGAATCACTTTTTTTGGTCTCCAAATTAGAAATTTAATGACGACAAAGAGATGCTAAAATGTTCAAGAGTACTAGCCATTGAACTGAATATTACGCTACCACGTGAAAAATATCACTAGCAAACCAAGTTCGACTTTCATGGTCCTCTTAAATCAAATCATCAACAATGGATGAAAAGATATTTTTTTTTGGTAATATGGATGAAAAGATATTGTCCCTTCTTTTATCGGTTAAAGACCACAACATAATTAGCAAAGAAACATAAGTATTATTTGGAGAAACAAATAAAAGAGAGAGGAACGAAGTTGGAAATATTGGACTTTGGGTACCAAAAGTAGGAAAACAATTTCCACCTTGTCATTTTCCTACTGTCGCATTATATATTTATATACTAACACACTTAGACACCACATAACTTTGCTTCACTCATCTGGTAGCCTTCTTTTTCTTTCATAAACACAAAAACTTCGTCGTCCATTTTCCTCTCTCTCGTTAATCTTTTCTTTGGTTCTTCTGAATTTTTTTACTTTTCAAACTAATTGGTTCAGAAGAAAACAAGAAAAATGGGGAGAAGACCATGCTGTGAAAAAATGGGAATGAAGAAAGGGCCATGGAGTGCTGAAGAAGATCGAATCTTGATCAATCATATTCGTCTCCATGGCCATCCCAATTGGAGATCTCTCCCCAACCTAGCCGGTAGATTGTTATACCATTTAAATTGCTATATATATATATATAGATATCTTCCAATCAACAAATTTTATGTGGCATTTTTATTCCATGAGTACTACATATGTGTATAAAGTTTTGAATGGTGTTTGTGAAATGATTAGGGCTACTTCGGTGCGGCAAAAGTTGCAGGCTTCGTTGGATTAATTATTTAAGACCAGACATCAAACGTGGCAATTTCACTCCTCAAGAAGAAGAAACTATCATCAACTTACATCAAATCTTAGGCAACAGGTTCCTCCTTTTTACAATTTCTTTTACTATTTCGAAACTTTAGATTTGTTTTTGTAAATTTTGAACCAGAAGCTAAAACAAATATTTGAGAAGTTCCTCTCCTTTCAATTATCTCTTTTTTTTCTTTCATTAAAATTTAAGTGTTTGCGAAGTTTTGGCTTTTTGGTCCCACAATTATCTGGTCTCGGAAATTAAACAAATATTTGAGAAATAATACAGTTTTTAGTTGAGCTCAGAATTCACAATAAAACTTCAAGCAAAATAAGTTGAAATGCTAATCTTTGTATTGTAAACGAAGATTTTGGGACAAGTTAATGTGAAAACGCAATATTACTTTATAAATTTTACGAGATAACTTCACAATCTTTATGAATGATTTTCTTCTTACATTACTTGTCAATATGCCAAATATTTTAACTGTGTGGGGCTGCGGACTGACAAGATTCCAACCCGTGATTGTGTCCACACACCTAAACATTAAATAACTTCAATTTTCACTTTATTAATTTTTGTTTTCATAAACAAGTTTTCACTACTTGACAACATAGGCACTTTGATCAGTGTAAGACATGTGCGAAATTTTTTAACCATACATATGCAGTTCGACAGCTTTTATTTTGTTTTACTCGTTGTTTGTTCTCATAACAATTTGATAAATCTTATTATTCATTTATTTGACATTTCATTTTTAGTTTATTTTTTTGCTTTGTTTTGGTAGATGGTCTGCGATAGCTGCAAAATTGCCTGGAAGAACAGACAACGAAATAAAAAACGTTTGGCACACTCATTTGAAGAAAAGAATCCATCAAAATCATCAAGATCAAAATGACAGTGAAACAATTGGCGATGACGGCGAAAATTTAGCTTCTATTACGGCTGCAAAGAGACCAACTTCTCCGCAACAACAATCTTGCAGTAGCACCAACATTTCAGTGGTTACAACATCGGGAAACAATAACGACATCTCTAATAACAACAAAGACTCTGCGTCATCATCCGAAGACGTTCTTGCAGTGATAGATGAGAGTTTTTGGTCAGAAGTCGAATTGATGGATTGCAACATTTCAGGAGATGAGACTAAAGAGACAAAGATAGAGAACTGGGAGGACTCGTTAGATATAAATGATAAAGGATATAACTACTCGAAATTGTATAACAATGACACGGAGCATTGGTTTGATCTTCTCACTAGTAGTAGTATAGTTGGAGAAACTTCCGACATTTCTGAGTTTTGAATTGTTTTTGTTTGTGACCCACATGAATAAAACTCGTTTACGTTTCCTTTATCCCGCTTTGTTGTGCATTTTTAATTATATGAAACTATTAATCTTAAATTCGTACATATCAGGAAATCGTCCGATTATGACATCTTCACTAGAGCATATATACTCTGAAGAGTTCATATAAAGCTAAACATATTATTATTGTTTGTATTTTTGTATTCGTTTTTTTTACAACTTTAGTTTGTATTTTTCTTGTGGCGTCTTGTGATCATTGTTTTTCTTTTTGTTAATTAAAAAGGGTACATCTTAGTGATAATTTATGAGTACTTAGATTAATGAAAGTCTATAATATTGTTGTTCTGATGGTCGAGATACTTTTTAAAAGCATATTCCCTTGATCTATGCAGAATGAACCTTATCACCACATTTAAAATTCTTGGTATAGTTTTATTAAAAGTAACCGACGAGAAAGATAGCTTTATCAAGTCCACGTACGTACTTTAATCAGCCATTTTCTTGTGATATGGATTTCCCTTATAGATTTAGTCTTATCAAGACATGCTTGTGTATGTATGTGTTGCCTAATTGCTCCCATATATCAAAAATTATTACACAAAAATGGGAACAAAACAACACATATAAAGTTCTACCACATGCTAATTATATACATGACATGAAAATAGTTCCATCTGTTAACATAAAATACGACATCTAACAAAATACCAAAACACTAGTGATATGGGTGGAGTTAACAAAAGGTTACATGAAAAGCCAAAAAATGATATCAATTGGATGAGTTTAAAACGTGATAATTTAAAGTTCCATCATTACCCAAGAAGCACAATGATAGATGATCCAGCGGTGACTCCATTATAACAACAACTAGAACACCATGAACTGAAATAAGCCAATGGTGGTTTCTTAAAATATAGGGTTTTGTGCAAAAAAGTCAGGGAACTAAATTAATTTTGCAAAATTAACCCTCAACTTTTTTGTGTGCAAGTCAATACCCCCAACTCCAAAGTCACCCGCTAAACAGGTAGTGTGTATATTGGCGACGTGGCTGATTTTGGGCCTTATAAAAAACACAATACGCTGCGTTTTGGACAATAACGGGATGCAGTTTTGGTTGTTGATGCCGTTTTCGGACAAGAAAAACAGAAAAGAAATTGTCGGGATTTCACTTTGGGAAAAAATTAAAATCGATTTGGGGAAAATCCAAATTAGGATTGAACAAATCCAAATTGGGGAAAAACAGAAATCGAACAGAGTTGAACAAATCGAAGATTCCGTGAGTAATGATGCTCTGGAACATCTCACACTGAAAAAGCGACGCAAAATGCTTCTAAAAAGGTGCTTAATTCAATTGACATCTCTTAAGCTTCTTGCTTGACCAGAATCAGTCAAATTTTGCAACAGTATCAAAAACCAGCAAGTGACAACGATTGCGCGACGACTTTAGAAAAGAGAGACACGGTGGTTAATATTTGTTTTTTCCCTCCCTTTTGTTACAATCTAACAACGAGTTGAATGATGCAGGATTGTTGTTTAAAAACGTGCTTTTTAGTCTTGTTTATTGCACACTGTAACTTTCCCGAGGACGTGTTGGTGGAAGTAAAAGAGGCTCCGTTTTATGAATCAAGTCTTTTTAGCAAACATACAAACTCTATTTGTTACTTTTGTTCAAAACTGTAGCTCAAATTAGATCAGAGGGTGCAAAACTTCTTGACTGTGTTTTACTTTCTTGATCAGGCAAGTGTCACTTACAAGATGAGCTTATGTGGTTCATGTAGTGAGTGGTTCAGGTGTTGGTCGAATAAGAGAGGCTCCGTTTTATCAATAAATTGTCTTTATAGCAAAAAACAAAATTCTCCCTTTTTGTTTGTTCAAAACTGTAGCTCGGATTAGAGCAAAGGCTCTGTTTCATCTTCTTTTCTTCCTCATCATCTTCATCATCTTCCTGGACCTTTTCTCTACTGCGTTTCTCTTTCTTTGACTTCTTTTTCTTCACAGGAGCCTTCTCTGCTTCATCTTCTTCTTCTTCCTCATCATCATCATCTTCCTGGTCCATGGTCGTCATGTTCTCCTCTGTTGCAGCCTCAACCACTGTGTTTGCTTCAGCCGTCTCTGCTTCCACCATAAATCCAATCATCTTACAAACAATACTAATGGAGGAATACTTATCTTAACGCCAAAAGAAAAACTAACCTTCTCCACTAAAGCTAGAGTCGAATACAAGACCTGTAAGATGCTGCTTCAAGAAAACCTGCAACAAAAGCAATGATGAATGAATTAGAGTCTACTTCTCAGAGAAAAAAACATTAAGTCTCCATGTTAAAGAACATACCGCAGAGATGAGCTATCATGCCTTCACGTCATAAACACGTAAATACCGGTCTAACCCTGAACAATTCAATTAAAAACAACATACACAAATAAGATCGTTTGAAAACGCATATAGAGGTTGACGTTTATGTGACAATGAATCTTTACCACAAGAAGCAATCACATTATGATGTGGATGTCTAACCACAGATCTTATGCTTCCACTACACTTCCCTAAGAAGCTTCCCAACAGTTTTCCTGTTCGTATATCATAGGCAGCTAGGTCAGCAGAAGTATTCCCCACATAGATAGTATGACCATCTGGATCTTCGCAGATTGCTGTAACGGCGGTCTCAGGGAAATCAAAGGACAAGACCGGTCTACGTTGAGCAGAAGCATCATAAAGACGAACCTGTCTCAAAAAAAAAAGAGAAAAATGTAAGTAATCTTGACAAAGCGATTACACTCAAGAATGGCTCCAAAAGAGACAAACCTGGTGAGATTTGGTTCCCGTGACAAATTTGCAGTGATCTTCATTGCTCAAGAATGCAGCACAAGTGAACCAGGTCGGCGTGAAGATACCAAGACTGTCTTTAGGAGGCTGCACACCAAACAGAGATTGGTTACAAACTTAAAAAGGTGCTTTCAATTGACATCTCTATGCTCAATTAGACACTTAATGAATGCGAGCGAACAATTGAATTGATTTGTTCAACTCTGTTCGATTTCTGTTTTTCCCCAATTTGGATTTGTTCAACCCTAATTTGGATTTTCCCCAGATCGATTTTACTTTTTCCCCCAAAATGAAATCCCGACAACTTCTTCTCTGTTTTTCTTGTCCGAAAACGGCATCAACAATCAAAACTGCATCCCGTTTAATTGTCCAAAACGCAGCGTATTGTGTTTTTTACAAGGCCCAAAATCAGCCACGTCGCCAATATATACAGTGCCTGTTTAGCGGGTGACTTTGGAGTTGGGGGTATTGACTTGCACACAAAAAAGTTGAGAGTTAATTTTGCAAAATTAATTTAGTCCCTGGTTTTTTTGCACAAAACCCTAAAATATACCCCATGTATTCTAAATGTCTAATAGTTTGTGCTAATGCGTCATTGTATGAGATTTAAACCGGATAATGTACAAAACCAGTGAGAAGCATAAAATGATAAAAACGTGGTTGACAAGTGAGTAGTAAACGGAGGCAACCAGAAAATTGGTGATGAATTGATCAATGATTCTGACTAGATCCGGACCCACCTTGAATGAGAATCCAATAGCATTTTTTATATACCCACTTAGAGAAATGTTTAGATTTTAAGTTTGACCCCAAAAAAAAAAAAGAGAGAGAGAAATGTTTAGAGTACTAGTGACACTTTTTCTATAAACTTCAAAGGACTAATTAGGTTCAAAAATGGCGATTTCAACGAATAGCCGAATAGGCCAAGTCTCGGCGAGCGCGGAGTTTGGATTCTCCCCAAACAAAATCTGATCGCAGTCTCCAATCTTTTAAATGCAAATATCATTTGATTCGGGACGCTAAGACTGTACGTCTCTTTGATCATGATGTTCTTCTCCGTGCTTCATTGCTTGCTTCTAAGTGAAAGTTATAACTTTTGAAAACAAATCTAAGTTGTGTTAAATAACTTCAAAGATTCTCAAATTAACAAAAATCCTAGTAGATAAAAACATCACAGCCAGTACTTTATTCAGGGCGGGAATAAAACAGAGCAAATAACTCATTTTTTAACAGTCATTAACTAGAGTAATGTTCATGTCACTGGGCCTCTTTCACCGCCAGATCAGCTGGAATTACTACCAAGCAACTCCACGAGTTGTGCTTTCTTCATCTTCGAAAACCCTTTTAGTCCCCTAGTTTTTGCTATGTCTCTCAGTTCCATCACCTTCAATGTACTCAAGTCTTCATCTTTTGCAGCTTCTTCCTCAGATTCATCATCATCTTCATCCAAAGACTCATCATCATCATCTGATAACACATCAAAAGTAACATTATCATTATTATCATCTGATAACGCCTCTAAAGTAACATCATCCTCCTCCTCTTGGTGAAATGATGATGACTCTGGCTTCAGCTCTGACTCTGATTCAAGAACAGCTGTCACTGGCTCAGGTTCTGAGTCATATTCAGATACATCTTCGTACTCATGCTCAAGCTCCGCCTCAGCCTCAGGCCCGTCTTCAGGTTCCTCATGCGACTCTGACGTGTTCTTCTTATGGGTCCAGGTCACGCTGTAACTCGACGCCTGATCAAAAGTCGGCTCACTAGAATAAGCTGGCGGAGATTTAGATCTCGGTACTGGCGAGTTTCTTCTGAAGCTTGATGTTGGCCTGGCAAAGGATGATGCATTTTGATCTCGCCTGTCCACAGAATTTCCTTGTATCGGGTAAGAACTGTCTCCATGGCTGCTAAAGTTGCCAACGCTCTTCTTGCTTTGGTCTCCCGAGTGCTTCCTTAGTAACTTAAGAAGGGAGTCAACAGTCTCGCTTTCTTTCCCCTGTCCATTAGAAGCTGCTTCGATCTTTTTGTCTTCTTTCTTTGCCGCTGCTCGAGCTCGGAGCTGAGCTTGAACCTTTCTGAAGAGCTCTACGATCTCTTTCTCTCTTGGCCCAGGGGAGCAAGTAGCTTGGAATTTAGGGGAGTTGGATAGAGAGAGTAAAGGCCCGTTTCTCGAAGATAGCATTTCAGAGTCGAAATCGTCTCTCTCTTCGCTTGGCCTGTTGTTCCTTCCCCTGAAACCATGCTTATTGAGTCTTGAGAAATCAGGATTTCTCCTGTAGCTACCAGAATTTGCTTGGCACACAAAAGAACGACTATTGGGGGCACATTTCAGACGTCCATTCTCGAGTTTGTGATCCGGACAGGAGGAGCCAGGTAAAATGGCAAGTGTTCTTCTCGAAACAGCAGAGTTAGAGAAGCATCTGCTGTCTGAAAGTGTGTAACCTGTGTTACAAAGCAAATACCACATGGAGTAAGCAGATAATATATACCACCTTAACAATGCAGAATTGAAATAGCCTTCGTAGCTTCACTATATGCAAATGAACTTGATTAACATAGAAATAAACTGACTACAGAATTAAGTAAATCAAGTAAATGCACAAAAAAATTATGAAGAAGGAGAATTCGATGGGTAAATTTCTTTAAATGACCGTATTAGAAATTTGTGATCAAGTTTAAAACTTCGCATTTGAACAAAATTCGTAATTCATCGAGCCATAGAGGCGAATTAGCCAAGTCTATAACACTCAATAGAATCATTTCATCGAACAACTGGTGGGCAAAAACACAAAAAGTCATTTCTCGTCTAACATATTCGCTTTTACCCATCGTTATTCATCACAGTGATAGGGTTATAAAAACAGCGGGAGCACAGTGAGCATGAAGGAAGAACACTAACAATCTTCCCGGAAAACAGATAGAGCCGAACATAGATACCTCAACAGTTCTAACGACATGTGTGAAAGAGAAAGAGAGAGAGATTAAGAGGGATATAGGATAACAAAGTACCTGGGAAGTAGTCAGAACTCAAATGCAAAGTTCCCGACATCGACATGGAAAGCTTCGGAAAAAGGGGAGAGAGAGAAATAGAGAGAGAGAGCTTCTTTTCTACTTGCGGTGCCTCTCCTTCGACTCTGGCTTCTCTGAATCGTCGTCTCGGTAACACAATTTTTTGTGTTATTGGGCTTATTCCAATTACATTATTATATCGTTAAATGGGCTTTGGAACTAATTCGGACCGGTTAATTTATTTCGGAAAGGTTTAAACCGAGATTGCGGTAGCGATTGTTTGTTCTGACGCAAACCACACTTTAATCACCTATGAAAGCCAACCGAACCGTAATTAAATTCGGTCTAATTGCGGTCACAGTTATTCCAAAGTCCGAACCTGAACCGAACCAATCAAACTGAATGACCAAACCAAGCCTACCCGTGGAAAAACAATTCAGTTAACCAAATTAAAATCAGATTATGTTTTACGGTACAGTCTTGTTGGCTTTAAAACCATGGTTTCGATTCTCTGAAGACAGATATAGAGGAAGAGAAGCTAATGAGCCCTTTTCCTGAACACTGACTCAACAGCTTTTGTACTAAGTAAGCTTAGAACAAAGGGCCAACATTTGCCACAAACATCTCCAATGGCATCTTAATTGGAGTTTAGGACGGAAACAAAGAGAGATACAAAGAAATGATGCAACGAGGATCCTTTCTTATTAGGCCTTGTGGTCTTTAGCCATTTCATCCACATTCAGTTCTACCGCCAGGATTGGAGAATCCTCTTCCATGGCAAATTCACTGAGACACAGAGAGAGAGAGAGAAGTTAGTTCCAGGATTATTTTCTTCTTCGTTAGTAGAAAAAAAACGATAAGCTGATAGGTAACGATAGTCTCTTCTCTCACCTGTTACTTACTGGACCGTGATCCACGGCTGTCCGGAGACAGTATATAGCTCTTCCTACTATGTCCGCCATTGACACCGGACCAAATGTTCTACTATCATATGCTTCCTATTCAAACAAAAACATATATATAACAGAGATTCAGAGATGGCCTTTTTCATTTTATCTACAAGGATAAGTAAACTATGTACCTTAGATTTGATCTCTTTGTTCTCAGCTACGACCCAGCACTGGTCCTTTTCGAGAACAAAAGGCTCGTCTTTCTCATCACTTGACACCATTTCGGATCCTTCTAAGGCTGCTAATCTTCTGACTAGATACTTATTTGTTTCATTCGGGTCCTTCAACACAACAGCATCTCCAATGAACACATACCTACACAAAAATCAAGAATGCCAGATGTTACTGAGTTAGGATAAACGTGAACTCATATCCCCATGAGATCCCTACAGAGCCACATTTCATGAAACACCTAGCGGTAACTTCAAGGTTTAAGTGAGTGGAACTAAAACGACTAACCCTTAACGATAAGAAACACACCTGGTATCAACAACTGGTAGCTTACGGACAAGTAGAGTGTTTTCATTTGTTCCCATGGTTGGGGCCATCTCTTGTCCTTTACCTGAGTGTAAGTAGGTAATCCTTCCAGAAACCAGATTCTTCAAGACTACACCAATGAGTTCCCTCTCACTGAGCTTCTCTCTAGTATGATTCTGAAAAAATAGAGTAACTCAAGGATGGTGACTAAAGTAGATTCTACAACTCAATGAGCTGAGAAGAAAAGTATAAGTACCAGGGACCAGAACAACCATGAAGGTTTTTATTTTCATGTCACTGGATTTAAACTACTCATCTGAAAAAGTCATATTCACAGGTGATACACATACTATCACAAATTCAATAGCTATGATTTGACTATATGAACTTGTTTTACATTATTCAAGAATAAGAAGCTATTGAAAGCTCGTTTCAACCAAACTACTGATCCCTGAGCTAATAAGTACTCTCCCATTTCTTGATTTTAACATCAAAGTGTGCCTTTTCATTACAGGGGTAGTTACAATCACCAACTAAATCAGAATGCATAATGTTTTGGACTTTCCTTAAGCTACGTATAAAGGCAAATCATAATTGGATGGGATACTATAAAAAAAATCAAGAACCCTAGCCAATTTAATCATTCCATTTCCTAAAACCAATCTCATGAATAACAAAAAGAGAAGCAGAAGCTTTAAAATCCATAATTTCTGTAAGCCAAAGGCAAGGAACTGAAGCTAGACATGAAGAAAGTCAGAGAGAGAGAGAGAATTATAGGAACCTTAAGGCTGAGAGTGAGAGAGTACTCCAGCTTGTGAGCCATGTATCGGACCCAGTTCGAGATGTATGCCATTTTCGATACCCTAAAGAGAGGCTCGATTTCGAAAAGCTAGAGACTTTTGTCGGAAAGGACCCTTTTTGCCCCGTCGGTTTGCTCAGCCTTGTCGCCGCCGTTGTTGAAACTCTGATCCTTTATTTGGTTCCTTCATAAAAATCTTGTGACCCCAAATTTGGTTTTTTCAAATTAGCCTCGGAACTATTCTCTAGTTTCGATAGTCACCCTGTACTAAAACATTCGACACATTAGCCCCTTCGAGGAGCCTCCCTCTGACCAAAACTGAAGTTAGTTAGGTTTAGTCTTAACTTAGTTCAAAGTATTGGACTTTCTCAACAGGCCACGTGTTCAACAATCCTTCTATTCTTTGCTACCTCTCTCTCTCTCTCTCTCTCTCTCTCTCTCTCATTTCGGTCCGACAGATTGGCAGATTCAATTACGACTCAAGAGAAATACCAAACAAAACAAACAATTATCGAGAAATTCGTTCATCTCTAAGGAACTCCATCTCAGGTTCTCTCTTCTTTTTCTGTTTGTCCTCTGATTGGATCAACACATTTAGATAGATCCAAATTATTAGACTTTGAAAGATTTGGCTGATCTCTGTTTATTAGAATTTGAAGAATTGCCTGACCTTCACTTAGATTGTGTCGTGGTTGATTGATATTATAGACCGATGGTAACTCGAAAATGCATCGGACTCGAATTTAGAGTCTTTTTTAGGGATTCGTAGATATAAATTAAACGTTGGGCTTTCTCTGTGCAGGTGGATCGCAAGAAATATGGACAAACTGAAGATAGCGGAATGGGGAGAGAAGCTAAAGACTGGAGGAGCTCAGATGAGTAGAATGGTGAGTGGGAAAGTGAAAGAGATGCTCCAAGCTCCGACCTTGGAATCGAAAATGGTGGATGAAGCTACTCTGGAGACCTTAGAGGAGCCCAACTGGGGAATGAACATGAGGATATGCGCTCAGATCAACAACGAGGAGTTCAACGGCACCGAGATCGTTAGAGCCATCAAGAGGAAGATCTCAGGTAAGAGCCCCGTGAGCCAAAGGCTTAGCCTTGAGCTTCTCGAAGCTTGTGCTATGAACTGCGACAAGGTCTTCTCCGAAGTCGCTTCCGAGAAAGTTCTTGATGACATGGTTTGGTTGGTCAAGAATGGTGAAGCTGATTCCGAGAACAGAAGCAGAGCTTTCCAGCTTATTAGAGCTTGGGGACGATCTCAGGATCTTGCTTACCTTCCTGTTTTCCAACAGACTTATTTGGTAAATCTCTCTCTCTCTGAAAACCTCATTTGCTTATATGTAAAGAATCTGAATTCTCTCTGAAGTCTTTTTGTTTCTGTATTGACTAGAGCTTGGAAGGCGAAAATGTTTTGAATGCTCGCGGTGAAGAGGATTCAATGGCGGGACAAAGTTCTTTGGAGTCTCTCATGCAACGTCCTGTTCCAGTGCCTCCACCTGGTAGCTATCCAGTTCCTAACCAAGAACAGGCTCGTGGAGAGGATGACGATGGTGTTGATTATAACTTTGGGAACTTATCGATCAAGGATAAGAAAGAACAGATTGAGATTACAAGGAACAGCCTCGAGTTGCTCTCTAGCATGTTGAACACTGAAGGGAAGCAAAGTCACACTGAGGTAAATCTCTGCGTTTTTCTTTAGCTTTATAAGAAACATTGGTTTATAAAATCTCTTGAGTCTCGGTCTATGTGGTGGTTACAGGACGATCTAACGGTAAGCTTGATGGAGAAATGCAAGCAATCACAGCCGTTGATTCAAATGATTATAGAGAGCACAACAGACGACGAGGGAGTTCTATTCGAGGCTCTGCATCTGAACGATGAGCTTCAAAGTGTTCTATCTAGTTACAAGAAGCTTGGTGAAACTGAGAAGAAAGTGGAACAAGAATCATCGGGAAGCAAAGATGTTGGTTCGAAATCAACAGGAGAAGAACAACAAGCTGTGAAGAAAACGGATGATGATGATGATGGCACAAAACATTCAGAATCATCAGGATCCTCCAGCAAAGCCGTCAAAGAAGATAAGCAGGTGAAAATAGAACTCGGGTTATCGAGTGACGAAGATGAGAAATGAGCAAAAAGTCTGTGTTTGTCTTTTTATGACATGGATATCAGAATGTTTGTTCTTTTGATAGTTTCTTCTGTAGTGTACTTGGAGTATGTTTGTGGAACCTTTTTTAGCATCGTTTCTCGCTATGTTTTTGGACATGTTTAAAAATCGTAGGTGAATCTTCACCCGACACCGTATGAGTCGTATTCCTCCTATACGTGGTGCATTTATACGAGGTGTTTTAATTAGCATTTTGCTTATAAATATGCGTTTTGTAATACTCCGTATGATGCATTCGTGAAGTCCTTAAAGAATGATTAAAGTATGCATAATAAGTTAGTTATAAAGTGGTGACTGTGCGTGAGATTTGTTTGTAGCCGATTGTGTGTGAAGTCTAGCTGATATTTTAAGAGGAGAACATAGATTTTAATTAAAATACCAACCATATGTAATTTAATTTCCTTTTTAGTAATTGGAAAAGACTTTACACCGCTTTAAAAGAAAAATTTTAAGACTCTCTCTGAGGTAGAGGCTTCTAAGGAGAAACCTAAACATTAAAATCTCTAATTCCTTCTTCGTCGGCTCCATTCACCACAACAGTTCTCAAGAGTCTCTCGGACGGACTCGAACGCTCTCGTGACTCGCCGAGCCAACCCTCTCGTTTTCCTCAATCTCTACACCGGTTTAGCCCGTCTCTGGCTTCGCACCGTCTCTCTCTCTCATCTGCCTCGAGAATCGCCTCTCGCTCTCTCCCCACTAGCTCGTACGTTCACTTCTTAACTGTGTTTAGCGCTATCGCTCTAGGTCAAGTTAGCTTGAAGTTTCTTGTTGATTTTAGCCTTGGGTTTTGCTCTATTCCAACTAATCGTTAAGTTTATGGTTGATTCTAGCCTAGGGTTTTGCTCTAGTCCAAATCAGCTCAAGTTTCTGGTTGAATCCAGCTTAGGGTTTTGCTTCGTGCTCTCCAGATGCTTTCTTAACTTCGCAAGGATCTTTCATCTCTGTTTATCATGTTTTTGTTCACCATTACTAATTTAACTCGGACTTTGTGCTTGATTTTGTCACCTAGCTTTTATTTTCAGATTTCATCTGTTTTTTTTTCAAGTTGCCCAGCTTCTTGCTTCAGTTTTGATCATTGGCTCCTCTTTTAATCCTAGATTTTCTGGAAATAGCTCCTTGATTTCATGTCTGATGCTGCATTTAGTCTGCACAATTTTTCCAGATCCTAGGATGGATTTTCTTCTCTTATCAAGTGTTGAATGTTGTTATAGTTTCAGGGTGGAATTAAAATGCTAGATTATGTGGTGATGTTCTGATTTGAATTTGAGTTTATGTATCTGGTTTTATCTGCAATACAGATTTCTGACTGCTTATGGGACTCTTTTTGACAGGTTTACGTAAAGATGGATGATAGCTTGTATGATGAGTTTGGTAACTACATTGGACCTGAGATTGAGTCTGACAGAGAGAGTGATGATGAAATAGGAGACGAAGATCTCCAAGATAAGCAGACTGAAGAGGATGGATCTGATGACGAACATAGGCCTGGGGGTTCAAATGGTTGGATTACAACTATCAATGATATGGAGGTGGAGAACCAAATAGTTCTTCCTGAGGATAAGAAGTACTATCCTACTGCGGAGGAGGTCTATGGCGAGGATGTGGAGACCTTAGTGATGGATGAAGATGAGCAGCCACTTGAGATGCCCATAATCAAGCCTGTTAGAGATGTCAGATTCGAGGTGGGGGTGAAGGATGCTTCAACATACGTATCAACACAGTTTCTTATCGGCCTCATGTCTAATCCTGCGCTTGTGAGGAATGTTGCTCTCGTGGGGCATCTACAGCATGGGAAAACTGTCTTCATGGATATGTTGGTAGAGCAGACTCACCATATGTCTACTTTTAATGTCAAAAACGAGAAGCACATGAAGTATACAGACACGAGAGTTGATGAGCAGGAGAGAAATATATCAATCAAGGCGGTTCCAATGTCTCTTGTCCTTGAGGACAGCAGGTCGAAATCATACCTGTGTAATGTCATAGATACCCCAGGACATGTCAATTTCTCTGACGAAATGACTGCTTCTCTAAGACTTGCTGATGGCGCTGTTCTGATTGTTGACGCTGCTGAAGGAGTAATGGTAGGTGTTTGCTCTCTCTTTAAAGTCTGAAGTTTTAATTTTGAAGTTTGCTATTTGTACTAACGCTAATAATCTGTTTCCCAGGTGAACACAGAGAGGGCTATACGACATGCAATCCAGGACCATCTCCCTATTGTTGTAGTGATCAATAAGGTACATCTTCGATAAGATTTACTGTGTGAAATTTTTATATATCTATACATTCTACCTGACCTTTCTAATATGTCTTTTTTTTTCCCCACAAGGTTGACAGGCTCATAACTGAGCTCAAGCTGCCTCCAAGGGATGCCTACTACAAGTTGAGACATACCATTGAAGTCATCAACACACACATATCTGCTGCTTCAACAGCTGCTGGAAGCTTGCCACTAATAGACCCTGCAGCTGGGAATGTCTGCTTTGCAAGTGGTACTGCGGGATGGTCCTTCACACTACAATCTTTTGCGAAACTGTATTCCAAGCTTCATGGGGTGGACATGGACGTGGATAAGTTTGCATCTCGACTTTGGGGAGATGTGTATTATCACCCTGATACTAGAGTATTCAAGAGAAATCCACCAGTTGGTGGTGGAGATAGAGCGTTTGTTCAGTTTATTCTGGAGCCTCTATACAAGATATACAGCCAAGTGATTGGTGAACATAAGAAGAGTGTAGAGACCACGCTTGCAGAATTAGGAGTGACTCTGAGTAATAGTGCATATAAGCTGAACGTCAGACCTTTACTCAGGTTAGCCTGTAGCTCGGTTTTTGGGTCGTCATCAGGTTTCACGGATATGTTGGTAAAGCACATTCCTTCCCCTAAAGAGGCTGCGGCGAGGAAGGTGGACCATGCATACACTGGAGCCAAAGATTCACCCATTTATGAAGCAATGGTAGAGTGTGATCCAAATGGACCTCTCATGGTTAATGTGACAAAGCTGTACCCCAAATCAGACACCAGTGTTTTTGATGTGTTCGGAAGAGTTTATAGTGGTACACTTCAAACAGGGCAAAGCGTACGTGTACTAGGGGAAGGGTATTCACCTGAGGATGAGGAGGACATGACTATAAAAGAAGTGACAAAGCTATGGATATATCAAGCTAGGTATAGAATAGCTGTAAGCAGTGCCCCTCCTGGTTCATGGGTTTTAATTGAAGGTGTCGATGCGTCCATCATGAAAACTGCAACTCTGTGCAATTCAAACTTTGACGAAGATGTCTCCATATTCCGGCCACTCCAGTTCAATACCCTCCCAGTTGTCAAGACTGCTACTGAGCCTTTGAATCCTAGTGAGCTGCCTAAAATGGTTGAAGGGCTTAGGAAGATTAGCAAAAGCTATCCACTTGCTATTACCAAGGTTGAGGAGTCTGGGGAACATACTATCTTAGGCACAGGTGAATTATACTTGGATTCTATCATGAAGGACCTCAGGGAGCTCTATTCAGAGGTCGAAGTAAAGGTATCTAATTGTAACTCTAATTTGGATCTTTGACTGTGATTGGTTCTGCAAGAAATTTCTTATGTGGCTGTTTGATCATTAAAATTGTTTCCCTTTCATAAATTTTCAGGTCGCAGATCCGGTAGTCTCCTTTTGTGAGACAGTGGTTGAATCTTCATCGATGAAGTGTTTTGCTGAGACACCGAACAAAAAGAACAAAATAACTATGGTAAGAGATCTTTCTCTATTTTCTCTTATATGCAGAACTGAGATGTATGGTATGGTGCTCAAGCACAATTGCTTTGTGACTAATCTACTAATATCTGTTTCATGGCAAAGATCGCAGAGCCATTGGATAGGGGACTCGCAGAGCATATTGAGAACGGTGTCGTGAGCACGGACTGGAGCCGGAAACAACTCGGCGATTTTTTTAAAAGCAAGTATGACTGGGACCTGCTTGCTGCACGTTCCATTTGGGCTTTTGGCCCTGACAAACAGGTGAAAATGCATTCTTTTATTATCTTGGGCGCTCTCTTTATCTCTATGGTTGCTTTGTCTTATGGCTTTAGCAAAGCATCAAGAACGTTTTCTGACTATTTCATCTTTTGATTGTTGGTTTTTAACTGATCAGGGGCCAAATATTTTACTGGATGACACCCTCCCAACTGAGGTCGACAAGAACTTGATGATGGCAGTGAAAGACTCCATTGTTCAAGGGTAATCATCTATCTTCTGTTACGCTTCCCTTTAGCTCCATTTTGCTGGCTGTAGCTGAATGGCTTTGTTTTTATGGTTTTTTTTTCCAGGTTCCAGTGGGGTGCCCGAGAAGGACCTCTGTGTGACGAGCCCATCAGAAATGTGAAGTTCAAGATTGTTGATGCACGGATAGCACCAGAGCCGTTGCATAGAGGATCTGGTCAGATGATCCCAACAGCACGACGTGTTGCCTATTCAGCTTTTCTTATGGCAACACCAAGGCTAATGGAACCTGTCTACTATGTGGAGGTACATTACCCCTTTCTAGACTCTCTCCTTTGCTTATTTGTTCCATACATTTGTCCTTTCATAACGTCTGAGCTTTTGTTTTGTCTCTCAGATACAAACACCAATCGACTGTGTAACTGCAATCTACACAGTTCTGTCACGTAGACGTGGACATGTCACATCTGATGTTCCTCAGCCTGGTACACCGGCTTATATTGTGAAGGTTCGTTTCGTTTTGATATTCCTTCTAACACTTCGTCCATCATCTAACTGAGTCTGAGTGATTGACTGATAGATACTCTGGTTATGCTGATGATGCAGGCTTTTCTTCCGGTGATAGAATCGTTTGGGTTTGAGACAGACCTGAGATACCACACACAGGGACAAGCCTTTTGCGTGTCTGTGTTTGATCACTGGGCCATTGTACCAGGAGACCCTCTCGACAAATCCATCCTATTGCGCCCTCTTGAGCCAGCCCCCATTCAGCATCTAGCTCGTGAGTTCATGGTCAAGACCCGCCGTAGAAAGGTATTTCCCTTGCTCTGTTTCCAAGCACACACACACCGTTGTTTGATGAAAATTTATGATTTCAACCTCTCACCACGATCTGTAACGTGTTGGTTTTGTAGGGAATGAGTGAGGATGTTAGCGGAAACAAGTTCTTCGATGAAGCTATGATGGTGGAGCTTGCCCAGCAGACGGGTGATATGCATATGCAGATGATGTGATCGTCTCTCTTCTCATCTAGAACCGTAAAAGCTTATATGAGGACTAGTAGTAGTAGTAGTATCTTCCGAGACTCTGTTTATGTTTTTTTGTATGATGTGTCAAATTTACGTTTAAAGTTGAGAGGCTTTTTAGTGGACGTCGTGGCGGCAACCACTTATGCATATTCTTCTAATTGCCAAGCGTATGTCGATTCTTAATTCATTAAGAAACGAAATTTTGATCGAATCTGTTAAATTTAAAGTGAAATCGGAAAGCATTAAAATCAAATTCAATACAGAATCGTTCATGTTTAAAGAAAATCTAGTGGAAATTAAGCTTCGTCCGACATGTGCCTTAGTGATCTTATATCTAGTGTGTTCTTCCTCACAGGATACCATAAACTTCTTTCAACATCACTACAAGAAGCCTAGTGAAGCTTTAATGGCTAGAGGAAAATCACTATCTTTGCTTCTTTTCATGGTTCTAGTTCTACTGGTAACCGCTAATGCAAGAGTCTTGATGTCAAATGAAGCAAACCAAAACAGTTTCTTTTTGCAAGGGACACAGCCTGCTAGAGTTTCTCCCAGTGGACCAAATCCTAGACACCACCATTTCGGAAAACCAGGTATAGGCCACCACTCTCGCCGACCATTATTCGAACCAAAATCGGAAAGAGTTTCACATGGAGGACAAAACCTGAAACATCATTCCGCAAAGCCTATATAATACATGCTCCAACCATTGCACAAGGCAACACCCGTTAGGGTTTTACTTTTACATCTAGACAACAAAATCTACATCTATCATTTTTTTTCCAATATTAAACAACAATACAATGTCTTCAACTAATCTTTATATATACATCTAAGTTGAAGATCATTTGCATGCTAGTAATGTCGCCCTTGCTAAGTATTTTGATAAACAGTACTATTTCAAACACGAAATTAACAACACATAACTTCTTCATTTTAGTATAGCAATTCTCCGACCTATATGCCTTTTTACAAAAAAAAAAAAAAAAAAAAAAAAAAATCTCCGACCTATAATTTTCTTTCCCACAAATATTATTACATGAGTTTGAATCTTTGACTCGCAAGTTCATATTGCAATCTGACAGCATTTAATTTCAAAGCAATAATTAATCTTCATCTTATCTTTTTTTTTCTTAATTTTATTTTGGAGTCAAACATCTTCTTCAATGCCTTAATTACTCACTTATATAAATAAGCTCCGTCTCCATCTTCATTTTGCATCTGGTATTCGAATAATACACTATTTTTTTGCGAAGCAATGGCTATAGGAAAAGAAATGTCTTGTGTTGCTTTCATTTTCTTGATTATGCTAATAAGCGCTGATGCAAGAGTCCTGCTGCAAAACGAAGAAAACCAAAAAAGTCTGTTTTTGCAAGGAGCAACTATAGCCAGAGTGACTCCGGGAGGACCAAGTCGTGACCATCACTATCTCCAACCACTTTCCGAGATAACCATAACAAGAGTGACTCCAGGAGGACCAAGTCGTGACCATCACTATCTCCAACCATTTGCCGAGAGAACCATAAAAAGGCTTTCACCTGGAGGACCAAATCGTGAACACCATTAAACAAACCGACAACATGCACCAACCACCACTAGTTAGGGTTTCACCTAGAGGGAACCAAATCTAAATTCGCATTTCGACTCTTTGCCATTAATAAAATGATTCTAAATAGGGATATCTAAGTTCATGTTTCATTGCTACTACTACTTGCTTTACTTGCTACATGAAATTTGTCTTGTAGTTTTGTCAATGAATATTATAAAGAAAATATGCTATTCGTGTCTAAAAGTTTTATGTGATTGCTAATTTCGCAGTTTTTGGACAAAAAAATGAAAGTTTGAAGATAGTGTTACAAAGTCTGATTAAAAGGCTAAACTTGGAGTAAAAAGATAACTCTATAATTTGGGATATTTCATTTACACAATATAACTAATGATGGAATATAGAGATCTAGTGCTCATTTACATTTTACATTTACATTTTACAAGTATATAATATGCAAATTATTTACAAGTATATAACATGCAAATTATTTACAAGTATATAACATTGACAAAAACATATCAAAGCTTGAATATTGTATACTAGAATCAAAATGTAAAGGATAAATTATATAAAATAAAGAAAAATTGAAAATCCTTTAAAAAAAAATAAAGAAAAAATCGTATTTTCTTGAGTGCCATATTATTTTATTTTAAAATAAGATCTGATAGCTTTTATGTTTTGTCAAATTGATTTGTTATCTGGCCCAACCCTAAAAAAGCATCGGGTCGGGTAACAGAGAAAAATCAAACGCTGTTTGTTGTTCTTCCTCTCCCTGCGGCGCCTTCTCTCTCTCTCTCTCCTAAACTCGCAGGTAAGCTTCCTCCAATTTCCCTCTTCAGATCAATTTTACTTTCTTAGACCTTCCTCTCCTTTCGTTTCCTGACCTAAGTTTTCTCCTTTCCCCAAGGTTTGTATCGATCTCGAAGCACAGAGATTTGAATGACCTAATTCTCTCCGTTCTCGTCAAAACCTAAATCAGATTACCTGGGATTTAATTCAGTCGGCATCAACTTGTTGCGTCGGATTGATCTCTTTGAGGTAGAAACCCTAATTTCGTGGGCTTTGTGCAGCCACAAAAGTTTGCACTTTGCACACTCTCAGAATCGAACGCAGGTTCCGTCCGGAAATTAGGGTTTCTCAGGTTTTCATGGTGGAGGATATTTGTTCCGTCTGATTTGAGGGCTTTCTGTCAGAGATTTAAACGGGAGAAGTGCGAAAAGGCATCAATCGAGGACAAGCAACGCGTGAAATTAGGGTTTTTTGAAGTACATGTATGGCGTCAGAGCCTGTTAACGGAGAAGGAATCGATGGAAGCAGTGAGAAGCGAAGCATTAGAGTTTATACGAGGAAAGGTAAAGGTCAGAGGAAACATACTCCAGTCTTTGCAGCTCAGCTTAGTGGTGATGACCGCGAGAAGGCAGAGGGGAAATTAGAAAACGAGAAGGATAACAATCACGTGAATCCTCCCGAAACCATAGCTCGAGAGTCTGTGGATCCTATCGTTGGGGTGAAGAATTCTGATGAGGAGTCTGCTCCGGAGACCAATTATCAGGAAGACGTTGAAGCCAGTGTAGCCAAAAACTCAGCTGAAGCATCTTCTGAAAACCTGCCTGGTGATGGTTCTGACAAAGTGATTGACAAGCCTCTTGTGGAAGCATTTTCTCAAGCCGAAGCTCAGGATGATGCTGGTTTGGTCGCTACTGCTAAGAACGTTATTCAATCTGTCCCAGGTCCTTTGGGTCAGGACGACGTGGATACTGTTGTAGGCGAGAAGTCTGTGGAAGTACCTTCTCAAAGCCCCAAAACTCAAGATGATGTCAATACAGTGGTTGTTGATGAGAACTCTATCAAGGAACCTCCTAAAAGCCTTGCCCAAGAAGATGTGAATACAGTGATTGTTGACAAGGTCTCTATTGAAGCACCTTCTCAGGCGCTATCCGTGGAAGATGTCAATACGGATATTGTTGTCGACAAGAATCCTATTGAAGTGTCTTCTGAGGAGTATGTCCACGTGGTAGATGCGGATAACCAAGTAAAAGAAGCTCATCCTGAAAACCTTGTGGAAAGAGATCCAACTGCTGACCAACAGCCAGCAAGGCTTACCTCGGATTCTGCTCAAAACATCCATGCTAGTCCTTCTGAAAGCATGCCAATGGATGAGGATGTAGATGGTCGTATAAGGATACATGTACCCTCCAAATCGAAGCAACAGAAAGAGGAGATCAGGAAGAAGCTTGAAGATCAGCTTAACGTGGTAAGGGGTCTGGTAAAGAAGATAGAGGACAAAGAGGGTGAGATTGGTGCATATAGCGATTCTCGTGTCTTGGTTAACGCTGGTGTTAATAACGGAGGAGGAAGGATTCTCTCAGGGTTCGCCTCAGCTGGACTTCCTCGTGAGGTCATCAGAGCACCAAGGCCTTTAAATCAGCTTAGTATATCAGTGTTGGAGAATACTCAGGGAGTCAATGAGCATGTAGAGAAAGAGAAAAGAACACCCAAGGCGAATCAGTTTTATAGAACTTCTGAGTTTTTACTTGGTGACAAGTTGCCACCTGCAGAGAGTAACAAGAAATCAAAATCAAGTGCAAAGAAGCACGGAGGGGAGGCTGGGCATGGTTTTGGTGCAGGCTCTAAAGTTTACAAGAATTGCAGTGCTCTACTTGAAAGGCTGATGAAGCATAAGCATGGTTGGGTGTTCAATGCTCCTGTAGATGTGAAGGGTCTAGGTTTGCATGATTACTTCACCATTATCGAGCACCCAATGGATTTGGGAACTGTCAAGTCTGCGTTAACAAAGAATATGTACAAGTCACCGAGAGAATTTGCGGAGGATGTCAGACTTACTTTCCACAATGCCATGACGTACAACCCTGAAGGACAAGATGTCCATGTCATGGCGGCAGTGCTATTACAGATGTTTGAGGAGAGATGGGCAGTCATAGAGGCAGATTATAGTCGTGAAATGAGATTTGTTAGTGGTTATGAGATGAATCTTCCAAATCCTACAATGAGGTCTAGACTGGGTCCTACGATGCCGCCACCTCCCATTAATGTGAGGAATACGATTGACAGAGCAGATTGGGGTAGTCGCCATGCTGACTTGCAGCATCCTAAGCCGACTCCAACACCTGGCAGAACACCGACCAGTACAACACCTTCTGGAAGGGCACCTGCTCTGAAGAAGCCAAAGGCAAACGAACCAAATAAAAGAGATATGACGTATGAGGAGAAGCAGAAGCTTAGTGGCCACTTGCAGAATTTGCCTCCTGATAAACTGGATGCAATTGTGCAAATTGTTAACAAGAGGAACACTGCTGTGAAGCTACGGGATGAAGAAATTGAAGTCGATATTGATAGTGTTGATCCGGAGACCCTGTGGGAGTTGGACAGATTTGTAACCAACTACAAAAAGGGCTTGAGCAAGAAAAAGAGAAAAGCTGAGCTAGCTAACCAAGCTAGAGCGGAAGCCGAGAGGAATAACCAGCAACAGATGGTACTTGCACCTCTCCTGATAATTCTACTCCTCTTTTCATTTTCCTTTAAATTGTGTGCTCGTGTTCATTATTTTTGGTTTCCATTATTGCAGGCTCCAGCACCAGTGGCACGTGAGTTTTCTAGGGAGGGTGGCAACACAGGTAATTTTGCAGGGCCGTTCTTTGAATACTACTTTCCTCTTTCTCGTGTGAACTAGTTAGGGATTATAATTGTTGCTGTTATTTTGTGTCAGCTAAAAAGACACTCCCGACACCATTACATTCTCAACTGGAGAAGCAAAACAATGAGACGAGCAGATCAAGTAGTTCAAGCAGCTCTTCCAGTGGTTCCAGCTCTTCTAGTGGTACATGCTGCTTATCTCTGAGTTATCTAACTAATATATTTCATTGGCGCTTTTGTGATGTTTGTTACTAATTCCTTTGTGTTTGGTGTGCAGATTCGGACAGCGATAGCTCTTCGTCATCTGGATCAGATCGGACCTAGAGGGTTGGTGTTGACAAATATGTAAGGTCATCCAAAGATTCAACTCTATATATCATATCCACTGTTAATCTAGTAAGAAGCTTTTGTTGACTTGTCTGCTAAGTAGCACATGTGTTTATGGAATCGTTTTCAACGGTGTCTTCCTTTGTCTACATTTGCTCATTGTTGTGACATTTTGTATGTGATTGTCTTGTTCACATCTGGTCGATAATCCGAATAGTTTGTTCCTAATTCGTGCTTCCTTATGGATGGGGTAACATTTGTGTCTTGGGGTTTCTGATTATAGAAACGAAAGTCTGATGCTTTATGATGGTGGAACAGGGCACTTAAAAATCTGAAGGTAGAGTTAGAAGAGCATTTGGGAGGTGAAGGAGGATGAGGATGATGATGTGACGGTACAGGCTTGAGGGGAGAAATACTAGAGAGTGGTTTGGGTTTTATGGAAGGAAAGATTTGTATTATATTCATATCACTGTTAGAGTAAAAAGAAAAATCTATTCTTAATTTTTTGTTTTTTGACTTGGTAGGAATATGTCTGTCCACTTTAGATGTAACGGTAGGTTTGGTTTGGTTTCTCGGCACTTTGTATATCTCTGTCCCTCGCTCTCTCTCTCTCTCTGGTCTTTAGCGGTTTAGTTTGGGTTGATTCATGTTTTTAGTTAGGGCTTTTGAATCAGCAAAAATCCTCACAACAGATTCTGGATTCTTGGGGACTTGTAATGTAAGCTTGCGAGTTTGTGACCCTTTCCTTTTGGTAGCTTCATTCTTCTCTTTTTCCCTATCACTCGATTCGATAATAACAACAGCTTATGAGGACGAATCTGGCATTGGATTGTTAGGAAACTGTTGGCCAAAGAATTATCAAGTACAAGTTGGTTTTTACGTAAAACAAATTGAACATGGCTTCTGAATTTTGATTGGAATTTTTGTTTCTTCTATTAAACCGTAACAAAGATGACATTTTTTTGACGATTCGTATAAATCCTCCAAAAGCTAACGGTTTTAACTTCGTAATAAACAAAGGAAAGCATTATGTGTGTGGCTGCGGGAGTGATGAAGATCATCAAGTGAGAGTGGAGAAGAAGAAGAAGAATGATTAGAATGTTGAAGATCAATCTCTTTCCTTTTCCTATCAAGTCTCTCTCCCCTCGTTCTCTCACAATCTCTTCTTATTCTTCTTCAACGAAACAACAACACAAGCTTTGGTCTGGTCTTGAGGATTGGAGAAAGAGTCCTGTCAATGACCTCCGTCTCTGGGGACCTACAGGTCCTCTCCTTCCTTCTTCTGATTCCATCTCCGCCGGCTTCCACGGTCTGGTCTCGGCGGCGTCTTCTCTCGCCGATCTCGGAGCTCTCGTCCTCTCAACCTCCGACCCTCTCTCCAAATCTCACATCTCCCATTTAGCTTTCTCCCGTTGGCGCCGTGAGAATCTCCCTGTTGGCTCTATCTCTCACCTCCCTTCTTCTCCTGCTCGCCCTCCCAAACCACTCCTCGTCTGTTCCTCAAAGTTCCCTCCTTTTCCCTTTTTCTCTCAGTCTAATTTCACAGCCGAGTTTATCAGCCAATTTGCTGTTGTTTGTTTATGATAATGTATGCAGGTTCCGACCAACGAAGTTCCGAATCCGAAAGACTCAAAGCTTCCTCTCAATGCTCACATGCTTCATAACCTCGCTCATGTCGAGCTCAACGCAATTGATTTGGCTTGGGACACTGTTGCTCGCTTCTCCCCTTTCTTTGACGTTCTGGGTCACGACTTCTTCGATGACTTTGCTCATGTTGCTGATGATGAGAGTCGCCATTTCTTGTGGTGTTCCCAGAGACTCGCTGAGCTTGGTTTCAAGTCAGTCTCTGCTTAAAGTCTCAAACTTTGATTATTTCAAGACATTAAAGGTCTCATGTTATATAATCTTCATCTGCAAGGTATGGAGATATACCGGCTAATAATTTGCTGATGAGGGAATGCGAGAAATCATCCAACAATGTCGCTGCTCGCTTGGCTGTTATCCCTCTTGTACAGGTACTGGCCTCATTTCAGTAATCTACACTTACTTTCCCATGGAAGAAACCGATTTGTTTTAGCTGGATAATATCATAACCTTAATTCATACCAAATTTAGCTTTGCAGGAGGCTAGAGGACTTGATGCTGGACCTAGGCTGGTCAAAAGGCTGATGGGATTCGGAGATCACAGGACTTCAAAAATCGTGGCTAAGATTGCTGAGGAGGAAGTTGCACATGTAGCTGTTGGTGTAGACTGGTTTCTATCCGTGTGTCGAAAGATGAACCGTGCTCCTTGCTCTACTTTTAAAGGCATACACAAGTCATCTCTTCCATGCTTTTTGTCTCTTCCATTTTATACAAACTCATGAATATATTTTCAACCCCAAATGTGCTGTGCAGATCTGATCAAAGAGTATGGTGTTGAGTTAAGAGGCCCTTTTAACCACTCAGCTCGGGAGGTAGCTGGCATTCCGCGAGATTGGTATGGAAACTCATCCAAGTGACTGTCTCTATATCAACACCACTAGAGCACATTTCAGTGAAGTGTAACAGAGTAAATTGGCTTATTCCATGTACTTTTAGGTATGATCCATCAAATGGCTCGGAGGTGGATGAAGGTGGCAACAAACAGGGTGACAAGGAGCAGCTTTCTGCGGTATGTTTCTTCTTTTGTTTATGTCCTCCATCGTAGCTATGCTTATTGAGGAGGAGGCAAATTCTTGTTGAATATTTGATCTTATATGCAAGTTTTAGTGTCTGAACTTTGTTGCAATTCATCATGACAGGTTTACGATAGGCTCACTCACATAATCTCAATGGAGAGTGAGAATTCAAGTCTCGAAAAGCCAGCCAAATGAAGTGAAAGTAGAGATTAATGTTTTCTTCAGCTTAGAATTTTCCTCCCTCAGTGCGGCTTCTGTTTCTGGTGATTTCTCTGATTGCTGTTAGCATGCTTATGTATTCGTAGCTTGCGCGTGACTACAACTGTGTAGATTTGCATTAAATTTAATCCAGGCAACCAATTTATGTTATGGTCTTGCTCACATCCAAGATACCTTGTAACTGTGTTTCAGAGAATTCAGTTTGTTCTTCGTCTAATTACACAAATAACACACTTGGTCATTTTTCTGCTTGCTTGTCTTGTTGATCTTGGATTGCATTTCTATAGACCGACTGAGATTTGGCCCTTAGATTTTTGTTCTTCTAAATGATTTGTTTTGTGTACAAACATATTGAGCAGAGCGTTATACAAGTTTTTGTACTGAACTTGTAGAGTCTTGATCAACATCTTCATCATCATGATGATCTGTCCTGTGGACATCCAGCTTCCAAGTCCCATCATCCATTTGAACCATCCCTTTGTTTGCAAGACACCTCCAGACAGTTGGCACTAAGTACTCATCTTTCAGAGCATCCAATCCTTTATTGACCAATGAAACATCCCGACCAATCTCCAGCTTGAACAGACCGGCTTTGTCTTGCATCCCTGCCATGCCGTGCAGGTATATCTCCAGGTTATGGTAGTTCCTAAAGTTTAGAGACCGTTTGAGGTACGTTGAGTTCAATGTATTGATCTGGAGCACCTCGCCTACTTCATCATACAGTAAGAGTGGATAATGTGGTGCCACATCCGGAACATTTACTATTCTCAGGATGTTTAGTGGTTTGAGTGACTCGACAAGTTTTCTGAAGTCTTGGTCCCCAATTCGAGGACACCCGAAAGCAAAAACTGTGATAGGAACTTGGTTTTTCTGAAGATCTGTACTCATCTTGCTTTTTCCGGTGTGGACAAGATCTGCAGCTGCTAGAGTTGACATCACTCCGCCCAAGCTATGGCCTGTGAAAGTGATGCTTACTTCTTCGTTCTTGTAAACTTCTAGCAACCTCTTGAGCTCTGCTTGTACCTAAAACCAAGACCAAGTCACAATCAATACCTTTTGGAGAAAGAATGAGAAATGGAAGTAAGATCTTTGACCTGAAGAGAAAGGTGAAGAAGACAGACCTGGTCTCTTGCGCTAGTTGTGTCATAAGGCGAGTTAGAATCAGAAGCGGTGTAGACATCGAGCCAGCCACTTCCAATACGAGGCACGTCTTTGGAGTCGGATGCAGGGAAAACAGAGACAGCTGACTCAAGCGGGAAATCGAAATCGTTAGCCCATTCATATGGCTGAAGAGTTCCTCTCCAAGCTACAACAATGTCTCTCCTCCCTAACATCTTCTTTCCCTCGTCTGTGGCAACCGCGATGTAACCCATCCAGTTAGTCTGCACGCGTGATGCGTCCTTTGACAAAGACTTGACGATGAAACAGAGTGGTAGCTTTATAGAAGCTGTTGCATAGATGTACTTTGTCACATCGTACCTGAGTATCAAGAATCAAGAATCAATCATACAAAGATGAAAGAAACATTTTGGATTCATTATGGCAAGTACCTGAAAGGGTTGGCTTTATTGAAGCCAGTTTTAATAAAGATTTGTCTCTTGGAGTAATAACAATCACCGGCGTATCTGGACTTGCGGTCCCAGTTGAAGGCGTCGTAACCAACCTGAGCCATCTCGCCGTAGTGAATGATGTAGCGACGAAGATCAGGGTCAAGTGGATCAAGAAGGCCTTGCCATGTGTTTTGGCCACTTAGCACCTTCCATCTCTTTGCTATCCCCTCCAACATGTCTGCCATTCTTTTTTTCACAAACCTTTTCCTTCTTCTTCTTGCTTTCTGGATCGTAACATTGCTTCTTGTGTGAAGGGATTGGATAATGCGTGAAGGAATTTGGTCCTTAATGGATGTCCCTTCACATAAATATTGCTGAGTTAAGTTTTTGGTAAGTGTACGCATGTTACAATTTTGTAAGATCAAAAGACTTAACAACTTTCAAGGTATAAATTCGATGGTGATGACGGTTTATCAACGTTTAAAACATGCATGTATTGTTAGTTACATATTAATTCAACTAATTAAGGGTAATCCCATCATGTCTTCTAATCTGATTCGGTTTAACCAAACCGGGAAACACCTTTCCACAAACCGAAGCAGGGCCTAATGCCATGTTGTCCCATGTTCTCTAGTCTCTACCCTGCCTCATGCTTGAAGATGTGTACCATGCATGTCTGTCTCATCAATGGTTTGGAACCTGAAACTGCATTTCTCAAGATAACTGTGACGATTCACCATACGCTTTGCCATAACAAATTTCTCAATATCTGAATCCTGCCTCAAGACCATCATCTTCCTGAAGAGGCTTCGGGAAGGAAGGCTTGAGCAGAGTTTCTGAGTGTCATGAGCTTGAAGTATCATAAACCATATGCAATAAAAGAAAACCAAGTGTTAACAAACTAGAAACATCATGGTAAGAATTACAAGTGCTAGAACAAGTATTAAGTACCTGGACGAAAGTTTCTTCTACCTTCAAGCACATGGTGGTCTCAAACTTCTGCGTCGCATGTTTCTCCATAGCTAAAGAAACTGAATCCTCCTGAGACGAAAATTTGTATTGTATCCAGACATATGACAAAGAATGTTTACGACAGAAGGAATAACAATCTTCAGAGAAACCAAATCAGCACCAGCGCTACAATGAGCATGCTTCCTGTAAAATGTCAAAAACAGACCCATACAGGCATACATTTCTTCATATTTGGCCATTTGAGAAAGAAAAAAAAAGAAGATATTTCTGTGCTTGTGCTTTTCTTTTAGCTAAGCTACTAGATCTCTCATGATTCCAGTATAGAAACTCAGTCCATAAGATTAAAAGAAAAGGTTCATTATATTTCAAAAAAAACACAATGCAACATTGTACCGTAACTAGAATAAGAGAAACCAAATTCTACCACTAACTCTTAAACCTACGCATCTCTGCATACTCTAAGGATGAGACAGAAGGAAACTTGTTCCATTGGAACTGAAACAAAACGCAAAACCTGTGACAAAGAAAGCAGCCAGAGGACTAAAGCTTATATACCAGAAACCAAACTCATTTCCCAAACTCCAACTTCAAATAAACAAAAATGCTGAATGTACTTAGAAAATCTAACCTGACCCTTGTCGTTTTGATTAGCTTTGTCTTGATAGCTTCAAGGCTGTGTTCCGTCAATTCCTCTGTGTACGACCCACGCAATACCCTGAAGAGGAGGTTCGAGAAGTGGCTTCAAACCCACGGAATATTATACGGAGGAAAGGATGAGTGGCTGCTAAGGTTTGGGATATACCAGTCTAATGTCCAGTTGATTGACTACATCAACTCCCTCAACTTGTCCTTTAAGTTAGCGGATAACAGATTTGCGGACATGACCAATTCTGAGTTCAAGGCCCACTTTCTCGGTTTGAACACGTCTTCCTTGAGGTTGCACAAGGACGATAAGCCGGCTTGTGAAACAGCAGGCAATGTGTCGGAGGCAGTGGACTGGAGGCAACAAGGTGCTGTGACTCCTATTAGAAATCAAGGCAGATGCGGTATGAAATTATGCTCTTACGCAATTCCATTCTAACCATAAGACTTTGCAAACATACTGATGAAAATCTTGATTGCTTTTGCTTTTTCTCGTGCAGGAGGTTGCTGGGCGTTTGCTGCAGTGGCAGCTATTGAAGGCATCAACAAGATCAAAACAGGGAATTTGGTATCTCTCTCAGAACAACAACTCATAGATTGTGATGTCGGCACTTACAACAAAGGCTGTAGCGGCGGATTGATGGAAACAGCATATGAATTCATCAAAACCAACGGTGGGCTCACCACCGAGACCGACTACCCATACACAGCCGCAGAGGGTACATGCGACCAAGACAAAGCCAAAAACAAGGTAGTCACGATACAAGGACACACAAAAGTAGCTCAGAACGAGGCGAGCCTACAAGCCGCTACTGCTCAACAACCAGTATCAGTTGGAATCGACGCTGGTGGGTTTATCTTCCAGCTCTACTCCTCTGGTGTTTTCACAGGCTACTGTGGATCAAACCTCAACCATGGAGTGACTGTCGTTGGATATGGAGAAGATGGCGGTCAAAAGTATTGGATCGTAAAGAATTCATGGGGAACTGGTTGGGGTGAAGAAGGCTACGTACGGATGGAACGTGGTTATAGTGAAGACACAGGTAAATGTGGTATTGCTATGCTCGCAAGCTATCCCCTGCAGTGAGTCCACCAATCTCCAGAAGCTTTAGAGCCTTTTCCTTTATGTTAATGTGCCAATTCTCTCTGTATGACAATCTGCAATAGCGCAGCTACAATAATCACGGTTGTGAAATAAAGTACTTGAGATCATTGAGAACCAGGATTCCAAAGAAAAGATATTCCCAAAATCTGTATAAATCAAAATCTGTTTAACAAGAAACAACAAGATCTTCCCAAGTTGCGGGTATGAATTTCATTCCAGTATCGTAACAGAAGCTATTCTTACAAAATTTTAACACCAAGCCGATGTCTACAAGAAATGCCTAAGATCTCAGTTCCGAAAGCCTTTGCCTAACAGTACAAGCAAGCTTCCATTCCCCAATGCTAATCAGACGCTCGACCACTTTTTGCCTAACCTTGATATATGGTATGAACCCTCTATCAGTCATCCTCATCACCATCTTCCCTGCCAAAATGTATTCCCTAACCTCAAGGCAACCTTCAACCAATACCTCATAGCTCTCAAACTCCACAGGGTAATCTTGACTCTCTACAAACTCGATCATCTCAATGGCTTTCCGAATTTCCCTGTTGGCTCTCAACGCCGCTGCTACTTTTGTCAGCATCCCTTTCCGTGGAGAGATTCCAGCTTTGCTCACCATCTCTTTCACAATCTTCACGACATCACTCGTCTTTCTAGCCAAACACATTGAATTAATCACCGCCCCGTAGCTTTCCACATCAGGAACACAACCAGCTGCACCCATCTCCTCCACAACCTTAACGGCCTCATCCAACTTGTCAACAGCACAAAGAGAGGACACTAAGTAATTGCAGGTTCCAGTATCAGGACTATATCCAATCAGTTTCATCTCATTAAGAATATCTGCAACAGACTGAGATCCTCCTCGTCGCCGTTCAAGCCAAGCATTAGACAGAAGGAGGTGAGTCTGAGGATTAGGAAGACAGCCAGAACGAAGCGTGCGTTGGAGGATAGCGAAAGAAACGGGAAGTGGATCAGAGCTCTGGAGGCAGTAAGTAAGAAGGCTGGAGTAGACAATCTTGGGCAGTGAACGAGGTCTCACTGGCACAAAACTCTGGAGGATTTCGTCAATGACTCGGATTCTGTGATGATGTTGGAAGGCAGAGAGAAAAGAGAAGAGCTTTGAGTTTTGGTAGGGCTCTTTGAGTGAAACGACAAGTTCAGGGATTTGAAGATACTCCTTTGTTTCAACAGCACCTTTTATAGCCTTTTCAACCGCTTCAAAGGAGGAGACTGACCGGAAAAACGGAACGCAGGTATCAAAGGACCGAGAATAAGCCAAAGGTTTTCGCAAATGTGTCAAGCGAATCGCCATTTCCTATTCCCGGAGACCTGACCCACTATCAAATCATTAACCTGACATCTGTAAAAAGCCTCCCCTCCTATTTGTAAACCTGGAAAGTACACATAGAATCATTCCAACAATCAATTCGAAGCTCTCAAGTAACGAATTGGGCTAGAAGGTCGATGATGGTGATCGAAAGACTACTAATGTTTAATTTAAACCTTAAAGGATCCTTTTTTATAGGCAAAAATATATGTTCTGCAAATCGGGAGCTTGGGGAAATTATGCAAGAGCTCAGATTCCACAGAAATGCATACCTGAATGTGTTACGAGCTAAACCCAGGAAGAATTATCAAGGAACGAGATTTTTCCTTCACAGGGGAATATCATCGAACAACTGGTCAGCAAAACAATGGGTTTCGGAAGATCAAACCAAACTCAGCAACAAATAACAGATGGTCAATCATACACACCCATGAGCTTCGATTGAATAAGTCCTTCACTGATTTATTGACATGTAGCAGAATGATGTGGAAGGAAGAAATCTCTTGAGAGCGTTTTGACTATCAGCTTCTGTTGCGGTTTTTTACGTGTTTTTAAACAATAACCGGAAATATACAATAGGATTGATTACCTTTAACCGGAAACTGGTTCGGTTCAACCACGAAGTTTCAGATTTTTTACCTACAAATCAAACAAACAACTAGCTCTAAAAAAATAAAAGAAAACAAACTTTCGGTCTGATTTTACTCTCAGACAAGACATCAGTTAACTTTAAACATTCACTCGGTACATGAGATCAAAAGCACTTGTGTAATCTTTATTGCCAATTCCAAGACTTATAGCAAATACACATACTCATGAGATGAAAAACCGAGGATTTTACCACTGCAAGATGACCGTACAATATGAGTTAATTACGGTACAAGTTTTTACTCGAAGACACTATAAAATACACCACGATTTGCATTAAAAAGAAGAAAAAGGCTCAAGAACAATCAAGCCATAAGCAAACTACTAACACGTTTCGTATAGCGATAGGAAATATTATAATTACTTAAAGTGGGAGATAATGTTGCTGTTTAAACCCATTAATCACTGCATAACATTGTTGCCTTTGATCTTGCTTAAAGTTTTCCCAACCACCTTGCAAATTCCTCGACGTATATCCACCATTAATAGTCTCCCGATTCACACCAACACCATTGTTATTAACAGTGAACCCTCCGGATCCACTCGAATTTATCGCTAATCCGTTTTTGTTGTTATTGTTGAACACGCGTTGATTATTGTCCCAACCAATGAGAGGTTGATTATGGACCACGCTTTTGTACAGCTTGAGCTCTTCGCAGATCCTCCTATACTCTCCATAGGAGCCAAGGACCGGATCTTTCTGTCTCCATAGAGCTTCCCATGTCAAAGAATCAGACAGCTTTGTACGGTCTTCTTCACGCACTGTCCGGACCATTTTCTGTACGTTACTAACACCAAAGACTTTGTGAACGGCCTGAAACTCCTTGGTTTTGCGAGCCGGGAAATAAGGCGATAAGATGCATTCGTTGTTGCATTTTTTTCTTTGGTGTTTGCATGAAGCACAAGCTTGATGTGCCGATGAGTTATTGGATATGGTGTTGTTGTTGTTGTTGGTGGTGGTGGTGTTAGAGGTCCTTTGCATCATGTCATGTCCCTATAGTAGTCGAAAAACTTGAAATTATCAAACACATGTAGTTACATAAATCCTAGCTAGTGATCGATCAGACGACTAAGACATTTAAACGAGTATGTTATATTTATCGATTAAAAATGTAACAATAAACTATGGAGTAAATTATTAAATAAAAGCCAAAATTATATGCAACATGATGGGTGTAAGAAATTCTCTTAATTAAAACAAAAATATATTATACTCCAAAATCTTAAAAGAAACAATGGAGTCAGGATATAAAGATTAAATTAGCGAAACCTATTCTAACCACAAACATGTGCGTGTATGAAAATGCAATATTATGGTCTTTTAACCATGCTTCACATAAGAGATATCACTGTACTAAACATTTGGAGTATAACACCGATTTCATATTTATTGCTATAGATTTATGGGAATCACATGATGTGATTCACATCTAAGTGTGTGTGTATGCATGGATCTGGTATATTATTTGAAACATGATAAAATATTTAAAATCTCCACACACCGTACATAATCACAATTCACGACGTTAAGATAAACAAATATCTCTCAGAAGAACAAGAGTAATTTGAACATAATTTGGAGAAGGGTCAAACAAACCTCTTGCCTCTTTTTTTTCCCTTCATTTGTTGGTTAATAGCAATTGGAGCCGTGGGTTTATATTAATAATAATGGATATTAATGGTGCACAAAGAGTCTAATGAACATGAAAAGATTGTTTGGTTAATGAAAGATAAAGGTGTTTGGATGAAGGGTCGATTATGAGTTTTTAGGTTGCTCATGACAAAGGACAATAACAACCAGGAAATCAATAAAGAAAACGATTTTTTTGCATTTAAAAAACAAATGATAATGGGGAAACACATAATTTTATTAAGTTTTATTGTTTTAGCATTTTGGATGAAAATATGCAGAAAGAAAGGATAAAAAGAATAATAATATGGTAGAAACCAAACACATGATAATAGATACATATCATCTTCTTATGGATAAGCTTGGGACGATGTTTTGTAGAGGTAGCCTTGTTTACGTGATTATAGATAGATATTCGGTTTGCATAATCTATTTTTGTTGTGAATATAATAAGTAACGTATATTAACAATCGAATGGATGTGTCGAACTTATGGCCACTAAATAATACGTGGAAAATAAGTTTACAGAGAAAGACAATTCTTCTTCTTTGATTATCCTTTTTAAGTGATCTCACCAATTTCAGTTCGATATCTCATTTTTAGACAGGCGTGACAAGATAATCAAAGGAGAAAACAAAATCACTCAACTTTCTTATATCGACGATGATGGTGGGGACAAATAAGTAAGGTGGATGAATGGCTAATCCAACGGCTGAGATTGGACCAGAGAGATCCAATCTCAAAGTCAAATGATAATGAGTTAATGACAATAAACCTTATCACAAATTAAATCCGTTCGTAGTTCCCTAGGAGAAACTAATTCATGGTTAACATATAAAATTCGTTAACTATAGCATTGACGCATCTTCTTCATCTTCCTCTAGACAACAAACACCGTCTATTTATTCTCTGCAGAAAAAAGTCTTCAAAAGGAAAATTGAAACTGGTGATCAGAAACAAACCGTACCCTCGAAATGTCGGAAAATCGAGCTCTCCAGCGAGCCCATGTGCTCGCGAATCACCTCCTCCAGTCACCTCCTCTACCGTCGAACCTCTCCCTCAGTCGCGAGGTATGTTTGCAATACTCTCCGCCGGAGCTCAACGAGAGCTACGGATTCGATGTGAAGGAGATGAGGAGATTGCTCGACGGACACAACGTGGAGGATCGGGATTGGATTTACGGGCTCATGATGCAGAGCAATCTGTTCAACCGGAAGGAGAGAGGAGGAAAGCTTTTCGTGTCGCCGGATTACAATCAGCCGATGGAGCAACAGCGGGAGATCACAATGAAGCGGATCTGGTACTTGCTCGAGAAAGGAGTCTTCCAAGGATGGTTGACGGAGGCAGGTCCCGAAGCCGAGCTCAGGAAATTAGCTCTGCTCGAGGTTTGCGGCATTTATGATCACTCCATCTCCATCAAAGTTGGTGTTCACTTCTTCTTGTGGTATGTTCAACAAATTATATATTTCTTGTTCAAAAATTATATATTTGGTAGATGATATAACTATGGAAAAGAAATGCTGTGATGTGTCTCTGGGGATCTATATGTAAGATATTTAGCAAGGGAACAGTGTGAATTAGCCTCGTAGTTACAAGTGTTTGTTTTTTGTGTGCTACTCTCAGGGGAAATGCTGTGAAGTTCTTTGGAACAAAGCGTCACCACGAAAAGTGGCTGAAGAACACGGAAGACTATGTTGTCAAGGGCTGTTTCGCAATGACTGAGCTAGGCCATGGAAGTAATGTATGGATTTTATTTCATTTGCCTTTTTTCTCATATGTAGACTATGTGTCTTGATTGATTCTCCACACCTATATTGATTTCTTCTGATATAGGTACGAGGAATTGAAACAGTGACTACTTATGACTCAAGAACTGAGGAGTTTGTGATAAATACTCCTTGTGAATCTGCTCAGAAGTATTGGATTGGTGGGGCTGCTAACGTAAGTAATCATTATACCAAAATCTTCTTTTCTGTTTTAGTTGATGTCATTTAGTTTCTCCCCCATGATTCATCATATACTAACTTTTGTATAAACTTTTGGTTGTTCAGCATGCAACCCACACGATTGTGTTTTCACAGCTTATAATAGACGAAACCAACCAGGGGGTTCATGCCTTCATCGCGCAAATCAGGGATCAAGATGGTAACATATGTCCAAACATCCGCATTGCTGACTGTGGACACAAGATTGGTTTAAATGGTGTTGACAATGGCCGAATATGGTATTGCATACAACTCCACATTGCTATGTAATATCATTACCTTTATACTAAGGGTGTGTAATTCATGGACGATTCCACAATGACTATAGGTTTGACAATCTTCGTATTCCAAGAGAGAACTTGTTGAACTCAGTTGCTGATGTTTCGTCCGACGGGAAGTATGTTAGCGCAATTAAAGATCCTGATCAGGTAAATGCTACACCTTGGAACCAATTTTTGGATAAAAAACTTGTATGCTTGTCAGGTCCAAGTGTCAATGTTTCCGATTTTTTATTTCAGAGATTTGGAGCATTCATGGCCCCTTTGACCTCTGGCCGAGTCACAATTGCATCAAGTGCAATTTATTCTGCAAAGGTACAGATTTCAGTAGTTATTTGATCTCTCATATAAGTAACTGTTTTGTGAGATATGAACCTGACAGTTTCAGGAATAAACGTAATTGATTAAGATTTTGACTGTGGCAGGTCGGATTAGCTATTGCTCTAAGGTACTCACTGTCGAGAAGAGCATTCTCTCTTACAGCAAATGGTCCTGAAGTCCTCCTTCTTGATTACCCAAGCCATCAAAGGCGACTGCTACCACTCCTAGCAAAGACGTAAGGATCTTTATGAATTATAACATAGATAAGCTAGTTTTGCTGTTTTTTTTTGTCTCTTCTGTCAAATTTGGGACTAAAGCTCAAATCTACACTTACTGTAACTTCTGTGATCAAGTTGTTAGTTGTGAGCTTTTTGTCTCTTATTCTGTCAAATTTGGGGCTAGCTCAAATCTACACTTACTGTAACTTCTGTGATCAAGTTGTTAGTTGTGAGCTTTTAATTTCCATTTATATCCATCAATTTGTTGAAGTGAGTTATCAAAAGTAGTTAGAAGCATTTCATGGGTGGTATGTTGGGGATTTCGCCAACTTTGTTAAAATGGATTGTCTTCTTTAACTGTTCTCTCATGTAATCCTAGATATGCTATGAGCTTTGCTGCAAATGACTTGAAGATGATATACGTGAAGAGGACACCTGAGACCAACAAAGCCATCCATGTTGTTTCAAGTGGATTCAAAGCTGTTCTCACCTGGCACAATATGCGAACGCTTCAGGTTACAACTAACACTTTTACGCTTTTTATTGTGAGAAATCTCTGAGCCGTACTGATGTTATCCTTTTTCTTGGTTCTTTTTTTAAGGAATGTCGTGAAGCTGTTGGAGGGCAAGGTGTGAAAACAGAAAATCTGGTTGGTCAGTTGAAAGGTGAATTTGATGTGCAGACTACGTTTGAGGGTGACAATAATGTATTGATGCAGCAGGTAGGCTAAGGAACTGGATTCTGAACAAAATCAATGCTTGTAACTTATTTGTTTTGACAATAGAACGACGTGACTTATCCATTCTTATGTGGAATTTAGGTGAGCAAGGCACTTTTTGCTGAATATGTATCGTGTAAGAAGAGAAACAAACCTTTCAAAGGATTGGGATTGGAGCACATGAACAGTTCTCGTCCTGTATTGCCAACTCAACTCACATCTTCTACCCTCAGATGCAGCCAGTTCCAGGTCATATATATTTTCCCTTGTATCATTTGTATTTAGATGAATTCAACTTTTTTCTAAACATCTTCTTGTATTTTGTCCCCTGCCAGACAAATGTGTTCTGCCTAAGAGAGCGAGATCTTCTGGAACGATTTACTTCTGAAGTTGCACAGCTTCAAGGGAGAGGAGAAAGTCGAGAGCTCTCTTTCCTCCTGGTAACCATTTTTCTCTCACATATAAATTTGATTACTCTTTTTCCATTTACCAACCTTGAGGATTCAGTAATTGTCTATTGCACTCATTTTCATATGTGATTGCAGAGTCATCAACTTGCTGAAGACTTAGGTAAAGCTTTCACAGAGAAAGCAATACTGCAAACTATTCTGGATGCTGAAGCCAAGCTACCTTCTGGCTCAGTGAAGGTATGTAAACATGATTAAGTTTTTCTCGACAGTTTTGAATCTAAACTAACCTGACGAGCTCTGTGTAATTATAAACAGGATGTGTTGGGTCTTGTAAGATCAATGTACGCATTGATCTGCTTGGAAGAAGACCCATCGTTGCTTAGATATGGTTACCTCTCAAGGGACAACGTCGGAGATGTGAGGAGAGAAGTGTCTAAGCTCTGTGGAGAGCTTAGACCACACGCTCTTGCACTTGTCACTTCATTTGGGATTCCAGACTCCTTCTTGGCTCCGATTGCATTCAACTGGGTCGAAGCCAACGCTTGGTCATCCGTTTAATACATCTCTTTAAAAGTTACGTTTCCAAGATATCTATTGGAGCTGTTGTATGCTCATGGTAATAATACGGGGTATGTAGTAATATGTATCCACAGGGTCCAAACAAAGGTTTGGTGGGAACTGAAATAACGTTTTTTTAATTTCTTAAACGCATATAATCTTGAGTAATTTGTAATTTTGTTACAAAAAGTCGAATAAATTTATCTCAGCAGCGATGTTTCGGCACAAACAGATAATTTCCTTGGACTCATCGTGAAAGGAATCATTTAGAAGTCAACAACAGCAAAAACAATATTCAAAAAATATTCTCTCCCTCCCTATTTCTCACTGAAAGTAACAATGAAATTGTTGATTTGCGAAAGTGAAATCCCTAGAAATGTCGGAAAACCGCTCACTCCGGCGAGTCCACGTTCTCACGAGTCACATACTCCGGTCACCTCCTCCGCCACCGAACGTCTCTCTCACGCGCGATGTATGCTTGCAGTACTCTCCTCCGGAGCTCAACGAGAGCTACGGATTCGAAGTCAAAGAAATGAGGAAACTGCTCGACGGGCACAACTTGGAGGACCGAGACTGGCTTTACGGGCTCATGATGCAGAGCAATCTGTTCAGTCGGAAGGAGAGAGGAGGGAAGATTTTCGTGTCGCCGGATTACAATCAGACGATGGAGCAACAGCGCGAGATCAGTATGCGGCGGATCTACTACTTGCTCGAGAAAGGGGTCTTCCATGGATGGTTAACGGAGTCAGGTCCTGAGGCTGAGCTCAAGAAGTTTGCTCTCTACGAAGTTTGCGCCATTTATGATCATTCCATCAACTCCAAAATCGGTGTTCACTTTTTGCTGTGGTATGTTCCAAAAATTACAACTTTATATTCACAAATTTCCCTAATTCACATCAATAATTTTTTCTCGTGTCCTAATTTGGCATTGAAAAGTATTGAATAAGCATTTGGGAAATTCATATGGCATGATTAAGTTCAGGGGCAATGCTATAAAGTTATTTGGGACTAAGCGCCACCATGAAAAGTGGCTGAAAGACACTGAAGAGTATCTTGTCAAGGGCTGCTTTGCAATGACTGAGTTGGGCCATGGAAGTAATGTAGGAAATATTTCAGTGTCATTTTACAACCTCTGCAAAGTCATAGATATGTATTGGTGATTTACCATAACTATATTGATGTTAATGCTTTCAGGTGAGGGGAATTGAGACAGTGACTACTTATGACTCAAGTACTGAGGAGTTTGTGATAAATACTCCTTGTGAATCTGCTCAGAAGTATTGGATTGGTGAGGCAGCTCTTGTAAGTAATCAACATGCTTAAATCTGTTTTCCTCTCACTAGTCATCTGCTGCCATATACTGACTTTGCAAATGTGCTTTTGGTTGTTCAGAATGCAACCCATGCAATTGTGATTTCGCAGCTTAATGTAAACGGAACCAGCCAGGGGATTCATGTCTTTATCGCCCAAATCAGGGATCAAGATGGCAACATATGTCCAAACGTCCGCATTGCCGACTGTGGACACAAGATTGGTCTAAATGGCGTTGACAATGGCCGAATATGGTATTGCACACAACCCCAAAAGTTATGTAACTTTTACGTTTTTACTAAGGTGTGTAGCTAATGGAAGATTGCACTATGACCTATAGGTTTGACAATCTTCGAATTCCAAGAGAGAATTTATTGAACTCTGTTGCTGATGTTTCATCTGATGGGCAGTATGTGAGCTCAATTAAAGATCCTGATCAGGTATATGCTACACCTTTGAGCCAAATTTAGGAAAAAAACTTTATTATGCATTTATGTGCAGTGACAATGTTTCCAAATATATTTCAGAGATTTGGAGCATTCTTGGCTCCTTTGACCTCTGGCCGTGTCACTATTGCGTCAATAGCAATTTATTCTGCAAAGGTACAACTTTTTATTCGTTTCATTTTCATGTTTTTAATAAAATTTTGTGAGATATCATCAACCTGACTGTTTCAAGTCATTGATTATGATTTTTACTATCGCAGGTTGGTTTAGCTATTGCTATAAGGTACTCACTATCGAGAAGAGCCTTCACTGTTGCAGCCAATGGTCCTGAAGTCCTCCTCCTTGACTACCCAAGCCATCAGAGGCGATTGCTACCGCTCCTAGCAAAGACGTAAGAATCTTTATGACCATTATGCTTTCCCTCTTTGTTTCTAAATCTTACCACTAAATTAATAACACTCAGAAGCTTGAATATATCATCAACTCTGTCTAAGACCACCAACTTTTTTCAGCTAAAAAATTGTCATCGTTTAGTTGAGACTTGAGAATAACATGAATACACTTAGCACCATTGTGTTTTTCCCATGTATCCTAGATATGCTATGAGCTTTGCTATAAATGACATGAAGATGAAATACGTGAAGAGGACACCTGAGACCACCAAAGCCATCCATGTTGTTTCAAGTGGGTTCAAAGCTGTTCTCACCTGGCACAATATGCGAACACTTCAGGTTAAAAGTTAAAACCAACACATTATACACATTTTTAATGTGAGAGAGCTCCTATGAGCCATACTGAGGTTATTTTTTTTCCTGAATCTTTTTAAGGAATGTCGTGAAGCTGTTGGAGGGCAAGGTGTGAAAACAGAAAATGTGGTTGGTCATTTGAAAGGCGAATTTGATGTACAGACTACAAAACTCATATATATTTTCCCTCATCATTTCTTTTGATGAATTCAATTTTTTGCTAAAATTCTCTCGTATTTTGTCCTCGGCAGACAAATGTGTTCTCCTTAAGAGAGCGAGATCTACTAGAACGGTTTACTTCTGAAGTTTCACAGCTTCAAGATAGAGGAGAAAGCAAAGAGTTATCCTTCCTCTTGGTTAGCATTTTTCTCTCACATGTTAGTAACATTTGGTTTCGTTTTCATCTCTGAGAGTTTGGGAAACCTTTGTGCTTGCAGAACCATCAGCTTTCTGAAGAACTAAGTAAAGCTTTCACAGAAAAAGCAATAATGCAGACCTTTTTGGATGCTGAGGCCAAACAACCTGCTGGCTCCATTAAGGTAAAATATTATCACTAAGCACAAGATTTTATCTGCTTTTAGTCATGCATTCTTCTTTACAGGGTTGGTTTGTAAACTATAGAATGAAGATTACAATTTACAAGAGGGACTGGACTAAACTTAGACTAATAACCTCCATGTAATCTGATGACAGGATGTGCTGGGTCTTGTAAGATCAATGTACGCATTGGTCAGCTTGGAGGAAGATCCGTCGATGCTGAGATATGGCTACCTCTCAAGGGAAAACGTTGGAGATGTGAGGAGAGAAGTCTCTAAGCTATGTGGAGAGCTTAGACCACACGCTCTTGCACTCGTCACTTCATTTGGGATTCCAGACGCCTTCTTGGGTCCGATTGCCTTCAACTGGGTCGAAGCCAACGCTTGGTCTTCTGTTTAATGAGTTACTAGTTATAAATCTCTTCCACAATTCCAACATTTCTATTCAAGATTGAAGATGTCGTATTGCATGTTCTACTTATAGTAAAAGAAAAGTGTAACACTAATGATTTAATCTCAACTTTGAGTCTTTGACAGTTCGCAAACACAGATTTGGAGACGATAATTGTTTTCTCGTTTTACAGAGGGGGGCGGGGGTATTTCCGTCTTTTCGAATTAATAACCGAACTCTCGCTATCACTCGCTGCTGAATTTGAAACTTGACTGTACTAGCTTCTCTATATATTTCGCCGCCTCCTCTCCCAACAAACACAGATAGCTTGGAAAAAAAGAGAAACGAAGAAAAATGACGAGATTGAAGCTGGGAGGAGAGAAGAAGATATCTCTGGAAGAATACGTTGATTTCTTCGTCTCTGACAAGTCCATCGACTTCACCATCTCCTACCTCAATCAGGTTTCTCAAAACGATTTCCCTCCCTGATCTCCATCTGATTCTCCTCCTCAGTGTTTCTAATCCTCGACTCGTGCTTTTCGATTTCTCTCCAGATCATTCATATGCACGGTTTCCGAAAGCTCCACAAAACCAACAAGGTAACATACAATACAACCACCGATCATCTCTTAAATCCCTGCTTTGAATCGCTAGAAATTGAGAACCAGATTTCCGAAATTCCATCTTCTTTCTTCTTGAATTTTTGTTTGAATCGATTTTGAAGCTTGAATCCGATTTCTCCACAACGATTCCGTTAATTGGATTCTCATATTGTTTTTCTGCTGCTACATCCATTCGGGATTTTATCAGAGAATTGTAGGCGAAGCTGTGTACGCACTTGATCTACTAGATCTCTCTCGCTCGACTCTGAAACAAATCGCAGTCTCGCCATCGGCTTCCCCAACTCTCGACGAAGTGATAACCGACATCGAAACTCTCAAATGGCAGGAATGCTGTCTCACCTCCCTCGAGATCATCAATTCCGGCGAACTTGCTCCAGCAGTGGCGAAACCGAAACGGAAATCGAGCAAGAGGAAGAAGACGACTAAGAAGAAATCGCAGAAATTGGGTGACGCCAATTGCGTCGGCGATGAGAACGAGACCTTAATGTTGATGGCCCTAAAGAGGAAGAAGAAGAAGAGCATCCGATCTGTGAATGAAGCAGCAGCGGCAGCGAAATCCACCTGCATCGTCACCACTCCTTGAACAATTTCCCAGTAAGGTTTGCTATTCCACTTTCTCACCTTTCAAACTGTTTTTTTTTTCTTTTTCTTGTGAGCTTTCTCTAGAGACTTTCAGGAGTTGCTTTACTATACAAATATGTGCTCCATGATAGATTGAATTCGTGAATGATCCTTTGAATATTATATTATATTACATTTACATAAATATATACGAGACATATGAGTAACACAACATATTGCTCAATATGCTAACCAGACTACTTGACAGTAGATTTACTTAATCATTGAGCTCTCAAAATAACATTGCATTAAGGGAACATTACAAACAAAAACATAGTTTATGGGTTATGATTAAAATAGATAATTAAGCTCATTCGTATGAAAAGTAAAGGAAAACTAGAATTATAAATTACATAATAGAACAAGCATTAAGATTTTTGTTTATTTTTTTTTAAAGAATTGTTTTTGGCACTGTTCAATAGATATGATGACAATTTGTGTGTCTCAAAGAGGAAGTCAAATGAATCAAAAGTTACATAACCATTAAAGTGAGGTAGACAGATAGTAAGGGGGTGATGATTGATTTAGCTATTAAAAATATTAATTTGAACCATAAACAATTATTTGGCTGTTAACAAATAAATAAATCAGAGAAAACACTTTTTTTTAATAAGCTCATTATATATCCCGAATGTTAATTATGAATGACTAATACTATTCATTATCTCGCAGACTCTCACAATCAGAGAAATCACACATTTAAACAAAAGGAAAACAATAATGCAAGGATAATTAAAGAGTTTAGAGAGAGTGTGTAAACATGCATGATTCTCACAAATGACTTGAGCAAGGCCTCTGAGCAATTTTTTAGCAAGACGCACATTAATTATCCCTTAATCAAATCAAGATGCTCTCTTCAATGTGTTGCACAATTTTTAACAAGTTCTTCGAAACACTGAAAAATAAAAGAGATAAAAGAGACTTATTTTTATGACCGAACAAACAAAACAAATAAAACAAAGCATATTCTCCGGAATTCGACAAAACAAAACCAGACAAAGATCAAGACTTTAGCACAAGTAACAAATTTCCCTAGCGAGTTCTGATAGCCGCCTTACCACTCGGCCATCTAGAATTCAGTATAAACCAGAATCATTAACTATTGACTGTATTACTGTAAATTCATGACCATTTTTGAATTCAAATTTATATTTATAATCAAAGAATAGATGGAAAAAATCATGTATCATGAATGTACATTTTCAGATAAAAAATGTGAAGTTTACGATGAATTTTGATCAATGGATGGGCATTGAGAGATGTGCGATATAAATAGGGTTCCTTGCTCTTCAAGCTTGCGAACCTCTTCCCCTGATCAATGGTGGGGCATTTTCGATGTCTAGATAGGCAAGCGGTGGTTTGAGGAGCCGGGAGTTTGGGTATTGGTTGTTCGGATTAGTAATCCATATGGAGTCCTGCATGGATAGTGTCACGTCAGTCACAGATACTTTTGAAAAAATTGTAAAGCGGTGAGGCAAGAAAAGAAGCTTACTTGGAAGGTATGTTCTGCACTGCTAAGATGCTTGGTTTTTCATAGGTTTTTCCAGAATGAGGGTGCAAAACCAAGCAGTATCAATACTGAAATTCTCAATCTCCATAACATCCTTTAAACCTAATACATTATTTAAAAGAAAACAAAAAATCAGAAAGACCTCCTGAATCTATATAATTGAAAGGACTTGTGACACTCTCCAGCTGATGACACTTCAGCGTCCCCAAAGAGTGCCACGTAAGCCGGATTTTTTTAACCTTTTCCGAATGGCTCCAAAACGACGTCGTTTTTGGCCCCTTCCAACTGGCCCCAAAACGACATCGTTTTGGATAGTCATTTTCTGCCAATTTTTTTTTTTTTTCCCACAAAATCCTGTCTTCTCGCCTCCTTCTCTTCCCCGTCGAGACCGTGAGTTTCCCGTCGTTTAACGATCTGACTTCCTTCTCCCAGCCGTTACAGAGCTTCTCTTATTCCGGTAATCAATGGCTCCCCTTTAATTGCCCGATTACCCTACAAATAAATACGTGAACCCAGCTTCCCCACTTCTCTTTAGCCGATTCACACGTAGAGATCCTCCGAATCACGATGCGTATGCTTTGCAATTTGATCTAAGCAAAAAGATGCAGTCAAGAATCGTCGGTTATGCTCCGGTGTTTACCCTCTTCCTGAGCTTAAACACACCTCACAAAACCTTCACTTTCCATTAAATCTCTGTTCTTATCATCACCTTCATAGCCTACGCTTCCTTTCACGCCTTTCGTAAACCTCCAAGCATCGTCGAGAGCGTCCTCGGACCTTCAGCGACATCGGTTGATGATGGATGGGCTCCGTTTAACGGAGATAAAGGAACCCAGAGACTCTGCGAGCTCGATCTGGCTTTCCTCTCGTCGTACGCGATTGGTATGTATTTCGTTGGGCATTTAGGTGATAGAATCGATTTGAGATACTTTCTCGTGTTTGGTATGATGGCGAGTGGGATTCTCACTGTTGTATTCGGGTTAGGGTATTGGATGGATGTGCATGTGCTCTGTTTTTACATGAGTGTACAGATTGTTTGTGGGTTTTTCCAGTCTATTTGATGGCCTTGTGTTGTCTCTGTTGTTGGGAATGTGTGTGGAACTCTCACACGTCTGTTGGGAACATCGTTGGCTCCGTGATCGCTTCGTCGGTTCTTGATTTCGGGTGGGGATTGTCTTTTGCTCTGCCTGGTGTTGTTGTGATTGTATCTGGATTGCTTGTGTTTTGCTGTTTAGTTGTGACCCCTAATGATTTGGGGTTTGAAGAACCTGGAAAAGAGATTGAGATGGGTTTAGCTGAGAATGTTGAGGAAAGCTTGAGGAAAACAGAAACTGAAAATGCAGAGCTTCTTCAAACTGTAAGATTTTGATGATGATTCTTTGTCAGCTATTGGGTTTCTTGAAGCGTGGAGATTGCCAGGTGTTACGCCTTTTGCTTTCTGTTTGTTCTTCTCGAAACTCGTCGTTTACACATTCCTCTACTGGTTACCGTACTACTTAAGGCACCAAGGTAAGCTTTTTATATCCATCCATGGCTTCTTTTTCGTTATAACTGAGTCTCATGTTCTTCTTACTTCTTATGCCTGAAAGAGAAAAAAATGAAATAATCAAGCAAAAAAGGAGTAAAGAGGTCAATCAAGCAAAACACGAAAAACAATGGAATAAGCAAATAATCAAAGAAGGAATCATCTAAACAAGTTAAGCATGTTGGCAACCAATGCAAGAAAGAACAATGCAACCAAGTTAAACAAAGAAATAAGGAAGAGTAAAAATTCAGTAAGTAAACAACAACGCAAGTAAACAAGTTAGGCATGTTCACAAGCAATGCAAGAAACAACAACGCAAGCAAGTTAAACAATGAAATAAGGAAGAGAAGAAATAAAATGCAAGAAACAACATCGCAAGCAAGTTAAACAGTGAAAATCTGTTTCTTAATGATTTCTTATGAGTTATTATTTCATTGTACGTATACACAACCCATTTGTCTTCTGCTATTTACATTTGTTTGTTTGAGATTGTGCCTCCAAAAAATCCACACACTAATTTAAAATAAATATTGTATATGTGCCTACTGATGGCTACTTCATTCATCATCCTGAATTTACTTAACACATTCATACTATATTTTTTTTTGTTAAAGCACATTCATACTATATTACAGCGACGATTGTGAGATACGTTTACAAGAATACCTTTTCCAAACGAAAATGGAATAAACAAATATACAATACCACCATAGTGAAGGACCTATAATACATGATTCAATATCACCAAACAAATTTGGCGCCGAAACAGCAAACCCAAACTCGTCTGAACAATATCAGGGACATAATATTCAACCTTCACAAGATGAAGCATTTACAGTTAATTACAGTAAATTACGCCATTTACGAAATATCCATAAATATAGTTATATTTAAAAAATATAGCCATTCATAAGTTCATAACATGGTTGGGGGGAAACAACGTCGACTCAAATACGACTGACTTTTCTATAACCAAGATACAACAACAATAATTTAGAACAGAGGTGGAAAAACATGGAAGTGATCATAACTAAATAACAACTAAAATCAACATATAAAAGCCATCCATCCGCGTGTAGAGCGGGTTCTCTCCTAGTACATTTAAAAGAAAACAAAAAATCAGCCAGAGATACAAACCGACCTTTTAACAACGCAGTAAAAGCGATCGATGCACACTTGTATCTAGTAGCTCTCGGAACGTTGTTAAAAACACGGATGATCTTGTAGTTAGCCTTGGCAAGCGAGGGGAGTATCTACAGGATTATCAACCTCTGATAGATAGGGTCATAGCTCGAATTTCTTCTTGGCCGGTGAAGAGGTTGTCGTTTGCAGGAAGGCTTCAACTCATCCAGTCTGTTCTATCGAGTATCATTAATTTCTGGGCAGCAGTGTTTCCTTTGCCTGCGAGATGTATTGAAAGACTGGAGCAGATTTGTAACGCTTTCTTGTGGAGTGGTGCTCCTAACTCTGCACGTGGTGCAAAGATATCCTGGGACTCAGTTTGCTCTTCAAAAGCCTCCGGGGGCTTAGGATTAAGAAGACTATCGGGCTTATCGCAGCTCTTCGGCTTAAAATTAATTTGGCTCATTTTCGCTGGCAATGGATCTCTTTGGGTAGCCTGGGTAAAGAGACATCTCATTGGAGAAAGATTGTTTTGGACCGCAGATTTCAGTCAATCGGGCTCTTGGCTGTGGAAGAAGTTAATGAAGTTTCGAAATCTTGCAAGACCCTTCTTGTCCTCTCAGGTTAGATCGGGGTCCTCGACCCTATTTTGGCATGATGATTGGACGGGTTTAGGACCCTTGATTGATATTTCAGGAGCAAACGGACCGAGGGTATGTGGTATTAGATCTATGGCGGTAGTTGCTCAAGCAGTCTCAAATGGGAATTGGAAGATTCCAAATGGGAGACATCCAATTCTTGTGTTGATGCGCAGTTGTCTTCCAGCCTCCGTTCCTGACGTAAGCTCTCTGCTCTCGGATATTTATCTTTGGAGAAATACCGCTGACTCACCTCCAGAGATTTTCTCAAGTTCAAAAATGTGGAACACTTTACATCCCTCACCTCCTCCTTTGGGTTGGACCAAAACGGTTTGGTTCAAACGTCGCATCCCAAAACATGCTTTCATCTTGTGGATTGCCCTGAGGAATCGTTTAACAACGAGAGATAAGCTGATAAGTTGGGGAATGGTTGTTCCCTCCCATTGTCTTCTCTGTGGAATAGGACAAGAAACGAGGGATCATATTTTCTTTCAATGCCCATACTCTTCTCAGGTTTGGAACAGATTCTTTCAACATAGATCACTTTCACCACCGATCTCTTTTGAAGATATTGCATTATGGATCCAATCGGCTTCACCCAACAAGAAGGTTAAGGTCATTTGAAATCTTCTATATCAAGCAGTGACCTATTTAATCTGGAGAGAAAGGAATTCTAGATTGCATTCTACTGCAGTCAAATCCACTCATCTGTTGACAAAGGAGGTACAGGTCGTGATGAGGGCCAAACTCTTTTCTTTGGATAGAACTCACTCCCAAAGAGCAACTCAGCTTCCTTCTGCCGGTGATGATGAGTCTTATCTCTACCCCTGGTTCAAATACTTTCCACCGTGATCTCTTTTACTTTCCTCCTGATTTTGTAGTATATGTAAGCACTGAGTGCAAATCCAACTTTGCCTTGTAATCGGTTTTCCTGTTGGGAATTTCCATAATAAAATAGTACTTAAAAAAAAAAAAAAAAAAAAATTAATTAGTTTAGGCATCTGATTTAACCCAAATGGCATATGCACAAATCAGAGAACTGTATATTGATATAGATATAGTTATACAAAATATCAAATGCGAATTCACCTCTCATCTTTTGAAGGGCAGTTTTAACTCTGCTCTAGCATCCCACACAATCCATGTGAACTCTCATCTCAATAGTCTGATTATGCATCAGAGATTGTTCATTTCATCTACAAGTAAAACATGCAAACATATATGACATATTTGAAAACAAAACCGAAGGAATTTTCTTACCGTCATATTGAGCTTTTGTTGATGATTTTAGAATGTACGCTTTAAGATAAAAAATGTGAAGTTTACGATGAATATTGATCAATGGATGGGCATTGAGAGATGTGCGATATATATAGGGTTCCTTGCTCTTCAAGCTTACGAACCTTTCTCTCCTGATTGAAAATTATTAATTTGAGGACTATCGTAAGGACATTAAGGTATTATTTTTGCACCGACCTTTTATTTGTAAAGCGTGTAGAGATGAGTTGCGAAGAGATTGCTTCATATTGGCATCCACGACCACGAGGGACACTTATTGTAGTTTCGATTTAATTTTCATGGAGAAAAATGTTTTAGACTAAAAAAAAAAGAAAATGATCGTTGACATACATATTGGTTGTAAATGTGAAGGATGAGAGAACAGAGTTGACTTTTGGAATCAATTAAATGTAAACTTTAGACTTTAGAGCAAAGCATGGACGATTGACACATAATTAGTGCTCAGGTAGCGACACTGACGGATCTTATCCATATTAGCCGACCAATAATATTCATAACCAAAATTAGTTCGTGCTCAATCGAACCAGAGTTGCTGGATATGTTGAACCGGACGAGGTGAGAATGAGATGGTTCAAGTTCCGGTGAAGGAATGTGTGTCTTTGAGTTAGAGAATTAAATTAAAGATTTTTTTTAGTTCTGCTGCACTCAGGTGAATTAAGGGAAGATTACAAACAAAAACATAGTTTGTGGGTTATGATTAAAATACATAATTAAGCTCATTCGTATGAAAAGTAAAGGAAAACTAGAATTATAAGTCACATAATAGAACAAGCATTAGGATTCTCGTCGCTAAACTTGGAACCGGTTTGGTGGCTGAAGATAGAGGCATGAACAGGGTGGTGCTGGTAAGACGAATAGTCGTTGCTATCGTAACCATGTTTGTAATAATTGTAAGTAGAAGTCGGCACAGGCGCGTGGTGGTTGATTGGGCCGTTGCAGCCGTGAGGGTTGTAGAAGTAGCCGCCGTTGGTACTGCTGTTTCCGCCGCCGACGAGAGAGCTGTGGTCAGGGTTGTAAGGAAGCTGCCATAGCTCAGCTCGACGACCGGTTTTTCTCACTTTCTTCAGAACCTTCTTCTGATCGGCGTAGCCAGTCACCGTCACTTTCTGCTGCACCATATCGATTTCTACCTCATCCACTCCTGTTTTCATTCAACATAAAGAAAGATAACAAATTTAATTAGTTAAGGCATCTAATTTCACCCAAATGGCATATGCAAATCAGAGAACTATTGATATAGATATAGTTATACAAAATATCAATTGCGAATTCACCTCTCATCTTTTGAAGGGCAGTTTTAACTCTGCTCTCGCATCCCACACAATCCATGTGAACTCTCATCTCAATAGTCTGATTATGCATCAGAGATTGTTCATTTCATACTATACAAGAAAAACATGCAAACATATATGACATATGTTTAAACAAAACCGAAGGAATTTTCTTACCGTCATATTGAACTTTTGCTGATGATTTTAGAATGTACGCTTTTAGATAAAAAAAAATTGTGATGTTTACGATGAATTTTGATCAATGGATGGGCATTGAGAGATGTGCGATATATATAGGGTTCCTTGCTCTTCAAGCTTACGAACCTCTTCTCCTGATTGAAAATTATTAATTTTGTGTATTAAAATCATTTTAACAGTTTGGGGACCATCGTAACGACATTAAGGTATTATTTTTGCACCGACCTTTTATTTGTAAAGCGTGTAGAGATGAGTTGCGAAGAGATTGCTTCATATGGGCATCCACGACCACGAGGGACACTTATTGTAGTTTCGATTTAGTTTTCATGGAGAAAAATGTTTTAGACTAAAAAAAAAAGAAAATGATCGTTGACATACATATTGGTTGTAAATGTGAAGGATGAGAGAACAGAGTTGACTTTTGGAATCAATTAAATGTAAACTTTAGACTTTAGAGCAAAGCATGGACGATTGACACATAATTAGTGCTCAGGTAGCGACACTGACGGATCTTATCCATATTAGCCGACCAATAATATTCATAACCAAAATTAGTTCGTGCTCAATCGAACCAGAGTTGCTGGATATGTTGAACCGGACGAGGTGAGAATGAGATGGTTCAAGTTCCGGTGAAGGAATGTGTGTCTTTGAGTTAGAGAATTAAATTAAAGATTTTTTTTAGTTCTGCTGCACTCAGGTGAATTAACATCGTTAAATACTCTTATCATTTTTCTTATTTAGTGACATGTCACGATGTAAACGGAAAAGAAAACGGCGACTTTAAACTGCGTTAAATAACCTAACGGCACGTAACTCTACATTCGACTTAGCTTCTAGGTTAAATGCTTTGAAAACTTTAATTGTTCTGATAGTCGTTTAAAGAAGGAAATAGAAAAATAATTAGACCTACACCGAACTATAGAATTTTGAAAGATCCATTAATAATAAACAAGAGAAAAAGAAAAGTTGGACAAGAAACATGGCAGAACATAAAGCGCAACAAAGATGGGAACCCTAATTTAACAATTCTTGATGAATACATTAAACCCAGACTCGGTTAACCCGGTCCCACTCGAGATGCTTTCTCAGACGTTTAAGTGGGTACACACACTCCTCGTTGGTCGTCGCAAAGTAAACCGAGAACAAATCGCCTCTCCGGCCGGTGATCTCTCCGACCCACCACCCGTCTAAGTCGAAAGCATCAACCTTGTCATGGAGACCAAACGTTAGTACAGGTTCAGATTTGGGAGGCATCGGACGGATTTCATCGGAGGAGATGATTTCGATCAAGGGCAGAGGATCTTCGCCGTCAGTCACAAGATTATAGTACTTGACCTTGTAGTAGGATCCGTAGGGAAGCTTGGAGGACACTACCTTGGCCTCTAAGTAAGACCCGAAGAAGCCATCTTCTTTGCTGCATACTTCAACTTTATCTCCTTTCACGAACTCCATTCTTACGATTTTTGTTCTGCTGTTTAAACGATTTCGTTTGATTTGTTGTTTAAACGAATTCTTAGGTATTGATGTATTTATTTACTTATAAGATTTTTTGTTTTCCTTTTTCTTGGTTTTACTTTCCTTTTTATTTGTCATCTGATTTGACGTTTGCGAGCGGCATTTATTTATTACGCGAAATTAAATGTATTCGGATGTCATTTATACCAAGTCCGAGAAATAAATACACTACCCAATAGCGTTAGCGAGGTTATTTTGGTAAAAATGAGCATAGTAGGAAATTTAAGTCTCCTTTTTTAACTGCCACATGCTAAGAATAATGATAATACTGTAAATAAGTGTTGTTCTATGTAGAGAATTGTTGCTAAAACAAGACACCAAGAGAAAACATTGACAGGCACACCATAGGTAATAATGATGAATGTCAAACTGTCAAGCTCTGAGAACCTGTTGAATTTGAGACATAAATTATTGGTCTGATTTCACCAATAATTTGGGTTGGTTGATAATTTATTGTAAATGCTAATCTGTACAACTATATATCGGATAAAAGGGCAAAAGGACGCACCTGATACAACCATACCCATCTTAATAACAATATAACTCCTTCATAACTGATCTTTTTTGTACGATTGATTTTCTTCAAAATGATTCGAGTCTTGTACTTAGGTATTGATTATTGATGTGTACCACTCTTTGAGAGTAAATAAGATGCAAATATTCATTTCAAAATTAAACTCAAGCGATTTAATATAATGATCATACGTATACATAATAGTCAACCAAACTAGTACAAATCAATGAACATACATATCTCTCTCATATATATATTTATATATTTATGCTCAAATAGTTTCCACTACAGAACTTAATTATATTCTTTAAAAAAAAGAAATATCTGATTTAATTTCTCTCGTGTAGGTATTTCAGATCTGAAACAAAACATCAACTAGTCAGAGCCAATTTATGTTTTTGAAACTCTGAGGGCAATTTCACATCCGTCGCTAATCCGAGAACCTCAAAGAATCGAATGAGATACCAAGTAACATCTAATTGCCACCATTCCAATCCTTGTCTTGCCGATGATTCAAACGCGTGGTGATTGTTGTGCCAACTCTCTCCCATTGTAACTAAGCTTAGCCACCTTTAAGACATTCACAAGACCATCAAGTCTCATTTTCAACACTAAACAAGAAATCTAAATATTCATATATATAGAGAGTCTAGATATTATATATTACCAGACGTTACGAGATGTGTCTTTAGTCTTCCACGACCTCGAACCCAAAACATGGCATGCCGAGTTTACGAGCCATGTCATGTGGTACACGATCACGCCTCCAACTCCCTGTCATATTATATATCGATTTTCATTTGGATGCAAACAAAGATATTTTGTGTAAATATAATTATTATTTTTGAATGAATTGTGTAATTTTTTTTTTAACAGAATCAATAACTTAACCCTTAAAAAAAAAACAGATTTTACCCCGCCGCAAGTAAGGTAAGGTAAACCACCATAGAGATAGAGGACGGTCCAATACGTTAAGATGTGGAGAGCAATAGTCCTTCGTAGAAACCTATAGAACCATTGTTTCTTCAAGTCCATCACGTTGTTGCGATCTCCACACTGTTACATTATTTTGTACTATTACAATAACATACAAAGAAGAAGATCGATGGGAGATATATGTTTACACGTTAATGAAGTTACGTTACCTTATATCTGATATACTCAGTGTCAAATATCCACAAGACATGGCTGAACATAAATCCTTCTTTAGGGCTATGTGGGTCGCGGTCCGAATCTGTGAACTGGTGATGGAACCTATGTATGCTCACCCAATCCAATGGATCACCCTGAAAAAATAATAATTTTTTCTTCATATTAAAGCATTTGATGTATATGTTTACATTAACTATATAATAGTATACGTACTTAGTTAGGGTTTACGTATTAATAAAATGGTTTTTCACCTGAAGAGCGAACACAGCAGTATAAGCGAAAGGATATTCAATCCATTTTGGGACCTTGAAGCTCCGGTGAGCCAAGTTCCTATGGTATGAGAATGTGATGCTGACTGCAGTCAAAACGTAGAGCAACAAACCGAACCGAAAAGCTTCCCATTTGTAGTTAAACGGCGCCAAAAGACACAAACAGTGCACAATCACGACAACTAAGGCTCTTACGACATCCACCAACGGCCATTGTCTCTGAAGATACGCCCTCTTTTCCTTACGCACCACGCCGCTTCGGCTAGAGCCATCATCCCTAACGATCTCACACATATCGGACCGTAGAGGAATTGTATGTGTTTGCTTGAGATATAAGTTTGAGTGAGAGCTAGCAAGTACTTATGGGTATATATGGGCCAATGCCGTTGCGTCAAGGTCCACGTTGTTAAATGCAGTTGCTCAGTCTTCTTAAATGCAATCTATCTACTACTCCTTTCAAGCAATTCCATCTTTAATATCCTGGCAGCTGCACATGTTTTCACTCATCCCAATATTCCAATAAGTTTTCTCTTTTTACAGCCTCTTTCGATATACATTCAAAATAAGTTGTTGAGATTTACAACGGGTTCAGTGTATTCATATTCTTACCAGCTAACAATTTATTGGTTTGTCTCCGAACGAGGATTGAACTTAGAAAACCCCAACGGTGAAGGCCATTTCCTTGGTCCGATAACTTTGTTTAATAAAAAAATGTACTATAATAGTATACTATTAGCTAGGGCGACTTATAATCTTGTTAGTCCAAAAATAAATATTTACACAGATGAAGAAATCTTACGTCGTTATAACTTAATGGCACGCATTTTGATGCTCTCCGTCTCATTCAGTGCTTCTAAGCTAGGTTTTTCTACATCATCTCAGTGATAATGTATGATGTCTCTGGAGTAAATATTTTTTCATTTATTTTTATTTTTTGGGTATTTGCGTGGAGAAGTAAGTTTTACCGGAACCTTGACAGCTAGTACTGACTTTTAATTGGTTTTTGTTTCTCTGAACAGAGAAACGTATATGTAATTCTACCTAACAGATTTTACTCGATGATGGAAACAAATGGAGCCAGGCACGTGACTTTTTGAGGTACCCTACGCATCTGAAAAAACTTGTACAATAAACATCTCCTTCATAACTGAAGTTTTTTATTTTGGTAATTTTGATATTTTTTTTTTGTTTGACAACGATTTATTTTATTTTGTGCTGAAATTGTATTTCTGTTTCGATTAAATTTCTTCAAGTGATTCGAGTCCTGCTCAGCTGCTCTTAGGTTATCTTTTCATATTATTCTTTGGAGACTAATAAGATGGAAATAGTATTGATTTAAAAAAACAAATAATGATCTTACAAAATATATAATAAAACAACTTAAAAACCAATTATACTCGGAGAAAGAAAAAACAATAATTTATTTTGGATGACACCCATGTAAAGCTATTAAACAACCATAAATTATCTCTCATTTATATGATGCTCTAATAGTGTTCACGACAGAACTTAGGAGTATAATCTAAACTTCGCATGCACGTATGTATATCAGTATAAATAAGATTTTAAAATGAACATCAACCAGGGAGAGCCAATTTCTGCTTCTGAAATCCTGAAGGCAATTTCACATCAGTCGCTAAACCAAGAACTTCAAGTAGTCGAATGAGGTACCAAGTGATATCTATCAGCTGCCACCACTCCAATCCTTGCCTCGCCGATGACTCAAACGCGTGGTGGTTGTTGTGCCAACTCTCTCCCATCGTAAATAAGCAAAGCCACCTTCAATATAATATTTTTCCTTTGTAGTCATTATTGGCTCTTCACCAGCCCGATTGTATGTTCTTAATGATAAGACAAGTAGTTGAATATATACAGACTTTACTATCTTACCAAACGTTGCGAGATGTGTCTTTTTAGTCTTCCACGACCTCGAACCTCAAATATGGCAAGCCGAATTTACGAGCCATGTCACGTGGTACCCTATCACGCCTCCAACGCCCTGTCATAAACTTTTATTAGCTTCATAATTGATAAATTTATCAACTTTCAATTGGATAGATATGGAGCCATTAAAACAGTTGCACCGGCAATTGCAGTTTTCATGACTGAAATTATGATGGAAGGATTTGAGCTACAGTAATCTAATTACGATAAACTTTCCAACTATTAAACCACCGTTATCATGTTGTTCAATAGTATAAATTATTTTCAACAAATAATAATAGATTAAAATAAAAGTAAATAAAAAGGTTTACCCCGCCCCATGTATGGTAAGGTAAACCACCATAATAATAGAGGACGGTCCAATACGTTAAGATGTGGAGAGCAATTGTCTTTCGTAAAAACCTATAGAACCATTGCTGCTTCAAGTCCATGACGTTGTTACGTCCTCCACACGACCACACTGTTACATTTTTTTTTTGCATTGTTACATCAACAGCATATAAATCACATCGCCTATAAAAGAAGAATATGAGATATATTTTAGACGTTACGTTACCTTATATTTTAGATAAAGAGTGTCAAATATCCACAATATATGACTGAACAAAAATCCTTATCTAGGGCTATGTGGGTCATGGTCCGAATCTATGAACTGGTGATGGAACCTGTCTATGCTCACCCAATCTAATGGATCACCCTGAAAATATATAAATTTAATATATGTCTTAATCATACTTCAATAGTACGTAATCAAACATTTGACATATATATTATAATAATACTAATAAGTTAGATTCACTTATCAATAGACTAGCGGAATACGCGAAATGATATTCAATCCATTTTAGGATCTTAAAGCTCCGATGAGCCAAGTTCCTATGGTACGAGAATGTGTAGTTAAATGGGGCCAAGAGACAACAAAAGTGCACAATCGCAACGGTTAACGCTCTTTTAACATCGACGTACGTCCATTTTCTTAGAAAATACGCTCTTTTTTCCTGAAGCACCACGCCACTTTGGCTAGAGCCATCGTCTCTAGTGGGATTGCACATATCGATCGGACCGTTGAGGAATTGCACTTGTTTAATTTGGGTTATAAGTTTGTATGAACATAAGATAGGGCAAATATGGGTATATTATTATATGGGCAAATGTTGTTGCGTCAGGATCCACGGTGGTAAATGCAATCGCCGACCTTCTTAAATGCTCACTATCTACTTCTTTCATTTTATCTCCAATATCCTCGCAGTATATATTATTACATGATCACACTCATCTTAACAGTCAAACAGTTTTTTGTACGGCCTTCTTAATTTTATTAAACACAATTGCTAGAATATGTAATTTTGCCAATGAGATTAGTTCTAAGTTCTAACATTACATATGAAACTATGGATCATTACGGTTCATCGTCAATTTCGTGAAAATAACTGTCCATATATAAGTGAGACCTACATTGAAACAACAAAATCTCTTACACTAAATGATTTCACAAACCAGTGCAGTAAATGTGGGACACAACTTGAGTTATTTTCGGACGTCAATCCCAAAGAACTTACTAGACATGGACCAAAATCACACACAGATGCTTAAAATGGCATGGACCTCTTGATGATATTTACGGAGTAATAGCGTTAAACGTTTTATTTTTCTCCTTTTACAGAGACAAACTATATGTACTTTTACATTATTGCATTTAAACATCAACGAACAAAAGGCCATCTTGTAGAAATACCAAGCCTGCCACGAGGCCCACAAATTATTAGCCGGCTCACTGATTTATCGGTCCGTGTTCCGACCAATCGGATTGAACCGGCTGTACAAAATCTCGGAAGCTATAAGTAAACGGTGTTGAAACGCCGTCAAAATTTTATAAAACGCCGTGAATTTTATGAAGGGCAAAAGAAGAAAAACGCTATCAGAAATTCAGAATCCGAAACCTTTTGTTTACTGAAAAACCCTAAATCGGCACCGCACCCAGTGTTCTTCGCGCCGTCTTCCCCATCTCACCGGAGAATGAGTAATATGGCTGCACCTCCGCCGCGACAACAGTCGAAGGTTGATCCGAAAAAACTTAACAGAGCCGTGAAGTCTCTGATGAAATGGTGGGACTCCAAATCCAAGTCCGAGGACTCGGAACCGCTCGAGGACGACGGCTTCGTCTATCTAATCGTGACTCTGAAGAAAATCCCGCAGATGGATCGGACGAGCCCCGTGATGATCCCTCTTCCCCATCCTCTCATCGATCTGGTCGAAGACTCGCCGGCGCTCTGTTTGATCATCGACGACAGAAAGAAGAACAAAATCACAAAGGAGTCGGCGTTGAAGAAGATCGAAGCAGAGAATATTCCAATCAGCGCCGTGATTAAGGTCTCGAAATTGAAGACCGATTTAGTCAAACTAGAGTTAGAAGAAGGGAAGCGATGCGATTTGTATTTCGCGGAGAAGAAGCTACTGCCGTCATTGCCGAAGCTATTGGGGAAGGAGTTCGTGAAGAAGAAGAAGAATCCGATTGCGATCAACCTGTGGCAAGGTAATTGGAAAGAGCAGGTCGAGAAAGCGTGTGAATCGGCTTTGTTCTTCGTTGGGACTGGTACTTGCAGTGTTGTCAAGGTAGCGAAATTGTCAATGGGAAGGAAGGAGATTGCAGAGAATGTCATGGCTGCCATAGACGGGATTGCAGATTCGATTCCTGGTAAATGGAAGAATGTTAAATTGTTTCATCTGAAGTTGGCAGAGAGCTTGGCATTGCCTGTTTATCAACGAGCTCGAGATTTGGAGCTCGAATGATTCGGAAATTGGTCTTGAGAGTTAGAGCACAAATGATCTGTTTACGAGTTAGTCACAAGTTTTGGTTAATTTGAGTGTAGTTTTCTCATATACGATGCTGTTATGTTTAAGATTATGCCTAGTCTGAACAAAACTATCTTGAATGATTAGAATGCGGCAAATGGTTTTATAATGCAGAAAAACACCTTTTTATAATTCATATTTCATGAGTGTGTATTTTGAATCTCTGTATATTTATTTGGCTTCCTCTGATCTTCAATATGCACAATCACATGAATTCTCTAAGAAATTACCTCTTGTGTTGAGAAGCTGGATGTTGTTGTTTGAATATCATAGGAGGACTTTGTTATCGATTGAGCCTATGTGGATTCTGTTCTGCTGACTGTTGCTAGAGTCGGACCAATTTCTAATGGACCCTTTGGTTTTGCATCAAAGTTAGCTAGAAACTGTTCAGAATTGATGATCCAATATTACAAAAATCTGTTTTGTTCGCGATGAAATCGGTCAAAATGTTTGTCCACACATATTCTAGATTGATCGAGATCTTCAATCCTCACTAGTCATCACATCTTTCAAAAATAATGCAATAGTTAATATACGTGACCTGACAGAAAAAATGGAATTGTTGTCCAAAAATAATGCTACATCGACCTACTGTATGTCCCTTTTGCAACAAATGTTTTATGAATACGACTTGCAGTTGTGTGTGTAATGAAAAAGAATAAAGAATCCATCACTAATAACTCAATATCGTAGATTGTTTGTTTCTAAAAATAGCACTTCATCAATGATGAAAGCAAAAGGAAACCGAAATCATTTTTTTGTAATATGGTTGCAAATGCCTTAAGTTAAGCTTCCTATCCTAATCGGGAGATATGATTGGATCTGGAGAGTACTAAATTGATACCACATTCCATAGATGACAAATATTTAATGGAGTTTCGATCTCTCTAAATTAGTTAACTTATCATTGATTGATTGCCTAATGAAGGGGTTTATCAGATTTATCTGTGCTTATTAATTTTGAAAAGTAGATTTCTCATTGGAGCGTTACGTTCACGCGCTATAGTCTCCGGTGGGTCCTCCTTTGTCTATGGTCCATTTTCTGAAATTTAGACGCAAAGGAAAAAATAGTCTTTACTCTTTGTTTGTTCAGTGGGTGAGAGAGAGAGAGAGAGAAAGTGTAAAGAGCACATGGCCTCATTACCATTGGGGCCTCAGCCTCATGTTCTTGCTCCTCCGCCGTCGCAGCCGCAACTGCAACTTCACGACGGCGACGCTTTGACACGCCGTCCTGAAATGGATTCCGATAAGGTATTATTTCCATGCCTCACTCTCTCTCTTTTTTCTTCCGCTTTTGTCAATCGCTTTTACGTCTGTGTTTGGTAGAACAGTGCATTTGAAATTCTAGTTTGGTGGCTGTTGTAGATCTACGCTGATCTAGCTCGTATTCTCTTTGTTCGATGTCTTAGTACAAGTAGAAATCGTTCTGTATTCTCTTGCCTCACCGTTTTGTTTCGTTGCTCGTCCTGATTTGAGCTAACCGGAGAGTTTCTCCTCCGACGAGGCTTTTTGATAGGAGACTGCGATTTTGAATTCATTTGTTTGCATGCAGTAGCTGAAATCACTCATGATTTTGTTTCCCTGCTACATCTTCGACCTTCTCTACCTTAGATCTAAGCACTAGTAAAACCTTTGAAATTTAGTGCTGATAATAGTTTCTTTCGCAATTGATAGCAGGACATGGATGCATATATTGCTAGCTTGAATTTTCCTCTTGGCATATTTTTTTGGGGACTACTTATTGCAACACTGTTCACTCTAAGTACAATTTGCTTGTTTGGATATTTCAATTATCTACTTTCAATACTGTTCATTTTGCAAAGTACAATATCCTTGTAGATCTCTGAATTCCCTCTTTGACAGGTTTGTGGGTATTCCTATAGTTATGGTTCTTGGCCCATTGCTTCTCTGTCTGTTTGCTACCGACATTTATTCTCGACTTTATGTCCTTCACTCTTGCACAACTTATTACATTGATGTGTATAACGTATCTTTGATTTTGTTTGTACTATATCAAGTGCCCACAAACTGTTTGAGCTTTGGCCACCATTGTTTACTTCTTTTTAACCTCTGCTTTTACTTTCCTTTTCTATTTCTTTCTGCATCTTGCTGTTATCGGCTTCACAACAAGCTGTTTTTAGATAGTAACAACTTAACTGAAGAATGATAAAGTGATGTTGTTAGGATCATTTATGTGCTAGCAATAACTGCGTTCTCATACAGTCGTATTGAGCATGGTGTTTGTTCAAATAATGGAATGTGAAGTAAGCAGTAAATGCTTACCTTCTCTCTTCCACCTTGTAGTTGATCAGAATAGTTTAATGCCCATACTAATATATGTGAGTTGGTTTGCAGGAAATGTCTGCTGCTGTTATAGAGGGAAATGATGCTGTTAGTGGTCATATTATTTCCACTACCATTGGGGGCAAAAACGGTGAACCTAAGCAGGTTGGATTCTAATGTTTGCAAAACAATTTAAATAACCAAAAATTGCAGTTTATGTTTATGGTTCTAGCACAGTAGCGTGTGTAAGGTTGCAGCTAGTTTTGGTTATTCATTTCGCACCAAATGCTTCAGCTAGTGTTACTTTCTCACTTCCAAGTCAAAGTTATCTTATCACTCTCACTTACATTATTCATTGTGTCCTCTACAGACCATTAGTTACATGGCTGAGCGGGTTGTTGGAACAGGTTCATTCGGAATTGTTTTCCAGGTATATTTTGCTTCTCTATGCTAAGCATTTACGGGTCAAAAATTTATTTTCCCTTTCTGAACATGTCTGAGAAAATTTCTATTTTAGGCGAAATGTTTGGAAACTGGAGAGTCAGTAGCCATTAAAAAGGTCTTGCAAGATCGACGCTACAAAAACCGTGAGTTGCAACTAATGCGACTAATGGATCACCCAAATGTCATCTCCTTGAAGCACTGCTTCTTCTCTACAACGACTAGAGATGAGCTCTTCCTTAACCTCGTCATGGAGTTTGTACCTGAGACTTTGTACCGGGTTTTGAGGCACTATACTAGTTCAAATCAGAGGATGCCAATTTTCTATGTCAAACTTTACACTTATCAAGTATGCACTGTGATTTGCAATTCTTCTCATAAATACTCTCATTTGACTAGTTGACTCTGAAAATGACTAGAAAATATATAATGCAGATCTTCAGAGGTTTGGCTTACATCCATACTGTTCCTGGTGTTTGCCACAGAGATGTGAAACCACAAAACCTGTTGGTACGTTACCTGGCATGAGACGAGTTTGTGTTTGGTAATCTTTACTAGTCTCTGAATCTTACTTTTTCTGGTGCATTCTGTAGGTTGATCCTTTAACCCATCAGGTTAAGCTGTGTGATTTTGGAAGTGCAAAAGTATTGGTAGGGGCTTTATCCTTTTATCATCTAATATTCTTTTGTTATTGGCCTGCTTATGCATCTATGCATGTAGTTCCTTGATCTACCATAAAGTCTATGTGTTACCAATTATATTGCTCTATAGGCGCGAGCAGCATGTTCTGCCACCACATTAAAGCATTCATTTCATGCGTATCTGTTTCGGTAACCCTTTAACATGTTTGACGATTCATATTAGGTCCAAGGTGAAGCAAACATATCATATATCTGCTCTCGTTATTATCGAGCTCCAGAACTCATCTTTGGAGCCACAGAGTACACAGCATCTATAGATATATGGTCTACTGGTTGTGTTCTGGCAGAGCTTCTTCTTGGCCAGGTTAGTGTCCAATTTCTATGCCATTAATTAACTTTGTTAAGTAAAGTATATGTGCAAATAGTGCCCTCCCAAAGTTATATTATCTCAAACTATCTCTCTCTTTCTACAGCCGTTATTTCCAGGAGAAAATTCAGTTGATCAGCTTGTTGAAATCATAAAGGTGAAATCTCCTTTCTTAGACTAATGATGCCTGTGCACTTTTTCTCTCTGATAGAAGATTTGTTACCTTAAGAACTTGCTGCCATTGTTTAGGTTCTTGGTACTCCAACTCGAGAAGAAATCCGATGTATGAACCCAAACTACAGGGACTTTAGATTCCCACAAATCAAAGCTCATCCCTGGCACAAGGTAATCCGTCTCACTACCAATAAATGTTCTTCATAAAAGCTAAATGTTTACACATGACATTCATTTGTAACACCAAGCATATACTGTCCCCTTAACCTCCAGGTGTTTCATAAGCGGATGCCTCCAGAAGCCATTGACCTCGCTTCTCGGCTTCTTCAGTATTCACCAAGTCTACGCTGCACTGCGGTCAGTACCTATTCTTCTTTCAATTAAAATTGTGCATTACTAAACAAAACTACTTAGTATTTGAGAATGAAAGTAAAAGGGGATTGAACTAAAAAGGAAAAGAAAACTAGAATCTGGAAGGGAAAATTAGAGATTACTTTTGAACCATAAACACTCTGTTGTGATAGATTGTTTAACTTTAAGTGATGGGACTCATAGAAGCTTATTCTGACTCTATATAAAGTGTTTAATGGAGCTGAGATTTTGTTCTGACAATTGTATTGCTTTCTCTCTTTAGCTCGAAGCATGTGCTCATCCTTTTTTCAACGAACTCCGTGAGCCAAACGCCCGTCTTCCAAATGGTCGTCCGTTACCGCCATTGTTCAACTTCAAACAAGAGGTAAAAATCAATACCAAAGGACCAAGTTTAAAGCTCAAAATCATTAGCAAATACTTGTGTCGTTAATTGATATGGTTCTCTAAACGTGGAAACAGTTAAGTGGAGCTTCACTGGAGCTGATCAGCAGGCTAGTACCAGAGCATGTGAGACGACAGATGAGCACAGGATTACAACAAACTTGAAAAACTTTGCGGATGTCTGAGAAGAAAAGAAGAGAAAGAAGATTTACTACTTCTATTATCTCCGATATTAGTCAGGATCTACATTATATTAACCACGATCATTGTTAGCAGCTTCTTTATCTGCCAAGTCGTATTCAGCTTTTTGAGAAATCAGAAGCTGTTAATCACATCTACGTCTATTTCTTTCTATTCCTTTACTCCACCTGGAGAGATGAGAGAGACTCATGTTCCTCGTGTGTTTTTTTGTATATGTTTTTGTCCGTACAACAATTCCGACAGATCCGTAGGAAAACAAGAAACGAGGTGATAACTCAAAGATATGCATTTGTTTAGTTTTTATTACAATTTTACAAGTGGTAGGAATGTGAAAGTCTGAAAGACAAATACCAAATCATGTACCATAAAAATATAAAAGAGATTATCATTTGGTGTCACACCCTAAACCAGACCAAACCGAATCTACAAACCCGACCTTAGTCTCTAGTTAGAGCAGCAACCCATTCTCTTAAGAACCGATCCGTCGTCTTTAACGTTAATCGTCTCTCCTTTCTTTGGTAACTCAGTCGAAGTTCCTCCTTCTGTGTTCGATCCATCCACGCTTCTTTTGCTCACTATCTTGTGAATCTGATTGAGCACTTCCGTGAACGCGTTCTCAACATTGGTTGCATCTAGCGCTGACGTCTCCATGAAATAGAGAGACTCTCTCTCAGCAAAGGCTTTAGCATCCTCTGTTTTGACTGCCACCAAGTGGCGCAAATCGCACTTGTTCCCTATAAGCATCACCACAATGTTCGGGTCCGTGTGCCCCCTTAGCTCCTTTAGCCATCTTGCTGCGTTCTCAAAGGTCGTGTGCCTTGTCACGTCGTAGACGAGTAAAGCACCAACAGCTCCTCTGTAGTAAGCGCTTGTGATTGCTCGGTACCTATCAGAAGATATATAAACAAAACCAAAAAAATCTGATAAGCCCAAAGGAAACCAAAAAAATCAATTACGAGTTTGGCATAATTGATCATTGCTTAAGTTAGTAATTAAATCAATACTGTAACTTGCTTGATAAACCAACTATTGATCTTAATCACTCCAACAAAATATAAGAAAATCCAGATTCATGAAATTCAGATACATAAAGCAATCCTAAGGATTGAATTCAACTAAGCAGGAAAAATAGAACAGGAGAGGAGACGTGATCGAACCTCTCTTGACCAGCGGTATCCCAAATCTGAGCTTTGACGACTTTGGATTGGACTTTGAGTGTCTTGGTGGCGAACTCAACACCAATAGTGGACTTGGACTCGAGATTGAACTCGTTCTTGGTGAATCTGGAGAGCAGATTCGATTTGCCGACACCGGAGTCGCCGATCAAGACGAGCTTGAACAGGTAATCGTATTCTTCGTCGGCTTTGTAACTAGCCATGAGAGAGGATCGGATTTTCGGAGATTTTCTTTTTTCTACTTTCTGTTGATAAAATGATTCAGATGATGACAGTGAAAGCTTTTGTCCGCTTTTATTCTTCTTTTACGAATTAAAGATTTTTAAAAACAGAAAACTAATGAATCGTTTATGTTTTAAAAAATGAATCCGCTAAAATTAGTTTGCATTTGGGTTAGGAAGTTGTTAAAAAAATCAGCAAGGAAGATAATTGATATTCTGAATAATTTCCCCAAATGGCTAATCTAATCGTGCCTTACATAATAGTGTTCTCAAACATTAAACCAACTAAACCAAGACTTGAAATAAGTAAACCAAGAAAATACATAAAACCATACTGTATTTCCTGTAACATCGGGCTGAGAGGGGAGGCAGGGCCTCCACACAGTGTCTCCTCCAGGAATATCCATGAGGGAGACTCCTTTGATGGCCAACAACTCTCTAATCTGGTCGCTTGTTTCAAAGTCTTTCTTCTCTCTCGCAATTCTCCTTGCTTCAATCCTCTCCAAGACCTCTTCTTCTCCTATTCCCGCCCTTGCCAACGCCTTTTGCTTCCCAAGCTAACGGCTCCTCCCCAAGCTCGTTGGCTTTTTTTATTACCTACACATGCCAAGTCGAATGTCTTGAACATAATCGAAAGAGAAGATCACAATCCCATCTTGTTTTGTGCCGCACAAGAAAAGAAAAAGGCCATACCTTGTCATCAATGTCTGTAAAATTTCGGACATAGGTAACTTCATACCCCAAGTGCTTCAAGTATCTGCATAAACAGAGAGATATTGAAAAACATAAATCCCAACTCAAAGAAAAGCAATTTCTCCAGCTTGGTGCAGAGTTTACCAAATCGAAATCAGATAAGAGTCTAACAATGGGCAAAAAGTTCCAAACACCGGAGTTTACACAGAAACCCCCAAATTCAACAACAATCCTAGGGCGAGAAATCGAAATTAAAATAATTGGGAGCAGACCTGTAAAGGACGTCGAAGGAGACTGAGGCACGCGCGTGTCCCAGATGGCTCAAATCGTAGGCGGTGATACCACAGACGTACATTCCTATCTTCCCGGGATTGATTGGCTTTAACACTTCCTTCTCTTGACTCATCGTATTGTACAGCTTCAGTTCCGGCTTCCCGGCCTCCATGTCGATGATAAGCCTGTGACCTATCAAGAAGCCTGTGACTTGGCTTGAGAGTGATATCAAAGAAGAAGAAGAAGAGAAGAAGAAGAGAGATTTGGGATTAAACCTTGTTTGATTGATGATCGTAATAATGTTTCTCGTTACAGACTTTAGCTTAAATACATAATACTAAAAAGGCTTTAAAGGCTAATAACATAAGAGGCCCAACACTAACAGAACAAGGCCCAGTTCGGTGCTTATCAGTCGACCTCTATCTCTCTCGGCCGATTGAAACTATGAAACAAGAGATGTTAAAATCGACTAATTTGCTCAGCTCGATTTACAGGCGGCTTGCCTCTCACCCCTAAGTCCTAACCTATATATATTGGAGAATACTTTACACTAATTTAAACTTTTACATTCATATTTGATTATATTAGATATTAAAAATTATTCATACTAATAATAATATATTTAATTTTTGCTTCGGTTATCATAATAGCATCATTAAAATAATGTTATAGTGGATTTGTCAAAAATGGGCCTAAAAAGTCCATTAAACAATGGGACTGGTGTCCAAAACCTCAAGCCCATTTTACTCGTGGCAGTATCTTTCCTCAGTTTATTTCACATTTCAGTCTCGCTCATTTTAGACACGTTTGGTAAGCTGCGAGAGTGGGTCCCCACCCTTAGCATACGGCATCACGCGTCCTCACGTTGTTTCTCCATATCACGTGTCCGCCTCTCCACGCGCTTCCTGTTGCGCGTGACCAACTCGTGCCAGCTGGCAATAGTGCGAGTCCGGCTGGCTACTAGCCTTATCCAAATTTTCTAAGCGGAGTAAAAGATACTGCCACGAGGCTGTCACTTCTTCTACGTCACGGTCGAATCCGATTGGTCGTCAAGTACGTTGTTAATTGACATGTACTTCCGGACAGCAAAGCAACGACTCGGTGACGATCGTTCGATTTTAAAAATACCACTAATCACAGTTAAGCGCCCCTTCGATTTGACCAGTAAAACTGAGAAATCATAAAAAATTTAAAATAAACAAATATCATAAAAATAATAATATTCCCTTTTGAGAGATTCATGTCCAACAACAGCTTCCATATCACACACGATGTACGACTCTGTTATACGTACGAGTTTACGCTAAATATCACAATCACACCTTTATTTCATTAGTTTTTATTAATTTCACCCCAATTGTTTTGATAGTGTCACAAAATAACCCCGTATTATTTGCTTCCTTTCTAATTAAATATTCATTCAATTATGGTTTCACCATCTCTATCTTAAAATCTTGGATACATGATTTTTTTTCTCCAATAAGTCAAACTTTAGAAAAGTGGATGTGATCAACTATGTGGAATTGCCCATAATAAAGTAAAAAAAATATCATAAATGGAAGGTTTAATAACAGAAAAAAAAAGATTTGAAAGGCCTGTAAATGTTGTGATTTTTTGGTAAAGGAAGCCACGGTATCTCTTTTTGGTAAAAAACTTTTGACTTTAGAGAATAATACAGAGGTCAGAGTAGGTTCGTCTACAGAATAGAGGGGCATAAATGATATTATTCCAAAATACACATATGAGGCTGGAAACAGAGTTATTTTTATTTTATTTATTTTGCTAAGTTTTTCCAATATAAACCCTAGATTAAATTTCACGTTTCATTTTTTTTTTGGGTTAGATAGAGAAGATCAGATTCTTCATTTGCAAAGGAACAAAAAGGTGAGTCTCGATGCGTGAGATACCCAGAGAGATTTTCGGTTCAATATTTTCCTCTTTCGATTTCGGGCTCTTCTGCTTCTGTGTTTGCTGAATTGGGGGATCGGTGTCATCTCCGATTTAGATTTCCGTCTATCTGAAAGGTGATTCTTCCTTCCGTTTTGATTAGCTTATAGGTCGTAATTTCATGGATCTTGCTTTTTAGACGATTGGAAATGTGTCATTCATTCGATTTCTGTTTTGTGCGTAAAGCTCAGTTTTTTTTTTTTTTTTTTTTTTTTTTTTTTTTTTTTTGTTCTTAATCCAGTGATAGAAGAGGATTAGTAAATATCGTTGATTTTTGGATATCTGGGTGATACTTAAGCTCTCGAATTTGGATTTGATTGGTATTCAAATTACAAATACACTGATTTTTCTTGTATGCCCTGTGTTTAGATCTTGTTGAGTTTGTTATCTTATACTGCATTTTGGGGGCTGTTGTGATTGCAGATTTATCAAAGTAGTGTGCTTTTGGCCATTGGAGTCGGCGAAGATGATTTCGAGGTCGTACACGAATTTGTTGGACTTGGCTTCAGGGAATTTCCCTGTCATGGGAAGAGAGCGTAGGCGGCTTCCGAGGGTAATGACAGTCCCTGGAAATGTGTCCGAGTTTGATGAAGATCAAGCATATAGTGTGTCTTCCGATAATCCTTCCTCGGTTTCCTCTGATCGGATGATCATTGTGGCTAACCGGCTTCCGTTGAAGGCCGAGAAACGAAATGGTAGCTGGAGTTTCAGTTGGGATCAAGATTCATTGTACTTGCAGCTTAAGGACGGTTTGCCTGAGGATATGGAGGTATTATACGTTGGATCTTTGAGCGTTGACGTCGATCCAAATGAACAAGACGATGTGGCGCAGACACTCTTGGACAAATTCAAATGTGTGCCGACTTTTTTCCCATCTGATTTGCAATCAAAGTTTTATGACGGTTTCTGCAAGAGGCAGCTGTGGCCGCTCTTCCATTACATGCTTCCGTTTTCAGCTGATCATGGTGGAAGATTTGATAGGTCTCTCTGGGAGGCTTATGTAGCTACAAATAAGCTCTTCTTCCAGAAAGTTATCGAGATTATTAACCCAGATGATGATTTTGTCTGGATTCATGACTACCATTTGATGGTCTTACCGACGTTTCTGAGAAGACGGTTTAACCGGATAAGGATGGGTTTTTTCCTTCACAGTCCATTCCCCTCATCCGAGATATACAGGTCTCTCCCTGTTCGTGAAGAGATTCTTAAGGCGTTACTGAACAGCGACCTCATTGGCTTCCACACATTTGACTATGCTCGTCACTTCCTTACGTGCTGCAGTCGGATGTTGGGTCTGGAGTATCAGTCTAAGAGAGGCTACATCGGCCTGGAGTATTATGGGAGGACTGTGGGAATCAAGATCATGCCAGTGGGCATCAACATGGGTCGGATTCAGTCGGTGATGAGATATTCGGAAGAGGAGGGTAAGGTGGCAGAGCTTAGAAAGCGTTATGAAGGCAAGACAGTGTTGCTTGGTATTGATGACATGGATATTTTCAAGGGCATAAACCTGAAGCTTCTAGCAATGGAACAAATGCTTAGGCAGCACTCGAACTGGAGGGGAAGGGCTGTGCTGGTCCAGATTGTAAATCCTGCTAGGGGAAAAGGGATCGATGTAGATGAAATACGCGTCGAGATACAAGAAAGCTGCACGAGGATTAATGCAGAGTTTGGGAAACCTGGATATCAACCTATCATATACATTGATACTCCGGTTTCGATAAATGAAATCAATGCTTACTACCATATTGCTGAGTGTGTAGTCGTTACGGCTGTTAGAGACGGTATGAACCTTACTCCCTATGAGTACATCGTTTGTAGACAGGGTTTGCTTGGGTCTGAGTCGGATTTTAGTGGCCCAAAGAAGAGCATGTTGGTTGCTTCGGAGTTTATTGGATGTTCTCCTTCGCTTAGTGGGGCTATACGTGTAAACCCATGGAACGTTGAGGCGACTGGAGAAGCGCTAAACGAGGCCCTCTCAATGGGTGATGCTGAGAAACAGCTGCGACATGAGAAACATTTCCGGTATGTTAGTACTCACGATGTAGCTTATTGGTCAAGAAGTTTCTTGCAAGATCTGGAGAGGATATGTGTGGACCATTTCAAGAAAAGGTGTTGGGGGATGGGGATTAGTTTTGGTTTCAGAGTTGTGGCGCTTGATCCTAACTTCAGAAAGCTTTCAATACCGTGCATTGTGTCGGACTACAAAAGGGCGAAAAGCAGAGCTATTCTGTTGGATTATGATGGCACTCTGATGCCTCAAAACTCCATAAACAAAGCTCCCAGCCAGGAAGTTCTGAACTTCTTGGATGCACTTTGTGAAGACAAGAAGAATTCAATTTTCATTGTCAGCGGAAGAGGTAGGGAAAGCTTAGGCAAGTGGTTCTCTCCGTGCAAAAACATTGGAATTGCAGCCGAGCATGGATACTTCCTAAGGTACTTTTCTTTGTACTACTTGTTTGAATGTGTAAATTATGTAAATTACAACAGGTAATGCGTAAATTACAGGGTTTGTTAGTGACAAGCTTTTATGTCTATTTCTTAGGTGGTCAGGCAGTGAAGAATGGGAAACATGTGGGCAGAGCTCTGATTTTGGGTGGATGCAGATCGTGGAACCTGTAATGAAACAGTACACTGAATCTACAGATGGCTCTTCCATTGAAATTAAAGAGAGTGCTCTGGTTTGGCAATATCGGGATGCGGATCCAGGCTTTGGTTCTTTACAAGCAAAGGAAATGTTAGAGCATCTAGAGAGTGTTCTAGCTAATGAGCCTGTTGCAGTCAAAAGCGGTCACTACATCGTAGAAGTCAAGCCTCAGGTCAGTTAATTTTCTTCCACTTGATGATTCAAGCATTAATGTCTGAAAACATATAATATCTAACTTCTTCCCATTGGTGTTTTGTGAGTATAGGGAGTGAGCAAAGGATCTGTGTCGGAGAAGATATTTTCATCGATGGCTGGAAAGGGGAAACCAGTTGATTTCGTGCTATGTATTGGAGATGACCGATCTGATGAAGACATGTTTGAAGCGATTGGCAACGCCATGTCGAAAAGATTACTCTGTGAAAATGCTCAAGTCTTTGCATGCACAGTTGGGCAAAAGCCAAGCAAGGCTAAATACTATTTGGACGACACTATGGAAGTGACAAGCATGCTTGAATCTCTAGCTGAGGCATCAGAGGCTTCGAACTTCTCCATGCGTGAACTTGATCATTCCCTTTGAGCTGAAAAGGAGAATCTTTGCCAGGTTTTCTCCTCAATGATCTCACTCAATTCCAGTTCTGTTTTCCGCAACGATTTATAGTCTTGTTCTCATAAATACTATCAATAAACGATGTGCGTAGATGGCTAAGGAGGTTGCACAGACGAAGACAAAGGAAAAAGATGAGACTGTGGAGTTTAGTCTGATGTGATTGAAAGGGAGAGAAAGAAAGAAGAAAAGGGTAGTGAGTAATTAATGGTTAAAAAAAGGAAATATGGTGTGTGAAGCTTTGTTCTTTTCAGATGGCATTTGAAGAGCAATTAGAGGAGGAGAAAAATAGATTTTATCTGGTTTTAAAATCTTTGCAGGATGTTGAAGTAACAACAAGCAGAAAGCTTTTCCTGATCTTTTCCTTTTTTTTTTATGATTATTATTCTTATTAATATTGTTATTGTAATTGGATGATCTTGAGAAACTTTCAATTTGGAGTCGGCTGTTTGTTGGATCTGTCAAAAAAACGAAACTGTGAAAATGTAAAGATAACGTTGCGTGTCCACCATTGTTGGAAATTTTCGTTTATTATATTTTCTTTTCTTTGCCATTTTGTTTTTCATATTTTCATGAGTATTTTCTTTACCCTTTCTTCAACTCTTCTCATTACAAAAGCTCACTTTTGGTTCTTTTAATTTTAAGCAACTCTTGAGCCCTTCAAGAGACCTACAAACTGATTATATCAAATCTAAGCCCACTGGAGCTTACAGATTTTTGTCGTTTACTGTCCGATCGCTTTTTTTAGTACTCTATTTACTTTTTCCCCACTTTCCCTTTTTATGAAATCTTTGATCAGTGATGAGTGAGCGGAAAGTTCAATGGAGAAGAAAATCGATGGAAAGATGAAGAGCAGCGTGGCTTCGATTCCGGCAAACTACGTATCGATTCTCCAGCTTCAGGAGCGTTGGGAGAAGGAGAAAGAGCGTAAACAGAAGGAAAAGGACTTAGCAGAGAGAGGAGTGAAGCAGCAGGTTAATGGACAAGGAAAGAGAGAAGAAGAAGATGTAATGAAGGTAGCAGGGGCAATGCAACCACGGACGAATCTGGAGGAAAATGGTTTAGGCGGAGGTTTTCGTATGGATCGTCGGAAAAAGGAATCGAAATGCGTTGAGGTCTGTGCAAACAAGGAGGAAAACGGAGGAGGAGGAGATTCGAGGGAGAGAAAGAAGAAATGGTCTAAGAAGGAGATGAGGAAACAAGGAGGGTCTGTGGAGGAGATCGTCGAATGTGAAACCAAGGCAGAGAAGATTGTTCAAAACAGAGAGAATGCTGCTAGCGATTCAATTGCTGTAGAAACTCAGTTTCAGGATCTCCGGATCAAAAAGAAAGCCGAATTGGAAGTCAAGGGACCTGCGAGATTGAACAGCGGACAAGGAGGTTATTACCGAAACCAGAAACATGATTGGTCGTCTACTCGTGTTATTAGGTCAACAGGGGCTATGGTCTGGGTGAAGAAGGGAAACAACGGTGGAGCTGGTGGTGAAAATAGCGTCTGAAATCTAAATTAAACATTGATTCTTGTTCCTTTGGGGAAGCATTGCAGTCATGTGTATGTATGTATATAATTTTGGATTTTGGTGCATGATTCATCACTGTACCGATTAAGTGATGTGTGCACAAATGTATGTACTTTGACGTTTGAATCTCGGAGCATGATGACGAGATTTAATTCTCTCTGTAAGATATAGATATGGTTTGACATTGGTTTTCTAAATCTCTCAGTTTTGTGTTAAGTCTCTTGCAGCTTATTACAGGGAGACTAGTAATTTCAGCAGACTCTAATGAACAGACTTGCAGACATGATTTTGTTAAGTCTTAATTTTAGGCCATTAAGGTTGAATTTGAAGAAAAAAAAAGGTTACTTATATCGAATTCGTATATATACTCCAACTAGGCAAATTAAGGTTTACTTGTTACACAGTATGGGGAAGTATCTCAAGATATACACAGAGATTCTGAGATGATTCAAGGCTCTCTTACTCAGACAGAAGCTGGTGTAGGTGTTGATGTTGACGTAGAGGTTGAGGAAGCAACACGGTTTTCAGGTGGAATATCTGTAAATTCGGATAGGATTGCTCGGAATTCCTCACCGGACATGGTCTCTTTCTCGAGAAGCACTTCAACAATCTTGTCCATGGCTTCACGATTGTTCCTTATGTGTCCCAAAGCTATCTCGTAGGCCTTGTCTGATAGTGCCTTCACCGCTGAATCGATATCATTTGCGAGCTTCTCAGACATTGAGTTTCTTGCCATCATCCTCATAATCATATCGCTTTGAGCCGATGAATCCATTAGCGACCATGGTCCGATTTCAGACATGCCAAACGTTGTCACCATCTGCAAGTAAATAACCAAAAAGACTCATCAATTTCACTCACTAGTTCAGTAAGATAACACAACAACAGCTCGTAGTGTAGTAGATACCTGCTTAGCCAAACCGGTGATCTGTTGCAAGTCACTAACAGCACCAGTAGTCACCTCTGGCTCACCGAAGATGACTTCTTCAGCGGCTCGACCACCGAGTCCACCAACAATTCTTGCAAAGAGTTGCTGTTTAGAGATTAGAGTTGGGTCATCTGAGGGAATGAACCAAGTCAGACCTCTCGCTTGTCCTCGTGGTATCAACGTGACTTTTTGGACAGCATCATGTCCTGGGGTCAATGTTCTGCCAAAAAGAGAAGAATGAAATTTCATAACTACTAAGCTCTTGATAACACACACAAAAGCTTCTAATCTGATTCTCACTTACCCACATACGGCATGGCCAACTTCATGGTAAGCAACCAAGCTTTTGCTCTTCCCATCCGTCATGACTGTTCCTTCCATGCCAGCTACAATTCTATCAATCGAGTCATCAATCTCTTTCGACGATATTGCTGTCTTTCCGCGGCGTCCTGCCAAAATGGCAGCTTCGTTCAAGAGGTTTGCAAGATCAGCTCCGCTAAATCCAGGCGTTCTCATGGCTATCACTTCAAGCGAAACACCATTGTCGAATTTCTTATTCCCGGAGTGAACTTTAAGTATATCTGTTCTTCCCTTAACATCAGGAACGTCAACAGACACCTGCATCAACAACAAACAACACAGGCTAAGCAACCAGCAGTAAAGAGAATCAATGGAAAAGTAACACACACAGAGAACATTCTTATCAACATATATATATATATATACCTGACGGTCGAACCGTCCTGGTCTTAGCAAAGCAGAGTCGAGAATGTCTGCTCTGTTGGTTGCAGCAACAACGATAACACCAGTGTTACCTTCAAAACCATCCATCTCTGTCAGGAGCTGGTTAAGAGTCTGTTCTCTCTCATCATTCCCTCCACCAATTCCGGTTCCTCTCTGCCTACCAACAGCATCAATCTCATCCACGAAAACAATGCAGGGAGCATTTTCTTTCGCTTTCTTGAAAAGGTCACGGACTCTTGAGGCACCAACACCAACAAACATCTCAACAAACTCAGACCCTGAGATGGAAAAGAAAGGAACACCAGCTTCACCAGCAATGGCTTTAGCCAACAGAGTCTTCCCAGTACCAGGAGGACCAACAAGGAGAACACCTTTCGGAATCCTAGCACCAACCGCAGTGAACCTCTCAGGCTTCTTCAAAAACTCCACCACTTCCATGAAATCTTGCTTGGCTTCATCTACTCCAGCAACATCATCAAAAGTCACACCAGTATTTGGCTCCATCTGGAACTTGGCTTTCGACTGACCGAGCTGCATCGGGAAGCCAGGACCACCGGGACCACCCATTCCACCAGAGGACCGCCTCGAGAGAAGGAACAAACCACCAATCAGAATCACAGGAAACGCAAGATTCCCAATCAAGTTGAGTAACGGAGAGCCTTGGTCTTCCTGAGCATTATGTGCTGCAAAATCAATGTTCTTGGCTCTCAGCTTCTGAAGCAGCTCCTGACTCAGTCCCGGTAGCTGCACGCGCACACGCTGAATCCGGTTACCTAACTCAGGAGAAACAGCCTCAACAATAGCTATCGTCCCGTTCTCATACAAATCAACTTTCTCAACTCTTCCTTTATCCAAATACTCCAGGAACCGAGAATATGACATCCTTGACGAAGAAACACCTTGTTCATCTGCTGCGTTTGCTTTCCCAGTAGCAAGCAAACCGGCTCCGGCGGCTGCAGCGTTTCCAAGTAAGAGCTTGAAGAAACCTCTTCTTGCTTCATGTTTCTTCACGTCTAAAGAAGCCTTCACAATAGTAGTACACTTAGATGCTCTATCGACTGAAGCAAACGTTGAGGAAAGCCCAAGCTGTTTGGACCTCTGTTTGGTTGTGCGGACAGATAATCCGCTACCGATAAGACAAGCCGATGAAGCAGCCATCTGCTTTACACATGACAGTCAAAAATGGCAGTGAACCAATAAAATTAGAGATCTGAACAAAGAACAACCAAACAAATCGAAGAGCAGATTGATTTTGTACATGCAAGGTTCTGGTAACATTATGATCAATATGAACGAGTATCAGCGATGCATTTGAAGAGAGATTGAAAGTTTTTTTAAGCTCTATAAAATAGCCACTTAATCTACCATTTCAACGCATAATCCACCATGCTTCGACATTCAATTGAAATTCTTCAAGTAAAATTAAGAAGAACAGAAAGCAAAATGACATCAGACTTGCTGATAACACCCAGGCAGTATAATCATGCACAAGAGGACCGAGGTTTCATAGATATTTCTTACCATCAACAAAAATTTCGGAGATTCAGAGAAAAAAAGCTGCTTGAGATGACAAAGAGTGAATCGCACCTGTGGAAAATTTGGCGGACGAAGAGAAAGAGAATGAAAGAAGATTGTTTGGAGAAGAGAATTAAGAGTGGGATTTTTGAAGAGAAGAGATGTGGTTTCAGAACATCTTACGTGTCTTCCTCTCAGTGGCCTCCTTGCTATTTCCTTAACTCTCAATATATTTTACTTATTTGTATTTTCAGTCCTTTTATTTTGTTACATTTCAAGGTTTACTTTTCCAACCTTCTGAATACACAATTCCTTCATAGTAAGAAGTACTATAAAATTTGTGTTTCATATGTGTGTTACTTAGAGATTTAAGGTTAAGAAAAAGATTGCAAGCATTTGAATTTGAAAAATTAGAGATTTATGTAACATGTAACGTTTCTTTCTAAATGTCAAATACTCGGAAGAAAAGCAAGAGTTTGAGTAGCTCAGGGAAAGCCACATGCAGCATTTAGCAACCAAGTAAAATCCAAAGAAAGAAGACGTATCGAGGTTGGATAGTTTCTAATTTCTTGTCGACACAACCAACAAAGACGGATCCAAATTCTTCTTTGGGAAACCAATGTAAACTAAGTACCACTTGTCACTTATGCCTCAAATCATTTGCTTTTCCTACTAAAATATTGCTTTTGAGACGAACGACACAGAAACAGAGCTTATCTTGTATTTGTCTTTCCTCAATGCAAAATCCTGTTAAGGAGGTACAAGATTGCTTGATTCTTGGTGATCTCATCTCTCAAATGTTTCATACACTTCAATGGATTCTGAACAACAAATGGGACAATTAGGCTACAAAGAGCTCGTAAAATTTTCATTCTTGTTCAGACATATTCGAGTCTGATAAAGCAGCATGGCGACCCAAGAGAACAAGATCAAGAAGCTTCCTCCTAGCGTCGTAAACTGGATTTGGATCTATCAAACGTCCTCTCTCATAAGCCTCTCTGAGAAACACTGTGTGTATCTTCCCTTTAGTTGACAAATAAAACATCCCCGGGTGATCCAAGAACAAATCTCTTATGTTCAAATCAATCCCAAAACATTTCCTGAAATGGCTGATCTTCTCTACCTCCACCATCTTCTCTACAGTCAGACTAAGAAACTCGTGAGCAATCGCAACCGCTCTTTTCTCCATTCCCATCACACCGGATTTGCTCTTCTTCTTACCAACCATGTCCTCGTACGGACACACATAAGGCAGCCTCTGCCATTCCTTAACTCTAGCCTTAAAGCTCTTGCTCAGTCTCATTCCCGGCGGGTAACTATGTTTGAAACTAAACTGAATCTCGGTTCTGTCGACACTGCAATCCTCCTCTGAACAACACTCAACCACCCTCCATTTCTCAACCGCGGCTTCAAGTTTCAGACTTTCCTCTTCTCCTTCTTCTTGCACGAGCTCTAAGATGTGTGTATTAGGCTCATGACCATCACTAAGCTTAAAAACGTGAGGGTTTTTTGAAATCACAGAGTCCTCAAAGTCATCAGGGAGCCCAAGTTCTCTCCAAACCTTGAAAACCGCACGAAGCGGAATCGACTTCGACATGGACATAGACAAGAGCCTAACCAACCGGTCAACTACAAGAGGCAGAGCAGCATTGATAGCCAAAGCCTCTTGACGAGAGATCTCTATGGCTGCAGCAGTTAAAGTGCAAAAGGGCTGGGATTTGGCAGGATCATACAAGACGTGGAAGATGTGAGGGTACTTTCGGAGGAAAGAAGCGGCGCCACGGTTGAGATGGAGCTTCTGGGAAAGCCTGGAGAGAAACTCAATGGAAACAGAGGGAGGATCGGGTGTTGGGTTCGCGAGGATGAGGTCTTGTATGGCAATGACCTTGAGAAGGTTCTTGTATTTGTCCATGAGCTTCTCGAAAACAGGGTCTCTTGATCTGGAAGCCACGTATTGACCAGACGTCGTCGTTGATCGGACGGTGATGATGGAGCCACCAAAGGTGTGAATCAAAACTGATCTCGTCAGGCCAAACCTCATACTATCTTACGGAGCTATCTTGCGTTTCCTCAATCCCAACGTTGAGCTATCCTCGCTTCACAACGTTGAACTCTCTCTAAGGAATTACGTCGAACACTTTACGCGCATAGCTAAAGATCAAAACTTAAAGTTAACGGTCTGTGTCACCGGTTTACTAAGTTTTCATCATTTGAAATAACGGCCATTTTTTATATAAAAAGATTGTATAATGTACAACTTTTAAGACTTTATAATATTGATTTGCTATAATAACCCACAAAATATTGTAAATAGCCAAAATAGCCTATCAAGAATTTTGAAGATTTTATAAATTTTTTTTTACACAATTATCCTTTTAAAGTCTTCCAAACTTACTCGCAGACTCGGATTTTCTTTTGCTAGTCTGCTATTTTTTTGGCAGACTCAACGTATTTTTGGTAGACTCTATATATTTTTTCGTAGACTCTGTCAAGCTTTGACAAACTATACCAAAATCTTCCAAATTTACTAGCAGACTCGGATTTTATTCTGCTGATCTTCCATTTTTTTGTGGATTCTGCATATTTTTAGTAGATTTAAATTTCAGTCTGCTAATCTGTTATTTTGTTAGCAGACACTACATATTTTTGGTAGATTCTGCGTCTTTTTTGTAGACTCTGTCAAGGTTTGGTAGAGTATACCAAAGTCTTCCAAAATTTACTAGCAGACTCGGATTTTAAATTGCTAGTCTTCCATTTTTTTGGTGGATTCTGCGTATTTTTGGTAGATTTAAATTTTACTTTGCTAGTCTACTATTTTATTGGCAGACTCTACGTATTCTTTGTAGACTTTGTTGAGGTTTTGGCAGACTACGTCAAAGTCTTCCAAATTTACTGGCAGACTTGAATTTTAAACTGCTAGTCTTCCATTTTTTTGGTGGATTCTGCATATTTTTGGTAGATTTAAATTTTACTTTGCTAGTCTACTATTTTATTGGCAGACTCTACGTATTCTTTGTAGACTTTGTTGAGGTTTTGGCAGACTACGTCAAAGTCTTCCAAATTTACTCGCAGACTTGAATTTTAAACTGCTAGTCTTCCATTTTTTTGGTGGATTATGCGTATTTTTGGTAGACTTAAATTTTACTTTGCTAGTCTGCTATTTTATTGGCAGACTCTACATATTCTTTGTAGACTTTGTCGAGTTTTGACAAATTACATTAAAGTCTTCCAAATATATTAGCAGACTTGGATTTTAATCTGCGAATCTTCTACTTTTTGGTGGATTCTGCATATTTTTGGTAAATTTGACTTTTACTCTGCTAATCTGCTATTTAATTAGCAGACTCAACATGTATTTGGTAGACTCTGCATAATTTTTTGTAGACACTAGGTTTTTACCCGCGCACGCGCGGGTCTATTTTAATAGTTTGATTAAATATTTTTTATTCCTAAACTTTTGTCGTCAAGAGCATGTTCATGGTGACTATTGAACCAATATTTTTATTTTTCGTCCTTAGTTTATTTTTCTTTGGTCTATTCTTATTTATTTGGTTTCTTTTTGTTTATTTTGGTTTCTTCTTCATCTTTATTCCTTTTATATTTATTCATTCTCGGCTTCTCGCGGTTTCTTATTCCGTTATTTGGTCTATTTCTTCATCTTTTGTTTTTTTTTGTCTTAGTTCTTTGATATTCTTGTCTTCACTTTTTTTTTCTTCATATTCTTTGTGTTCGTCTTGGTTATTGTTCTTATGTTTCTTCTATGATTAGTTCAGACGGTCGAAGTTGCTAGAGTTTTACTTTTTTTTTGTTATTTTTTTTCTAGATTATTTTCTGCTGGAATTTGTTTCACGATTTTATCCTTTTTAGAAATCTTTAATTTAATTAGGTAAAATAATTTTTTTACTATCTGATACCCTAAACCAAATTTAAAAATGTAAAAGATTCATAGAAATAAAATTAAGTTAGAGATATACAAATATATATTTAGACATATACTAACCAATGCCTAATAATAATACAAATAATTCAGTTTATGCGATCATAATGATATAGTTAAGCATAGCTTTCAATTTTCATATTCTTTGGTTCATCTTTTTATTTGGTTTCTTGGTTTAGCTTTATATTATGTGGGTTTTTTTATTTATATTTTCGTTCTTTGTTTTATTCGTCTTTTCTTTTCTTCATCAACCTTTTTTTCTTTGCTTTTCTTGGTTCTTATTTCTATTTCTTCTATGATTCATATTTTCTATCGAAAATGCTGCGTTTCTCCAGAGTATGTTTATTCCAACTTCCTCTTCTTCTATGCATTAGTTGTTCTTCGCTTTAAATTCTCCATGACTATACTTTTTGTAAATATGTTTAATATTAACCTCTTTAATCTTAGGTAGAAATTTTTTCACTATCTAGCTAAGCCTTCAAAAATAAATTGTACGTCTAACAATTTTAGCTACAAAAACTAATAATATTGTAGATAACCTAATACTAATATTTATGTTGGATTTCTAGGAGTATAAAATTTATTTGAAGAAAAGCTAATCGACACACATTGTGGTTTTTCATTTCCTTCTTCACTCACTCTTGTTTCTATATTTTTAAATTTTATTTATTTAGTCTCTTCAATTTTTCCTACTTTGATTTTTTTTTGTTCTTATTTGGTTTCATATTTATCTTCACTCATCTTCGTTTCTGCTCTTCTTCGGGCTTCGCTTTCCTTTGTCTTTGCTCTTGTTTATTATTTCTTTGTGTTCTTGTTTGGTTTCATTGCCTTCTTCACTCTTGTTTCTATGTTTTTTTGTAAATTTATTCTTCTGTAATTTTTCCTACTTTGATTTCTTTTTTATTCTTATTTGATTTTTTATTTATTTTCACTCATCTTCGGTTATGATCTTCTTTATTCCTCCTATGTGTTCTTTTTTGGTTTCATATCTTTTGTTCTTGTCTTAGCAAAAAAAATATTAGTGTTAAATAAGCTCATGTGTACTAATAATATTAGTTTTTTAAAATTTAATATGACCAATTTACATGACAAAGGTTTTTTTTTATTGTAATTAGAAAATATATACTTTTATTTATTTTCTAAAGTATTTAATTAATAAACTGTTCTAAAATATAAAAAGGAAAATAATTACTTAATTTTAGTAATTATGTGGAATGATACTATTGGTTGTTTAAAATCATATATACTTAATTTTCTTATATCTTACATATTTAAAAATCAAATTTTCTTTTTAATCACGTAAATGTTTATGTAGAACTAATCAAATTAAGATAGTCAATTTTATATGATGATGTGGAATGATACTATTGGTTATTTTGGAATTAGGAAACTTTCTTGAAATATAAAAAGATGATTAATTAATTTTAACAAATAGACCTTATTTTATATAATGATGTGGAATGATATTATTGGTTATTTAAAATTTGGAAACTTTCCTAATATTGAGATGCTTACATGGACCAGTAATATTGTGTTTTTAAAAGCTGATGTGGACGCTTTTAGAGCCTTATAGCCTCAACTTTTATAAAGTATAGATTGTTGAGATTTGGCAGATTACATCAAAGTCTTTCAAATTTACTAGCATATTCAAATTTCAATATGCTAATCTTCTAATTTTTTTATGAATACTACATATTTTTGATAGACTTGAATTTTACACTGTTAGTTTGCTATTTTATTAGCATATTCAATATATTTTTGATAGATTTACATATTTTTTAAGACTATGAGTTTTGGCAAACTATACCATGGTCTTCTAAAATTATCACTATAATTGAATTTTAATCTTCTAAGATATTTTTCTGTGTTGTTTTGTTAATATTGGATTTTAGTTGATGAAATATTTTCTCGCAAAATTCAGAAAAAGTTACAAACTGAAATTTCATATAGTCAAACATTTTATAAATGTGCAAAAAAACAAAAATGAAAAGAAGTAGAATGGATAGAGAATCAATTTCAATGATAAATACCATAAATGAAAAAATTGAGTTCGACAAAAAGTTGCTGTTAGACCAAATATACATTGCCATGAAATTTGATAAAATAAAAATAATCAATTGATTTGAAATTAAAAGTATTTATTTCTTATTTTATTTTTCTTTTATTTATTTATTAACTAAAACTAATTTATTATGGTTCAAATTAAATGAATAGTTATGTGTAATTTACAAAAACGAAATTAAAGAAATAATTATAGTTAAAAGGATAAAACTGGAATTATACATCACTGCTTAAATGATTAATAGGTTATATGAGTAATAAAAATATAAATAGGTTATTATAACTATTTCTTATAAAAAAAGGTTATATTAGGTAATTTTCTCTTTTTTTTTCTTCTTAATTGTAAGAACTGCGATGGATAACAAAAAAGCTCTTTTAGGCAATTCTTCCAAAAGTAAAAGAGAATGTACCAACTAGTTGTTTCCTTTTTCATTTGAATTGCCATATATGATTAGGGAAAAAGTAAGAATTTCCATATCTCGTTTTTTATTTCGACCAAAGAAATATTTCATATTATTGTACTTAGAAGTTACATTGGATTATGATATTTCTGAAATACTTAGGAAATATTTCGTACTACTTATGATTCAAACTTTGGATTAACCGACATGGTGAATAATCCACAGAAAAGAAAAACATTTCCAGAATCTAGTTTGTCGAGGAGAAAATTAAAGAGAGGAGCATTTGTAAAATGTAATTTAACAAAAAGAAAAACGAACTTCCAAAATCTGGGCGAATTTAAACAGATAAGATACGATCAAGACTCGCACACAAGTGAAGGTAACTTTTTAACTTATTAATTAATTGGGGAGCAAGCTATGATAAAAATCTTCATTAATGAAAACATCCGAGAAAAAAGGAAACTCAGGTAAGCCGATTTATAAATTAAAAAGGATAATTTACAAAGAGAGGTTATATATAAAAAGACTCTCTTTTCCTTAAGAACCCTAGCACCCCCCACTACGAATCAAACCGACTTCTCGTATTCATGCCAATTCCTCCAAAGAAAAAAAACCTAAATTTCCTCTGCAGAATCCATGAACGAGAATCGGCACCGGCGATCAGAACCGAAGACGACGAAAGTATGGAGGAAGAACGTGGATCAAGCGATGGTCGGATTCATCGAATGTCTTAAAAACTTCCCACTGATCGCATTCGATACAGAGTACCCCGGCGCAATTCTCCGGACTTTCATTGATTCATCCGACGACGAACGCTACGGCGCCATGAAACACAACGTCGAGACGACGAAGCTGATCCAGTGTGCCTTCACTTTGTTCAACGCCAAGGGAGAGATCGGCGGCACTTGGGAGATCAACTTCTCCAATTTCGGCGACCCATCTGACAAACGCAACGAGATATCGATCGAGTTTCTGCGGAGACACGGCCTGGATTTGAAAAAGATCAGAAACGAAGGCGTCGACATGTTCGGCTACAGCTTCTTCCCCAAGCTTCTCACCGCCTTCGCCTCCCAGAAACACGTCGAGTTCGTCACTTTCCAAGGAGCTTACGACTTCGCCTACATTCTCTGCATCCTCAACAACGGGAAACTCCCGGAGACTCGCGGAGAGTTTGTCTCAGAGGTGATGAGAGTCTTCGGCGAGGTTTACGACTTGAAGGTCATGGCCGGATTCTGCGAAGGGCTCGGTGAACACCTCGGGCTGAGCAAACTAGCTCAGGTGCTCGACATCGCGCGCGTGGGAAGAGCACACCACGCTGGCTCCGACAGCTTAATGACTGCACTTGTCTTCATCAAGCTCAAGCAACTCTACGAAGACTCTAGGTACGCTAAAGGAATGCTCTACGGAATCGGCAAGAGAAACCTCGTTACAGTGCCTGCTCGTTCGTCCTACTCTTCGGTTTCTCTGCCTCTGATGAGCCATCAGGATCTAGCCGCCGCTGCTGCGGCTGCGGCTGCTTCATATCCTCTGTTCCATAATGGGTATGTCCCAAACTATGATCTTCCTCCGATTTACTACTTGGATCCGTCTGGTGTTCCGTATTTTCCATGGATGTTCTATAACGGCGTGTATCTGAATCAGCTACCTTCAAGCACATTCGCATACCAGCAGCCTCAGACACAGTATGCTGCTGCAGCTGATTACCTCGCACCTCTGCTTCCGAGCTACTACAATAATAGTTCTTGCTACGTACAAGACTAGATTATTGATATTTCCAGCTTTTAGGACTATTAAGATTTTTCCTTTTTCTTTTTTTAAAATTTTTTTTTTTTTTTTTCTGGATTTCTAGTAGTAATGAAGTCTTTTATTTTATTTCTTTATGGATTGTTTACATGGCTTACTCTATCATCAAATGAGCATGCCTTGTCTGCAACTGTGATTTATGGAAAAACCAAACTATTTTACATATCTTTCATCTTCCCACACAAACAGAGCATATAGTATACACATTGTTTACCGTATTGTTCCAGAACGATGCACCCTCAGAGCTTAGGCATCACTATTCTCAGAAGCCCATCCCTGCTCCAAAATGCAATTATAATTTGGTTGTTAGTACTCTCTGTGTATCAACCTTGCCAAACTAGTGTAGTATAGCTTTCTACTTACATGAATTCAGCAGAAACGTTATCCTTGTTCACATTGGTGGGGAGTGGCCATGAAACGTTGAATGGTCCTTGTACTATTTCTTGCTTGTGATATTTCTTGGTACCTTCATCAACTTTTTGACAGATAGCTGTGCGTCTACCAGTCACATTCAAGCTGCAACAGCACAGTAAGTAACATTGTTACATAATGTATACAAGTGTGTGAGTAATTGGAACAGATTGAAAACATGTGTGAAGATGCGTATTGTTTACTTTGTGTTGTCGATCTCCACTCTTATATCATTGATGCTGGCCCCTGGCAGCTCTATTGCCACAATATAGTTATGTTCATATTCTGCAACATTCGATCTCGGAGACCAAATGGTCCCTGCAAAAAAGAAAGAAACAAGCTTTAGTAAGTTCTCATGTGTCTGAAGTTACTTTTGGGTAGATCCAAGTCCATAACAAAAGACCTTTATTAATTCTTATAAATAACAATTGTATGTTTCCAGTAACAAATTTTAGGAAATACTAAGTCCTATCTAAAAGGTATCAGATTATGTAGGATCAAAATCAGTGTATGTATCTGTTATCTGTATGCGTGTACCTAAATCGGATAACTTAGGAAGGTCAGGCTTATATGGCTTTGTCAAGTTTTCTTTTAGCTGATTGAGTGAATTAGAAGAAAAAGCCAAGTCTTGTTTTGCGGCCTTGGAAAACTGTGGTGGGGCGTACTCAGGTCTGGAAAGCAGTGGTTGTTCTGAAGAAGAAACGTAGCCACTCGTTTTGGTAGATGCACTGTCTTGTGGTATGGTCATCTGCAGTAACATTTTGAAAACAATTTTGTTGCTCTTTTTTCTTTTTTCAATTCCAATCCACCAGATCGACATAAACTGATGTTACCTCATCAATCGAACCCTGCTGCCTCATAAAAAAGCCCTGCGCAGAAGATGCTTGTCGAGCAAAATACAACCTGTTGTCACATCTTCTAATGACAGAGTTCTTCAAACTGATGCTGCCGTTCTGAGGAAGTGACTATATTGAAGGAAGACGATAGAAACAGTGAACAAAACTATTTGTGCGTCTCGACTGATTATCATAAGAAGGAATGTTTTGGTACCTCATCGGAGGAAGTCTGCTGCCTCATGAAAAGACCTTGTTCAGAAGATGCTTGACGGCCAAAAGAGATTTTGTTATCACATCTTCTCATGACAGAGTTTAAACTGCTGCTGCAGTTCTGAGGAATCACAAAAAAAAACAGAGGAAACAGCGAAAACAGATTATTTGGGACAGTCAAGTAAAGAAAGCTAATCATCTAACCCATAAGCAGAGCATCACTTTCAAGATCCTAACTTTTAACAACTCTGTTTTCCGTTGCAAGAGAAAGAGAGAGAGAGAGAGAGATACCAAGGGGACGAGAGATGCGGAGGAGGCGGGATCGTTAGTGGTTGGCGGGAAGTGAGCGGCGACGGTAGCGAGCCTGCGTCTAGCGGTGATGGAATCGAGCTCCATTTCCCTCTCTGATTTCTTCGATCGATCTGTGGAGAGGAAGAGAGGATGAGCAAGTGAGGGCAGATACAAAGGAAGAAAATGTGTGGCTTTAACTTTGCGCGCGGGGTTTGATTAGATTACAGATATTTTGCTTCGGGAAATGGACATTGGACAACGACCCTTTTTTCAATTTTTTTTAATTCTTCAGAAAATATCTTCGCGGGTGCTTCTATTTGTCTTTTTGCTGTTCAAAGTGAAGAGACCTAAAATTACCCTACTTTAGTATTATCCTCATAATTTTGATTTAAATTTTGAGTGATTAATCACATTTCCAATTTTCTAACTAGAGTTTTGGACAAACTTTGGTCATCGTTTTTTTTAAAATGGAAACTCCAAATCGAGACTAATCTGAAAGTAGGAAACAAAAATTTCCAAGCAAACCCAAACTGAATTGGTCTATATTGTACATTTATTTCGAAAAGCCAGAAAACTCCAATAATAATCCGAAATTAAAATTTCTTGTTACAATAGTGTATCTTGTAAAGAGGTAACGCAAGTTGCATTTGCACAGAATCCGAGCGGTAATGTTTTCGTAAAATTGCACCAAACTCCAACAACCATCGGTTGCGACTCCAATTTCAATCAACCCACACAAAGTGCCATCAGCTCCGATCAGATCCGATCTCGCTCTCTCCCGCTCTTCGCAGGTCTCTCTGTTCCAATTTCATCCTTCTATGCAAAATTTGATTTATGCTTTTCGCGAGCTTCGAATCTGTAAATTTTAAGCTCACTCCCGATCCAGGCTGAGAGGACTTTCCGTTTCGTTAATGCCTTAATCGGTTTGAGCTCGGAGTCATTGAGCTTTTCCTGATTTTGATTGGTCCGACCTTAATTCTCGTTTCGCATTTCACCCGATTTCTTGAGCTGAATCATAACTCAGATTCATTCGTGTTGGTTTTACTTTCTTCTCTATGTGTTTGTTTTTCTAGGTTCTAGTGACGTAGCTTTCTTATTTTGATATTACTTAATTAGCCTGTTAGTGCTCAGAGATTTTCGCAGTTTCCTTATTTGTCCCATTGCTGAAGCTAGATTATTCAAACTTTCTCTTTCTGTAAAGTCTCGCCGTTCTTAATTGAAAAAAAGCATGGCTTGTTTGGAAGATGCTGTGTTTAAATCTTTGTATCAGCGTAGTAGAACCTTGCCTTGATTGAAATGTGGCTCTTGTGACTCCTTGCTTTACTTTCCACCTACTCTGCTTAGGTCCTTGCTAGGTTGTCCTCATGGAATTTATCGCAGAAATATTGAGTGGCTTAAGCTTGTGTTTGTGATTCCAGGTCAAGCCTCAAGTAGGTCCAGAGCATTGCTTTGAATATTCGCAAATATCTGAGGTTCCTGCTTTCTTTGAAGAGCGAGTTGGACTCTGAACCATTTGAGCATATGAGTATACCGTGCCCACTTTCTTCCTTGAAATTCTGAGGCATTGAAGCTGTCCATAACAAGGGTACTTGTTGATAGTGTTTTAAAACCTCTGTTGGGTAAATAAAGGCTAGATTGCATGCTCTGCTAGAGCTGTCTTTGAATGGGAGCCAAAAAGGTTAGCCAGTGAGTTGAGATTGTTGATGGAGCAAAGAGTCCAGCTCCGTAGTGGTAGCACAATGGAAGCTATTCCCAGTCAGGGAGATGTAGACAGAGAACAGGTTTTAGAGCCGTTTGATATTGAAAACGAGACCAGGAAGGAGACAAACCGCTCCAGCGGTTTTGATGCTGGTTACAGTTCCGGTGATAACCTCGAAACATTGCCTAAAGCGTCAAAAGAGGCTATCTCTCCTGCTGACGTGCTAAAAACACTCTTCTTTATACTTGTATGGTACACTTTCAGCACATTTCTGACTCTGTAAGTATGTCTTTGCGACTATCCCTTATCCTTTTCATGTTTTTTTTTAACCTTACACCTAGCATTTACCTTGTTTGCTTATTTTTTAGGTACAACAAAACTCTCTTAGGAGATGATTTGGGGAAATTCCCTGCTCCCTTGTTAATGAATACCATTCACTTTTCTATGCAAGCTTTTTTATCAAAAATGATAACATGGTATTGGTCGGGAAGATTTCAACCTGATGTTACCATTTCCTGGAGAGACTATTTTATTAGAGGTAAGCTCATTAATCATGTCATGACCTCTTTTTTGTTTTATGTGCCAAGAAGCATTCCCTTAGCCATTACTTTCTATGTAATTCTCAGTATATAGTATTGAGAACTTTCTGCAACTTATGCAATGCCTATATCATCTACAATATCTAGTAACGACGAAATATAGGAAAATTCTGAGGATTTACTCCTCTTTCAGTTTTTCGAAGTTGATATGTATTACTTTTTTTCTCTAGACTATTGACCCACAAGGACTTTCATTTCACAGTTGTACCAACAGCACTTGGAACTGCTATGGATATAAACCTAAGTAATGAGTCACTTGTCTTCATATCGGTTACGTTTGCAACGATGGTTAGTTATTTTATTTGGTATCGTAGGTCTCTGCAACTTGTTAGGAAGTTGCGGGTGAAACAAGGTGAGAGTTGTCTAATGAAATTCACCTTTTTTCCGTTTGCAGTGCAAATCTGCAGCCCCAATTTTTCTTCTTCTGTTTGCTTTCGCCTTCAGGTGCTTTATCCATATCCATAACTATTTGTCTTGATCTGTAGACCATGCATGAGAGTCAATACTTTACAATGTTAGACTCTATAGCTCTAGTTAGAACTTTAAACTCAATAACACTTTCGTTACATCTTTTTTCTTTTAAACAGCACGTTTCTTCATTCACCGCACTGATTAGATGCTGCTTTTTCATTATGGAGCATTTCCATCATTTTTCTTGTTGTCTTAATTCTGACATAATGTTTCTCTTGTAAGGCTGGAGTCTCCAAGCCTGAAACTTTTTGGCATTATTTCAGTTATCTCAGCAGGAGTGTTGTTAACAGGTATTTATTTCCCACATTTTATAATGCTTTGTACGCCGTTTTTCAACGCTAGCCAATTCTTCTACCTGTTTGCTATAATATCCATAGTTTTGACTTTTTCTACTCAAAGCGGTTAGACTTATTATTTGTTCACCCTCAAGTGTATTCATTTGCATCCAGTTGCAAAGGAGACAGAATTTGAGTTTTGGGGTTTCGTTTTTGTCATGCTTGCTGCTGTCATGTCTGGTTTTCGCTGGTGTATGACACAAGTTCTTTTACAGGTATGTTAATTAACACGATTTTTAATTGCTTTTAAACCTTACATTGGATCTTCATATATATTAACCTTTACTTTTTGTTCCTATGGTTTTTGTCTTCCAATATTTTGGTGTATCCTGATGATAACATGATGTGTAGAAAGATTCCTATGGTGGGTTCTACTCTTGGTGTTTTCTTGTCTATAATTTTTGCTCTTGACTTTTTAAAAGTCACAAGACCTATGAATTAATTTATACTTTTTTGTTTATCTAGGCCTGAAAAATCCGTTCGTATTTATGAGCTACGTGGCACCGGTGATGGCTATTGTGACTGGTCTTCTTTCTCTACTTCTGGATCCATGGAGTGAATTTAGAGACAACAAATACTTTGATAGTGGAGCGCATTTTTCTCGGACTTGTTTCTTGATGCTTTTTGGTGGAGCACTGGCTTTTTGTATGGTGAGCATTTACAGTTTCTTGTGTAAAAGTGAACTTGTCTTTACGGTTTAGATCGAAAGCATCTTTTGGATCTCAAGTTTGATATTTGTTCATTATTCCAAGCTCAATTGTTAGTGTTGTGTTTCAGGTTTTGACAGAGTATGTTCTTGTTTCCGTGACCAGTGCTGTAACCGTCACAATAGCGGGCGTTGTTAAAGAGGCTGTCACCATAGTGGTAATGTCCCATATTCTTAGTATGTTACAGATATGATAATAAACTGTAGCCTTCTTCTTAGCTTGCCAATTATATATTCATTCTATCCTTAAGCAAAAAAGGTACTCATATCTTAAGATGGTGAGACTATATTTGTCCATACAGCATACAAAAACATGATTGTTGTTGTTTTACTTGGTGCAAACAGGTTGCAGTGTTTTATTTCCATGACGAATTTACGTGGCTGAAAGGTGTTGGTCTGATGATTATCATGTTTGGTGTCAGTTTGTTCAACTGGTACAAGTAAGTAACTCTTCTTCTCCCTATCGAAGCCTCATGCTGACCATATAAACTCGCATGGATTAAGGAATTTTTAATGACTTGTTTGTTAAATCTATCTGATATGATGATAAATGAATAGAGGATCTCATGTTGTATTTTGAAACTGGTATGTCTTCCCAGATATGATAAACTACAAAAGGGGCACAAAGCAGAGGGTGAGAAGCAGTTAGAAGCTCCTAGCCAAACTGGAAAATACGTGATTCTTGATGAGATGGATGATCAAGAAAATGGGCACTAAGATTCATTTTTTGTTTCATTCTCATTCTCTCTGGTAACTTCTTCTATATAACAACATCATTAATGTGGAAGCATGTGGACCTTCCATGAGAAACGAGACTATGAATACCTTTTTAAAGGCAGTTGAAATTTGGAAATTTGCCTTGGAAAAAGAGAGAAGAACATAGCTATTTCAAGAGTTGTACTGAATTTTGTGCTCACTCTTTTGTAATTCTGTGTTGATATTTGGATTATGCATAGAAAGTAGTGAGCAATTGATCAAATTTTTGTTATAACGCGCGCATGAGATTGAATTATCTTCCTCTTTTGCATGTTTATGTGTCCAGACTGCAATCGAAAACTTTTATTTAAAAGTCTGTATCAATATATCCTGTAGAACTACATGGTCACTAATGAAAACATCAGATTACATATTAGCTTTATTTGTGTAAGATTGAGACTAAAGCTAAACGCCATAAGAAGAAGAGGAAGTATGAATCCAAAAGAATTAATGAATAGAGAGGATAAACAATTCAGATGTGGCATCCACAAAAGAGGTAGAAGAAGCAGAGAGTCGAAACGAGAACGAGAGCTTCGACTACATACATGACCTTGAAAACCACTCCGTCTACTATCTCAATCTGAAGTATCTCCACTCGCTTCCACTTGGACGACAAAGACGACGACGTTGAAAACAAGTTCCTTAATCGCCGCCATGTCTGTGTTTCTTTCGCCGTTACATCTTCCTTGTCTTGTTGCTGCTTCTTCTTCTTCAGTGACGCCCACTTCTTCATCACTAGTCCCGTACTCTCTACCTCTCTACCCCTCTCTAGTCTCTACGACAGAGTTATGCCGCGTTGCATTCTTATACTGGGTGTAGGAGACGGTGGCAGATTCGGTGAATAGGTTTGAGAAGGAGAGGGTATTATTGTCAAATTGGAGTAAGGAAGGAATAGATGCCCTTCAAAACTTTATTTACCTTCGGGAAAAGGCAAAATAGCTGGCGAAAGGTGTAACCGGGAAGCAGGGGTATTTTGGGGATTTTCAGAAAGGCTTTTATATTTTTTGCCAAAAGAAGAACGGTCCACGGTCCACCAGTTTCGCTTTTTTTACAGAGAGATCCACTAAGACACAATTCAATGCAACGGTCATTTCTCTCACATTACTACAAATGTCACGCACCTTTATATGAATCGAGTTACATATTATTTTACAAACAAGGAAATATATAGTATTCATGTAAATTCGGATAATGATGTAGAGCCGTAAAGAACTGTGTATTTTTTTTTGTTCAGACGCAATCATGCAAAACAGCTAAGTTTTATTTGTCAACTTTAGTTCTACGATTATGAAAGGGAACCTAGCTCGTTGTCTCTATCAACAATTTGTAACAGTGCATAGAGAACCGTTCTTTTAATCAATCATGCTTTTACTCTTTCTATCTATCGACAATGTTTGAAATATGATGTGTTCATGTTTAAGACTATAGAAATATAAATTATTCAAAGATTGATGTAGTAATATTTTCAAAGATTTAAATCTCACGGAGACAAGATCAGTTTTTTTTTTTTTGGTATCTGACAAGATCAGTTTGTCTTTAAACGATGAACTATTTGTGTTTAGTCTGATGTAGTAAAGTTTTCGCCATGGTCCGTTTGTTGATTGGTCTTATTAACTCACTCTTTCCGGAAAGCAAACATATTAATCAAAATCAGTGTAACTATAACATATTATTTGCTAGCTGACTTTTTTTTTTTTGACGTCATTTGCTAGCTGACTTACAGTCACATTTTTGTGTCACGCCGTAAGCAATAATAGGCTGAAGAAGTCAAAGTAGATGCAAACAAAATTCGACCGTTAAGAAAGCTGATTTGTCCAAAAAGACCGTTAACCAAATGGGTTAAAATATACGAGGAGTTTGGTGTGACTGTGACCATTACTTTTCGTATAAATATTTCCCCTTTTTTTTCGTAGGATGTAATATGTATAAATAATCGTATGAAATCATTTAGAAAATGACGAGTTTCACATAAAACCTAGAATAAAAATACAATGAAGCAGTAAGCACGAACAATAGAGGACAAATGGACATTACATACACTCGAATGAATGTCACTAGATTCAAGTTCAATGATAGGCGTACAAAATTATTCCTCAAGATCGATCACACGAAGGCCCATTAGCTCAGTTGGTTAGAGCGTCGTGCTAATAACGCGAAGGTCGCAGGTTCGAAACCTGCATGGGCCACCTATAATTTCTTTTCTTTTCGTGTCGTTGTAACCATGATAATGGCACGTTGTTAGTCGGTGAAAACGTAAAACGTCATGTAGTCTTCTCTAGGTTCCTTCATAGCCGTTGCGTGGCCGTCGTCCTCTTGCTCCGCTTTTTGGCGATAAGCAATTCTCCGGATTTTCCCGGGAAACAGAGAGACAAGTTATGCCGGAAAATCTCATAAAGGAGAAAAAGGGATTCGAGCTTGTACCACAAAATCCTAGTCCTGGGTTTGCTTTCGTACCAGATTTATGGAAAAGTCACAGCTAAAAAGCTGGTAAAAATCAATTTTTTTAGAATATCTTTCGCATTCCTTTCTTCCTCATAGAGCAATCGCATTTCCCAAAACCCCACTCAACGAATCCCATCTCCTTTTCGCACTGCTCTTTCGTCTGCACATATATATACTCACAGAAAGGGGGAAGAAGATGGGTATTACGATAACCAAAATCAATCAAGTATGGCGAGTACCAGTGGTGGAAGAGGCGAGGATGGGCGGCCTCCACAGATGCAACCAGTTCGGTCTCTGTCTCGGAGGATGACCCGAGCTGGGACGATGATGATTGATCATCCTAATGAAGACGAGAGCGCCATTGACAGCGAGCTTGTGCCTTCTTCTCTTGCTGCTATTGCTCCTGTTCTTCGAGTAGCTAATGACATTGAGACTGATAACCCAAGGGTTGCTTATCTCTGTATGATTTCTCAAACTTTTTAGCTCACTCAGTTGATTTTGTTCACAATTTGATACATTAGAAGGAGCTCAATCAATTTGAAGACTTTCTGTGCAAAGCTTTGAGCTTTACTTACACAGAAGCCGTGGATCTGATTTGTGATGCGTCCTGTTAATTGAAATAACGAAATCTCGAATGCATTTGAGAAGCATTTTGGCTTGTGGATGAGAATATCAAGATTCTCACTTTACTGTTTTCTCTCTCACTAGGTCGCTTCCACGCATTTGAGAAGGCTCACAGAATGGATCCAACATCAAGTGGAAGAGGCGTCCGTCAATTCAAAACCTATCTATTGCACAAATTAGAAAAGGTATATATATATAGATCACATGTTTGGAATGTTTTCCTCTTCAATGAATTAGAGTGTGAAGATAAACAATGCTTGGTTTAGTTGAGTGTCATTGAGTTTTGTTTCCTTTTCTTAAAGAACTTGCATTTGGAAGTATCCTCCTGAGATAGTAGTTCTTGAATTTTGGTTTGTTTTTTCAGGAGGAAGAGACTACAGTACCTATGTTGGCGAAGAGTGATCCGAGAGAAATTCAGATGTACTATCAGAAGTTCTATGAGGATAATATAAAAGACGGAGAAGGGAAAAAGACACCGTGAGATCTCTTCTTAATAGTTTGTAATAGTTACATTGTAAAGATCTTCAACGATGTCTCCTGACTCTCTTGCTTCTATCACTCTAGGGAGGAGATGGCCAAGCTTTACCAGATAGCGACAGTCTTGTATGATGTTCTAAAGACAGTGGTTCCTTCAACAAGAATAGACGAACAGGTACATCAGTGTTCCCCTACATCCCTGGATGACAGTTCATTATCTTGAAGAGCGCGCTTGACATTTTTTGTTGTTTTTGGAATGTAGACCCGTAGGTATGCCAAAGAAGTTGAAAGAAAGAAGGAGCAGTATGAGCACTACAACATTCTTCCGCTATACGCTGTTGGGGCCAAAACCGCAATAATGGAACTCCCTGAGGTTGCTTGTCCAAATTTTTGCTTAGCTAAGTCGTCCATCATTTTAGTGATTTTGAGCTCTCACCGATGTGTGTTTTCCTTTAAAATTTAGATTAAGGCGGCAATTCGTGCGGTCTGTAATGTGGAAAATCTTCCTCGGCCGAGATTTCATTCAGCCTCGACTAACTTAAACGAAAGGGATAGGGAAAGAGCCAGGTCTTTTAATGATATCCTCGAGTGGCTTGCTTTGGTTTTTGGTTTTCAGGTAACTTTCAAGTTTCTTTCTTTCCATTTTTGTTTCTTTAAATGAAAAGTGTGATGAGTAATCTTCCTACTTTTCATGGTGAAAGAGAGGAAATGTAGCTAATCAGAGGGAGCATCTCATACTGCTTCTTGCCAACGTTGATGTGAGAAAGAGGGATCCCGAGAACTATCACGAGGTAAATCTCGCTTCTCTGTCACAAAGCTTCCTTTTCTGAAGGTATATTACATAAAAATTACTAACTTTTCAAGGATATTCTAGCTGAAGCCTAGCACCGTGAGGAAGTTGATGGATAAGTATTTCAAGAATTACAGGTCATGGTGCAAGTATTTGCGGTGTGAATCATATCTCAGGTATCATAAAGATCTTCTCTTAGATAACTCAGATACTCAGGTATCATAAGCCTCTACTCTAAAATGTATATGTGTTTGTGGATTGTTTTATTATTGGCAGGTGTCCTCCAGGTTGCGATGAACAACAGCTGAGCCTTCTGTACATTGGCTTGTATCTTCTCATATGGGGTGAAGCATCAAATGTCCGCTTCATGCCTGAATGCCTTTGCTACATTTTCCACAACGTAGGTTCTTTTATTTCAACGACCATCCTTTCCTTCTTATGTGTTTCTATGACACTTCTCGTCAGTTCATATAAATTGGGTTAAAATAGGATCTTGGAGGCTTTATGGCTACTATCTTTAAAGGTTTGTAAGAAATTTCGTGATGGTTTTGATTCATTTAACTAACCATGTTGTTTTCTGAAATCTTCTTGTGAAGATGGCCAATGAAGTCCATGGAATTCTGTTTGGCAATGTGTACCCTGTAACTGGAGACACATATGAGGCAGGAGCATCTGAGGATGAAGCATTCTTAAGGAATGTTATAACACCAATCTACCAAGTCTTGAAAAAGGTATGTAACATTCTAATCCAGTGTTCACTCGTTTTCCCCCCATATTGCTTCTACTTAGAAAACCAGCTTCTTTTGTGGGAAAAAGGAAGTCCGGAGAAACAAAATGGGAAAGGCAAGCCATTCAAAATGGAGAAACTATGATGATCTGAATGAGTACTTTTGGTGAGTTAGCTGAGGTTGACCTGGTTTTATATTGTACTAGTCAAGTATTGCTATCTGAGAAAATTCGATTTACGTTTTCAGGGACAAGAGGTGTTTTAGGCTGAAATGGCCGATGAATCTTAAGGCAGATTTTTTCATCCACTCTGACGAAATCTCACAACTTCCAAATGAGGTGTTAATTTTGACTACTTATTAATGCATAAGCTGTATACTTTTCTTATTACACATAGAATCTTCGGATAGATTTGAGTATACATTTTGTCTTTGCTGTATGTGAATCACCAAAGAACTTTTATTTATTGCAGAGACATGACCAAACCTCTAATGGGAAAAGGAAACCCAAAACTAATTTTGTTGAAGCTCGCACGTTTTGGAACCTCTATCGGAGTTTCGACCGGATGTGGATGTTCCTTATACTGTCTCTACAGGTAGGATTCTAAACTAGAATTCTCTTTTTGTCAAAATAAACGTATGTAGTGATTCTATGATTTTTCAGACTATGATCAT